CCCAACCACAACATCAACCCGTCTCCTGCCACATCACTAATCCCAACCACTATTCCGAGACATCTCTTCGGTCCGGGTTAGTCCCATAAAAGTTTATTTCTCTCACATCCACCCCTCTGACGAATATTGCGGCGGTGTGCAAAAAGAGGTGGCGTTTGAGGAGGCCGTATTGAAGGAACGTGGATTTGGTGAGATGTAATACAGGTCTTGCCCCGGGGAGGAGGAGTTGAGGGGCGACCTGAGGTTGTTGGAGCAGTGGTTTGAGGAAGGGTTGCTTGAGTCAAGTTGGGGGATGCGTTCAGACAGGTTTCATTGGGAAAGGCGTGTGAGGGAACCCTGCGCTGACTGGTGGAAACACTGTAATACATTCATGCGCGGTCTATGAATATATTAGTTCTAGAGCACTGTATCTCAAATTTGATAACACTATTCAGTCAGAGGGGAATGGAATGTAGAGAGTTTAGAAGAAGCCTATCCGGCCATAACTACTTCACTGTCAATGCAGAAGGCAACGGTGCTAGTTATGATGAACTCGAAGCCGGCGAAACACGGCTCTTGAAGTCAACATTCAACCTCAACCACCTGAAACCCGGGTCTCACCGAAAGCAAAACTGCCTATGATTAGTCCATCAGCCCGGTCCTTGACCAGTTTGACTCCAACCAGGTTCCTCAGGGCTTACCCGTCCCTAGAGAGAAAACCACGAATAAACACCTAGAGTCCTGCTAACTCCGACCGACAACCAATCGGAGGACCCCGACCAAACCAGCCGTTATCAATCAATCAGATAACAACCCACACACCAATCACCACCACCACCGGAAACACTCAACAGCGTAACCCCGACCGAGCGACCACCTCCTAATTCCGAGACGAATAAGTCCGAGATTTAATACCCCAACCCTCGCGCGATCACCTCGGACATGCGTATCGCTGGGATCCGACAACCTATCTAGGTACTGTACCTACCCCCTTACATCCCTCCCGCGGGCGCAAATGCAATCCCACGCCCCTTCCTCTCGGATATCGAAGCCCCCTCGGCCACCGAGCACAGAGAAGCCCAACAAACGCCGCCGCAAAGCCCTATCCTGCTACGACTGCCGCCGCCGAAAACTGCGCTGCGACCGCGGGCAGCCGGCATGCAGTCGGTGTCGGAAAGGCGGGATCGCAGAGACGTGTTCCTACGATGGTTATGAGGTGCTTCTTGGGGTGGGACTCGGCGAGCAGCAGCAGCAGCAGCACCAGCACCAGCTGCAACCGACCACGACCGCGTTGAATACTGCGTATACGCCGGCTGATTTGGTCGGGCGGGGGCCCGGGGCGGTGCAGGGTACGCCTGTCCGCCAGGCTGACGGGCCGGCTGTCGCGGAGAGCAGTGTGGTCTCGTTGGCGGCGTCGCAGAATGCGGGAAGTTGGCAGCTGCTTGGGCGGCTGTCGTCGGCGAAGGGGATTAATGAGGAGCGGCCGTCGATCCGGAGTAATGCAGAGGATATTGTGGGGGGTTTGGCGCCTCCTGGTGGTGCGGATGCGATGCTGCGGGCGGAGACGCCGATTCTGCGGGGCCAGAATTTCAAGACGCATTACTATGGGAGTACGAATCCGATTAGTTTGATCTCGCATGTAGGTATTCTGGGGTTTGCCGGGTCTTGGATTCGCTTGTTGGTGATAGGCTAATGGATGTGGGCAGTTCCCCGAGCTGAGATCGTTCATGAAGGAGACTATCATGCAGCCCACCGCGCTGCCAACTCTACAGCGGGAGCTGAAGACTCTGCAGGTGAAATGGAAGGCGATGCGAACGGACCTTTTGCCGCAGCATGACTGGGAGCTCGTCGGGCTTCTGCCGGATCAGGAGACCATGGATGCGCAGGTGTATCTCTACTTCGAGTCCTTCGAGAACATCTACCGCATCCTGCACTACCCCAGTTTCATGAAGGAGTATGACGCGTTCCGCCAGGATAGTCGGTCCGCGCGGCCCGCGTTCGTCGTCATCCTGATGCTTATCCTCGCCTGTGTGGGCTGCCTCGCGCAGCAAGGCCAGCCCAAGTATATCGGGGACAGTGCGATGGCGCGCGAGCGCGCGACGTTATGGGTCGAGGCGGCAGAGGCGTGGCTTCCGCGGCAGAGCCAGAAGCACATCTATCTGGCCATCTGGCAGATCCGCTGCCTGTTGCTTGTGGCGAAGATGGTGAATATCGTGAAGAAGAAACGCACCTGGACGGCGGCGGGGACCCTGGTGCGACAGGCCATGTCGGCGGGCTTTCACCGCGACCCGACCATCCTGGGCGACCGGGTATCTGTGTTCGACATGGAGATGAGACGCCGACTCTGGGCGACGATTCTGGAGCTAGAGCTGCAGGTCTCGACGGACAGGGGCATGCCATCTGCCTCGGCGGGGCTGACGTCGGACACTGCGCCGCCCGTGAACATTGAGGATGAAGCGCTGACGGTGGACGCCGAGGCGCTCCCCGCTTCCCAGCCATCGAGCGTCTACACATTGTGCTCATTTTTGCGGGTGTCGGCCTCCAATTTCGCGCTGCGGACGTCCTTGAACTCCCTTGTTAACGATATACACACACAATCGGTGTACGAGGACGTACTGAGCAGTGAGGAACAGATCATGAGCGAGCTGCACAAATTCCCTTCCTGGACCGACGCCACATACGGGCCAACCCGCGGGAATCCGACCCTGACCCGAGCACTGCTAGACATCCAGCTGCGACACTATCTGATCTTGCTGCATGCGCCCTTCGCACGACAGGCCGACACGAATCCGCGCTATTCGTTATCGCGGATGGTGTGCTTCAACGCGGCATTCCGCCTCATCGAGCAGCACCGACAGCTCACCGATACCGGGAACTATCTGCTCCTGCTCCTACGCCACGACTACTTCAAGAGTGCGCTGGTGATTTGCCACAACATGTACATTGCCGCCACCATCCAAGGTATGGCTCACCTGTCTCGGCTGATTGGAACACGGACTGACGGAGTAGACAACCTCCTTCTGCGATCCAACAGCACCACGTTCATCCAATACATCGAGGACGTGCTGCACCTGCTGGAGGAGAAGACCTCGCGTCTGGGCACGGGGTACACGCACTACTGGTACATCGCGGCGGCGTCGGCCTTCCTGCGGTCGCGCATCGACCCCGCGCACTCCCCGGTGCAGAAGGAGGAGGCCATCCACGAGGTGGTGCGCCAGTATCATCGGGTGCTGGCTCACCAAGGCGACCTACACAAAGCGAAAGAACTTCTCTTCCCCCTCCGTCTCGGCACGGTGAGTGCATCCGATCGATCCCGACTGCTCGAAAGACAAAAAATAGAGCGAGCAGGTGTGGCTAAACAGCACAGCAGATTAACGCGCCGGATCCCCAGTTTCACGTCTCCGAAGACTTAGCCACTACTTCTCTCCTCGATCCAGATCTATCCCAGGTAGGCTTTTTCCCAATCCCCATCAGTGAACGAGACCGGCCGACCGACTAACCCACGACATACAGCCACCGTTCGGACAAGAAGAAATCTCCCTCGAGGAATTTTTCTTCGGCAATCCCGCCGCATGGACATTCGACAACCTTTGGGCGATGGACTAACACTCACCCACGCAGTGTTATCGCCTGACACCTCGGCGCTCGCAGATCGGATGGCAAACATCGATCACAGTGCCCAGTGGCACTACAGTAGGTCTAGATACTGCAGTTGACTCTCCTACATAGATAAACCCCGAGCAACAGCCGGACGTCCCATGGGTCAGAGAGACGCCGGGATCTCCACTTGGGGTTTAGTGCTGTCATCGCGCCGCGGAAGATCCGGACTCGACATCGGCATTCCTTCCTCATTGGCGAGAGATTAGAATTTATTTTCTTGATATTTCCTTTTTCTTCAGTCGGATGGAGGGGAGGGGGGGGGGGGGAAGGAGAGTATATATGCATGCAGAATGGCAATCATTACCAAGACTCATGCGCGAAGAAACAGAGAGGGGTGGAGCATTCCCATTGCATAATGCCAATTCCTAGTCGCTGGATGAAACTGAATTTCAGGGTCCATGCGGCCGGCCATCTTTCTCTACCCGATGGCTTGACTCCACCCACAAAGCAAAACAAAAATAAGAAAAATAAAAACAAGGAATCGCGCGCATGCAGCGACTGCGAAAATGTGAAGGTTTATTCACAAAAGCCGATCGCTGACCGTTGACATATCGCAATTTAGGCCATCCGCGTGGGAGGCGCTGGGAATGGTGATTGGGCAGGAAAAATAGGGAGAAGAAGGATAAGGGGCAGGAAATGGTATTCATTCATTTGAGCTCAGACCTCATTTTGCGTATAGCAGTGGTCGCGCAGATGATTTATGACTAACTGTACATTCTGTACTACTGAAGGAATAGCACTCAAACTCGGGAAATGCCACTATCAGTTTGTATGGGAAGACTAGGCTCGTGTGAAAGCCTTCTAGATCCTGATCGACTCAACACGAGCGAGCTAATAGCGCGATAGAACAAGAAAAAGTCCGCAGGTGGCGTGTCCGACGGCGATAACCCTATACAGCTTGCTTTTCTCCTTTGATAGAGTTTTAGCAAAACAGAAAAAAAATCACTCACCCAAACAATAGCACCAGAGCACCGACCCTAATGGTAGGAGAGGGAGGGGCCATGGAGATTTTGACAAGCCACACTAGTCATGACTTGTTCCACCACCGCATCCTGTGCAATCTATTGGGGGCCTTTGGTCAAAACCAGGAGGTTCTCGCCCTGACTCGATGGCGCAACAAAGGAGAGAAACACAAAGAAGTAAACAGAGTCAACAGAGTTGTGCGCATGGATTACATAACCAGTGCCACGCCGACGATAAGCGGAGAGGATATTTTGACTTTGACTTTGGGGAGAAGATGCTGCAGTATGTAGGCAATAGATAGAGATACTAAGTAGATGGTATAGATCGCAAAGAGATAGGAGGGATTCACCGCGTTATAAACCACCAGCAGCAGAGCTGCAGTCTGCAGAAAACCGGTGACTCCAAGCAGGGTTGGACGAGTGTCGATCTGTTGATCGGAAAATCCTCTCTGCAGCTGCAAGAACGCGCTAGTGCTTATCGGGGCCGATTCCGTTGTCCGGTCCGAGGATTGACAGCCTCTGCTCTGCGCACACCTTCCCGAATTTTGATAATGTGCACACACTCTCTCTCTATTGACTATTGACTATTGATTCTGCCCCCCTCCCTCAATCCATAGAATTTTTTCCTTGGTTTTGGTGCTTGAGTGAATTGCATGATGAATCTGACGCCATCATTTAGCAGAGAAAAAAAAATAGTCCGGTCCAGACGCACTACGCAACTAGAGCCCTTACGCGCATAGGGTAGCGTCAATGGACCCCAGTCGGCGATGAGGGTGGTGACTCAGTGTCAGTCTGGCCGAGGGGATTGCCACGCTGATGACACCATCTATGGAGGGGGAGGGGGAAGGAGAAGGAGGAGGGGTGAACGTCAGCTCTACCCGGTGGAGTCGGTGAGTTACAACTTGCGAAGATAGTCGAGCTGTCGCGTCGATGCTCGAGACTTCCAGGTTTCAAAGCCACACCATCGACGGGCTCCACCGGCCCAAAAATAAATAAACAAAAAATGCATTATAAATTCGCCCATCAGGCCCACGTGCCTGTGCACGGACTTTCTTCCCTCTCAGGTGTAGGAAACCTTATTCGGTGGCTATTGGCGATTGTGCGGTTGGCTCTCAACCGGTGCCTGTGTGCCTGGATGGCATGGGAGTCGGAAATCACCCTCTGATTGGGGGTGCAATGGCCGTGCATCATCATTAACGTTTCTTGATCCAATGTCAGCGAGTGGTTCCTGAACAAAATGCTGCAGTTGGGCAGTGGCGGTCGAGAAGGTTGTCGGCCTGATGGCAGGGCTGGAACAGTCGGCAACTGTTGGCCGGATCCACCATTAATCCACTGTGATTGTTCTAGAGCCCTGATTCACACCTAGCAGACTTTTGCTCACCCCATGACCTACTTGCTTATCGCAAGCTGGCTTTCCCCCCCCCCTAAAACACTATATAGACCCTGACCGGACGGCCAGTATGGAAAGGAAATCCAAACAAGCAAGCAACTCTACATTTTCTACTCCCCAACCCAACTCGCCTTGACTCTCCCTCGCCCTTTGGGTGTCGGAGTAGTGCCTGTGTGCCTTTACTCCTTGGACTCACACAATCGAGTGCGCCATTTACAGCCAAACCCCACCTACAATGTCCTACGCCTCTTCTTTCCTCTTCACCAAACCGACCCCTCCGCTAGTGCGCCCCCAACGTCGCTCCCCCTTCGCGACCAAATCCTCGCTCCATCTCCACCTCTGCCTTGTGTCCGGCGAGAAATATGAACAGGAAAGCAGTGCCAAGCAGCCCGACCTTCGCCGGTGCATCGGCCACGCCCGCATCCATGACAAGTCTATGGAGCTCGTCAAGCGGGACATCCAGGTCCACATCCGCTCCATGGGCAGCGACAGCGACGATGACCTCGACAACGATCTGCCCGTGCCTCCCCGTCGTTCCCGCCGCGGTTCCAAGTCCTCCGCTGCTTCTGCCCCGCTGAAGTCGGCTGCAGTCAAGTCGACCGCCGTGAAGTCGCCCTCCGTGAAGACACCCTCTGTGAAGTCTGCCCCGGTCACTACCGAGAAGAAGAGCCTCCTCGACAAGGGCCGCCGCTGCATGGAGAAGATCTTCTCCCGCCGGAGTGGCAGTGCGCATTGGTCTCAATCCGGAGTCCCTGTCGTCGCCTGTTGAAATGGGTTACTATTCAGCCCAAACACTACTCTCCTCACTCGGTCTTGAACACGCCTCATCACTTTTGATCAACTCAAACTCCACCACCCATCACCGGTCTCACCAGACCCAGGGACTCACGCCGTGTCCGGTCTTTCTCCATCTCCGACCCTACCGGCAGTACTCTCATCCGACCAGACCGACCCCATCACAGGATCATCACCCCCTCAGGACAACAGCGACTGACGCTCTCAACCGATCGAGAGCTTCGATGATCCTCAAGTGTCTCGGAAGGACTATCACCACCACCACCACCACCTCATCCTCTCGTTCACCTCATCTTTCTCCACTACATCCTCCACCATGACGAAGCAGAGCTTCAATTTCACGGCCTATAATCTCTTTTCCTTTGTCTTATTACCTTTGGGGTTACCTGTCCTGTCTAGCGTTTATCCTGTTGTTAGAAGATACCACCTAGAGCGTCACGTCCTATAGACCTGTTTCTGCTGATAGACTTTACCTTGCCGCGCAAGGGAAGCACCAATAATGATGAATACACTTCAAACCTACCATACCTTTCCCATTACTCCCATCTAGTTTCACAATAGCACTCAAACCCCATCTATAAGCCCAGCCCCTCTCTCCGCGCGTTCCTCCACGAATCCTCAAGGGGGGGAGTCTAGAACTTCTAGAACAACGCCAATGAACGAGCTGACGCATCGTCCAAAAATAGCTCTCCGACCGGATCAAATAAGGTGATCAAACACATCAAACAATTCGGGCCGGAGTAAGCGAGATCTGTTCTTCCGGATGTTCCGGTGGGGCCACGGGGGAAGATCCCGCCGCCTCAGCTTTTCCGGACCCGCTTCCGGTTCCGGTCTTGATGCCAGGTGTGATTATGCTGGTTGTTGGGTATGGGTGCGGAGGAGTTTTATTTGTTCTCTTCTCTTATTGAAGTAGTGTGATACTGTATCAATTTCTTTTGCTGCTTATTGGATTATGTTTATGAAATAAGCTGATGGGTTGCTGAATGGAAAGCCGCTACGCAGCAAGGTACGATTGGCTCACTAGTTCCGCGAAGTAGTGCTATAGAAGATAGCACTAAGAGTTCAATCAACTACCCCTGCTCTGACCCGTGATCACACCGGAATTAGATTGGGGCTGTGTTTGCCGGGGGGGGGGGAGGTTGATCGGACGGCGTCATAGTCCTCCAGCTGAAACAGATTTGCCGGATCTGCAGGGTCAGATCCTCGAAGATCCGGCGGGGTGAGTTCGTGGTGGCAGTGATGTGATTTTTTTCTATAGTGCGCGGCAGAGGATGTTTGACGTGCTGGGGGTCGCCACTGTGGTGGAACTGGAAGCGTCATGCGATGACTATCATGGGGAGATCTGATGATCTGGTACCATGTGATCTGTGAGTTATATATAGTAAGCGAGGAAGAGCGATGTGGATGACTAAGACGTTTTGATCGACAGCGTAACTAATGTTACTTTGGACATAGAGCTCGAAGAGACAGTAACAGGTACTTGTAACTCTCATCTTCGATCTGTGGATGTATTAAGTCAGAAGCAACTCAATGTTACTTCGATTGTGTTTTGATATGAGTGCCTGAGGCATGATGCTGCCCTCTCAGTGTGTCGGCCTGAGGCATATCAAATTGCATGCCTGATTAAATTTGCCCGTTAACGCCTCTTCTATTCACTTGTAAGCCTGCACCTTTCCGCATCTATAATTCTGTCTTACTTTACTATGTAGTACATATCCCGGGATTGGTATGATGTCTTACACAGCGAAGAGTCTGATATTCTACTTGGGTCAATACCGTTTGCCATATCTCGATCAATAGCGAAGCGGCTTGTCTCTGTCACTCAGCATCCGTATAATACTCCAAAGTCCAGCATTGTAATTCTTTACACTTGCCCCGATTAGCACAGATATCACCCAAACATCCACTACCCAGTCAATGCAACGCTTCTCGGAGAATTTCCCACTACGCAGCCATTCACAGGCTGCAAGCAAGGGATCGGCACTCCTGATCGGAATGTTCCATACCTCAACTTCCCTGATTTGCCAATAGAATCGGACGGGAAGATGCTTCCGCGGCTTTATTCTGCTGTACCTGTAACTAGCCTGAGCACTGTTAACAATCCCTTTCTCTGGGTCTGTGTCGCACAAGTATGTAGACAAATTGTGATTTGCATACTTCGACCTCCAGTGGGAAAAACACACACAAACCTCGGAATCTGACCCAAAACAACAACAACAACAACAACAAGAGCAGTTGAGGATAAAAGCCAGGTTCAACTCCATGAAATGAACTGAAAATCATCAATCTCATCAACGACTTCGACGACTAACATATCCCAACAGCACCAAGCACAACCAAAGATCAAAATGAAGTTCACTCTCTTCCTTTCCAGCGCCCTGGTGGCGATTGTCCCGGCTGTTGCCTTTTCATCTACTCAGGTCAGTAGACTGCTTACAAGCTGCGTTGTTTTCAAAGAAAACAAAGCCTAACACCCACACAGGCCGGACTCTTTGCGCAAGACCACTTCCTCGGGCCATATGTCCACAGCAATGGCGACGGATCTTGCATTACGACGTAAGTTGAACCCTCTCAGCCTAAGTAAACTCATACTAACTTAAGATAAATGCAGACCCGCTGGTGTCATTAACTCTGTTGAGCTGATTCCCGGCATGACATGCCAATTGTACCGGTAAGACTCAGCCTCCTGGCGGTGGTTCTTGCAGATTCGCGCTGTATTCCTTGTCTGCATTTGCTAACCACATCTCTACAGCGAGCCGAGCTGTGGCCAGGAGCCCATCTTCCTCAGGCGCGACAGTCCTTCGCTGAGATATGACATCGGGGCTCCCGCTCGGAGTGCCCGGTGCTTGAAATAGACACCGGTCTTGGATCTGTCCTCTTGAGACATCGTTCTTGTCTCGAGGAGATGAAAAAGCTTTTTTTGTGATTCATAGTTTATCTTCTCTTCTTTGAATATGATTAATCCACTTGTTTTTACTTCTCGTCGTGATAAATAGGGAGGTTTGGGCTTCACTGGCAGTACTGCCCAGATCTGTCGCATCGTTGCCTTGTTGCAGGGAACTCGAAGTCAAGCTCTGTTTCAGCTGAACTTATAGCCTTTGAGTCTTCTACACCTTTGAGTTCCTTACTTATACCAAGGCGAGAATGGTGTCATTGAACTTTGCGTCCCTGCAATATCGAAACGGATGAGATAACCGATAAATTTAGCGATCTGGTGAAGTACCAGTGCAAGGACAGAGCCTCCAGCACTATCCCCCTAATGTAATCAGACAAAGTGGGTGAAGCCTTTCCCATATATTTGTGCACAATGCGGTCGCAAAAATGGACTGTATCACTCTTCAGAAAGTTCTTTCATAGTCGGTCAAGGATGACTTGTGCACTGTATCTTTTCTTTCGCAGACATCGATAAGATATTGCGGTTCATCCAATAGCTAAGCGTGTTATACCATCCGGGTTACGAAATAGCCTAAAACTTATTCATCGTATGACTCATTCGTTCCTTGGCATCAGCAATCTCTCAACGTGAAATTGTTTACGCATTGGCAGAGTAAAATGAAGACATGTATAGTCCGGATCTCGAACCATGGATGCACCCTCAGACAATATAACAGCGACCCGGCGCGCCCTTTCCCTACCGGAGATAGTATCGGAGATCATCGCCTGGATCCACGCGGACACGGACAACGACTGGCCAGCTTCAGCACCTCCACAACCAAATCTACAAGACTTTAAGAATCCGAGTGACAGCGACCATGACAACCTCTACGCAAGCGACTCCGAATCCTCCGAATCTCACACATACTACTACAGCAGAACGGGCGTCCTATTCCGCTGCGCCCTCGTCAACCGACTCTGGTTCCACGCAACGATTCCAGCTCTATGGGAAGAGGATCTCGATTGGTCGTTCCGCAGCCAGATACCGGACCACCTCACCCAAGTAGAAGATCCCTCGCGCCGACAGATGTACGCCAACTATATCAAGCGCGCCAATCTTACCACCGTCCCCGAGGCCTGCTCCCTCAAGTATGCCGCCGCCCTCGGGGGTCTCCAATTTCCTCGACTCGAATACGTGAAGTTGATCTGTCCCGGCGCCGACTGGCAGGAATCTTCCAACGTGCCTCCGCTGCTGAGCTCTCGGGTCAAGGTGCTGGACATAGACCCCAGGTTCGAATGGAATCCGATCACGTACTGCGTCAAGCATGCGGAATGGGATGAATTGTTCGAACAGATACCGGTGGGTTTTCTGGTTTTCATTGAAAGCTTTGTAAGTCTTGTGGTTGGTTAACTGACGATGTGGTTGGAATACTAAGAAGGTGTTTCCGAATCTTGAGACCGTGACCTTTATGGACTGTGCTCGGGTATTCCCCGGAGCATTGGAGCGGTTCGCGAAAGGGCTTCCTCGCCTGAAGTCTTTTGATCACCATTGTGTCGTTGAGAATAATGATATTTACAGCCTTGGTTAGGTTTGATGCCGGCAGCATTCAGTCTATAAGGTCTGGGTCAAGCAAGTAAGGAGAGTGTTGGCCGTTCAGTCACAAGGGGCGGAATGTGCTGCATGCATGCATTTGAGTGCGGTAATCTGGAAATAAATCACTTACCGGATAAAATGGGTTGGAGAGTGTGAATATCATGAAGTGTTTGTCTCTAGGTAAATCTGTCTCGATCTAGGGAGAAAAGGGAACGGATTATTCGAACTACGCGAAAACAGCAGGGTGGCATAGAACTACAGCCAAAGCAAACGAACACATACACAAGCATCTAACACAAAGGTTTCACATAGTAATCAGTTCTATGGTAAGAACCGAACAAGGGAGGCTTCGGCCGATCAAACAAAGCCTACTAAGCCTTCCTCCCAGTCTCGACCTTATGTTCCTGCTTTCTCGCAATCAGGATCCCCTTGATCCACGGTGCATCGGCCTTCTCAGGGCCTTCCGGCCGGTACCAATTCTCATGGGCCTCCTTGATCCGATCCCGCGTCTCTTTCGCGGCGAACCACCTCCAGAATCCGATGGGGAAGGGCTCGAACTGCCGCAGCAGGCGCGGCAGTAGCGCGACATCGCCCGCGCAGTAGAGCAGGGTGTCCTGCACCAGGGGCCGGACCCTGAAAAGCTCGCTGTTAGCGAGCAACAGCTGCCTATCCTTCTCCTTGGTCTCCTGCCACCGCGCCTTCTCATCTGCGTAAATGCGGTCGCAACGCGAGATACATTTGGACAGTCCCAGGAGGTAACGGTCCTTGAACCCGCGGCGGGAGGCCAGCTCCAGGAGCTGGATATCGACCACGCTCTGTAATGCCACATTTTACAGGTGGAACAGCGCGTCGGCGTCGTTCCGTACGTCGAAGAATACCTTTACCCGGTGGACAGACTCGGGGACGGACCTGAGCGTCGTGTACCCATCGGCTGTTGCGGTGGTGGAGAAGGCGCAGTCCCCCAGAGTATGCACGTCTACCAGCCAGGTCTGGTAGGCGGCCTCCACGTGGATAGAAATGAGGTCCAGCGTGCCTCGGCATGACAGTTGCTCGCCCTCCAGGTCAATATACAAGCGCTCGCCCGGGTGGGCGAGGATAATGTCGAGCATCCCAGTTACCTGGGCTGGTGTATCGACGATCACTGGGTAGACGGATGCCATGATGTCTTATCAGATCCAGCTCAGCAAAAATGCTACCCTTGAGACGGAAAATGATCTTGTCTGAGCATACGAACCTAGATCTGGTGATGGATAGAAACACCACGATGACTCTGGCCTGAGCTCCTTTTATCATTTTTCAAAAGTATCTATGTCTGGAGAAGAGGCGGTGGGTTCCAATAGTCTAAATGGTGCACGGCGGGGGAATTTACTCCAGACCCCACGAGACTTCTTTACCAATATAATAACGAATAATCGGTTGTTATCCCTGATCAGATCGAGGTAAAGACGCGACAGGAATACTGTCTTTCAGTAACAAAGAGAGCTTGACCAAGCATGTCTATGCCTGGGGGTACAACCCGCGGCTGGAGGGTAAGCTTTGTCTATTGGACATTGTTAACCAAAGACGTCACCTCATAGAAAAGTTCAGCCCTGTCGTTATTATGGCTTTTCAAGAATGGTTTTTGTCGGCTTTTGAGACCGGTTCGATGATCTTTGTCCAGGAAGTGGAGGCTACCGATGAGACCGGGCCACGGAAAGCATCTCGGCCAAGAGCCGGAGCGTCCCGCTTCTGCAAGAAAACAGAATACAAGTACAAACAGCATATCCAGAACAGTTACTGAAACTAATGGCACATTTTTGTACCGTCCATACTTGACCAAGAACTGCCGACTAGAAGCCCAAACGCCCCTGACCCCCTTCGCGATCTCAAACCGCCCATCGTACAGCGGGTACACTACAACCGCGGAGAACGTGCAGAACTGCCAAATGATTGCCACCGTGGGCCACCCGGCAAAGAATGACTTGATGAAGATGTAGTCCCGATACAGCGGTATCGGCCAGAGAACAAAGGTGATCAGGACGAGTGCCACGAAGGTGGCCCACGTGATATGCGACCAGCGGTAGAGCTCCTTCAACGTCTCCTCAGGGAAAGGGTGGATGAAGTTGTCGAGACCGACACAAGACTGCGAAGGGGGGGAGAGGGGGTCTTGATTCGGTGGAGATGAAGATATCCTTCGTTTGAGGCTCCTTGGACCTCTCTTCGGAGGTCGGATGCTGGGGGGTTGGAACCTCGGATTCGGACGGGGCCTGATCGCCGACGAGCTCGATACGGAGGAATTCACGCCAGTCGAAACTGTAGGGGTTGTAGAGGGAGATCAGGACGGAATAGAGGGCTGGGGAGAATCATCATTCCAACTCAGCTGCATCTCTTGTCCTTTTGCAACTCTATTTCTCTATCTCAGCCACCACAATCAAACCTCACATCCCAATCGGCTCCCCCACAATCTCCGCCTCCTCCACCCTGCGCCCAAACTTGATATAACCCAATTGAACCTCCAACGCCGCCCGCCTGCCAACCTCCCACACAAACTCACCCCAGGACACGCTTTCCAACTCCTTATTAATCTCCTCGATCAAACCCACCAACCGCTCCATAACCTCCTTCTCCACATCTTCCCTTCTCCCCTCATCCCCAGAACGACCCCAACCTCCGTTCAAGAACCCCGTCCCCACAAACCGACCCAGAGTGACATGCGCGATCGGAGCCGTATAGCACGTATCGATACTCACACCGGTGCTCAGCGCCATGGTATGTAGCTGATTCCGGAGGTGGTGATAGGTATACGCATCGTCAGCCGCTGGGACAAAACTGATCGCCACGCCTAGTTTGTCGAAGAGGAGCTTCGGATTGACGAGGCGGGCGATGTGTTGATGTTGATTGTATTCGTTCCTAGGAATGTCGAGGAGCTGGGAGAGCCGGGAGTCACCCATGTAGGTATAAACCGAGCGGAGATGGGAGACTGGATGGCGGTGGGAGAGTTCGATGATGGATAGGTGGAGGGAGGACTTCGGGGTGAGGTGGAGGTCTGTGATTCTGTTAGTATCATGTACAAGTATTGCTTACATCAATAAAGTATAGAGAAATCGCGTTGAAGCTTTAGTTCGAGTAGTAGCTGCTGTGCAGGTTGCAGGGATGAATACTCACCCAGCCCTACGAAATCCGAAAGACGGCGCTGGATGTCCACAAGCAGGTCCATAGTCGGAGGATCAGGGCGCGTCCAGATGACCAAGCAATTCACATCCTCCTTGCTGAGCTCTTCGATCTCGTGCGCTCCTTCTGCGCCGCCATGCTGCAGCTCGAGGTAGCGGACGAGCGCCTCATCCGGGGTGATGCGCTGGGGCGCTGGTAGCTCACGACTAATGTCGCCTTCGGCGTCAGTTTGCCTGGTCGGAAGAAACAAACCAATCGATCGCTCCAGGCTTGCTGTCCGGAAGTATTCGTAGGCTTCTTGTATCTTGGCCTGTGCGGTGGAAAGCGTTAGTTGGCCCCGTGATGCGGGGGTTGGAGGGCTATAATATGAGGTATTATAGGCCACGTACGGGATCGTTGGCGCATTCGGGCTGGTCAAGGAGTTCCTGGTACCAATTGCGAGTTGAAGGCGGCCCTGGTTGTTGGGGAGGATAGGCGAATGGCACCTGCAGGTTGGCAGCGTCTCCCATTATTCTTAGGTGGTAATTCTGGGCGTCAAATGCAGGGGAGGGATGCGGGGAGGAAGAATCGGGAGGATCTGCGGTGATGATAAGGCTCGAGACGGCCATGCGAGCTCGTATTCACGAGGCGGTGCGCACTTGGCGACATACCAGCCTCTCCTGCAGGTCTGCAGGGCTGTGTCAAGCGCTGTCTCACAGCCTTACCTAGATAGTACTAATTCATAAGGGCTCGCTGCCCCTCGTCTGCCGTCTGACTGTTCGCGTGCGTTCCGTCGCAAAGGATCCCGAAGTTAGAGACTATGGGATGTCGACACACTCACAGTACCCTTTCTCGCTGCCATCCTATTGTTCTGGCCTCGACGATGGAAGCTTCTGCCAGCGAGAGCTGAAGGAGGAGTCCCGATCGTGGCGATCTGAGAAATATGCGCCCGTGTCGAATGTTATGGTCCTGGAACATGATCATGGCGTGGGGACAGCCAGTAACTGTGACGATGCTGAGATAGACCGACTGTTAGCTGTATTCCTCCTCTTTGAAACGGTTCCCCCGGTCGCAGAAGCGATGCTAACCCTAATGACAGGCAGAGCACCATCCCCAGCTCCGGATTATCCTACTGCAGCCGACCCCACAGGAGCGACTACTCCAAACCATAGATGATCCTGCGGTTTTGAAGGCACTGCTCACCAACGAACTCATCAGCGATAGAGTCAACGAGCCAGCGGAAGAGAAGTCGCTCAAACAGGGCGAAGAAGACGTCCCATCGCAGCTCAACATCACGCGAAACTGTCTTCTGAAGATCCTCACACGGTATGACATTGCGCCCGCAGCAGCGTCTCATATCCGTGGCCAGGAACAGATCTTTGGTTCTCGACAGCTGCGCGATGAGAACGGTGCGATGCGCTCTTTCGGTGAGTTAGCTGACTAGCTACACCATCGAGAGACTTCTCACAAACTTCAATCCCCTAGAATTCTGGTACGCGATCCGAGCCAGAGCCTACGTCCGAAGACTGGGCAAGGAAGCGGATCTCAAAATGACGATCGTCACGCGATATGACGCGCAATCGCAATCGACGCTCGTGCTGCTCAAGTACCGATCGTTCAACGACCTCCCCCAGCGCCTCCACGAGGAGCTGGTCGAGAACCTGAAAGCGTTCGTCCAGGAGCCCAACACGGCCACCCTCGTGAAGAATCCCTTCATCACCTCCGTCATGCATTTCAATCCGACCATCCAATACTTCCGGCGGGCGGCACGCGAGCCGCGCGACACGATTCGCGACGAGGAAGCCCGAGTGCACGGGGGCATGGACGAATTTGCTCGGATCGACCTGCACAAGCTCCATCTGACCCTAACAAGTCTCGACCAGGACAAGATCCAGATGAGTTTCATTCTCGGGGTGATCGCGCGGCTGCGCATCCAGCACGAGACGTTCCAGACCCTGGTGGAGGGCAAAGGGAGCCTCCAAGAGCGCGACTGGCTTTATTTCCGGATGGAAGAAGAGTTCGATCGCTTTGAAAATCAGATCGCCTACTTCAAGTCGTCGGTGGAGGATGTCGCGCGGCGCGTGGAACGCTTGCTCGAGCTGGTGAGTCCTTCATGCTTTGATGACTTGCAGCGGAGCACTTACGACGCTTAGCTGTTCAACATGAGCTCGCGGATCAACACGCAGTCCAGCACCAAGATGACTAAGTATGCGATGCACGAAAGTGCGTCCATGAGTACTATCTCCGTGGTGACCATGCTGTTTCTACCTGGAACGTTCATTGCAGTAAGTATCTCCAACAGTCTCGGTAGAACGCCCAGAGCTGATGAAATCCCAGACCATACTAGGTACCAACATCATCGCCGGACCATCTCGCTCGGAAGGAGACTCCCCCGCGCATCCCGAATTGTACATCTCCTCGCAGTGGTGGATCCTCCTAGTCCTGACGGTCTCATTGACTATCATAACAATGGGCGGCTGGTATATGCTGCGCAGAAAAACAGCCCGGTCGATCGAACACATGATCTCTGCTCAAAATGCAGTTTAATGTCTGATGATAATGAGTGATGTTCTTCTCTGTGTAATGATCTGGTTGCATGTGGCGGGCGTTTTAACATTACCCAATGGGGCGTTTCTAGTAGCGCGTACTGCATTGAATCAAGCTTCTATCTTGAGATGTATGTACAATCATTGTCGAATATAGCCGTAACCTATTGCATGTCACGTACCAGCACTCCACGATATCTCATTTTTCCGTCCCTCAGAGTCTGCATAGCGTCTTCGATACCCTCTACCGTCATGGGAAACGTCATTGTCGTGGGAGTGATGTTCTTCCTCGCTGCGAACTGCAGAACAGACCGGATATTCTGGCGAGACGCTAGCAAGGATCCTTGAACTCGGATTCCGCGAAGGAACAAGGGAACTAGGGGAAGCGTTGCAGGCTTGATTGTGACTGTAAGGGGGTAGATGCTGCCACGAGGGGTCATTAAGGGCATCAAGCTAGGATCGAAATCAGTACAGTAGCTTAGAGGGCCAACGAACGCTAGTAAAGAAGAAGGGGGAAGAAAGAGCCAAACGGAAAATCTCTGATGATAACTCACGCAGCAAATTCGACATCACCACTACCACAGAGCAACAGATGCTTCACCTGTTTAAAACCCTCCGGCGGAGGACCTCCCGATCTGTACACATGAAACTCCGACGCTCCATAGTCCATAGCTTCCTGCCGTTTGTCCTCGGAGCTGGACAGCACCACGACACTGCAGCCCATCGCAGCGGCAAGCTTGATGGCAATATGGCCGAGGCCACCAATCCCCATAATCCCCACTCGATCTGTCGGCCGCACGCCGTACTGCATGAAGATCTCCCAGACACTGGCACCCGCACACATCAGCGGAGCTGCATGGACGGAGTCGATTCCGTCAGGGATGAGGAACACGCAATTCACATCCCACACCGCGCCATAACTGAAAGAGCCGTTGTCGCGGTCGTGGAAGCCGTACATCTTCTGATTCGCGCAATACTGCTCGTAGCCTGGTCCACGGTGCTCAGTACTGTACCTCAACCGTCATACTCCATGAATCAATGACGCAGCTTACCGGTCGTGCATTCCTCGCAGGTCGTGCAGATACTGTGCGTGTAGCCGAACCCCACGCGATCTCCGACCTTGACCGACTTGACCCCTGGTCCCAGGGCTTTAATGATGCCAATGCCTTCGTGCCCCAATACGTTGCCCGCCTTGAAGTAGTGCTCGTCTGAGCCGCAGATCCCGGAATGGGTGGTCTCGATGAAGACCTCGTGGTCCTCAAGGGTACGCGTCGTCTTGTCCGCTACGATGCGACCCTCGGGCGACCCGCGGAAGACGTCGTATGTGATACTCATTGTTCCAGGGTGTGACTAGCAACAGGTGGGTGGTTTGAAACTTTTGGATTGCCCAAGAGGTGGGGGATGCTGCGGGATATACTCGCACCCCCTTTTATATTCCCCATCATTCTTTTTGCGCTAATTTCTTTTTACGCTGGTGCTGCCACGCAAGCATGATGGCAAAGGGCCGAACCCCTAGGCTTTAGTAAATCGACCGGAAAGGGCTGAGATGCATTGGATTCCAAGGTGTGGATACACTTCAACGCTTGAGTAGATAATCCACATGGCGCAGGCTCGTTGATTGGTCAATTCGTCCGGAATCACCAGTCAGCTCCACCAGATGAAGCTCTTGCCGAGGATGAAAGGGCCGTAATAGATGGCTTTGTCTTTCTCAGGGGTGGTAGGGAGAAGCGGGGACCCAACATTTCCATCATAGCCGAGCCTTGATCTGATCGCAGCCCATCGACTTGTCTCCGTCGAGCACTTGTTAAAATTGTACACATGTTGTGACTCGTGAGACGGAAAGGAACGGGCAGCGGCTGGCCATCGACCTGCGTCAGACCCACGAGACTACTGTACTCTCGCAAGTGACCACAAACACGACCCCTCAATTGTCGTGCTCATTTTTTTGCCATTCGCCTTGACAGGGGCACCATTCCCAGATTCGTCTGATTACATGTTTGGTTTCACATACTTTATGAGCGCCGTGCGTGGTGGGACAAGGCCGGGAATTTTTTTTAGTGCTTACTTGCTTATTGATCCACCTCCGAGATGACAGGTCGGAGTGTGCCGGGTTCCAGTTGGGCTTATGCCTCGTTCTTCTGTTTGGGGCTTGAATCTATCCTTTAGATCGGTTTCATGGGGGGTTTCAGCTTGATTCCGGGGTACATCAAGTTCACTACCGCGGAAGGGGTTCGTTGTTGGCAATATGCGCGCATGAGGACTTGATCGGTCTAGTGTAAGTACCTGGCCGGAGTATATATTTCCGTAGATACCAGGCATCGCCAAGTTCAATAGAAATTGGTTCACAACAATCTTTGTCCATGAAAGATTTAGACAAAAGATACAGATCGACAAGTGGTGGAATGATGTGATGGTACAAAAACAGGACTTCCTGATTGACAAAGGCTCTAAGAAAAATGAATAACATGCATTGTCCATTAATAGGCATAATCAAAAGATGCGATACTTATACCTAACTACTACTTCAGAATAACAACAAGGGCTTGTGGTTTAGGGGTATAACGCTCCATTCGCATTGGAGAGGTCCCGGGTTCGATTCCCGGCGAGTCCATCTTTTTGCGTTCTTTCATTTGTCCTGGCCTATGTCATCTCGCGGCTGATAAGTCTTAGAAAGACAAAACTGCCATCTGTTCCTCGATGGTCTAACGGTCATGATTTCCGCTTGTCAATCCTGAATAGGAACAAGCGCGGGAGACCTGGGTTCGACTCCCAGTCGGGGAGATTCTTTTTGCTTCACCCGTGTCTTGTCCTTCTAAATACAATGTTGACTCATGAATGACTCCAATCCGTGTGGCAGCAGTCCGAGCCACTTCCACTTCCCATTCTAGACTTCCCCTGCCTCACAATCCAACTCCTTCCTCGACATACTATCCGCGCACCGCTCTGATGATCAGCCCGCGAAGTGTGACTGTCATACTCAGGGTATGCCTCCGGCCGACGGTCGCATAAATGCCCAACTGCCAGCACGCTCGTAACAGATTGGTTCTAGAAGTTCAATCAGCCATCATACAGTGAAGAGGTTCGACCGCGACTCCACACTCCTCCGAGCTCGTCCCACCACACCACCGAGCTTTTACCCACTGCCGTTGATTGTGAATGACTGAGCGACTTGATTCTGCCCAATCCCTGGCCTGTATCGAGTCATCGACTTTAGCACCACGAATACAGTAGCCCACCGTCGGTAGCAATGTACAGTACAATCAATTAACGATCGAGACTCAGTCGATGGTTATCGAGGGTTATTGATACGATCGGTATCGGACCAAGTCAGGGACCCCGGGACCCCCATCGATACTCAAAGCGAGGCCATATCCCAGTGCTACTCGCAACATCTCGGTCTCCGAAACCCAGTCTGTTGCTCCGAAGTCCGGCGGAGGTGCGGTCGGACTTTCTTAGCAGGTCGATATCAGTTGAACCCGGTGGTCCGAACCCATTTCCACCGGGGTTTTTGCATGTACCGCATAGCGACTCCGCCGAGGCGGCTGTAACGGATTGGGTTCAACTCCATTCGGGGATTCGGGGGATTTTGCAAACCCGGGGCGAAGGAACATGGTATTGTCATTATTCAGTGATTTGATGCGATCTCGTTCGGCGGCTAGCATAGATCTTAAGGTAGCGATCCCAGCATTCCGTGGTTGGCAGCCGGAATAGACCGTCCAGGGCTCAGAAGTTTAACCCTGGTTGAGAGGAGCTCAGTGGAAGTAGGGTGAGGGTTTGCATTGCATCCGACCGCAGAACAAAGCCATTGGTATCGGACAAGTTGCTACAGACCCATGAGTCGTTTTAAAGAATGCTCATTCGTAGGAGGTCGAAGGCCAAAAATCAACAAAAATGGAGCTGCGGGGAATCGAACCCCGGACCTCTCCCATGCTAAGGGAATATTATACCACTAAACCACAGCCCCAATTGTTGAAGGAGGACTCAGATAATGACAATATACAGCTAGTGCATAGCTCAACTGGGACAGAATCGAGACGTTTGACAAGTTGAGATGTCGAACTTACGATGCACATACAAGATATTGTTCCAGATATTCAGAATGTACAGAACCTCCGAGCTCATCGGCTCTCTTGATGAAGCCTGCCTCGAATTAAAGCAATGGTCATTGTGCCCACGTTGGATCGAGTTCAGAGGTGATAAGGCCACGCATGGAGGGACGGAGTGGTCTGGCCAGCGAAATGGCGAATCTTGCTCTCAATGCCCAGCGAGCAGGGCACGAAGATATGCTAGCATTTGGGGCGCGCTCGCTATAGAGTGGAACTCAGCTAATTATCTCCTTGTTTAGATTCAAATTTGTCTATCAGCTCGCCTGAAGCCTGACTTGGAGGACTAACGAATGCCGGTCGTTGCGTACGCAGATGCCATCTTGGAACAGAAGCGCAGGGCAATCATTTACTAGATAATCCAAATAACATGGCATGAACACGGGAACTGCTTCAACCGGTCTTGCTTTTCATCCCCGGATCTTCTTTGCGTACCTTACAGCATTTCAATCAAACCCAAACCCGCCTGTCTCCCCCGTCCTGCTACAAGCGACCAACTCACACTAGTTTTTCGGCTCAACGTCCACGACCTTCAACATCCTCTCCGACTTCGGTGCGCGGCTATGCGCCTCCGCCCATCCGAGCTCCGTTCCCGGGAAAGAGTAGAAGGCGCGGGCGCTCTCCTCATCGGAGGTCTGCAGACGCGGGGGGAACTCGTACGCCATAACAGACATCGGATTGCGCGGGCCGAGCTGCACGGTGTAATCGTCCTTGTTATCCTCTCGCTCGGGGGCAAACTCGTGGCGGAAGCCGAGGACATGGCCGAGCTCGTGCAGGAAGATATTCTTCAGATACTGCACGGTGCCCGGGGCGAAGGCGCTCTGGTAGACGTTGAGCACGTTGAGGTCGATGTCGTTAGGAAAGAAGGCCTCGGCCAGCACGCCGCCCTGGTTGCCCGCGTAGGAGAGCACGAAGGCGGCGTCCTCGAGCTTGGCCACCCACTGCAGCGTCACCCCGAGGCCGACCTTGTTCCAGTCGTCGGCGGCGGCCTTGAGGGCCGTGGCCGCCAGCAGCGCCCACTCGGGCTTCGGGTAGCCGTTCTGGAAGGCAGCGAAGTTGATTCTCTTGTTGGGCCCTGTCTTCCAGCGTGGGATCGCCTTGCCGAAGCCCACTTGGAGGGCGGCGACGTTGGCCGGCGCGCCGTCGATGAAGGTCACGGGCGCCGGCTTCTGCGTCGAGCAGGTGTATTTCTCGGGGCAGGCGATCGTGGAGAGCTCGGCGGGCTGATCGCTCGGGTCCAGGGCTTGGGGTTCGAGAGTCTTAAGCGCTTTTTCGCCGACGGCTCCCTTCAGGTCGTCGAAGAAGTTGTTGCTGGCCGAGGGGTTGAGGGTTGCTTGTTGATCTGTCATCTTGAAGGGCTTGGGTGGATGTCGGATGGAGGTTCCACACCACTCTTTTGCGATGGGGTCCAGTTTGATCTGATGAGTTCAGTGTTGTGAGGATGGAGGTTATCGTGCATTCCAAGAGAGAAAATAACGATCGCCTGGGGAGACAGGCTTGATTTATGCCTTCAGGGTGCACCTGCTTACAGAGAAAGGTCGAGGATCAACCCGCAAACGCCTTTCTCGTATCAACCTGTGCAGCCATTGAAAAGCAGTTTAAGGACTCGAGTTGCTAACGGGCGCTCACACAATGTTTGTCAAATGACTAGTTACAGTCGCTCTTGACCGTGGAGCTGAGAGGAAGACAAAGAAATCGTGTGGTGCAGGTTTGAGGGCAAGTTCGTGTTGTAAACCACAACTGTCAGTCGCGGGATGTTTACAGGGGACGCCCCATGCTTTGAACACGAACAATCCACCCACCAACGTTAACAGCAGAGCTCCCCGCCCTAAGTCCTTGCATTTGGGCTCTTCATTGCAAGAGAAACCTTTGCGCGCATTCGCACTAACTGTAGGCTAGTGGGACCCGAGTATTGGTCCATGTCCATGAAGCTATCACACTTGGGACCCAGAGAAACCTGTAATCCAGATTCAGATAATAGGTGAGTTGCAGCAACGAGCAATCCCTCCAGCACATATTGCCTGAAACGGTTGCGAAGTTACAGGAAACTTTCCGCGGGGAATACGAGGAAGAGACTCGGCCAACTCGATCAGTGTACGAGTGTAGAGGGGGTCCTAATCAACTGCATAGATGAGATTTTTGAGGCAGACATATAAAGATCAGACAATTTCTACCAAGCCACCATAACCTCAAACTCACATAAAGGGATAGCTTGTTGGTTTGTTTGAGGAGTTTATGCAGCATTCAAGCTCTACAAGGCCAATGCAGCCTTGCGTGGAAGACCGGTTCGTATTGGGCTCCCAACCCGAACCTTAATCATGCTGTCAAATGCCCCATCGCAACCTTATGCATAGCTGTGGAAGAAACCTCATTTATGAAGATGGTTCTCGGAATGGGCTATTTTACACTGGAGCAGGTTAGGGAAGTAACACGAAATTGCAATGATTTATCGCTTTGTGTCTACACGTACCACGACAGACAACTAGCAGAGCCTGCCTAAAAGGCGTGGCATCTGAGTTAGAGATGATGCCCACTGAGGCCTAGAGAAAGCAGTAAGTAGTCTTCGAGGCTTCGATGGGAAATTGCAGTCACGTCTCCGCCCAGCTCCAGTGGAATGGTCTCAGCATTTCTGTCTTCATTGACCATTAAGCTGTCCTAGAAGAGATATCTGTACTTGTGGCTAAAACAGCTTTCGCATCTCTCTCGCGCATCTATCTCTTTATTGGTTAGGTCAAGGATTATCCATGGGTCTCATCCGTGTCCTCCACTTCCTTCAGTCATGCAATCATAATATACTTGTGAACCTTCGTCGCGACCGATGGTACACGCCGCAAACTCATCGAGCTGCACGGCTACAGTTCTCGGACCCCATGTGGAATTCGCTACATATGGGTCAACTCGATCATTCTTGACGAAACGAATGGCAGGCAGGGGATGAATTCACCTGTTATCTACCCATTCGTCTTCTTCACTCTCAGATCAAGGATCGATAGGTTAATAACACTCCGAGACGGCTATGTCAGCCGTACTTGCCTCAGGCATCAATGTAAGTATAACCCTAGATAGTAATCCAGGAAGCAAGGCTAAACAGAGTGAATAGGAAAGATGGCACCCCGAATTCTTAACCAAGACATGGACGGATGGGCGCTGACCCCAGATAGTAACTTCCTGGCAAGGCTGCAACAGTCCACTCCTTTCCCGACTCTTGTTTCTTCAAGCTCCATCAACAACGATCAATGTGACAAGCTATCACATCCAAGCCGATTCCATTTACTCTTCTAAGATAACAATCCTCTCTGTCTCCACAAGCAAAGCTCTATATCCTAAACTTAATTTTATCTCGTGCAATCCGCTTCTATACGCTGTCCGTCCGTGTTGCGAAGCAAAGGGTACTCCAGTGCCCACATCTACCACCGGAACTTTGGTGGTCTCAACTGAGAACGCTTTCAAGTGGTAGACATTAGCAGGGATCTGCGGAGGTGCGGCCGGCCTCCTTTTTTTCTGTTTGGCGCTATGCGCCTAGGAACGGAAGTAAGCTAGTATTCCTATCCCTTCAGGTGCTGCTATTGGTGTTTGCGGTTTCTGTTCCTACGTGCCTGTACTCGAGTTAGCCTTTTGCCTTTGCAGCGTGTGTCTCAATCCTTGATAACTAATAGCGCAATTTACTTAGCCATCCGGTTCCGAAAGTCTCTTTCACCTTCTCTGGCAATGGCGAAGACTTGGCCCATTTTCTCAATGTGATCTCCACCGACGGTATAGACCCTACTAGCAAATAACCATCAAGACGCAGACTAATATAAGCTAGAACGCTCAACTTGGAAGGCCATCAAAGGATTTTTTATGAGGAAGAAACCAAAATACCAAGCAAGCAAACCCGAGTATGTTTGGGGCGGCTCCGCCGTGGCGGAGCCGAAGAAACCCGATGAAGATCTTCGAGAACAGGGGGAAGAAGGGGAGCCTTCCAATACGGACAAGGGCGAACAAAGGATTTCAGAAGTCTAAATACATCGAGTCCTTCGGGACTATAAACTATGTCCCTGGTGCCGGGATTTTTTGGGGAGTTTTTTGTTTTAGTTTTGTTTACGGGTCTGTCTTCAGTAAAACCGATTCAAGTGCACAAGCACTTTATATATCTTAGTTTATATATATTATACAACACGATTGACGTTGAAGATCCAGGCCAACGCATGCGTTTCTAAGTAGTTGGAGAACACTCGCTTTTCGCATAATCTCTGCATGTCTCTGGTGGTGCAATGCAGCGTAGTGCAAGGTATGCATAGTCGGGATCAGCCCTAAGCCTCAGATCTGATAATATCCGCCGCCCTTTCCGCCACCGCGTACACAGTAGACATGATATTTGCAGCAGGAATCAAAGGAAAGATACTCGCATCACAAACACGCAGGTTGGTAGTTCCGTACACACGCAAGCTCTCGTCCACCACTCCTCCTTTCTCTCGGGGAAGCATAGCCGCAGTACCACATGAATGATAGGTAGTGGTGGCCGTGTCGCGGAGGTATTTCTTGGCGGATTCTAGATCCGTGAGAAAGGCGTCGGGGTGATTGCGTCGTCCATCGACAAGCAGATAATCTGCGATAGGCTTCCGACCGTGGAGTCGCTCCACGTCCAGTAGGTTCCGGGCCATGATGTCCAAGTCTAGTGGGTTCGAGAAATAACGAGGATCGATTGTCGGGGGCACGTCAGGGTCCGACGAGGCGATATGTACAGTTCCACGAGAGAAGGGTAGACTTTGCGAGAGGCCCAGGCTGAGGTAATTCCCCGGCAGAAGCTCCTGGCCGACAAAGCTCTTGCCATCTTGGTGAAGGTTTGCCTGGGCCAGGAACATGAACATCGAGCAGGTGGGCGCATCTGATTCTCCGTAAATGTCTCGGATTACTTCGTGGCGAGCGTCTTGGTGACCGGGGAAGGTTTTGAAATGTGCCAGCTTAGCGTCCTGTTGACCATGATACTCGATGATAGGCATGTAGGCGCAGGATTGTATACCGCCCACGGTCATAGGCCCAGCTTTGTGTTCTGCATACAATTGTAATGCAGTCTGGATCGCATCAGGCTCCTGACGCAGAAGTGGATCACCGGTTACTACTCCTGGATTCACCTCGAAGCTGATTCCGCTCATGAGATGGTCCTGGAGATTCTCGCCGACGTTGGAGTTTTCGATCATGACCGGAATGCTGAACTTATCGAGAATGGCTTTGCTGCCAATTCCAGACAGTTCGAGCAGTTTTGGAGTATTGAGAGCCCCAGCAGTAAGAATCACCTCTTTTTTAGCTTTGATGACTGTAGCTTGCCCTTCAATGTCTGCTTCCACTCCCGTGGCTGTAACCCCAGATTCTCCAGAAGAAAGACGAATTCGACGGGCGACTGCATTGGTGAGGATGCGAACGCTCGGACGTTGACTGGCGGGCACGCCATAGCCTGTGGCTGCATAACTACGGGTCTTTGTTTCTGCATCGACAGCGGCTAGGTTGGAGTAACCGCCAGTTGATACACCGGAGAAAGGATCGCCAGTGACGCCGTAGCCCATTTCTCGAAAAGTGTCAACCCAAGCCTTGGAAAGCGGGTCTTGTCGTACGGCTGGGAAAGAGACCTTGATTGGCCCCGAAGTTCCGTTGACCTCGGGGTCAACCCAGCTTGTGCCGATATGGTCACAGGTGTCTTCATCTGGCAGCTGCAGATTGAAGGCCTTTCTATAGTAGGGGGCGAGATTTGCCCAGGTCCAGCCCGTTGCACCCAATCTTTCCCAGCCATCGATTCCCGCCGTTGTGGGCGCTATAAAGGCTTGACCGTTGATAGCGGATGAGCCACCAAGCATCTTGCCCTGGGGCTCTTTGATGACTCGATCACTCAGAGCAGCCTGATTATCAAAATCAGCATTCATGCTTTGGGGTACTGTGGTACTGTGCAATTTTCCGTGGCACATGAAGCAAAAGAAACATACCTGAGGCGTGGATTGATACTGCCAATCTGCTTCAGACCCCATCAGGGTGGTCCAGAGGGCAGGAGTCTGAACTCGGGGATCATTGATCAAGTTCTTCCCTGCCTCCAAAACAATAACAGAGCGGGCCGAGTCTCCCTCAGACAGTCGGGCAGCGAGGACAAGACCGGAGGTCCCCCCTCCGACGATCACATAGTCTGCTTCGAGAGGAGGAGTGTCTACTTGATAAACCATTGTTGATGAAGTAAGTGAAATAGACTGAGTAGCAATATGTAAGTAGAAATTATGGGGCGGACGTTTCGTCTTAGGAAAGAGAAGTGTGAGCGCCTCTCTCTTTGTTCAACCTGGGTTGCGATCGCGGTATTTATAGGAGCCCGGATTGATTGATGCATGGGTTGGCCTACGGGGGAGGTGGGTATCCACTAGGCTCTAGGGCTTACAGTAGTACCTAGGTATCTACCTAGTACTCATAAGCACTAGTACCTTAGTCACTAGACTATCATCGACTGGACCTATATCTAGCCTCTAGTAGCCGCCATCTGCAAGGATCATTTAAATTGACGGGACTGGGATGATCTCTGTTCATTTCGCCCCCCACTCCGACAAATGTGGTGCCCTAGTTTAGTGCTTACTCGCGGGCTGATGGTCTCTGCTCCCTACGCCCCACCCTCCCACCAACAACAGCATAGTATACGGAGGAACACCAAGACGCCTTAGCCACGTGGTGGTTGGAAGCGTCCCACGCAACGTCCCACCCAAGAAGCGCAACTTCAGGGCCTAACTCCTGTGAATTACTGTTCACTTGGTTGTTCTCCCTTGGATCCCTCCCGGAGACTGGCCGGCTTGCCGTTCTTATTACACACCGTTTTTCACATCTGAACCCATGGCCGCGAGGCGTTGCTTTAGCGATTTCATGGGTAACAGGTGGAGTTCCACGTTAAGCGCGGCCGCAGCGCTGCTTTTAAGAGCCCCAGAGATCAAAACTTTGGCGCGCCTCTGTATCTGGGAGAAAGCACCCTCAATCTTAGCCCTCTTCCTGGTTGGATTTGCTCGCCCGGCTGGGCTGCACCATGCCGCTATCCCCCAGAGCAACTGTCGCATATACTCGTCGCCATCACGATACTCGGGGCCGTGAACACCGTCATAGCGGGCGTGCTTGCCTTTCAAAAGGGTCGGGGCTTGCCGCAACGGCTGCGGAGGAACATGGATTGAGATGCGGAAAATGCTGAAAGGATGCGCTTGCTATAGTGCTTGTTTTGAAGATATATCATAAATATTATTATAAAATTCAGGATAGAAAAACGTATCAACACCGCAACCGGAACATCTACATTTAGCACTTCCTGGCGCCTTCCGGTGCCGAGCAGAGATGGATTAGTGTTAAGGATTCTATCATAGCTCACTATTAAGTGGTCTCGTCTGAAATGCAAATTCCTAGGATGCGCTGCAGACCTTGGAATCGCCTCTTCATTTCAGCCCTCAGTCACCAAGCTTGAACCCACCCCAGTTAAGCTTCGAAAACGTGCCCGAGGGGTCATACGCTTCCCTGATATCCTTCATGCGTTGCACGTTCTTAGCCGGAAAGCCCACAAAGGGATTTTGCCATTCCCCCGCGTCGCCCATATAGATAAACTCCCTTGCCAGCCCGTTGCGTTGATTTTGCGCATGCAGGCTTTCTACGAGTTGTTGCGTCCACAACTCAATGCGAGAGCTATCCTCGGCTTTAACCCACTCTGTGCTCAGCTGCCACCCTGTAATACCCATCAGTTGCTTGTTCGAAAGCTGCGACGGATTTGGACTGTCGTGTAAGCGAGCAGACACTTACATATTAGGGGCTCTACAGGGAGGTCCCAGGTATTGCCAATTCCGTTGGTCTTGCCAACGGAAGCGGCGCTGGCCGGGGTCAAGTTCAGAACAAAGGTCGGGTTTAGGCCCTGGACGTCGGCAATTTGATTCAAGGCCGCTTTCCAGGTCTCATACATCGAGTAAAGGGTGTCGGTGTCGGGGTACATGGAATGGTGACCGAATAAGACACTACTGCGTATGAGATATGGCCTTGAGATTATATGATGGGGAAGTAGGGGGAAGCGGAGTATACCGAAACATCTGCTTAGGAGTATCAAGGTTCTCAGCCCATTGCTTGGACGTGGTGACGTTGTGGATCTTGGTGTCTCCTGGAATAGCGGTGAAGTTTGCAAATCTCGATGGAGGAGAACTGATGCCCTCCTGGACACCGAGGAGTATGGGAGAGACAATGCCGGCTGTTATATTGTAGGTGATGGTCAAGACGCTTCCAGCCGCTATGGATGCGTCATTCGAAGCGTGGACGAGGTCGCACGACGCCTTTATAAACTCGTATACGTCCTTTTCGCCGAACACCTGCATCGTGGTGCTAATGTGAGGCATCGCGTAAGTCTGAAGCGTGAACTTGGTCACGATTCCAAAGTTGTTTGCGCCGCCCTTTAGAGCCCAGAAGAGATCCGGGTGCGACGTGGCGCTGGCAAGGACCATGGTGCCGTTCCCTAAGATGACTTCGTATTGGACAACATTGTCCATAGCAAAGCCGTACTTGTTTAAGAAATAGTGAACACCGCCAATGAGGGTCAGACCGGGAACTCCGATAGTCTTGAGGCGACCACCGATGGCAACGCGGCCGTAGGGTTCAAGCGCAACGTACACGTCGTACCAGGTCATTCCAGGAGTGACACTAATTGTGTCGCCATTGACAGTGTAGTTTCTCATGTTATCAGAGGCTAGAAGAACACCTCCTTCAATGTTATTGGAGCCCGGGAACTGTCAAATCTTCGGTCAGTCAAAGCGCTTGGTGAAAGATCGCGCAAATTACTTGCACTCATGTGGCCACCGCCTCGGACTGCGAACTGAGCACCACATTCCAGGAATATACCAACGGCATTAGATACCTGGTAGGCCGAAGTAGGAAGAAAGATGCACGCGGGGTGAAGGTCTGCCCGGATGTCCCAGTAGTTGGTTGCTTGCGCTGTGTAATTCGCCGAGTCGGGGAAGAGAGTGTACTCCGAGTAGGACGAGTTCAGCTTGCGGCACGCACAAGTGGCCCCTGTCTCTAAGTCAATCGTACTGGCGATGGCTGTGGATGAAGAAGCATTTCTCTCATGGTAGCCCAGGGTATTCTCGGCAAATGCTAGTGCTAGCACCGCTAGTGGTACGGATAGGAATGGCTTCATTGCGTAACTGAAGAGTTTATGATTCGGAGATGGCTTAAGAAGACGGCAAAAGATTATAAGCCATGGATGGACTAATAACATTCTTGATTTATAACGCGAGGGGCTCGAAAGGGCACCGGGAGGGTCCGGAAGATCTGGTGTATAATGTGCCGTTTTCATAATGAACTCACTGACTCTCGGGCTCCTAGTCATAAGTGTATAGACTACTACCTGAGAAGAGTAACGATCAATTTTGGGTCGATTTTATACCTACTATTGCGGTGCCTGGCTATTTCCCTAAGAGCACTGTATCAAACGAGGTGATAGTCCTGTGGCCCAGAACGTTTCCACATTGAGCGGGTCACCCACCATTTAGTACAGGCGTTCCTAAACGCTAATACGAGGGGCTTTAAGTTTAATCCAGCCTGGCGCCAGTATGCGAGAATATTATAAGTCCTTATCAAGTTATCAATACCCACAACGCACAATTAGGCGCGATTAGGTCCATGCACTTCGAGCCCAGCCCGGATTTTACGAAACTGCGCATGCCATTACCCTTTTCAGGCGGAGTTGCATTGGCCAATGCCTAGGAGATGTACAATAAATCACGTCTATCTCATTGGGCAACCGTCCCTCTGTCTCAAATAACAGATTTGCTCCTTGGAGCTAATAAAGATGATTACTGTAAAACACACGCCTTGCATGTCTTTGTTTGCAATCGGTCCTTCTCCGAAGGAGTCAACCGAGCGCAAACATGACCTAACGCACTATACCTGGTACCACCCACTGGGCTACGCACATCTTGCGGCTTCAACAGCCGAAATGCTGTGAGCCTTGCTCTCCCTGTCCAAGGAGAGCCCATGATGCATACCGACGTCCGCCAAGAATGCACCCTTCATGCCACTCATACTACCACCACCACTCTCATCATGAATGAGTATTACTACCAGTCACTCTCTTTCTGGCATTTGAATTTCCGCCAATCCCTCCTCTCAGATAACTTGTGTCCAAAAACTCGTCAATATCGCACTTATTGCCGATAGAGTTGACTACAGATTCATGAAGAATAAAGTCATCATCGTCATTTATACCAGTAATTCATACTATACACGGGGCTGGCGATTTGTCTTAGGACCCATCGCTTTTCTATTTCGTGAGGTTCTCAAGCTCGATCCCATCCAAAGCATCTATTGCGCAACAAGAACACCCCTGTACCTCATCTTGCCGTCGTTCAGCGTCTTCAGGGCATCCTGCACACCGTCTTGCGTCAATGGGAAAGTCATTGTGATCGGCTTGATGCCGTGCAGGGCAGCAAAGTCGAGCATATCGCGGTGGACCTGCCTGGCGGCGACAATGGAGCCCTGCACCCGCAGGCCACTGCTGAGGAGGGCCATGTAAGGGAACTTGAACTCGGAGCTGTCGACGGACAGGGGCGAGATGACGGCGCCGGGGGCCAGGACGGAGGTGTAGAGGTTCCAGTCGGGCTGGCTGCTGGTGGTGACGATGAGGTGGTTGAGGGGCCTCCCGATCTTCAGCTCTTTGGCGCCCTTAGTGGCGAAGAACTCCTTGGCGCCCAGCTTCAGCGCCTCGTCCTTCTTGCTGTCACTGCCGGAGAAGACGACGACCTCGCAGCCCATCTTGGCGGCGAACTGGATGGCCAGGTGACCCAGGCCGCCGATGCCGACGATGCCGACGCGCGAGGTGGACTTCACGCCGGCGACGACGAGCGCGTTGAAGACGGTGGAGCCGCCGCACATCAGCGGCGCCGAGTCCTCGTTGCTGATGCCGTCGGGGATCTTGAACAGGAACGCCTCCTTCCACACCGCGTGCGTCGCGAACGAGCCCTGGTCCAGATCCGCCCCCGCGTACATCGCCCGCTTCGGGCACATGGTCTCCCACCCCGTCAGGCAGTTGGCGCATCGGCCGCAGCAGTCATGCTCGTAGCCCCAGCCCACGCGGTCCCCCTTCTTCAGGTCCTGCACCTCCGGCCCGACTTCCTCCACCACGCCGGCGCCCTCGTGGCCCAGCGCCATGTCGGTCGTCTGGTAGTGCAGATCGGTGCCGCACACCCCCGAGTGGGTGACCCGCACTAGAACCTGGTCTTTCTTCAGATCATCGCGGTGGGTGGTGTCTTTCTTGATGGTTCCGTCCTTGGAACCCTTGTAAACGGTGAAATCGTATCCCATGGTTGTGATTGGCGTTTGTGGAGTTATTGATTATGGAGAGTAGAGGAGTGAGTGTAAGGACCTTGCAAGCAATTCCTTATTTCTGCTTTTTTTTTCCCCCTGCCAGTATTTATGAAAAAGCAGGATATACATGATGTCACCGGGCCCCACAGAAAATTACCGCATTCGGCAATTTCGGCAGGCAACGGGAAAGGCCCAGCGATGATATCAGGCCAGAAATGAGGTCAGCCCGAATGCTTCCCCTGTCCATGACCCTGTCGTGACGCGATGGAATAATAGAGTTATCATATCTGATATCTCGACCCCATCAGAGAGACCGGTGAGACGGGCAACACAGGGTCTGGCTGCGTGGAAAGAGCCTCGAAGTCCTATTAATCTTGATATCATGCTATGTCATGATTGAAGTTATCTACTCGGTATTAGTCCTGGTGTAGGCTTGAGAATAAGAGTACAGAGGGGAACCTACAAAATAGGGCCAAGGACCCTTGCCATGTGGAATGTGTCAATGTGGGCTGCAAGGGAGCGTTGCCAAGCTCATGCTGCAGGTTGATCAGTGATGCCTCAGGCAGACACACTAGTCATCCCTGCGGCTGTCATCGAATGCACATATTAAGTAATGTTTGTTGAGTATTATGCGAAGTCATTTATGAACCTCTGTCTAACTACGATTCGAGGTCCCTATCTTGAGAAACAAGAACTCAGTTGATATCAGATGTTTGATTGAGGTTGACCATAAAACAAACCCACAGCCCTCCCTCCGACTTTGGCTTGTGATATGATAGGCCGCGATAGTCTCATGGGATTAGAACTTAAAGAAGTGACCACGGCCTGCCCTCATCCAAGAATACTCCCTGAAGCTACCTTGAGTGACAAGAGTCTTGGAGCATTCGATTTGAGCGCCCTGAAGGAGACCGAACAGTACAGGATCGAGTGCGCTTACACCTTGACCGCGCGCACAAGCTCGATGCTAAATGTTCTTTTGTCAATTTCAACCGCGCGTTTAACAGCACGAAGGAACACCTTTCCTAGTGCTTTGTATAGAACCACGCTACCCATCGGTCTGGAAATGAGCGGAGGCACTAGAAGCTTGCCAGCCTCCCAACGAAAGATCCACTGACTGGGGCCGTGGGTCTCCCACCGCTCCGTCAGTCTCTGCCTATTTGAAACTTTGCTGCGATATGGAGATGGGTTCTCGCCGGTGACAATGTACAGCACCTCCAGTGTACGGATCTTGCAAAGGCAGAGGAACCCCTCCTTATTTTGATCCTCCAGGAACATGGTCTCCGATATCGCAGCGCGACTGACAGACAGCCTCCTCAGCTTTTGAAAGAACTGAGGCAAGAGCATTAGTTCGTGGTGAGGGCTTTGGTAAATCAAGTAGAGGACATCCTTCTGAGGACGGAAGGGACGAATGAAGAGGTAACTGCCCTTGTGAAAATAGCGCTTCCGTAAAGGGCGATGCTTGTCGACCCATTTCCTCGCGATACTGTGAGCTTCCCAGTTCACATAGAGCTGTGGCAATGCAATCAAGCCATGCCTTGATCTATCAGGGTAGTAAATCTGCGACGAGGCGTCGTTTCGCTCTGCTGTTTGTGGACTGAACGGTATGTCATAATAGTCACACGGATACATGGTCGCGTCCTCTGTGATCGTTGGAAGCGCGTCTTCCCATACATGGAAACGCAGCTCAGCGGGGAGCATAGGGAAGACGGTGAAGGACTGGCTCGGAGTTACCATGGTGCACAGATACAACTGATGTTACCGGATTCGGACCACGTCTTGCCAGTTCTCCCAAATCTCTTCTTGATATTGTCGATCCTGCTAGCTCTTATATTCAATCTCACCTCCATGTTATTCCTTGACGCGTTCCCGTCGACTTATTTATATCCAGCTGCTTTGGCCAGAGAAAGAAAGGAGTATTCCCTCTGAATTATACCCTATGTAAGGGTTCTCATTCAACAGATCTCGGTGATTTTCAGTACGCCTGTCGATGAACTGGTACTGAGAAGGCCAGCTATCAAAGGCCGCGTTTGAGGTCATTTTTCAAATTCTCCGGATTCAAATATCTCTCTTTGGACCTAACATGCTATACTGAGAAGAGCCTTGTAAAGCGGTCTTCTCTAGAAAGACATCAATCAAACAACTAGTACGGGAAGCATGGCAGCAGAAATATAGGGGATTACTGATGGGAAACATGGTATGAAAGGCTGTCTTAGTTCTGCGTGTTTTTGCTACTGTTCAGCATATCATGGCGCCTTTGCTGGAGGTGAAGGTGCAGTTGACAATGTGCATATAAGATATGATCAACGAGGTACACTACCTCCGATAACACACTTGAACAGCGACACCTTTTGAGCTCCTATTATTCATGGATTGCTTGAAACCAACGATATGTTGAAGCTTGACTCAGCACCCACAAGGACTATTTCAAGTTCTGGCCGAAGACAGACCGGACAGTGAGTTTGGGGGTCCCGATTTGACAGACTATATGAATTGATATGCGTCTACTCTAGTAATCTGACAGTACAGATCTATGTCTCCTTCTGCGCCCGTTTCAGGATCTCGACCTCGCTACCGCCACGGATCACACCCACGCGCATCATCGACAACAAATTATGCGCCGCATTCGAGTGGTAATACACGCCCCCATTGAACATCGCGGTCGCATCCTTCCCGATGCCCGCGTTAATCATCGCTCGCCCACCCGGATGCTCCTCCACGAAGGTGGTCACATCATGCACGACGCCGGCCACAGCTACCAGTGCGCGACTGCGAGCCATCTTGACATACTCCTCCCAGTCCAGCACCGGCAAGTCACTGATCGGGGTGCCCCAATCGAGCTTCGCGCGCCGCTGATCGACCTTCTTCTGCATCTGCTGCACGCGGCCCTTCTCGATCTCGTTGGCACGGAAGACCTTCAAATCATACGCCAGGCCCATCTGCTTCCACAACCAGATCATCCACTTGGTGGGGTCGTACTGGTACCACTGGATGGCATTGCGGTAGTCCGAGGGGAACTCATGGTGGAAGTTGTGGTAGCCCTCCCCGAGGGTGGCGAGGGCGGTGATGGCATGGTCCCGCGGGGAGTTGCGGTCGTCGAAGGGCTGGTCGCCGAGCCAGTGGGCCAGCGAGTTGATGCAGAAGGTCGCCTGCTGCACGAAGAAGATGCGCAGGATGCCCGCGTAGATGAAGCCCCCCCACCAGTCGCCCCACAGCCCGGCCCCCAGCATCGGCACCGCCAGCCCCATCACCCCCACCACCAGTAGGTAGTGCCGGTGCTGCCACACCACTACCGGGTCCTCGTTCAGGTCTGAGATGTCTGTCCGCCCCATCCGTTTCGGATTCTGCTTGAAGATCATCCACCCGAAGTGCGAGTAGAATAGCCCCTTGTTCACTGAGTACGGGTCCTTGTCTGTGTCCGTGTACCGGTGGTGGGCCCGGTGCAGCCGCGACCACCATCGCGCTGACCCTTCGACTGCCCCGCCTCCGGCTGCTGCGAGCCAGATGCGGAGGGGCAGACTGGCTGAGTAGGAGCAGTGCGACCAGAGCCGGTGATAACCTGTGGGTTGAGGCATGGGATTAGGATGTTGGGTCTTTGCGTGAAGAGGGGGAGGAGAAGGAACGTACCTGCGGTGATGCCTAGGCCGGTGAAGAAATAGTATGCCAGGGCCCAGATGGCGGTCTTAAGTTGCAGAGGTACCCAAAAGGCTTGGATGCAGCCGTAGAGGGGAATGCCGATGATCATGATCACATTGAGCCAGTCAATGTGTCGGTGCCAGTTGCGCACGGTGATGGGGGTATCGGCAATGTGAACTTTCTTCGGCACATCCCCGGGTTGTGCTGGGGGTGCCCCGATGGTTCTGGCAGGCATGGTGGCCTGATGTTGTCGTTACCTCTTTTCCGTCTATCGCTGTTTGGCTGCTACGTTGATTTCAAAGTGGAATGGCAGTTGAGTCAAGAAAAGAATGAACGATAGAGCGATAAATGATCTGGATTGCTCTCTAAAACGACCAGGTGAGCATCAGATCGTTTTATCTCTTTCGTGATGGACGCAGTTGAAGCAACCGCGATTGACCCCCCAGGACTGTTGGGCCAGTGACATGATGCGAAATGTGGTTCGATGTCGGATCTAAGGGGAAAAGGTGCATGCTTATTCGCCGTGGCGTTCCCAACAGCTTGACTCAGCCATCTCTCTGACTCGCTCACATGACGCAGAACTTATCCATCAAGATTGACAGAGCTCAATCACCGTTAAACATTCTGGCCTTGGCCGATGTTGTGTTCTTATGTTGACCTGGGGGAATTGTTGGGCCAGGGCTGCTGAGTCATCTGGCCTGATGCCCTCTAAAAATTGTTCACTAATCAACTTTCTGACGTGCCGCGCCTCGGCCATCAGAAGGTTCTCAGAACTCAACATCTTTTCTGGTTCAACGTTTCGATCTTTAATATTTGCTGGATTTCATTATTGGCTCATTGCAAACACTGGAGATATCTGCCGATTTATCATCATTTCCCTAACCATCACCAAGCCTTGAGCCATACCCTCCCGCCTTTTCTTCCAACATCATCCCGACATCGTCAGCCCAAGCTTCGCTGCAATCCGAGGGAAAATCGCCAACGCATTCTGGTAATTAATCAAGGCCATCTCCGCGTCGGTAAAATTACCATTGGCCTGAATGGCCGCCAGCCCCGGCTTTGCCTGACTGACAGGCACATACGGAACTAGAAAACCAACACCCCGCCAAGACGGCAGGCACACATCATCATCAGCACTGACCACGTTGCTCAAAGGCACGATGACGGCAAAGCAACCACTATAACCAGCCTTCCCACATATGAAACGCAACTTACAATCAGTCCCCGTGACAATCTTTCCGACCCCGCTAAACGCCTTCAACGCCTGCAGCTGGATGGCTGAGTACGCGGACGCCGTGTCGAAGTAATACCCCTTCAGCTGCGCGAGCACGGCAGCCGGGCTGAGCGATCCCAGCGTCGGTAGGGCAGCGACCCCGGCGATGCGACCGGCGAGGTAGGGGATTGCGCCGCCGCCGTGCGGGTAGATCATCGTGACGTTGGGGTAGCGGGCGCGCTGGCCGGTCAGGAGCATGTTCTCCATGGCGCGCACGCTGTCGAACGGGTACTCCGTCAGCGGGCCGCCGTAGCCGAGGGTTGCGTCTGCGCAGACCGGAGTCGCGGGGTGGACGAAGACGGTGGCGCGGCGGTGGTTCAGCGCCGCGAATACCGGGTCTAGCTGCGCGTCGCCTAGGTACAGGCCGTTGTAGTTGGTGTAGAGGCCGATGCCGTCCAAGTGGAGTGTTTCGAGGCAGTACTATGCCCTTGGGTTAGGTTGGTGTGCGCAGCGGGAAGGGAAGGGCTGCGGGGGTAGGTATGTACGGTACCTTGACCTCCTCCAGTGCGTCTGCAACGTTCGGCAGAGGCAGCAGGCATAGCGCGCCCAGGCGGCTCGGGTGGGTTTGCGTGTAGTTGTGGAGGAGATTGTTGAGCTCGCGGGCCAGCTTTTTCGCCTTATGGGGTTTCGAGGCCAGAAAGTACACGCCTGGCGTGGTCATGCTCAGCGTCGAGTAGTTCACGCCGTAGCTGCCCATGTTCTGGATGTGGCCTGCCAGAGTCCAGTCTGGCACAGGGAAGCCTTCGACGATCAAGCTGCCGTTCGCCGTGGGATAGCCTTCTTCGACCAAGGCGTCGAGCCATATCTGCGGTACCGGGTGCGAGTGCACGTCGATCCGAAATTGCGCATCGATGCTATTGTGGGCATGTACAAGTTGCGATGCAGCTGCCGCCAAAGCGGCGAGGCAGTATACAAATCGAGACATGTTGAGTTGAATCGCAATGCGACCCACCGCAGTTGTGACTCACTCAGTCTTGTCGCGGGACTTCGTCTGCTGATAAAAACTACGGAGACGATCTGACTGATGCTTGACCTACAACTTTTCGGCTCCTTATACTAATATGCTCATTGTAGCTTTCAGCAGAACAGGCTAAACAAACAATCACGGCATGCGCCCGAGATATACGAAGTAATTAATATTGAACTAGATCGCGATTCGACGGAGAGATCCAGCTGAAGACTCGACATTTGAACCTACACTCGCGAGATTGGAGGATGCCATGTCATTGGTGCAGAGGAGTCACAAAGAGGCTAGGGTTATGCATGTCAGCAATAGGTTCAGCCTCCAAGTCGGAATGAGTAGATTGAAGCAATGATTATTCTATACAACAAGCGAAATCGGTTCCGGCTGATCGCGTAAGTGTACAGCTTCCTACGGTATGATCAGATATTGTCCATTCCACCGCATAGGAGAGTGCTGGCCATCTGTTTCATGGTAAAGGCCTGTAGAGAAGAGATAGATGTGTAGGGCGAGTCTTTCTTGCGCCGAGGCTACCTGTCAACTTTGTTAGTGTGTATAGTCTGTGCCGCTTCTTCCCCGCGCTGGCGAGCGGGGAATGATTCTTCCAAGTGCGGACTATCCCGCAGGCTAAGAAGGAACGGCTATTGCGGAACCCAAGAAACAGGTCATTTCAGTATCGCTGTTCCAAGTCAACTTCGCGCGTATGCCCATTCGAACCGTATCGCCAACTCTTCAGACACTACTTAAGTGCTTTAATCTCTCTATCCAGCACCATTCGATGAGTATAGACTATCAAATCACGAATACACCGAAAGATATCTTTTTTTATGTACAGGGCGTCTGTTTGTCCTTTGGGCGTTGATCGAACATGTGTCGTCCTCGCCGGCGGGAGCGTTTGGCGGCGGCCCGCAATACCCGACGGCATGAGACTCAATGATGCAAAGCAATTGACTCAAGATTGTGCGAACATCCGGACTCAATCGAAAGGTTTTTCTTGTCACGTCAGAAGGCCGTTACATCACGGAAGCAAGAGTGTTCTCGGAGTTCAAAAAACTGGAAACTTCACCTAAAACAGGCGAGATGAGCAGCGAAGACCTAGAAGCAGAAGAACTCTACCAGAAGAGGAGCGATAGTCTGCATTACGACCTAACTGTGGGCAGTGATCATGATGAGAGACCAAGGAAGCATATCTCAACGACATTATCCATGGGAGCAGGAAAGCCTTTTCCACCACCACTGCCTGATCCGGCTGACTACGTTGTCGAGTTTGACGGGCCAGACGATCCCAATCATCCTTTTAACTGGAGCTTCGCGGTAAAGTAAAATGCCCCTTTCACTAATCGGAGAGATAGAAGGAAGTGTGCTGGCAGAACCTAACAATCTCGCTCAGGTTGTACATCTCCGTCATAGCCTGCGCCGGAACATTCGTTTCATCCTTCGCCAGTGGCGTTTTCGCACCGGGAACCGAAGAAGTCAGCAAAGCATTCGCCGTCAGCACAGAAGTGGGCACATTGGGAACGACACTCTACGTTCTGGGCTTTGCATCGGGTCCTCTGATCTGGGGACCAGCATCCGAGCTGATCGGCCGACGGTGGCCACTAATCCTAGGGTTGCTCGGGGGCGCGATCTTCTCCATAGCATCCGCCGTCGGCAAGGACCTCCAAACAGTCATCATCTGTCGCTTCTTCGCCGGCGTCTTCGGTGCCTGTCCGCTCTCTGTAGTTCCCAGTGTGCTTACCTACATCTACAATAACACCCATCGTGGGGCGGCCATGACAATCTACGCCCTCACCGTCTTCGTGGGACCCTTCTCCGCACCGTTCATCGGCGGGTTCATCACCGCGAGTTACCTCAGCTGGCGATGGACGCTCTATGTTCCAGCATTCATGGGCTTCGGCCTCGGCATTATCTCTTTCTTCTTTCTCAAAGAAACCTACGCTCCCATTCTGCTAGTCGGGAAAGCAGCCGCCATCCGCCGGGAGACACGTAACTGGGGTATCCATGCAAAACAGGACGAGATCGAGATTGACTTGAATGAGCTAATGCGGAAGAATTTCACGCGTCCGCTGCGGATACTGATCACCGAGCCGATCATATTGCTGATCTCGATGTACATGTCGTTTATCTACGGGCTTGTCTACGCGCTGCTCGAGGCATATCCCTACGTGTTCCAGACCGTCTACAGGATGAACCTCGGGGTCAGTGGTCTTCCCTTCATTGGTCTGATCATCGGTCAGATATTCGCCTGTGCGTTTATTCTCTCTCGACATGGGGAATATGTAAAGAAACTGGTCGCGAACGGCAATATTCCGGTGCCGGAATGGCGTCTGGGGCCAGCCCTGATCGGTGCTCCGATCTTTACGATCGGGATCTTTTGGTAGGTGTTTTCTCTGGAGTCTGCCCATACTTTCCGCTGATGAACGAAAAATAAAGGTTTGGCTGGACGGGCTTCACTTCCCGGGTCCATTGGATGGCACCCACTGCCGCCGGTGTCTTTGTCGGATTCGGTGTGCTGTGTATCTTCTTATCATGTTTCAACTACTTGGTCGACTCGTATCTTCCACTGTATGTTGAGGAAGTATATCACATTGAATGGTGGATGTTGAAGCTGACATCATTCATAGAGCAGCATCGACTGTTGCGGCCAACATCATCCTCCGTTCGAGCGTTGCGGCGGGGTTTCCGTTGTTCACGAAGCAGATGTTCGAGAATCTGGGTATACAATGGGCGGCGACGTTACTGGGGTGTCTGGCGGCGATTATGATTCCCATTCCCTTTGCTTTTCGGATATTTGGACCGCGGTTGAGGGGGAAGAGTAAGCTTGCTCCTTAGTCTGGAGAAAGAGCAGGCGTCTAGTGGTGATAGAGGCGTAGGGCGAAAACATTTAGAGTGTCATTTGTGGACGTTATAAGAATTACTTTATAAGAGTCAAATAGCGAGATGATTGGTGCCTCAGGTTGAAAGTCTGTGGATGCTGCGGGGAGGGCAAGGCTGCAGTTTCCGATTGGACCGGAAGCCACCCGCGGGAGCTCAAATGGATCTGCAGCCTCAGGCCGACAATCTACCCGTCCTGGTTGGTTCCATCTTATTCACCATCTTTCATGTATCTGTCTAGCTGCCCATCACAATCATAAATCCTGATATCGATTCTCTCTATACGTATAGGAGTATCTCTCATAAGTCTGCTCGGTTTCTTTTTTTTTTCTTCTTGGCTGCATACACATTTGCTTAACATCATACGGAGCAACGAATATATATCTACAAAGCGGCGGAAAGGGCGATGGTAAGAGAGGCGATGATATTATCAAGTCACGAACTTAGGGCAATTGCCTCCCACCCGGCCCCTGCGCCGTGAGAAACTTGAAATCCGCCCCATGATGCGCCTGGTTGACTTCACGCTCATACAGCCCCCGATAACCCCGTCGAGCGCGCCGCTCATTCCAAGTGGACGTCTCAGACTCCTCCACCGTCCTCCGCCGCTCGGCAATCCTCCGCTGCAGCTCCTCATCACTGATATCCAACCTGAGCACCCGATTCTCCACATCAAAAACAATCCAATCCCCAGTGCGAACCGCCCCGAACGGCGACTCCGGAACCGCCGACTCAGGCGAGACATGCAGCACGATGGTGCCGCCCGCGGTCCCAGACATCCGCCCATCCGAGATGCGCAGCATATCCGTGACGCCCTGGACGGCTAACTTGCGCGGGATAGGGATCATGCCGGCCTCGGGCATGCCGGGGTTACCGATGGGGCCGATGCCCTTCAGCACCAGCACGGAGTCCGCGGTGACGTCCAGGGTGGGATCGTCGAGCCGCGCAGCGAGATCGCGCGGGTCCTCGAAGACCACGGCGGGGCCGCCGTGGCGCAGGAGCCGCTTGTCCTTCGAGGCGGAGGCTTTGCAGACGGCGCCGTTGGGGGCGATGTTGCCGTGCAGGACGACCAGTGACGAGCAGGGGTGCAGCGGGTTCGCCATGGTGCGGATGATGCTGCGCGAGAAGTCGTGGTCGCGGAAGGGCGTCCTGTCGAGGACCTCGCCCAGTGTCTCGCCGGTGATGGTCATCGCGGAATCCTTGAGCAACGGCCGCAGGCGGTGCAGGAGGCACAGCATACCGCCTGCGTTGTGGAAGTCCGTCATGTAGTTGTCGCCGCTGGGTTTGAGGTCCAGGAGGAGAGGCGTCGTGCGCCCGATCTGGTCCAGCGTCTCGAGCGTCATCGCGCCGCTGACTTCCGGGTGGCGGTTGATGATTGCCATTAGGTGCACCATGGCGTTGGTGGAGCCGCCGATGGCTTGCAGGACGACGGCGGCGTTGTGGAATGAGTCGACCGTCAGCAGGTTCTGCGGCGAGCGTTGGTTCAGGGCGGCGGCTACGGCGTTGGCGCCCGTTTGTTCGGCGATGCGCAGTCTCGCGGCGGAGACAGCGGGCGCGGAGGCCCCGGCGAGCGGGATCAGACCCAGCGCTGCGGTGATGCAGGCCATCGTGCTGGCTGTCCCCATCACACCGCAGGTGCCGACCTGTTGGTGATACCTTTGTTAGGCTGTGCAGATTGAGTGGAGACTTGCGCACGAACCGTTGGTGCCAGTTCCTCGTTGATGGCGCCAATCTCTTCCATATCTATCGTCCCCGCCCGGAAGGACGCCCAGTTGTTCCTGCAGTCGGTGCAGGCGCCGATGCGCTTGCCCTGGTGACTTCCAGGCATCATCGGGCCGGTGAGAAGGGGTAAGATGGGCTTGTTGGCTGAGATACCGCCCATAATCTGCGCAGGAACGGTCTTGTCGCATCCTGAGAGACATTAGTATGCCGCAAAGGGTCCTGTTGCAAGGGCGGGGCCGCACCTCCGATCATGATGCACGCATCCACAGGCTGGGCGCGAATCATCTCCTCTGTGTCCATACTCATGAGGTTGCGCAGAAACATACTGGTCGGGTGGGAGAAACTCTCGTGCAAGCTGATGGTAGGAAAGCCCACGGCAATTCCGCCCTGAAGATGGATGCCTCGCTTGGCGGCCTCCATGAGCTGCGGCGTGTTACCGTGGCAAGGGTTGAAGCCCGAGCCCGTATTGATGATTCCAACAATCGGACGCGAGAGCGCATCCTCGGAATATCCTAGGGCTTTGATGAAGACTTTCCGCAGGAACAGAGAGAAGTGAGCGTCTCCGTACGAGGTGAGCCCCTGGCGCAAACCTGTCGTGGAGACAATGGGTTGCTCAAGGTCATAGTCTTGGTTTGATGGCTTTGGTTGCTCCATATTCTTCCTCATTGCATACGATTCAGGAAGATAGACCGGATAATTTGATCATTTCGCTAGACCTCCAGATTTATGAGCCAATGCGGGGTCGGCTAATACAAACCGAATCGGAAGTTCTCCGAAAGGGCTAGCGGGAGGCATCCGAACCCGCCGCTGCTTATCTCCGTCGTCATGGCGTGTTTTACCACCCCGTTAGTGGGCCTCGTATTGATAATGTGGAGTTATGCTAGAGGTGAGGTCTGTCGACGATCTGGGGATGTGAAGGAAATGGCTCTCTGGGGTATGGTAAGAAAACAAGGCATGGTTCAGGATTTCATAAGCTGTTCTCTGTACAGACACCCCGGGTTTCTTCATCGGGCATCATGTGTCCCATGCGTCTCGACAGCTGTACTCAAAGCTCAGAATGGGGACAATGCTGCCTTATTTGTCGTTTTTATTTCAACGCAAGTGTCTGTCTACTTCGGTGTCCTCTCCACTTTGCTCATACCTCAGAGAATCATGGTCTGGCACGTGCAGTATCTTCAATATGCACCGAGACTTCTCATCATCGCCCCGGCATTCATACTTTACGGCCGCAATAAAACCGGGCTGTCAGCTCTACTATCTCTTCCTGATGTGATCCGTCTATTCCCGTAGACCGACATCGACACGGTTCACTTCTACGGACAGAGGAGGCCAGCAGATCCACCGTCAAAGGGCTAATCTATGCCACTTTGTAACTCGGTGCCCTTCTGGGAGCCTTACCCTGTTCAATATTCAGCGACAAGGTTGGTCGTCGGAAGATCATCTTTGTCGCAGGCTACTGTGCAGCAGTCGGCCAGATCCTTCAATGCACTGCCTTCTCCTTGCCCAGCTCACTGTGGGTCAATACTGGGAGTGGGAGCTTGACAGCTAAAAGACATCGTCCTAATTTGGCAGGCAGAAAGCACCTCTGCCGTTAAGCAAGGACGACAGTTCATAATGAAGGGCATCTTTATCTACGTTGGTTTCTTCCTATCCAGCTGGATCAGTTTGGGCTTAAGCAAGATATCGTCACCAGCCGCCCAAATGTCGGATCTCACTGGCCATACGCGTAGCGTATTCTGTCCTCATCTGTCTCTTCATAGTAATCTTGCCTGAGTTACACGCTGGCTGGTGCAGAAAGGACGTATTGCAAACGCCACCGAAACCCTTGCCTAGCTCAAAAAGATGCCCAGCGGCGACGCGCCCGTCCACATCGAAGTCTCGCGCATCGAAGCCACACTCTCCACAACACCCCAGATCTACATAAGATAAAGAAAGTCGGTTGAGGACAATGAAGAAGCATTGGATGTCTACAATATTTGAAAAGCATGTTCGGAGACGCACGACACAACAAGCGGAGACTTAATGTCCGAGGCTGGCACGATGTCATAGTTTTTCAAAGGGATCGGTCATGAATCGAAGCAACGCGGTCACCCTCTTTTGAAAGAATAACCCTGGAAGTATCGAGCCATTGTCCATTTCCTGCATCCAAGAACAGTGGGATTGAATCTTATTGTGGCAAATTCAGATTGGTGCAAAGACGTACAAAGAGATGGAAAGCCGCGGGCAATAACGCATACAGTGGCGAACCAGGTTTCAAAGAAACCGGTGGGTGATCCTAGCCTTGCGCTGCGTTCTAATCATCATCATCATCATCATCATCATCAGTAGTGAACAAACGTGCCAGCCGTGTTGCTTGTTCCCTGCATGGGCTTATTTTACTCCACAAAGCGGAAGAAATGACACGGTTTAAGCAGGAACAAAGGCACAATGGAAGCACAAGTGACAGTCTTGCATCCAATGAGACAGCGATTTGATGAGTGATGTCCCCGACAAAGATAGCTTTCGAGCAGCCAATTTGAGCTATTAAAAACCCCATTTGGAGCCCTCGCATCGCCTTCTCTTCACACGCACCTTCGCTTCACCCAGCTAAAGGAACTATCTTCTTGAAAGGACCTACATCTCACGATGTCTCACTCCAGCAACCCAGCTCCCATCTTAGACCCACCTGGATTGCTCTTACACCGGGAGTTCATGATGTGATCGCGACTCATGATGAAGTGATCGACACCGAGGCAAAATTGCTCGATGATTCCGAGGCCGGTTCTGAGTATCCAGACTATAGCGACTCCGAGTCCGTAAGTGTCACGGATTCAACGGATTCAACGAATTCAGAGTACATGCCTCAGGACTTTCGTGAATACATGACGAAGAAGGAGTGGCTGGCACTGCAACCGTATCCAGGCTGGTTGAAGCGTAGACCGGGGGTCAACCGAGCGAGTCCACCGAAGGGAGCGCACTTCGAGATAGACCCCCCCCCCCCCACAGCTGACCTTCCCACTCCGAGACGCCCACATGGCGGACCAGCGTATCTCATACCTCCTCGATAAAAATAGAATTGGAACCGCTCAGTGCAACAAGAGTGCCGCATCGATCCTGGGCGTACCCTTCAGGTCCGAGGCCTCTGAATGGGCTATTGGAGAAGACGACCTCGACCGGGCAGCGGCAATTTTTCGTGAGGACGGGTTCCCAACTTGCCCGGTATGTGATTACACAGAATGGAGGACGAAGAGGGAGAACCGTATGAAGGGGTTGCAGAAAGTGTTTCGATGTAACGTGTTGAGTGGATCGAACCCGACTGACGACGCGTACCCCATGCCAGCATATCACTTCCACACAGACCATCAATATACCGAGGATACGTCCGACCCTCATCGATCCCGGTGTATCTTCTTGTTTCCTAAGAGATTGGTCATTCACGAAGCCATCGACAATCCTCCCTGTGGGCCTGCCACTTCCAAAAGAAGACCTTATAAATGGCTTGAAGATCATTATGAGCGTCACTATCTACTAAGCTCTGATCTAGAACTCCCTGATTCAGGGTTCAGCTCTCTTAACTATCGAGGTCGGCAGAGTCCAAACTGTACCCAGTCCACATGCTCCAGCCCGAGAAGTTCGTGGAGAACCTGGTGCGGCTCACCATGCGTGATAAAGGCCAAACAGTCAACCAATACTGGCTTCGACTGTTTGGAAGCATGCAGCTCGTGCTGATTTTTGATCGCGAAAGACTTGATGAATTCAAGGAGGAACTGATGCGGAATCCCAGGTTTCCGAAATTGGAGACCCCGTCGTATAAGGATTGGCTTGATTTACAGATCAACGTCAGGTTTAATATCGACATAATCTTTGCGTATCTGTGGCGGCAGGTGGAGGTGAGTGGGGAGGTTTACGACATCGCTTTTTATTTTGAGAAACCCTCATTTCTAGATCGCGAGTCATGCCCTGGTCTGCGTGTGGGATAGCCTCGTTTCCGCAACCCGGATTTGTCGTCCTTCATGCCTCCATCATATCTCTATTGGCTTGATCGACATATAGCTACTGCAGTTAGAATGCTCTTCTCTGAGGAAATGTAGTATGGTATGTTAGCTAATCCGCATGAGATATCATAGCTCAAGCGATACAATTTGATGTTTTTTCAACACAACTGAAACAAGATACTGAAGTAACGCGCCCCAACAATACTCAATTTCACTGTGAAAATTCCAGGCAGCAGCAGCAGAAAGCCAATCAACGGAAACACGAGCGTAGAAAACATCAGCCTAGGAGCAACTGATGCCCTTGGCTCAGCTGAATAGCCAAAATTTCCGAGACGACTACAACACATCCAGTATTTGCCTATAGTTTTCGTAAAGTGTATTTGACTTCACGTATCCTCCTTCCGTCTGAAAGCAATGACAGCTGAAAGGCAATGGAGACAGAGCAGACCGTTCAGCAGCCGCCTTGATGTTGGTATTGAAAAGTCGTTCCGATCGGCTATGTTTCAGCGCCTCCGCCCACCCCCCATCACCGCTCGGCTCGGCTTTATTCGCTATCGCTGACCTGGTCCTTTTGTTGGTTACGAGCTGTTCAATCCCTGCCTGCTCATTGGGTCTGCAATTACGAGTTGAGCGATCCAAACCTCGAAGAATCGTTGGTCCAAGACACCGAGCAGGTTCGTGTTGAGCCCCGCTGGTATATTGCTTTTTGCACGAGCAGGCCAACTCGCAAAGAATTAAATAAGGACGGCCCTGTCCTTCAGAAGTCCCAGCAACCCATCTCAAATCATTGAGAGGTGGCCTTATGTCTCCATGGTACTAGCTGCCCTTTGTTCTTCCTTATCAGGCTATCTATTCAGCCGTCTGAGGAATCGTTTACCCCGGTGGGGGGCCACATGGACCACGAGCCCTTCCCCTCGTATCACCCTGCCCGATCCCCTTGACAGACCCATGTGCCGTCCACCCGATAACGCGACATGCAGCCTTTCAAACAGTGCTACTAGCAGCCTTATCGCGCTCTTCACCCGACTCTACAAGAACCAATGTGGTGGTATCCCGATTCTCGTCATAAGCGGCCACCTTGCCTTCTAGATTATAGATGACGACGACAATACTCAGGAATGCTGACTCGGCGGTGAAGAGAAATAACACTATTAACCTATTTACCAGGGTGTTCATATCGGGGTTGATTCCGCTGACAATCTCCGCAAACTCGCGGGAGTTCTTGGGGAGACACTCCGAAACATGCTAAAGGAGAGATCGCGAAGACGATCGAAACTGAATAGAATCCGAGACAAAACCGATTCCTGGCTTGGTTACGAGGTCATTGAGATGGAAGTAGTCAGACATGATCAGTAGCGCGCGGCCAGCGTCGTCAGGGCCCTGGTGGTCTGGTCGAGGGCTAGGATGCCTTTCTTTAAGTCTGCATTCAGAATGCGCCGCGTGACCGGGGTTCCAGGCCAGCACGGGCATCCGGTTGGCTTGCCCGTCGATGGAAAGATTCGGTCGGTCGCAGGGATGTCGGTTACGAAGAGGAGGGAGAGCTCGGGGATGTAGAGGGGCCGTTTCAGGAAGGGGTCAAGCGGTTTGCCACGCTTTTAGTACTGCGAGTGGTCGGACATGCTTCTGGGGCGGCAATATTCGTTCGGGGGTGTTGTCCATACTTCCGCTTCGATTGTGATGGGCGTGAATTGATAAGGCATGTTGGGCTTGAGTTAGATAGTAAGGAAGATGGTTGTTAGTAGTGGTGGTAAAGAAGGTGGTATGGCAATGACGATAGAGATGATGGTTGATATGGGCATCATCCAGGGCTACCTAGCGGGTGTTGTTGTTATCGCACGGTACGTACCTGATACCATAAATACGTCCATATACACAGCCGAGGAGGTGCGGAGCGTATCCGTGTCTCGCAGCCGATACGGTAATCTAACGACGGAGCACCACCGGGCAGCAGGTCCGCCATAAATATCGACATCAGTTCATCTTGGTTTAAACAGTCAGTACTACTTCTATTACTCCGATATCAGATAAAACAAGATAGACCCTTACTACAGACATACACACCATCAGCATGACTCTCGTACACATTGGTCAGTACACCACGATCTCACCACAGCCCTTTTTAACATTATTACCAGTGCTCTTCAAATTCCGCTCCAACGTCAGCGAAGAGCACAAAAAGACCTTCGTCACGGAACTGAAAAAGCTCAAGAGCCTCCCCAGTGTCAAGAATGGTCGTCTCATTGTCGGTGGTCCTAGCGTAACGGACCCGATCGACCGCAGCAAGGGGTTCCAGATCGGTTTGTTGAGTTATCATGAGAATCTGTCCGCTCTGGCGGAGTACCAGACGAGTCAAGAGCACCACTGGCATGCAGCCTCCCTCTTAGCCCCTTTCTCGGATAAACAGACTGATTATGTGCTGGCAGGGTGACGTCGACATATATGTTCCCGTACAAGGAGGACCTCGTGCGGTTCGACTTCGAGGTGGACCCGGAAGATGAGTACATGTGTCAGTTTCCAGTATTAAGCTAGGTTGGTAGAGACGAGAGTTGGTTGATCTAGAATTGATGGGGCTGGTGTATTTAATAGAACACAACAATAACAAAAAATGATGTCAAGGCTTCATTTACCAACATGATGCTACTAAAGCGATACAAACCGCACATCCCATGCAGGTCACATCTGCAAGCGCAGCGCAGACTTCCTCAACCCCTTCCGGCGGAATCTCTTGCCCTCGACCGGATTAGGCGCATTGGTAGTAGTATTATACGTCGCGAGCGGATCTAAAACCTGCCACTGCACGGTGCCATTCCCCTCGCGGTACGTGCTCTTCGGCGCCCCGACAGTCCTATACCCCGAAGCCACATCGAGTTTCCCCGTCGCGACGTCCTTGCCACCGATGACGCGCTCGAAGAGCTCCAATGCCAACAGCGGCTGATAGAACGGCACCTCGTGCCCGCTCTCGTAGACGCGCACGAACGCGAACCGGCCCGCCTGGCGCACCTGGCCGTGCATAACGCCGTCCGAGGTAGAGATGTTCGTGTACCCGGCGGCGTGGAAGCCCGGCGCCCCGACCTTGACGGCGACGGCCTCGCCGCCCAGCCAGTTGCAGTTGTAGTCCGCGTCGCCGGCGTACATGGCGACCGTGACGCCCTGCTGCAGCAGCGCGGCGAAATCGTCCGTGGTGCGCATGCGTCGGCCGTCGTCGCCCGTGGACGAGAAGGCCGCCGACACCGCGTTGTTGCTCTCCGTGAAGTTGACGACCGCCCCGATCGCCGCCTGCACTGCCGCCGTGTTGAGGTAGTCCACGTAAAACCCGTACGGGAACGGGTCCGGCGTCAACTCCCGGATGTCGTACTCGTCGCGTCCCAGGTAGTTGTCGTAGATGCTCTCTACCTCGTTCGCGCAGAAGTTGTCCGCCACGCTGCAGATCGCGTTGTCGCCGCGTGCGGCGCAGTCGCGGAGCTGTGTCAAGCAGTTGCCTGGGCCGTAGATGTTGTTGTATAGGAGGGAGCTGATCGAGTCGTTGTAGGGGAGGTAGTCGTAGGTGTTGCCCGGGTAGACCTAAGTTGTGGAATCAGTGAGGTCGTTGTTGTTTAGGTGTATTGAGAGGGGACCATACGGTGAAGTTGTAGAAGGCCTGATACTGGATGATCGGATCGTACCATCCGTTCCCGATCATCACACTTTCCAGCTTGATCTTCTTGGCGCCATGCGGGAGATTAGCGTTCTGCTGCTCGATGTACTCGTTGAAGACGGGCCCGTAGTGGCCGCCGTAACTCTCCGTGGTGAAATGGAAGGACTGCCGCGAGTACTGCGGGAAAGCGCCCATAAAGCCCTGCAGAGCTCGGTAGAAGTTGGGTGCTGCGTTGTCGGTGGAGTTGGCCGTCAGGCTGATGTTGGGATACGAATATGTTCCACAGGACTGGCCAGCAGCATAGTCAGGGCAGTTAGTCGAAGGCAAACTGACCACGTTGCTTGTGCCAGAGTCAACATAGGCGGGAACCGGGATACTGTAGGAGAACCCGGTCTGTACGGGCTGGTCAATGTAGAGCATGTTGCTCGCGTTCGACCAGGAGTACGGATTGTTATACACCGAGCCATTTGAGTCTACTCCACAGGGGCCGTTTTCTTGGAAAAGTCCAATCATAGATGACGACCCGGGCCCTAGTAGCACTGTCACTTAAGGTTGCCTGGGAACGAATTGAAATGAGGGCATTACCTCCATTGATCCATACAGTTAATGGAGCCTCTTTCGGGTCTTGGTTCCGTGCTTCAAAAAACCAGAAGAATATATGTTCGTGCTCGGCCACGTCGAGGTATCCAGAAAAGCTCTTCACGCTGGGATCAGTCTCACAGATACCGTTGGGAACCTGCTTATACCGGACGGGGACATCCAGATAGCCTTTAGTCTTGATCAGGTCCGTTGGAGGGGCCACGAACTGTGCCTGGATGGGCAAGGCAACCAGCAATGCCGCAGACCACAACGAAAGCATTGTCACGGATACTCTTGAGATTTTCTCGCTGGAAGAAATCCCTGTTCCTGTCCAGTCAAACTTGGCTTTTATGGTGTCACGGTGGCTTGTTATCTGCCACCATGCCCAAGTGGAGGTTGGAGACAAGCGCAATGAGCGGTGTAACCTCGGCTGTTGGCGCACGAATCAGATCACCGCGATAATTGTCTTATCAAGATTGGGGGGATCAGATTGCATCACATCAGCATTGACTAACTTATTTAGGACTATTTGTTGAACATTGCTCAATGCCAATATGTAATCATGCGCCGGAGTCCGTAGGCGATGTGCAACCGGCTGAACTAGTATATACCGTCACACAACTACTGCACCTAATGTGCGCCTTTGTGGAGGCCGAGTGATAAATCAGCGATACTACTAAATGTTATTATTCATGATATTCAGTCTCCTCATTACACTCTGCCGGTAGAGGATGTAATTCCCCCGTCCACCACCAATTCCTGCCCCGTGATATACGTTGCCTCATCCGACGCCAGAAACACTGCTGCATTAGCCACATCCCAAGCATCGCCCATGCAACCCATGGGTACCTGCGCATCCCGCTTCCGCATATATTCCTCCTCATCGCCGCCCGGCGCATATCTCTTAGCCAGCTGCTGCGTATAGGGAGTGTAAATCAACCCGGGAACGACTGTATTCAGCCGCACATTCTTGTCCGCATAAATGATGGCCGTTGCTTTTGTGAATTGCATGATTGCCGCCTTGGTAGCCGAGTACGCGACCTGCGGCTTGCCGATGAACCGTAACCCCGCAATGCTCGACACATTGACGATCGAGCCTCCAGTGGCTTGCTTTTCCATGATCGGCAGAACGTGATGACAGGTCAAATAGATACTCTTGAGGTTCAGATCGACCTGTGCGTCCCAGACGTCTTCCGCCATGGTAGCAGGACATCCGGGCTCGGATTTGCCGACGTTGTTAACGAGGATGTCGATGCGACCGTGTTTCTGCATGCAGGCATCCACCAGGGCTTTCACGGAGGTCGAGTCAGTGACGTTGGTTTCCTGAACGTCGCAGACGCCGCCTGCGTCTTCAATGCGGGCTTTGGTGCGCTGGGCGGATGCCAACGAGCGGTTTCCGCCGTAGATGATGGCGCCTTGTTGGGCCAGTTTGGCGGCGATGGCGGCCCCGATGCCCCAGCCTTCGTCGCTGGTTTGGCCCAGCCCGGTGATTAGGGCCACTTTGCCGTCCAGTCGGAGCATTATAAAGATTTTGTCGAAGAAGTAATAGGAGTCAAAGGGCAAGACAACAGAAATAATCAAAAGGAAGCTTGATTGTGAAGGGCGTATATAGTCTGGTCTCTTGCTATAGCCCTGAATTGCTTGTGACTTGGGCCGGCTCTTATCAGTGCTTATCGGCAACGGATCTGATCCGCCGGCCTCGGATGTGCTCCGTTCCGCATCCGCCAATGTGTAATTGAGAGCATTGCATCCTACCAAGAGGGAAGGACTCACGTTATTCCTATAGCCACATTGGCAGCACATGGCTGGTCACACGTAGCACACTGAAAAATATTAGTTGTGACGTCCCATTGTCTCCGGGGTTGGCAGGGGGAGTGACAGGCAGATACTATGTATGAGTGGAACAAGGAATGGAACGGATAGTCCGAGCGGGCCACCGGGTTTTCGCCGCCCGTCCAAATCTTCTTCGCGGCAACCTTCCGGTTGCTCCGACCGGTCCATTGCGTGATGACGTACAGCACCACATTAGGTCAGGCAGGCCCAAGCTACTTCTAGTCATTTCAGGTTCCATGGACTCTCCCAGACGAGCTCGCAATCGCGCAGCCTGCAGACGCTGTCAGCGCCGTAAAATCCGCTGCGATGGCATCAGCCCGTCCTGTGGTGCTTGCCAGAAATCCGGTGTTCCTTGCATTAACGATGGGAAGCAAGAGGTTCATCGCTCGTTAGTTACTGCCTCAACGCTCTGAATCTCATGGCTAGCGGTAGACTAACAAGGATAGATACATTGCAAGCATGGAAAATAGGATAAAATGGCTGGAGTCGATTGTGCGAGATAGGTGCGCCAATGTCGACCTGACCAATTGGCCGGAGAGACACTCGGAGGCACTGGATGAGTCGACGATAGAGGGTAACAATCATAGTGATGCATGTCCCCGAGAGGGGCAGGATGATCCACAGGACATTACTCAAGCCACCCTGCCCACGCCGGATCAATCAATCTTGCAGCCCGCCACCATGGTGCAAGAGCCGAACCAGGCAGTCCTACCCACTCCAGAGCATTCGACATCCCATTCTGCTCCAGTCCAGGATGAGCCGCATCAGGCCCACGAAATTGGCCTGGTATCACTTTCCCGTGGAGGTGATCCACGCTACATCGGCCCTTCCAGCGGCTACTTCTTTGCAAAACGCATCTTCTCCAATACTGGCTGGCGCGGAAAACAGGACTCATCCTCCCTCGGCAGTGTCTCGCACCTTCCGGTCGAACTGCTGAACCCCCCAGCTCCGCTGCCACCACAGAAAGAAGTGGCTGTGGAACTCTCCACCACATATTTCCGGACAATCCATCTGTTTTACCCATTCCTGCACGAGCAACGCCACAAGGAATTGCTGGACGAGGTATATAGAGCGCCAGAGGGGAATCCGATCAGCACGTTCCGAGTGTATATGGTATTGGCAATCTCATCTCTCAACCTGTCCCGTCAATGCAAGCTACATCTCCCGGTGGAAGGATACTATGCGTCTGCGATGAAATACGTGGACTACGTCTGTCACGATGGGTCAATGGCCGCACTACAGTGCTTATTGCTGTTGATGGTCTACGCGCTGTACAACCCATCCTGCAATGTAAACATCTGGAACCTCAATTACCAGTGTCTCGCGAGTGTGATTGACTTAGGTCTGCAACGCGACGTCCGAGCTTCCCCGTCTTATCAGATCTCGCTATTCACGCAAGAGATGCGGACACGCGTGTTTTGGGTCGCATACACCTTTGATCGCACGGTTTGCACCATGATGGGTCGACCGATCGGATTGAGGGACGAAGCGTGCGAAATCAGGGTAAATAAGCACTTTCCACTTCTTTCGAGATGGTGCAAGCGTATACTGAACGACAACAGTTTCCTCTCGATATCCCCGACAGTAACCTCATGAACCGCACCGTCGACCAACCCACATCTCTTGAAGCGCCATCGCACATGTCGTACTCAATTCACCTTTTCAAACTGGCACGGCTAAACTCCGAGATAAAATACGTCATGCACAGCATCTGCCGTGACACCCCAGCCTATGCGTACCCGCCTGTAAAAGACATCTTCTCATGGCAACGCGACATGGTCAGATCTCTGCAAGACTGGTACTCGGCGGTGCCACAACATGCAAGAGACCCAGACACGGGAATGACCCTGTACTGCCATTCGAAGTACCACGAGACGATGGTTCTTCTCCTCCGACCCAGTCCGGCCATTCCTACACCCGCCAACGAAATGCTAGACCTCTGCTCCCAGCACGCTTTTCTGCTGCTCCAATCCTTCGGGGACTTGTATGAAACAGGAAGACTCCTGTACAGCCGACTGGCAGTCCACGCCGTCTTCCTCGGGACCCTCGTCCTCCTCCACGGGATCTGGAAGTTGCCCGAAACCGCGACAAGGTTCCGGATCGACGAGCTGATTCTCCGCTTCAACACTGCGCAGAGTATTCTCAGCAGCATCGGTGAACACTGGGCGGAGGCTGCCAGCGCCCGAGACTGTATCGCTCAGCTGTCGAATGTGACCGTGCAGCGGTTGCTCAAGAGCCAGACGAGCCAGTTCGAGACGTCGCCGGCTCGGCAGCGCCATCGAGATACTGGGCCTGTTGCTGCTGTCCAGCAGCTTGGCTATTCCAGAGGTAAAAATGCGCAGGGACCGAGTTCTGGCTCTAATGAAGAAGAAGGTCCCGCGCTGCAATGGCCGGCACCGCTACCAGCCTCCGCTCCGTCCCCGCCTTCTGAGTTTTTGAATCTGTTCGATGATCTCTTGCGGTGTGACTTTCAGGGCAGGAGCGGTGTTTCCGATCTTGATGGGTTGATCAGGGAGATTTTCAGCAGCTCTCATGCCGATGCCGAGAATTGAGGTGAATATTTTGCCCAGGGCTTCTCAGTGATCAAGATTTCGCTTTCCTGTATGATGAATACTGCGCATGGCAGCTTGACCATCTCCCATACGAAGTGATTGAAGCTCAATTTCAAACCCGCCTAATCTTTGTTGGCCGACATTATGAACCCGGATTTGCAGCCACGATACAAACCATGTAAAACAAACCCATGGCGAAGAATGCCAAGACCCGCGCGGCAAAACCCGACGGCAAGAGCCGAAACAACTCGGAAGCGTTCCGTTCCCGTCCCTTCAGCCCCACCATAACAATAAGCAGCGATCAACCAAGCAAATCTAATACAAATTTACCCCAACATTCACACAAAAACGATCCCCCCGCACATACACCCAAGATATTAAGTCTTCCTTTCTCCTACACACCAACCACGATCGGCTCAAAATGACCACCACCAACCCAACAACCGACCCAGCCACCATCCTCGCGCACGTGCAATCCGTCAGCGCCACCCAGCGCGCCAACAGCCCCATCTACGCGCACCTCCTGGCCGACATGACCATCACCGCCGCCACGGAGGGCCAGATCCACGCGACCATCCGCGTCGCCCAGCCGCATATCAACTCGAAAGGAGGACTGCACGGCACCATGTCCGCGTGCATCGTCGACTGGGCCGCCGGGATGGTCATCGCCACCTACGGCGGCAGCTACACGGGCGTGAGCACGGACCTGCATGTCTCGTATGTCGCCTCCGCACGGGAGGGCGACACGCTGGAAATCACCGGCCGGGCGATGAAGGTTGGGGGCACGATGGCGTTTCTGTCTGTCGAGATCTGCAAGGTGGTTGAGGGGAGCGGGGAGAGGGTCGTCGTTGCTACGGGGTTGCATACTAAGTATGTTAAGCAGCGGGCGACTTAGAGTTGATTTGTTGTGTCTATGGGGCAGAAGGTACTAGATGTTCGGTGCTTTAGGGGTGAGATGGATGATGTGTGATACGTGAGGAGGATCCAGATGTTTAGTGATGGTATAGGAAAATGGGCGGCGACAGTCAAGAATGTATATAAAGTTCCTTTTCAAAGGTCTTTGATCGTGGGACTTGAAACCCACACTTTTTTGTTCATCAGGCTTTTTCTGTCAAACATTTGACGATGAATCCGCGATCGACCGATGTTCGGGCTTGAGGCAGCAGGGAAGAGCAGTGCTCGAAAGCTGCACGTATCCGTCTCAATCGCGGTTGATTTCGACAACGGGTCCCGTATACTCCTTTCGCGCCCAGATAACATAATACACGGTGCTCAGCACGCTAGTCCCCGCCGTCCCCACGACCGCCCAGTTCATTGTGCTGGCCGTGGGATTCATTTGGTCCGGCCAAAACGTGAAAAACACGCCCACCGTCAGATAGACGACGGTGAAGCCATTGACGAAGACACCTAGCACGCCCCGGATGTGGAATGGTCCCCAGGCCAGCGGTGCCCCGGGGGTATTGACCAAAGATTCCATAGTGTGGCTTGCAGAGTCCCGGATGCCGCCCGTGCAACGCTTCCAGATTAGCAGCGAGGCGGAGATCAGGTAGGAAGTGTAGAGAGAGCTGACACAGAGAGAGACGACGTCGCTCAGAACGGCGGCGGAGCCCAGGATGATCAAGGCCAAAAGCACGGCGGCTACTGTGACAACGAGAATGGAGTATTGAGGGACGGCTTGGGAGTTGACCTGAGAGTTGGGTGTTAGTGGGAATGGTAAAAGGAAGATGGAACGCTGGATGAACCACATACCCGACTCAGAAAACGCCAGCCAGGGAGACCGCGATCTCGAGCAAAGGACCAGACCATACGAGAGGACGAGGCCAAAGAGCCAACAGCCGTGGCTGTGACTAGGATGGGCACAATAGCGCTCATCACCGTGCAGCCCCCAATGGAGCTGGTGGCTGAGCAGAACACCTGCATATACGGGTAGCCAGTCGGGGATTCAAGTGCCGTCGTGACATCCGTCATGGTGAACAACGTGCTTAGGACCATGCCGAACCCCAGAAGACCGTTGATCAAGACGGATGTCAGAATGGACTGCGGTACAACTCGCTCCGCATTGTGGATTTCCTCACTCATCTACAACAAACATTAGCGATCAGCCGAATCTGCTAGGTGGCCGAGACGCTAACATGGACAGCGGCGTCGGCGCCTGTGAAAGAGAACATGGCTCCTGTCATGCCGACCATGAAAGCCAAGCCTTGTGTCTGGAAGCCTCCATCGTTCCTGAATTCACCGAAAACATCGGCGGCGGGATTGTGACTGCCCAGGTAGAGGAGAGGAATGATGATCGCGAAAAAGCCAGCAATGTGGAGGATCAGAACAAACCCCTCGAACTTCGGTAGCCAGGTGCTGGCGACCGCGTTGACGAACACCGCAAAAGCCAGAATGGCATAGAATAACAATACGGTCTGCCACGGTGCAGGGATATAGGAACTGTGATTTAATACAACCAGGCCCTGAATCTGGGAAGCACTCAGATAGCACGTTGATGTAAATGCGCCAAGCCAGCCAATGACGATTAGCCATCCTAGATGAAAATTCAACAATTGCTCTTCCGGTAATAAAAAAGACAGAGAAAAAGCCAACCCACCTGTAATGAAACTGAGATACTTTTGGCACGATACCGGAGACATCATCGAAACCCAATGGTATTGTCCACCCGAGGTCGGCGCCCTATACAGGTCAGGTCAGGCTACTATATCGCGGTTGAGTGTAGAAAAGCACATACATTGAAACCAATTCTGAAAGTGTCAGAAAAGTCGAGAAAGTGCCCAGCCAGACGACCAGAAAGCTATACACGGTACCGGCAGGGCCTCCACTGTACGATCGTTACCGATAAGATATCTAGCAGATGTAATAGCGAAATTGCGACACGTACTCTTCGAACGAGATGATAAACGTTGACAAGATCCCTTCCCAGGAAGCCAGAATAGTGCAGGAGAAGCCCAAAATGGACAGGAATCCAAAGCGACGTTTGAGAATCTGCTTCTTTCCCACCCGGCCGAGACCCTGGTCATCCTGAATACGTTGTTGACTGGTGCTGGCGCCTTTCGTGTCGTCGTGCCGATCGTAGAGAGAAATCGGCTCCTGCATGCTGACTACCGTGAAGTGCGTGCGTTGCCAAGATGTCACAAAACAATCTAGAGGGAGCTGAAAGACAAAAGTCAAAGAAGAAAACAAAAAGGAGGACCAAGAGGGAAAATTCGGGCTTATCCCTTTTCCCACGCTGTGGCCATTAGCCGGTCAAATGGAATCAGAACGACCGAATCGTCCCTTTCCCAATAGAGGGGCAACAACCCTGTCTAGTGGCATGCGTGGTCCCCTGCTCCTCCGGCACCGCAGTGAAAATTCAATTTACTAGAACGAGCGGGTGAAACATATCGGATGATAGCCTATCTTCCGGGTCAACCCTGTTTGCCCGGGTAGGGGGTGGCAAAGACACTGGAGATCGCACGGAAAATATCAAGGGGGTAGACCCTCTCTAGGTAATTCCCGCGCGTTATCGCAGTAGGCCAATCTCGATGCCTAGGATCACAAGCATCAAGCCTCTTTTCTAGGCATATCTGGGACGGTGCTTTTGGGTGTCTAAGGGTTGTTAGTGTCAAGGCTTTTGTGCCAGTCATAAATTAAAAGAGTGGACTCCTACTGGGTCGAGGCGCACTAGTTCACTAGGCCACTATGCCACTATAAAAGGACCGGATCAAACTAAGTCAGACTGGCGCACGCGCGCCTTGCCCCACATTCCCCTTTTCTGCTAAGCTTCTCTAAGGTCTTGTCAAACCTTGAAGCCATGGTGGGCTGCGCTGCTAACTAAAAAGTTAAACCTAGCGCCGCTCTCGACTAGAATTCGACTTCCCGTCGATGCTGATTGACTCCGTGGTGGAGTTCGGATCATAATGCTCTTCTACTGTCCACGTCATAGTCTGTCGAATGATTCGGCTCTGGCTGGTCTGACTGATGCTATCGTCCCACTCTCGCTGTCGGTGTCCAGTAATCACTGTTGGATCATAGGCCGATCCCTGCAGTTCCTTGAGCTCATGTGCGATGTTACCTTTCTTTCTTCCCGGCCCGGACTCGTATTGTTCATGCGTCGAATTCTGACCGGGCAGGTGATACAGTCGTAGACCTGTGGACTGCAAGCCATCCATGAAGGGTTTCAGATGTGGAACGGATGCGACCACGATGGCTAGACATTGTACCAACTGAACGCAGATGGCCACCTTCCAAATGACAAGTAGAGGCTCATTTTGGGTTGCGTCGATTTTGCCTCGATACACAAGCTCTAGCACAATTGCGGTCACCACTCTAAGCCACAGGAGAACATTGTCAGTTTGCAACACAGGAAAGTTGTTCAAGAAGCAGAGATTATCGACTCACAAGGCGCGAGTGGAGAAACACCCAATCACCACGGCTTTCTTCGTGCGTCTCATTTGAATCTTGAAAACAACGAGGATGGGTAATATCATCAGAGCGCATTCCGTCAGAATGTTGGTTATCCCAAAATAGTGCCACCATGCGTCCTGCTTTCGGGGTCAACCTGAGAAGAATGTGGAGAAACTGAAAGTGAATATCAGTTGCAAGCCCCCTTACCCTGTCAAAGCATGCCTGAGTGAGCCAATTCCACGGTTTGGTGAGACCGCATTGGAAAGCGACGGCAAACTCTGCAGTCACTGCCCATATTGCAATCAAGACGATGAGACCCCATTCGACTTTGCGAGTGCGCTGCATTAAAAATGTCATGAATGTCAGTGAGCTGAGCTTGGCAAAGGTAATACATGGGATGTAAAGTAATTCGGCAGCGTAAATGGCCTGCACTGCCGTGTCAGTTCGTTTCTCGCATGATGCTGGGAGCAATCCGTCGCACCTTCAAGGCCACTGCAAGCTGATTTTGTGAGGAAGCTTTTTGCTCTTGACCGTAACCATTGCGTGCCGCAAGAGCAACACATGCTGTCTGTAGTACTCCGAATATCTAGTTCATTGTTCGACAATTTAGCGATCGCAACTTAGGTCGCATGGGAATCGAGGTCAACTCACAAGAGACATCGATATCAGGTAATCGTCCGTCGTCAGTCTCCGGACGATAACATACTTGATCAAGAGCCGTACACCTCCGGAGAGCACGGCGATCACCATGAAAAGCCATGCGAGGATTCCGATGATCGGGGAACGATTTGTGTCCGTAACAACGATCATGGCTGTTGCTGGCGCTGTTCATGAGCGGCACATTGCCAGTAAACAGGCCACCAGAACGACTCATAGAGAGTCTAGAGGAAGGGCACTACAAACGAGCGACCACCGTGTATATTATTATTTGGTGCGTGTCTCAAATCGTGGTGGATCGGGGTTTTGGAGAAGAACCGGGGGTTCAGCCCACACAATCTATTAGGGTTCGGTGGTTGGTCTGCGCCGCCGCGCCGTCGGGCAGATCCCTGCATAATGTCATTCCAATTTAACTAAGTGTGACCTTAGTATCTCAGCCCACTTCCTGCCTGGGAAAATCTCGGCGAATCTATAATAATCACACGGAAAGGATTGTAAATTAAGCCAAGGCTGGTGCAACGCTATTGTTCTTTTGTTAACCTTTGTTCGCCCGGCCTTCCCTTCTGACGCTACTGTGTCGTCCTTCATTGACTAAAATCAGAAACAAAATCAAAGAGCCGCCAATTATCCAACAGACGTTATGGAATCTCCATTTCGCGAAGGAAAAGCCCCCTTTCAGTATGTGCATCTTTCTGAGCCTGCTCAGACATGGTACCGCGTGTACGGAGACATCACGGTCAGCACCCCTTTGGTGGTGCTGCATGGAGGACCAGGGTTCTGCCACAATTACCTGCTTCCCCTCGCCGATCTAGCTCCCAAACGTGCGGTCATCTTGTATGACCAGATTGGAAACGGGCTGTCCACGCACCTTCCAGAAAAACGTGGCGATCAGGCTTTCTGGACGGTCGATTTGTTTGTGGCAGAATTGGAAAATCTGCTCACCCACCTGGACATTACGGGTAACTTTGATCTGCTCGGTCATTCTTGGGGTGGGATGCTTGGGGCCGAGTTTGCCATCCGTCGACCGGCCGGGCTGCGACGCCTGGTTCTTTCCAACGCCCCGGCCTCGGTGTCGCTGTGGCTGGAGGCTGTCAATCGGCTCCGTGCCACGTTGCCTCCGGAAGTCCAGGCAACGCTCAAGCGATGCGAAGACGAGGGGCAGCTTGACTCGAAGGAGTATGAAAATGCCACGATGGCTTTTCTGGCACAGTTCTCGTGCCGGGTGGACCCCTGGCCGCAGGACTTCGTGGACAGTATCGTTTGGGCCACGGAGACGGATTCGACCGTTGCGTCTACTATGTGAGTTTCCCTGCCTTCGCCTTGGAGTCTGATTGAGAACTGACCGAGACAGGCTCGGACCTTCGGAATTTTGGATTGAAGGTAACCTCAAGGACTGGAGCGTGCTGGATCGACTTCGGACCATTCAGGTTCCCACAATGCTGATCAATGGGAAGTATGACGAAGCACAAGATAGTGCAGTCGAGCCGTTCTTCTGGGGAATTGACAAAGTCAAATGGATCACTTTGTCTGGAAGCTCTCACTGTCCTCAATTTGACGAACGGCAGGAGTATCTCGAGGTTATCGATCGCTTTTTGGCTTCATCGTAGCGGTCTGTTAATCTGATTTTGTGCGGAAATTCACGACATGAAGAGCGATATCACAAGCATTCTGGCACAATTTGATGGGTCCACGTTCATTCAATTGAACTGGTTGCGGTTGGTCTTGGGGGTTGAGAAGAATTTGGGCACCTTCGGCACCAACCACTTACACAGTCCGATGATTTTCGGATTTGGAGAATAGTATCGGACATTGGCACACCAAGTTGTACATTCGCCGCCCTATAAATGAAGGTTAAAAAATGAATATTTTACATCGTTCCCAGTTTTATCACATTGCCTCAACTCAAGACAGCAGACAAAATGCTCTGCCAACCAGAATCCATAATCTTCCTCTCTCGCAACCTCAAACTATCCGCGCACCTCTACGCCCCCAGCGCCGACGCCCCGTCCCGCGCCGGCGCCGCCATCATCATCGCCCACCCCTGGACCTCAATCAAAGAGCAATCCCCAGCCAACTACGCCCGTCTTCTCTCCGCCGCAGGCTTCACTTGCCTAACCTACGATGCGGCCTACCAAGGCGCCTCCGACGGCCAACCGCGCCACCTCGAAGACCCCGCCCAGCGCGTCGAGGAGATCAAAAACGCAGTTACCTACCTATCCAACCGGCACGGCATCGACCCAACCAAGATTGGGGTCCTCGGGATCTGCGCCGCGGGAGGCTACGCCTGCTTCGCCGCGCAGACAGACGTCCGCCTCCGCGCCGTGGCGACCGTCTCCGCCGCGTGCGTGGGCACGCTCACCCGCAGGGGGTTGGAGAAGGACTCCCCTGCCTCGGAAGCTCTCAGGATGCAACTCGAGCTGGCCGCGAAGGATCGGAGTGGTGAGGGGGAGATACCTCCCGTGCAAATGCTGCCGGAGCGCTTCGAGGATCTCCCCGCGGAGTGTCCGGCTGCGATGCGCGACTTCGCGTCTTATTACTGCACGGCGAGGGGGTTCCATCCCAGGGCGGAGGGGCTGTGTTTGCCGCGCAGCTGGGATTTGATGGCAAATTTTGAGGCGTTTCGGTTTAATGCCATGATTAGTCCCAGGCCCTTGTTGATGGTCGTTGGGGAGAAGGCGGTGTCGAGGTGGTTTAGTGAGGAGGCGGTTGGGCTGGCTAGCGAGCCTAAGGAGGTGTTTGTTGTCGAGGGGAGCACCCATGCGGATTTGTATGATAGGGTTGAGGTGGCTGGGGGAAAGATGGTGGAGTTCTTTGGGGAGTATTTGGTTTGATCGTTGGGGTTGTTAGCGGGTTGGTTGTTGCATAGTAGCTGTTGCGGTGGGATTGCTTTAGTGCCTACAATTTATCAATAGAAAGGGCTCATCTTTCTCGATTTGGAGGTTGTATAATCATGCTTGGAGAAGCCGGAATATCATAGCTCTTGGTGGTGAGGGTGTTCATAGCCACATGGACACCGATCCCAGCCTGGACACAGCCCACTGGGCTATCTGGACCAATTTATCCAGTACCACCAAGGAAAAAGTGAGCAGCAGAAGCAATGATCATGCATTCGCAGTTTGCCAAGAGATGCACAAACAATAGGGTCGATAGCAAGTGGTCTGAACGTGCTCCACAAATCAAAATCAACGGTGCAGTCGGGGTTCACAGCCTTCAGTTTAGTCACTTGGGCAGTTCAAGAGCAAGACACGGAGTCGGAATGCTTTTACTATCATTTCCGCCCTGATTTTCGCATCGGCCCTCCGAGAGTTTCCCAATCCCGGCCCGCTTCGGCCTTTTATTGGCCAAAATCTCAGGATGGCCCCGGACCGAGCGACCAACCAATCATGTATCACCACCACCAATCGCCGGCGCGGCTACTATAAGTTGCCCGTATTCTCACCACCAGGAGAGACAACCAAAAACACTTCCCATCCCCTTAAGCCAAATACAATGTCACAGCTCAGAGTTCTTATTGTCGGGGCATCAATTGCCGGTCCAACTGCAGCCTACTGGTTCGCTAAAGCCGGCGCAAAGGTCACTATCATCGAGCGCTTCCCTCAACTCCGCACTAACGGCCAAAATATCGACATTCGCACAGTCGGCGTCACCGTGATGAGAAAGATACCTGGAATGGAGGAGGCGGTGCGAGCAAAGACCATACCACTGAAAGGCATCAGCTTCATCCGCTCTGACGGCCGCCCATATGGAACAATCTCAACAACGGGAGATCCAGACCAGCAGTCACTCGTTTCCGAGTACGAAATCTTCCGTGGCGATCTATCCCGGATCTTGTACGACCAGACCGCAGCTCATCCGAGCATCAAGTATGTCTTTGGTGAACAGGTCGCCTCGATACAACACAACCAAAACGATGGACCTATCACGGTCCAATTTGCGAACGGCTTGTCCGAGGCGGAATTTGATCTTGTTGTGGCCTGTGACGGGGCTACCTCGAGGACCCGGGCGATGGGCTTTGGAGTTGGCGTGCGGGATCACATCGTTCCCACCGGTGGCTGGGCAGCGTACTTCTCCATCAAGAAAGATCTTCTGGAGGGCAGCAACATAGCAAAAGCATACAATGCGGTTGGGGGTCGCTTTATGGCTGCAGGGCCTGATCCCTGGGGTGTGAACCGAGTCGTCATGATCAAAAATCACCCATCAAGCGACAGCAACGCCACAGGACCATTTCAGGATGCGATGAAGCAGGGTGAAGATACGCTTAAAAGATTCGTCGCTCAGACCTTTAACAAAGCCGGTTGGAGGTGTGAAGATATTGTCAAGGATATGATGGAGGCAGAGGACTTTTATACCAGCGAGATCGTCCACGTGAAAGTCCTGCAACTCTCGAAAGGCCGAGTTGTGTTGGTTGGAGACGCGGGCTACGCCGCTTCTACGGGCACAGGGACGAGCCTCGCTATGGCCGGCGCTTATGTGCTGGCGGGTGAGGTCTGCAAGCACAAGGGCGACCTGTCAAGGGCTCTTCAGGGATATGAAGAGACGATGCGGCCCCTCATCGATGACATGCAGAAGGTTCCTCTGCTCCTCCCATCTATTCTTGCACCACAAACATCTTGGGGACTATGGCTTAAAAACACTGTTGTCACCTTTGTCTGTTGGACTGGAATTCTGGAACTCACGCAGAAATTTTTTGCCGGGTCGTTCGCCAATACTAACAGGTATAAGCTGCCCGAGTATGAATGGGAGACCTAGTACTTGAGGCTTTGTGTTTTTTACAGTTAAAGTGTCATGGTACCATTCTCATCTTGTCAAAAGACACACAATATTTGTGTTGAGTATATAATCTAGAGCGAGAAGAATTGAAAGAACAAAAGAGAATAAGGGATTTTGAGGAAACTATGGTTACAGACTTGTGTTGATTCTTGGTTCCTTTTAGTAGTCCTCAGCGATGTTCTATTCACTGGTCAGATTCTTATGTTATGGCCTGAGGCTGGGCCAGTATGTTTTCACTTTATTTTCACTCTCACTTTGGTTTACTGCTTCAAAAACCTCTTCCAGCTCCTGTCTCATCCCTTCTCTTCATCTCTCTACCTCTATACCATTGTCTTTCATGTCCCGCCTATTGCCCTCAACATAATTCGATCACCACGACACGGCTCTCACACCTATCTGTCACCTGTCATCCGTCACCTCTCCAGTTCTCTCCGAAACCATAACACACGCATCACCGTGACTGCAACCGTCTCCGTGTTTTAAGTTGTCGTTGTTTCAAATTCAACTTTCCACGTATCCGGGCCTCCAGATTTTACTGCGACCTTTGCTGGCAAAAGCAGCTGCATCTTAGATCAATTCCGATCATCACAATGAATAAACTCGCCGCCATGTTGCGCAATGCCCGTCAAGGGGAACTCTGCGACTTGAGACTCGAATGTGAAGGCGTCCAGCTCACCGTGCACAAGATTGTTGTCTGCAACGAATCTGAAATGATCAAAACTGCGTGCTCCGCGAACTTTCTAGTAAATGCATCAAGAAACCGAGGAGGTTTACCCTGACGATGTCTGACCTTCAATCAAGGAAAAGCGCACAAATGTTGTCAGGATGGAGGACTTCTCTCTGGCTACTGTTAAGCGGATGGTGGAATACATGTACATCGGAGATTATGGACTGGGTTGTGGTGAGAAATGGGTGTCGGGTACTACTTCTGCTGCTTACGACGGCTTGTCTCAGACTAATGTATGCTGATCGAAAACCAGAGCTTGCCCACTCTACCTCCGATACTATCCCAGCTTCGACTGCTACTTCTGCGCCCGAGACCTCTTTCATGGATACGTCCTTCGCCGGGCCGGGCCCTGATTCCGCGGAACTCACACAACCCACGACTGCAGACATACTACGCCCTCACATCCAGATGAGTATGATTGCAGGGTACTACGTGATACCAGGTCTCCAAGATCTGGCACTAGAGAAGATCAAGCAGGCGTCGGAGCAGACATGGTCACCTGCAGGGTTTGATGAGATGGTGAAAGAGGTCTACGGGTCACTTACACATCAGGCCACTCAAAATCATCTGGCTGAGATGGCCATCAAGCATTTGCATGACCTTCACCGCAACGAGGCACTATTCCCTGATGTGTTCTCCCGGCGTGTCATCTCGACAATGTTGCTACAGCTCGCCAATGCCTTGGAACAGGCAAGTGAAGCTGGAATACAGGCAAACGCGGAGCAGATCCGGGCTTCTCACGCGGAGCAGAGATTCAAAAGGCTGAGGGCCAATCTCGAGGGAATCAGAAATATCCGCAAGTGTCGTCATTGTGATCAGACCTTCGATTCATATTTTGAACTAGCTAATGAGGAGAGCCCCACGTGCAAGCTCCGATGCAGGGCGTGTAACACCCGGCACATTTGCCCACAGCCGTGATGGCTGCTGTGCATTGAATTTCAACTTGTGAGTACTCAATATTCGTTTTAACTGTACTTCAGTCCTTTTTTGTGTACCCTGCCTTAGCTATTCAGTTAACTACTGCGCTGTGCTGAGTTACTACCAAGAGAGAAGCAATCACGTGATCGATACACAGTTCAGCGAAACCGGGCACCAATCAGATCATACCGTGCAATGCCAAAGCCGATCAGAGTTTGTTCACGATCACGTGCCTTCTCCCCGATAACATCCCATCCATCTATTTATCAATTTCCATATCATATTCTCAACCATCAAAACATCAAGCGGTCAAACATAAACCTAGAACCATAAACATGAGCATAGACATAAGCCCCCAACCAACCAGTCACGCCTCAAGCGTACCACCATCACCACCAGCACAGCCCCAACAACCCTCACAGCCAGAACCAAACTCCATGCGCGAACTACCGATCCGCCCACGCGGCCTCCTCTGGCAAACAGACTTCATCACACAGGACCACGAAGCCCGCCTCCTGGAGATCTTCCGCCATGAGCTAATCTGGCCGGAGCGACCGGGTCGGATCTCGCTGCACTACGGCTACACCTTCGACTACAAGACGTTCAACATCGACCCGGCGATCCCGTACCGCCCGTTCCCTGCGTGGCTGGTGCCGTTACTGCCGCCCACGGAGGCTCGCCCGCCGGACCAGGTCTGCCTGCAGTACTACCCGCCGGGCGCCGGCATCCCGCCGCACGTCGACGCCCACGGCCCGTACGACCAGCTGTATGCGCTGTCGCTGGGCGCGCCTGTCCTGATGCAGTTCCGGCGCGGCGAGGACCGTGTCGAGGTTGACTGCGAGCCGCGGAGTCTGATGTGCATGACTGGTGAGGCGCGGTTGTTTTGGACGCATGGCATCAAAAAGCGGAAGACGGATGTGGTGCCTGCTGCACAGGGCGGCAGTACGGTCCGCTTGAGGGGGGAGAGGTGGAGTATTACGTATCGGTGGTTGAGGGAGGGTGGGGAGTGTGGGTGTGGGGATGTTGAGCTTTGTGATACTGCGCAGCGGCGCTTGGGGGTGGAGAAGGAGAAGAGGTCTGTTGTTGCGTTGAGAGAGGCGGCTGCTGCTGACAGTGGGATAGAGGGTGGGAAAGAGGAACTTGCGGGTGAGAGTGAGAGTGGCGGTAGTTGATGAGAGGCTGGGTTTCTGTGTTGCATATATGTGTTGTTTTCGGTTACATACCCTAGCTGCTCGTTACGTGAAGTTCGTCTCTCGGAGTCTGAGCATGATGGCATAGCATCTTACGGAGCGGTCGAATTGAACTTTTGTGTATTTAGACCGAGTATGTCCGTATGTATATCACGCTGCAAAGAAAGGTGTAGAGTCTTTGAAGCAAGTTGCCTTGTTGCCTTCCTGCCTGAGCGTCTACTCTGCACTCAAATAGCTACTGTTTGCCCAAAGCAACTTTATGCATTGACAGTATTTCATACTTCGACTCCAGTCCTTGATCTGGCTTGAAAATCTAGAGATTCTTTGCTATTAGACAAGGGATAACAGGAAACCATATCACATTTTTAGATACATACGCCCATCGAGGCTTATATTGCCTCGACCACCTCCTAGAGCAAGCTCTGAGAATGGGTTGTCTCACTGTCACCGATGAACTAATGTCCCTGGTAACAAGCGCATGGGATGTCGATCAACTGGCTACTATACTTCTCACCAGTGAGCATTTTCACCATCATACTTCTTTGCCCATCCTGGAACATAGATATTTTTGAAACAACCATTATCCCGGCTATTAGCCGCCATGATGGTATTCAAAACAGCCTCTGCGCCCTGTGGAACCGTAAGATCGGCGTCCTGCCCACCCATATCACTTTGCAACCACTAGTATGACAAGTGAGTATGACCGCAAACGTGTTCATGACAGAAAGAGCCAACTTACTCCTGGGTTCACCGCGATGAAGACAAACCCTTCGTCCTCATAGGACAGAGCATATTGTACCGTTAAGGCATTCAAGGCCGCTTTGCTAATCTTGTAGGCCGGACAAGGGGCATAGAATACCTCTCGAGCCTTTGTCAGGGATCCGAATGTGCTTGAACTGTGATTTGGTCATTGAGAATCCGATGGCTAAAAGCACCAAACGTCTCTCGGAATATGCCGCTGAACTTACATATTGACCACCTTTTTGCTTGTGCTATTTTGCATGAGTGGGAGATAATGCCGAATGACGTTATGCGTGCCGGTCACGTTGACTTTCAACTGGAAATCGAGATCGGACCTAGTATATTCAGCGTGGGACTCCGATGCGGAAGCACGAAAAATGCAGACTCCGTACATAGAAGTGATCTTTCCATGGGTCTCACTGTGGACGCCAGCACAGTTAATCAAGATGTCAAGACTTCTGTCGCCCAAGGCCGATCTGACGCTCTCTGCCGACTGGGCGATTGTCCTTTCGTCCGTCACATCGAGAGGAACAAAGACAATAGTACCATTTGCGCCTGAAATGACCTCATGCAGTTCGGAACTGCACTTACGAGCTGTGGCCACTACCAAAGCTTTCTCCGAAGTGCGCTGGGCAGTCAACTGCCTCACCAATTCCAGGCCAAGGCCGCGGGAGCTACCGGTAACGAGGACATTCGACATCATATAACGTGCAGGGATCGGTATTTGGTATCGCAGCAGCCAATAGCGGATACCAGTTCCTGCAGTAAGATTGCCTAATATATGAATCCTGAGTGAGCTTGCCGCATAGCCGAGAAAAGCCTCGATAGATGCAAAAGCCGACCCCGAGCTGCGGCTTCGGATATCCGAACCGGAAAGGCAACAAACCGAACCCGCAACCCCACCACTTCTAGTAGTTTCGTGGAACTCGCTTCTTGTTCAGTCACTCAGACTAAAGAAGGTTGATGCTGATAGGTGGTAACGATAGTGATACCCATTTAGTGACCTGTATTCCGCCAATCGGATAATGCAAAATTGGGTGATCCGTGGGGCGTAGGTTTCCAGACTGTTAGACCACCTATGCAATGCGTGTATGTAGGGGTAAGGCTTCGCCCAATGCCTAGCACAGTCTATTAGAAGGAAAATCATACTTTAATGTTCTTAGTTTGAGCAACCTCTTTAGATTCTATTGAAGTGATACTGTTCTTCCATCATCTTTACCAACACCTTGGAAGCTGATCAAAATGGCTATATCACACCCAGGCGCTGCTTCATTTACAGTACTGCGCTCGCTACTGCGGTCTGATAAAATAATAGAGCCCGATACCCCAGAATATCGCCAACGAAGCCAAACCTGGGCAGCACAGAAGCAATGCATTTCGAGGCTGATCATTCGGCCCATTACAATTAAAACGCTGAGCAAGGCCATAGCCTACTTATACACCCCGGACCTGGACTTTGCAGTTTATGGTCACCGCTTCAGTTCTGCTTCGGCAGAGGATGTCGTAGTGAACATATCGGCAATTGACAACTTTGACTTCGACGCTCAATCCGAAGTAGCGACAATTAGTGCTGGATAGACATGGAGTGATGTTACAACAGGCTCGGCGAGGTGGCGCCAGCATTGGGAAGTAAGTATTGTGTCTCTGTGCCGTTGTGTCTTCTGTAGCTCGATACTGACATGTGTTTGCGTTACAATAATTGTCGGCGTTCGTACCCCCTGCGTCGGAGTCGCCGGTACCATCCTCAGTGGCGGCTATTCGTGGCTCTCAAGCAAGTATAGTTGTATCTCCGACCAGGCCAACATGGTGGACGCGCAAGTCCCACGAGCTGACACGCCCTCCATTTTCTTGTTTCATCTAGCGAGAATTAGAGGGGGGTATATCGAGCTGTGCACGCCCAAGTGGCACGAAGCATATACTGCTTCTCGGGACAGGGTGTGCTGCAGACGCCGGCCCAGTCAAGGAGAAGCTGGCTCGGGACCTGGCTATTCAGGCTCCCTCTGAGGTACTGGAAGACTCGGCAGAAGTTCAAGTATTGCCGAACGGTATTGAGGACTATCATGATACTAACAAGTTATGTGCTACTTTTATCCTCCATGTTAAGCTACTTATATCAGAGTGTAAATCTGGGGCCCGCATGCCGTGAATCTGTAGGGTTTGCGGCAGCAATCTGATCCGCTTGAGAGATTCAAAAGAGCGATTAAGGCAGAAAAGACCCGAGATTGATAGTCAGCTCTGGCAAAGCCGAGGGAATTGTGCTCTAATTTGAGTTTTGAGTTTAGATGTCGACGGAGGTATGATTGGCAGGCGTTTATCTAAAACTCATTTGAGCCGAGTGATTGGACAACTATTCTGTGTCAATAAAAACTGAATGGATCATTTACACTAAAAGAGCTATATTTGTATCATGTTGGCCACGGCATGTAAATTATTGAGTCCCAGGATGTGATTATATCGTATACCTGTTGGTGTGTAGTTAAAAAGGTGCGGTTCATCTGGGTTTCTTGATTGCTGGGTGAGACAAATATCTAGGGGCTGTGACCGCTATGCATGTAAGACGCGATGTACTAATGGATATGCACACCGGACTGACGCAGGGGTTCTAAGAATGACACAACTGCCATAGCTTAGTGAATTTTCACTTCGTGCAGAGGAACGCAGCTGCAGCTGTAGTTCGGAACTGGGCACCAAATAGCAGACGAACTCCTGGTTCTATGCGATATACAAGTGGAACAGCAACTGAGAAGTATCCGGGAATAGTGAGAAGAGGATTCCGGTGATGATGTCTAGGAAGGACATTCCGCTTTTTCTGAGGTTGAATCCGTGGATCTTCTGGAAGGCGATGGGAAATGCTTCGAACCATATATATAAGATTCTGTACACGAGAGAGATGTAGATGTTTATGATGAGAATAATGAGCTCTAGGAAGCATAGCTGGAAGGGGTGAACAAGGGCCTTGAAGATAATTTTTTATAGTACTTATTAGGCCTACTTCGTGCAAGAGTATTTGTGGCGGGTTAAAAGTTGAAGAAAGACATACCATTGATGAAATGCTCCGTATCTCAAGTTCTGCCTTGCAGTAAAACGGCTTTCCACTGATTTGACGTAGTCTTTGAGCGCGATGATAGAGGATATTCGGTTTATATGTCTCGGGTAAAAGGAACACCAATAACACCAGAGCGAATGCAGACACCCAGATGAACTGCCAAACAGTCCACGTCCAGCCCTTAGCTGACGAGCAGCAGAGAAATCCCATGTGCAGCACAGCAGATGTTATTTCATGCGCATTTCCATTTGCGCACCGCCGCGTTCGGCATCCGATGCCAATGGCGAGAGTGGAATCCCCATGAATCGGCTGGCCACCTGGACGGTCTGCTTATATGCAAATGTGGTGAGGTCATAAATCAATATAGATAATAGTCCGGGCGCGGATGCGGCAGGGTTTCCCTTCCGCTCGGTAGTCCGATTTTGTATGGAAACGACCCTCTGAAAGTATCAGAATCGAGTTGCATTGCCACCACGAGCCCGTTTCTCTACTACCTGTCTCGTAATTCTGAACAGAACAGGCCACGGTTCGGCTTACTGACCTGATTCGAAACTCAATATACTACCCCCATTTGCTGTCACTCGGTGCAGTAATCTACGGTGTGGAACTCGCTCTGCGATCACGGTAATTTTTTTCCCTTGAAGGATCAAATACCCCTCTCGTCATTTTAAAACAGTACGCTGCACCCTTCGGGAATGCTGACCCTCAGGAGCTAGCTGGTACTATGCCTCTTTACAGCTGCCTCTTCATCCATCTCTCGTCTTGTGCACATCTCCCTCCTTTCGACTATATAATTAAGGCAGGTTCAAGAAGACGTCCAACAATTTGGGGAAGTTCGGTGTTCCGAGCCCGGTTACCGGATCCCATCTATAGGCCCTCAATCAGCAATTGTTACATAGCAAGGGAAAAGACAACGACTTACCCCGGAGCCGTAGAGAAACCATCGGTCCCACAGCCAGGATTGGTTCCATTAGTGATATCATTCAACGCCTCCGCGTTTCGGTACAGAACGGGATTGAGGAAACCCACCGGACCCTTTCCAGCAGCAATGCGCTTCTCGATAATCCGGTTGATCACCGACGCAAAAATAGGAGTGCCTGCAGGTTTCGTCAGAAGTCGGCTTTTTTTGATTCTACTTAACAGGACACAACTCACTGGCGCTGGTGCCTCCTTCCAGAATATATTTTGCGCCGTTGAACATGGCAATATTGTCACCATTGGCGGCGACATCTGGATATCCGCGTCCAAGCCTGTTGTAGACTCCTCCATTCTTACCGAGGTTGGCCCCACCTTTGTAGTAAGGGTAGGGAGGGTTGTGCTTCTTCAAATATCTGTATGACAGGTTGTTAATGCTTGAGAGGCGAGTCGTCATCTGAAGACACATACTCGGCTACTGCTTTGGACTGGTAGTCTGGGATAGGGTAGATATTGCTGAAGCCACCGCCGGATGCGTATGCTACTCGATAGGGGCTTCCAGGCGGATCATAGGCGGCGCTCTCTCCGTCGGCGACAGTGTGTCCGGGATACAACTTCGTGGCGCCAACGTTGGTGATCCAGGGACAGCTATCGTGGGATATATTAGTGAGAAGGCTTAACTGTGAGATATTTGGGTCGCGATCACCTGTTGGGGAATGCAGGACTGAAGACAGTTCCATTTCCAAGACAGCCGTCATTACTATCATCCCCAGGGGGTCCAGCAACTCCGTCATCTCCGGAGGCAATTAGAATAGATGTACCCTGAAGCCCGAGTTTGAGGAACCTAGCTCATCAGCTGCGTCTATGAATTCAGGGGGAAATGATACCTACTCGTTACACTGACGCTTCTGGTAATAATCCGGGAGATCCTCTTCCTGAGACCCATAGGAGATGGAGATGACGTTTGTCGGCTTGTAGGTGCCGCACATCAGCTGTCCTGTATACCCTCCCTGATATGTGTCCGGGTAAACGGGATCGAGGCCCGGTGCGTCACCACACTCTCCATCAGCACAATAGGTACAGTATGACTAGAAAGTGTGTTAGCAGAAGTAAAGTTGGGGGGATCGTCACGCTCACCCCATCGAGCGCATCGAGAAAAGTGTTGAGGAACCCGGAGGTGTAAACCTGCTGGCTGGCATAGTTCGAGTCATCGGTTTGGAACAACGTAATCTCTTGCGGGTAGACTATGGGGTATGCCAGTTGAAAGTCCAAGTCTGACTCTGTGCCGGCTTCATCAACCGGCACCGGCGCCTCAGCCCCATCAATGAATGCAGGTTTGGGATGGGTGCCCTGGGGAATCCAGCGAGTAAACTTTTGGAAGAACAAGTTCAGATCCTCCTGGGAGTAGTAGTCGCCTTCCTCGAAAATGCCTAGTGAGTTGTTTGGGCTCACATTCTTACTGGAAGCGGGAATCTTGTACAATGCTGCAATGCAAGCTGGGGTAATAGCCTGGTCACATGTGGCAAGAGACAAAGGGCTTGGTGTGGTCTTTTTGGCGGGCTGATACCTAAGAGGCTTTCGCCCAGCTTGGCGCTTCCTCGACGTCAAGGGTAGGAGAACACCCGGCTTGATATAGTCGACGTGTGGTTGAACTACCTGGGGCAGACGGTATCTGGTTCTGGTCAGCACAGAGTCTACCCAGGGACCTACTTGCCGTAGACTCACTGGTCGGTAGCAATTGTTGTGGAGCCGGTGGCTTTGTTCCTGTAATAATAGTACTGGGTGTGGAGGAGAGCTTCCGCCTCTTCAGTGGTTGCATTGAAGACGATCCAGGCTTTGTTCTTTGTCTGTCCCAAGCGAGATTGATCAACTCCCGCTCCGATCAACCAGTTTCGTACAGCTTCGACAGAAGCGTTGGAGGGAGCGAAAGTTTCCGCCACTTTCTCTGCCGTCCAGAACTTGCCGTAGTTGGGCGATACTGAGTCCGATCTACCTTGAGTTCAGCGCTTGCCATCTGGATGAGATCAGCAGAAGGAGTCACGTACACATCCATGAGATATTCATAGCCACGATCAAGATTGCTTTGAGTCAACCCGATGCGAACAATCACAGTTTCGGTGCTATTGACCCGAGTGGTCTTCTCCCATAGGGTAGAGGCACTGCTGCGCTTTTCGTGAAGTACATGGTCCGATTTTGGGAGTGCCACTGACGCTGTCACCAGTGACAGTGCACAAAGGGAGGAGAGGAATCTCATATTGACTGGGAGCTCGGTGACTGAGACGTGATAGTGACGGTTTATGCACTCATTTATAAATCCCCGGAGTGTGCCCAACCGTCAGTTCAATCTCCGTCTTCCCCGACGGAGGTAACATCGGTTATGCAGCATAGTCAATTTAGCGCCTGTGGGCACAAAAGCCAGATCAATCCGTCTGATTGCATGGTTTTGACATGATAAGGATTCTGCAGTCTCTATTCGCTTATCCTGCGACTGTCCCGCTTGTAGTTTTGAGACACTCTCCACTCAACCTGCATTAGTGGCACATCACGCAAGCTTGATTATCTTTGTCAATCTGCGAACAATTACCATATTTTTGATCGAAATATAATGGACTCTACATTGCCGTGGTCTTCACCACGTAATACGCGGGGTTCTAAGACATTAATAATATAAGGAGTATTTGATGATTTGAAGTCATCCATGCTTACATTCATCCCTTACACCCCAGGGTGCAGAATTTTCAAAGATGACAGCTCTGGTATTCAGCGTCAAGCTTAAAACCACGATGAGTTGCCATCCATAGGGTCTTACACACATCTTCACAGTGTGTAAGAACTACCACTTTGCATTCTTCGTCGGTAGCACTTCTCCCCTTGCAAGTTGACCTCTACTGCGTATCACCAGAGTCAATTCTCTGTTACAGTAGACATTTAGGGATAGAGAATACGAGAATACGCTCATTGCAGCATCAAGTGCAATGAAGAACAATTGTTCAGTCCTCCTCAAGTAGTAGTCAGAAGTCAGAAGCGAATACTACGCCCAGCAAAAACGTAAAACTCCTCCTGCTACTGTGCAATGGGAGAGTGAGAGCATTATGCATTATTCTGAACCGCTGTTGCACCAATGGAGTTTCGCTCCAGCGAAAGCTTCCCTGTCTCCGCTGTCTTCGCAGATACCAATTCGATCTTATACATAGCCATATATGCGCTTGAGTAACGAATCCGAATTTCTGACGCTGGCTTCTGGTCAAACAGCACAGATCACGTGATTATCTTATTCACAGCGGCAGCACGGGGATCATGGAAATTTTGTGCTTTCCTACGCTTGACGGTCGGCCTCCCCCTAAATGGTGTATCGTTGCTGTCTCCTATAAATACGTGAAGCTGAAGCGAATATCTAGAGTTCCCAGGAGCACAGTCTCGAATTGCCTGTCAGTTCCAGTGTCGTTGCGGTCTTCCCGCATTTTCTTGAGAAATATAGTAGTCGAGATTCTCGTACTATCTGTATAGGGAATCAACAACTTAGGCGGAAGAATACAGGCTATCATGTTTGTGAGGGTAGCAATCAACGGCTCGGTCTAAAGGACAAATTGACTCTGCCAATTTGTTAGGATTATGTTAGTCTGTTGTCAGTGAAGATCACCCGGCGATTCAAGTACATCACATCGGCATATTCTGTACAATTGACCGAATAGTCCGAGATTGAAAAATCACTAGACCCTGGTACAAACTTCTACATAAATGCTCAGAAAATTGAGTCTCTCCTTGTTCCACTAAAGCAGAATCCAATTTCTCAGGAAAATCTACTTGATCTTCTGCTTAAATACAATGGCGAATCTCGAAAATTCAATTCCCCCAGCCCTTGTTGGTGCTCAAGGAGACCCCGAGCCAGCGCAGCTGGAGAAGACAACTTTCAACTTCCCAGAAGGAGGATTACGAGCGTCGTTCGTGGTGTTAGGAGCCTTCTGTGTGTCGTTTTCCACATACGGATACATGAACGCCTATGGGTATCAGCAATCGTCATCGAAAAACATTTGGACTCAAGAGAAGCTGACAAATAATCGGACGTTCTAGTATCTACCAAGCTTACTATGCTGGTCACTTCCTCTCCGACAAATCTGCTTCTGCCATCTCCTGGATCGGCTCTGTGCAGCTTTGCTTTCTTTTCTCCGGGAGTCTTGTCGGCGGGCCATTGTTCGATCGGTACGGGGCTTCCGTAAGTGAATTTATTCCGATTACTGCTCGCAAGTGTTTATATCGCTAAGCCATATTTCGAAATCAGATCCTTCGTGTTCCCGCCATTGCGCTCGTTGTCTCGGTCATGATGACTTCTTTGTGCAAAAAGTACTATCAATTCATGCTTGCTCAAGGAATACTCGGTGGCATCACATCAGGGATCTTATTCGCCCCAGTTATGACCTGCGTGAGTCATTATTTCCACAAGCGACGTGCAGCAGCACTGGGGGTGACCGTCTGCGGCTCGTCCCTCGGGGGCGTAATCTTCCCGATTGCCTTGAGCCGGATGCTCCGCAATGAGTCTCTCGGCTTCGGCTGGTCGGTCCGCATCATCGGGTTCCTCATCCTGTTCATGGTCTTAATCTCCCTCGCGACAATCAAGGAACGGCTCCCTCCCCGCCGTGGCGCCATTCTGCTCCCCTCGGCCTTCACCAACCGCCCTTACACTCTGACCACCCTAGGCCTGTTCTTCATGATGTGGGGTCTATTCACTCCATTCTTTTACCTCCCTCAGTACGCACAGCTCCACGGGATGTCGGCGTCACTATCGTCTTACCTGATTGCCATTCTCAACGCCGCGTCCGCGTGTGGGAGGGTCCTCCCCGGTCTGCTAGCAGACAAGCTGGGCCGGTTCAACATCCTCATTGTGATTGGCACCTGCACTGGGATCCTGCTTCTGTGCTGGATTGCCGTATCCTCGCATGCTTCGATCGTGGTGTTTGCGGGTCTTTATGGTTTCTTTTCTGGCGGTATTGTGTCTTTGATGTCCCCATGTATTGGGCAGGTCACTCCGGTGGCGAACCAGATCGGGACGTATCTCGGTATGGCTCTGGCCGTTTTAAGCCTGGCAGGCTTGACCGGGACTCCAATATGTGGCGCGTTAATCCAGCGATATGGAGCATATACCCAGGCTGCGCTCTTTAGTGGGGTGGTGGTTTTAGTTGGTGTGGTTTTTATTGTTCTAGCACGGTTCCATCAAGGAACGAGGATTGTGGGTAAGGTTTGATTGATGCTGTTGAAAGGACGTGCGATAAGATGGGAGTGTACAATTGCTGGACTTGGAAACGGAGGAAGTGGGACGATCGGAGAGGAAATGGTCGGTGAAGCCGCCCTTATAATTCTGTATGTTGGCTCATGTCTAGAAATATAACGAAGGATCTTGGAGAAACGAATCTAAGGAGAAGTCATCCTCCCCGAGGTCCAGACTATCCGGGAACTGAGCAATGGGATTAGCTACCACGATGCGAAAAACAAGATGTCTGCATACCAATGAACTGAGACCGCCGGTGATTTCGTCGGGCATAGTGGAGATCGAAGTCTGCGCCAACTCCTGTTCGGACTCACTGCGATGCTTCCATGAGCTACAATAGTCAAGTTGCGTGGGAAGAGTGGGTAAGAAGACGTACACTGGCTGCACAGGAAGTCCATCTCGTAGCAGACAAGCCCGAGCCGTGTGTAAGAAGGTACAGACTTCGATGGCTCGATCGGCAGCCTCCTTGTCACTCCTTGCGATCGCCTCTGGAGACATTCTGGACTTGGCCAATCCTATGATCATGCCGACAAGATAGTACTCATTTAGCCCGTGGAGCGTCCTACTTATTCTTTTTTGTAAAGTATAAAGGACATCCTCGACTGCATTGATAAGATGATGTGAGAATCCCATGGCTGTCGTCAATCCAATGACGTCTTCTGATTCCTGGTTAGAACTGGGGCTCTTTGTTGATGACGGAACTGCATCAAAAGCCGAAGGCGGATGAGACTTTTGCACTCACTGCGAGGTTCATGCGACAGGTATATCTCATGGCAGATATTCAAAGCAGCCACCATCAGCCCTGCCGAACAAGCGTGTCTCTCAAGAATATTACCCTTGATGAGATTTTGATAGCAATCCAGGATAGCTGCGCTTGCATCGAGACGGGATCGACGGGATATCGCGGAACGAGACGACGGTGAAGACTGACAAACAAATTTCGTATGCAAGAAGAGAGAAAATTGCGAAAGGTGAATCTGAAGCATTTTCTTCAAGTACAACGCAGACTTCTGCTGACGTGGATCTGCTGCCGGGCTGTTCCACTCAGGAATGTCGCGAAGCGCATTGTACAGAGATTCGTCCAGTTCCACAACTCGATCGAAGTCGAGCATAACATCATATCCATTCACATAAGCACAGATCTCCAGCCTGGCGGATAACGAACGAAATAAGGCAACTTGAAAAGTGGTATCAGTCAACGTTTCAAGTGGCATGACCAGGTCTGGATCGTGAAGTGATTCGTGAAGCTTGTCGTCATTGACATGCAGCGGTGATCGTATAGAAAAATCATTAACTCGGACAGTGGGCGGCATCCCTCGTTCTATGGCGACCTGAACATCGAGCTCCACAATAGTCAACCATAATCTACGACGCATTTCCTGATCATAGGGCGATATTCGAGATGCTGGGTTTATCTCTCTATGATAGCCCGCTGACATTGCCTGTCGAACCAGCGAGCCGGTGCTCGTCCACAACGAGCTTCCTTGGATATAGTTCGCTCGCTTTGCAATGAGCAGTAGACAATGACTGGTAATTGCCTCAATCGAATGCGGGACTAATTTACCAGGGATACTTAGCCATGCTTCAGCAGCTTCAATCCACTGCATTGTGGAAGCATATATCGATCCCCCGCAAGGTTTGGCGACATACTTGTCGCTATGTAGGCTTGCACCGGTCGCAAGGACTAGCAACAGCTGAATAAAGAAAGCTGGGGTAGCCGTCGTCTGGTTTGCCCAATAACGACTGTACTCCGCCATGAAAGTCGATCTGTCCAGCACACGATGTGTGACTTCGAAGCGATCAAGGTAGCTCTGCACCCACAGATCAGTCGATGACTTAGGCGGTATCATTAGCCTCAATGAGACTTCGTTCAGTTGGCGGTTTATAAGGTTGTCGTGACGTGTTCCTTCAGTCAAAGGCCCAAAAACCCTGTCTCTCGCAGCATTGATCGCAGGGTACCTGGCTTTGACCCCGGCGATGTACGATCGGAGCTCTGGAAACTAACATCTATCATCAGCACTCAATCTGGGATGCTTATCTCGAGACTCTCAAGTTAAATACCTGTTGGTAGAAGTTCAAGTGATAGCTATATCCGTAAAATTGTACAATGCTACCTCTTGTTCGGAGATGAGTGATATCCTTGCTACCAGGTAAGGGCGGGGGAGCTTGTTCACACAATCCTCTTTGATCTGATACGCTTAGCGCAGGCACAGCTCTTCTTCTTTCGAACTGACTCCCACTGGGAGTGTCGCCTCTCTGGCTAGTCGAATTTCCGCGATACGTGCATTCGTTGGCGATTCCTGCTTTCACGCAGCGGCTACAGGATGGGGATTCCTTTCCACACTTTAACTTCCGCTGATAACATTGGAGGCAAGCCAAGGGGGGTCGCCTCTTCTTGGTCCCTGGTTTCACTATTCGACGTGTTCCGGGCTGAGGGTGATCCATTCGATTTCTGGTGAGACGGAATGACTCGGACAATTGAGGAGATTGCCGAGTGCGGGGCGGAGAGTAGTTGCTTTTTATATCCATGATGCCGTGTTCCAACCCTCTCGGTGTTTTGCGCCTTACGTCCGAACGTCGGAGCTCGGCAAATTCCAACAACGGCAAACAGAGCGTTTTCGATCGCTAATGTCCCCTTTGAAGAGGGTGCTTGTATGAACAAGTGACATCTCCTGAGCACGGTTTCCCAGAGAATATGCTCGTTCAAAGTCTTTCACACGGTTCTAGCTATATACCATTAGGGTCGATTGCTTGAAAACTCTAGAGAGAGGTGAAAAAGAAAAATGAAATATGAAAAACTAAAACTGATTGAGAATACCTCATTTGTAAACCATGATCAATTGCACCGTATATCTAGACATAATACTATAGGTATACTGCGGGAACCACCCTATGTTGATTGTTCTATCATCCACTAGGCTGATGAAGTTTATCTTTTGCTAACGCAGATGAAAGAAATGGACTCATCTCTACTGCAAGAAAAAGAAAAGAAAAAAAGACGGCAGCTACCACTAAAATGTGTGAGCACCACAAGGGACATGACAATCCCCGTTATTCTGGTCTTGTTTCCGCGTGCATGATCAACTATTCAAGGCGCCCAGACCCAGAGCTAATACTAGAATAATCAACACCCTGCAGGTTCAACATTACGCACGGTCTATGGCACCAAGTGTACTCCTCCCAAACTGCCACATCGCCGATCGCCATCAGACGCCATGCCTCTGAGAGCAGAGGAACGCCTAGCGCAGGAGGTGCTTCTGGAGCCGTTGATGGCAGATTTCCCCGAGTACGCCCTCGTACTGTGCGGACTATGTAATGCCCATGATCATGCCGACCCAAATACTCTGTTCTGGCGCTGTTCGCAAGAGGGCTGTGGTGCAATCTATCACGAAGCATGCATCGTCGCAATGCCTGATCATTGGTCGGACGAGCAAGTAACAAACTTTGGATGTGCCAAGTGCGGGAGCGAATGGTATGTGCTCGGTGAGAACGAACACCCGGAGCCAGGTGAGCAGGTTTCTACTCCGAGCGTGCCCGCCAAGTCCATCCCAATGAGCTTCACTCAAGACGCCGATGGCAAGAGATTGACATGTACAGTGGTTGAAGAAGACGGAATGCCTTGCGGGAAAACGTTCCTCTACAAGCAAAGCCTCGAGAGACATCATCAATACAAGCACGAAAACCTCACCTATCCATGCTCGGTATGTGGCAAGGTGTTTATGCGTAAAGAAAGCATGATGCGACATCGCACTACTTCTCATAGGCTGCGTCTATACAAGTGTCCAGTCTGTGATAAACCGTTTGGCTCGAATGAGCATGTGAAAGCTCACTACTACGCTGTGCATGACCCTGAAACTCTCAAGTGTCCGCACTGCGAAGGAAATTTCTCACTCAAGGTGAATCTGGCCCATCATATTGCCCAGTTTCACGAGAAAGGCTCCAATCCTGCCTATCGTCGGCTTAAGTGTACGGAATGTGGCAGGACTTACACGAGCAAATACAACCTGGCACGGCACGTTCAAGAATCCCACAACAAAAAGAAAGATGATGCAGCTAATAAGAAGAAGCACCGTCCCAATAAACGCTCCAGAACGGCTTCAAGTCAGTTCAAATGTGAGGATTGTCAAATGTTTTTTGCCACAAAGGGTACTCTAACGCGACATCGTAGGAATCTCCATAGCCATGAAGGCACCACCAATGATGACGACAAGGATACTACAACCAATGGTGAGGATGATTCCACCGACGAGGAGGATACTACAGCCAATGGTGAGGATGCTCCCACCGTCGAGTCTTCCGGACCGGGCTATAATGAGTACATGTGTGAAGAGTGTGACAAGCCTTACCGCAGGAAGGCCAGCTTGATGCGGCATCTTAAGAACTGCCATAGCCAAGACGAAGCTGACGATGAGGAGGAGGATTCCACAGACAATGATTAGAGCCCTCCCACCGACACTGAGGAGAAGAGATATACTTCATCATTTTGATTTTGACGTATCTACTCCTTCAAACTAGCAGTCTGACTGTCGACGTACAATGTTCAGCTGGTTTGGGTTGTATTCCTAAGATCTTCTTCCACATATCACTTCCATGATGATGGTAGCTTTCACCATCTTTCACAAAATCAACATCATTTTTTATATCATTACCCTTCTTGCTTGTAGCTACCTAACATTGTCAGCTCTTTTTATCCTCTTACTTTGTTTCTTGTGTAAACAACATTAGTCTATTTCGCCTGGATCCATCGTCTGACATCAGATACCAGGACGGATTAGTTTTTATCTTATGGTCTTCTGATGATGAAATCCTGAGAAACGTGGAATTCAGTTCAGGCGGATTCAGCAATCACTTTTCGCGCCCGTGGTATCAGCGGTCGACCATGGAGGAGTATATGGGGAATTGCGTTTCGAAGGCCATTCGGGCGTACTATTCCCGCTATTCCAATTTCGCCGGAAGGGGGCTCCCTGACCTGGCTTCGCATAGCTTTGCGCCGAAGTGGGTGTCCCCCTGTAACCTACTCAGGAGATTATAGATGCTGAGTCACTTACTTTCGCCCGGTTGGGCTTCAGCTTTGAGCTAGTGCCTTATGGAGAGACCGAGGATGGGGGAGGCACATCTGCCGCGAGTCCAGTCGTGGGCGACATAGTCGCCTTGCCAAATGACGCGCGCTTGCGGGCTGGCAAACCGACCTCGGGTTCTTGAATCCCCTGCTCTATAGTTGAAGGGATTGACAGGGGTGAACGATGTTACTCCGGGGGGTATGCTATCGGGTGTAATGGCATCAATTCTCTTACTGGTCCTGTCAATGGGTTCGGGAGTTATCCCTTGGGCGCGATGGAATGCTACTTCGGTTGGAATCCGGTGACTGGGCTGGGAGCCGTCAATTTCGGCTTGTTGAAGGATATTGTCCTTGCTTGAGGTTACAGCTACCCAGGGCTAAACTAATACTCTGGGTTCTTATATTTCGTGCACCGTTTCTATTGGAAAACCTTAGACAATCTGTCTCTCTCTTCCTTCACCCATATAGATCAATTTTTTTAAAACACATTCCCTAACAATATTCAGTAATCGTCCATCTCCCATCAATGTCTGCACATCCCTCGCATCTTTCATCTGCTCCGCCACGCAGCTGAGTCGTTGTGCAACCATGATAACAGTAAGTCCCTCTTTCATAAATCCTCGTCAACAATGCGATCAATTGTAGCTTCTGTAAGCGGATCGAGAGATGAGGTCACCTCATCCAGCAATGATCGTTATCTTTCAGACTGTGAGCTGAAACTAGCAGAGTGAGGGAAAAAATGATAGGGTGATAATTGGCGGTCCAAGCCGACACTTCGATAGTTGCTGTGGGTACAGGCTTTCAAATGACCGATGTTGCCTGTTTCTGCAGGCTGTATCAGATTTTCATCCCTCTCGTTCCTGTTATGACCATGACTTCAAGCGATATGTTCATCTAGGCGAGCCACGTCCCCAAGTTATACTATCACGGATGTGCAAATAAACGACATAAGGCCCAATTCCAGCCACACCAATAATCCTCGCTCCTAATCAGTCACAAAAAAGCCCTTCCGACGCCAGAAGTCCAGAAACTTCCTTAGTAGGTCTGCGCTAAGGGGCGTATAATGGATTTCCGGGGCATTCTTGAGGACTGCCATGGTATTGGTGCAGTCATACCGGGGAGCCTGCCGACTCGTCTGGAACCGCGACAGCCCACCAATGACAGGCTCCTGGAGCATTGGCAGAAGGGGCTTTGCCGGATTATCCTGGCCATTTGTCTCCTGTAACTCTCTAATCCAGTCCCAGTAGGGCAGTAAGCGAAGAGGATAGCCTACTTCGACTATGATTTCGTAACTCTGCTCCATGTCCACCGAGACCTCCAGAGAAGGCGGTACGATGCAGTACGAGCGGCCCAAATTCTTCTTGTCGGTCGCGATCCGCAGAATGCTGTCACAGACATAGTCCACTGTCACGTATTCTAGGCGCTGGTTGGGCAGTTGAGGGAATGCCCCTAGGCGGATCGATCCCAGGAAGAGGCGGGACACGAAGTCATTTGGATTTCCGGCACCGTGACGGGTGTCCCCAATGATAAATCCCGGTCGATAGATTACAGTCGGAAGACCGCGGTCACGAGCACGTCGCACCATCTCCTCGGACACCCATTGACTAGGCGCATAGCCAATATCATAGCGGAGGGGTCCGATGTGTGGGAGGAGAGCTTCGTCCTCGAACAGTTCCCGTGTGCCGTAGATTAGGCCAGTCGGACCCCAAACGTCGAGGCTGGACATATAGTGGAAGGCTTTTCTGCGCCCTTGAGCTGCCAGAGCAAGAATATTCCTCGTTCCTAGAACATTCGCTTCGAAATGGGCGGAGTAGGGCTCACAGTAGTTGACCTTGGCTGCTAAGTGAAAAATGGCGCTGATCCTGTCCGCTAACCGGGCATAATTCTCGATTGGCAAGCCGAGATTCTTCTGAGTGATATCCCCTTCCAGGACAACCAACTTGTCGAGGTTATTGGTTGCAATTTCTCGAAGGTCATAACGCTCGATACTCTTCTCTATACGCTGACGGGGTGTCAGGCCCTGCTTTGCCCGCGCCAGGCATACAATCTCCTGCACTTCCGGCAGGTTGGCCAAGCGAGATATGAAGTGAGCTGCCACATACCCGGTCACGCCAGTGACAAGAAGGCGTCCTTCCTTTTCAATGGTCCAGTCTATAACTGAGTTCCAATCCTCAGCCGACCAGGATGGCTCAATCTCCAGCCCATCCGCAAGTCGAGCATCAGCAATCCAGCGGTCAGCTTCGTCGGGCGCATTCCCTCCTTCCACAAAGTCACCCAGATATCTGACCAACATATCGAGACGGCTGTGTTCCACGAGACCACGCATGGAAATCGTCCTGCCTGTGGGTCCACGCAGCTTTGAGATCAGCGCCGCCGCCTGCAGTGAGGTACCCCCAAGTTCAAAGAAGTCATCATCATCGGTGAAAGAGGCCTTATTCAGTATGGAAGACCAGAGGCTTCTGACAATCTCTTTGGTGCCCCATCTCTCCTTGCAAAGAGAGGTCTTCGCCTCTCGCTTCGCCAAGTACCTCTGGGTCAAGGCTTTGCGGTCGACTTTTCCCCGATCGTCCAATGGAAGTTCCTGGAGGAACACGATTTCGCTTGGGATCATGTACACAGGAAGCCTCTCCCTCAAATAATCATCCAACTCCCCGACTTTTAGCGTATGTGCAATTGCCGGAATGACAAACGCGACTAGGAACGTACTGTCGCCAGCTCTATTCCCCGGCACTTGAAAGACAACAGCCTCGGAGAGATAGCCGCTGGATAGTAGCATGTGTTGGATCTCCCCAAGTTCGACTCGGAACCCGCCGTGTTTGACCTGAGAGTCTGTCCGTCCGACAAACTCAAGAACATCATCCGCTCCTTCACGCCGCTTTGCCCGGTCCCCAGTCCTGTAGTACCGTCGTCCATCTTCAAGCTTGACGAACCTATGCTCGTTCTCTTCGGGAAGGCCAATGTATCCACGCGTTAATCCGGGCCCCGAAAGGAAGATTTCGCCAACCTGGCCTGGAGTTGTGATGGTCTCCATGTGTTCATCCATCAGACAACACTTTCCATCACCAAATGGTTTGCCGATACTGATAGTCTCGTACTGCAACTCCTGTGCGGTAATCAGGTGCATCAATGCATGTGTCGTCATCTCGGTGGGTGCATAGGTATTCCAGAGGTGTTCTGGAGGCAAAGAAGAGTTTAGCACAGCCTCAACTGCTGCCTTGTTTGCGACGCTACCCCCTATCAGAACATGCTTCACGCCGTGGAATGTGGTCGGACAGGCGTGGGCGATGATGGCGAACAATGTGGAGGTCAAGTATATCACCGAAAGCCGCTTCTCGGCGATGACATTGCGGACGGCAAAGGGGTCCGTGATAACCTCGCGAGGAACAACGAAGAGCGTTGCCCCTCCAATGAGCCCGAAGAAGATTTCAAATGGGGAGATGTCGAAACCGGGGTTGTTGATTAATGCGACCCGGTCGGTTGCGGCCGCCATCCCGAGCGGGCTTTTGGTCACTAGATGAAGGATGCTTCTCTCCATGACCTGTACTGGCTTTGGCTTTCCTGTAGTTCCGGAGGTGTATAGAATGTGGCTGCGATATTCCTGGTTCTGGCAGCCAGTCGTTGAATATTTATTACCATTGACAGCATTGTCGCCGTCATCCCCGTCGACTCCATCTGCACCAATCGTACCGGGGACGTCATAGCCATGGCAATCTTCAAGATTGCTACTGATGGGCAATTTTATAAACTCATTCTCGTTGAAAGCATCTTCCATGTCTGAAAGAATATACTTCGTGCCAACATCCTTCAGAATACTTGTGAGACGGAGTCGTGGAGTGGAGGTTATCAAAGGAATGCATGTTAGGCCAAGCCGTATGACAGCCAGCTGAGCAATGACCATCTCCGCCCCAAGATCTGCTAGAATACAGATGGGTTCTTCGGGCTCGAGACCATGTTTCTGTATGGCAGAGGCAAGCCTGGCTACTTTTCGGTCGAGCTCTCGGTATGTCAGACTCTGATTGCCTTCTTGAATTGCCGTCGCTTCTGGTGATTTTGTCGCGTAAGTCGAAATGATGCGGTCCATGATAGTTAATATGCCAATTCGTCTTCGTGCTGTTGGAGGATTCTTGACAAGTTTTGACTTCTTCTTCTACTCTCTTAGCTCGCAGCTTGAGTCGAAATTGAATACGTATCAGGATTTGCAGAAGTTTGCCAGTCGACACAGAAGACGGGAATGTAGCTATTTATGAGATTCGCGTCGGAGTATAATGCGCCAGACTAGGCGCAATTGTTTTGCGCTATTTGCTTTCATGTCTAGAAGATTGTGAAACAGGGCCAACAACTTTGATGCGATGGCGCCGCACCATGATATCCCGCAATGCCCCATCATTGAACCGTGATATCGACATGGTTAGAGCCCACAAACCAGTATCACCGAATATTCATCGAAGCTGGCGAACAATCACCACAGGAACTGCTACCCTACGTACTGGCTACTGCCAAGATCTGTGTTACTGAGTAAACTCTGATACATTTTCCTAAAAGAGATTTGCACCCCCTTCTCGGCATTTTGTGAGGCCTCAGGCCGCCTTCCCACTTAAGCCTAGTTTACCTGTATTTTGTCGGTCAGAACTCAACATATGGATGTCTGTACAAACAGCGATCCGAAATCCTTCTCTTCCGGGTACTCTTCGCCTTAGCAGCTGAAGGGCACTACCCACTTCGGAGCCTATCCTTGGGGGCTTCGTCTGAACCCTAGAATGAGGTTCAACTAGCTAGATGTGTGGGACAATGAGGAAACCCTCCAGCTTCGCAACCCATCCGTCTTAGGATACATCCGTTTACATCCGTTTAACCGATCCCCAATCTCTTGCAAATCCATGCAGTCGTGACTTCATCTGCTGTTGGTCAGACGAAAGCACTGATGCTTGCTTTCCTGAACACATAGCGCTACAGAAACATCATGGATACTTTCGCTGGCGTTCAGATCGAGGAGTAGTCGTCATGTCACTGGCCGAAACCAATCTGAATTTCAATCTAGGGCGCCTAGGGCATCAAACAGAGCCACAATTAGGGACGTGTTGGTTTGCACTATTGGTTTTGGCTATATTATTAAGACATTAAGTATTATCTCTCCCTACATCTTACGTTGTGTATGAGCGATGTCGCCAGCCCCGAAATAAAACGTACCTCATAAGCATTCATCATCATTCTCTTCTACGTATTGGGACCGTGCCCAACACCTCCCAAATACCCCTTACACCTCCATTCATCTCCCACAACCACCGCCGGTCAAGTCAACTCATTCCTCGGCGTCCCCATGAGCTCACTGACAGGCCTCTGGCCGGACCTCGTCTCAGACTCCACCTCCATATCCGCCGCCGGAAGCTCAGCAATCAGCGTCTCAGCCCTCGACATCCGCGCCGCATTGAAAGGGTCCTTCGGCGGCTCGGCCATCGGCGCCATCGACGGAACAGCAGCATAGTAATCCTGCGGCGGCGGCGGCGGCGGCTGCTCCTGCTCCACCACGCGTCCTTGTCGCAAGCGACGCCGACGGTACATGAAGACCAACGCCCCGACCAGCGAGAGAGCCAAGACGCCCAGCGGGACCCCAAGCCCGATTCCAACTTTCTGGGCGACGGTGAGACCACCCTTTGCGAGGGCGGTGGGCTCGTTTGCGGTGGATGAGGTTGATGTCGCTGTTGCGGAGGCTGGCTCTGCGGTTCCGGTGTACGGGTTGGCGGTCGTGGCGAGTGTGGACGCGGAAGTGCTCGTCGCTGGTGGGGAAAGAGTAGTGGTAGGAAAGGTCGTGCCACCGAAGTTGTACGACGTGGGAGACGGGTCGTTGCTGTAGCGCTTGTTGACGCCGAAGAGAACACTGGTGAGGTTGGGTGGGTTCGGGGAGCCATCGGCGGTCAGCGGGACGAGCTCAAATGCGCAGCCTGATTCGCGATAGTTGGCTCGGGTCGCGTTCCAGATGTAGCTTTCGGTGTTGGAGACGTTGGCTGGTTATTTGTGTTAGTGATGCTTAGGTTATAGGGAAGGGGTTAGATGGTAAGGAGAACAGACATTCTAGCAGCACGGCTGTTGCGCACATCTCGTAGAGCGACACGCGCGCTGAGACGATGTCCCAGGTGACATTGACTAGGTCCCCAACAATGAATCGATCGTTCCCATCGTTTGGGAAGGTGAAGCCCTCGGCGCGGACAAGACTCCAATGGGGTGTGACAAGTATCCATGCGACAAGCAGGCTGTTCCGGAGAAGGCCCAAGAGATCCATCATGAGTCTTGGAATTTTGGTGATGCTAAATTGAAGATGATGCGACATAGCAGGGCGATGGGATTTAAGACAAAAAAATAATTTCTTCTTGCTTGACATGGGAGGGTACTCCGCCTCGTCCGTCGAGCAAGCTAGGCTGTGTATAATCTAGACGTCGACAGGGAATATCCCCAGGTGGCCTGGAGTCACAGCTTTCCATTGGGGGAGATCGTGAGATAGGCATAGGCTAGTGCTCACTAAAAGCACCCGCCTGCCGTTGGGGTGAGCCGGTATATTTCCGGACAAACAAAGGAAAGGATTTTCGAACAGGAAGGATTTTCTGGGTTGCCTTGCAATGTTCCGGAAAGATGGATGAACAGTGAGAGAGGAGCATGATGAGCAAGCTGAACTTGTTTGACGGACCACTGGATGTTCGCTCGCTAGAAGTTGAAGTGGGGATGGATTTAGACTCGGACCCTCCAAATGCGGGGCATGAGACAATGAACATGAGCTCACGGGCCTCTGGCTAAGCTAGAGGGGGGAAAGACTACTGCAAGTGAGCGGTCGCATGACAACATGATTCATGCTAGTGGGATTATAGCGGGATATTTCCTCGGTCCCAGCCAGGGCCAGTCGAACCGGATCATAACTCGCGCGACCGCAATTGTGCTAAACATAGTGGCTAGCGGAGGGTTAGACACCATCGAGATTCCTGACGCCAGGGTGATTACGGTGAGTAATAACCTTGAAGCTCATAGAGGGGAGACTGTGCCAAAATGTTTATGATCTGTGATGCATCCGCTACGCGGTTATGCAGAAAGCGGGTGAGTAACAGGAAAAACAAAAGGGAAACGGAGAAAAACAAAAGGGAAACGGAGAAAAACAAAAAAGGATGGAGCTGCGGGGAATCGAACCCCGGACCTCTCCCATGCTAAGGGAATATTATACCACTAAACCACAGCCCCAATTGATGTAAGTACGCTCAAATCTTGACATCATGAAGAGGAAAACAAGTCCCCGACCGCTAAGACGTCCAACAATGGACAATCCGCTTCAGAAAGAGCGGATGATATGCACCAAACCTGAATCTTCAGGGCCTTCAAAGGTGTTTATATGGCATGTACAGCCTCTAAGCCCACCTCAACTCACGTGAAAAAATTTAAGCCCAATCAATGGGTGGACTTGAGCAGAAGTTCCTGTTCGCAGCGGGATATAAATTTCATAGCCAGCTGTGGTGAGTTTGGGACAGTTACAGGTGAGAGGAGAACTCACACTTTCCACGCGCTGGCACACACTGAAATCTCGCGTGGCGATAGTACATAGTGTTCAAATACATATTAGTTCCTACATTCGAGCCTTCTCCATACTGCCCACTGCAGCCTCAACATCGACCACTCCCACGGCTCGACTAGACCCCCCCGACGACATTTCACTTCTATAATTCCGCTCTCTCAATCCCGTCAGCTTCACACTTTCTCCCTCGACAAGATACATATACCAATAATACGTCCCTAGATTGACTCTGTCAGCCCAGCCTTTACCTTCCTTACCTCCATGTACATCATCGGGAAAGCCATAAGGACATAGAAACGTACCCACGAATACCGCACCACCAAGCACATTCCCAATCAACGTGGGAATAATCCCCTTCCAGATGTACAACCCCACCGAGAGACCAGGTGCTTCTAACCAGATACCCAGCGGCACGAAGGTCATATTGGCGACGACGTGATCGAAGCCCATGGATACGAACGCGAAGATCGGCCACCAGATCCCGATAATCTTGGACGCGAGATCCCGGCCCTGCAGTCCGAAGAAACAGGCTAAACAGACGAGCCAATTGCAGCCGATGCCGCGGACAAGGATCTGGTGGAAGGACGGGGTGAATTGCTTTTTGGTAGCGAAGGCGATGGCTTCGGATTTGTAAGGGTCGGAGGCGAAGACCTCGCCGTCTTGGTGGTTGTCAGTGTCATTATTGTGGAGATTTTCTGGGAAGAGGAGCGCAAAGACGTACAGCCGAAGATGATGGCGACGACGAAGAGTGAGCCGCACAGATTACCCCAGAAGGTGACGAACCAGTGGAGAAGCATTTTCCACCAGGGGAGTTGGCGTTGGAGGGCGGCGACTGTTGTGAACTGGTTTGACCGACTGTTAGGGTTATCTCTCCTGGGAAGAAACGAGGTAGGAGCAGAAGAAGTACCATGAAGGACCCAGTGCAGAGATCAGCCCCGGTAAGGATGATCATGCACAAGCCATAGGGAAAGACTAAGGCGCTGATGGTGCGGATCAGCCCAGGCGCATTCTCCTGGAACCACGGCGAGGCATTGGTGCTCAAGGCAGTTCCACAGGCAAAGGCGAGCAGACAGCCGGCTGATACGGCGCTGAAGAACACTTTGTCCAGGCGCATGTGGCCTTTGGCTGTGCCCGCGCGGGCAATGAGCTCGACTGTTTCTGCGGGTGAGAACGCATCGAGGCTCATGGTGGACATGGTGGGCGGAAACCAGGCGGAACTTGAGGGTTGAAGGTATACCTGGAGAGAACTGTAAGATAGGTGGGCTGTAATATAAGTCTGCGCGAGAGTGAGAACGAACCATGGAACCCACGAATGGGCTGCACTGTAGCTTATCGGATGGACGAGACCCTCAATCTAAGAATAAGGTTCGGACCCGGATATGCAGATCAGAGATACAGTCGCAGGAAATTAATTTGCACCCCCCCCTCTCCCCCAATGTTTGGTTCTAGAGATACCGCCTGCTTGAAGCGCTCACACACCGCCTAAAATATATGGGAAGAAGCTGGCAGAATAGCCATAGGCTAGACTTGATTAGGGAAAGTGCTGAACTCTTTCTGAGGGGGGGGTGCATATTAATTTCCTCCCACTGTAAGAGCCGACAACTCACGATTCTGAATCTTATCAGTCCGCACTGCACATCTCCGCGGAACTTCATGGGGGCCACATTCTTGACATTGGCGGCAATCAAAAAGATTAGTTCCAGACAATCGGCACATGTTTTGCGGTGCAATCAGATGCATGGATCCGATCTGCAGTTTGATATGGGTTGGTCCATCTGTAGTGCATCCTATTCCCCACTTTCTCCTACTGATGCAGACGCTTATTCTATATGTACTTTTGCCCAGTGAAGACAAGCACATTCGACCACAGGGTATGGGAGACAGCAATCCCTGTGTACTCGGCTGGCTGTATTCAGGCTCTATACCACAAGATCAGTAGTTGAGTAGATAATATAGGGGATTTGGCGCATGGGACGGACTAGGGGTGACGGAGCCTAGAAGGATTAAGAAGAACCGATTCTGCACAAGGCTAACACGGACAGTCAGGGACAGACAGCCAGTGCCAGTGTCTTTCCAGCCTTGCTTCAATGCGTAATACACTTGTGTTTAGCACAATCTCGAATACGCACAGCCTTTGCATTTACGAACGAGGTTAATTCCGGACAGCCACTTCTCATCGCATTCACCGATGCCAGAGCATCTCCACTGCGACCAATTTCATCCGCTATGTCCGGGCAGGAGCACATGTAGCCATCATATCCGCTTTTCTCTGAATGAGCTGCTTAATTAGATATCGGTATTATTTGATAAAACCATCGAATCTTGCTTAGCCACGAACGTTCCGTACAGTGGCTTCTGATAAGGGCGCTTCTCGCCGGTAGCTTGCAAGATAGGTTCCCGCCGGTCACGACAAGAAGTTTGACCATAAAGAGAGACTCCATATGCCAGCTGCTTCGGCTTGTGAAGTAGTCTTTATATCGCGCTCGATAAATCGTGGGTTGGTGCTGCTTGACCCTATACGCACCACCTGCTTGATTCCAGCGTCAGACCGAGAAAAAGATGACCGATTCACATTAAAGCTTGGTAAAATCCCTGAGTACAGCTTTTGGGATTACTCAGAATTTGTTTCATATCTTCAATATCACCTTATGCTGTTATCTAAGCTCTGTAACATGACGCCGGAGTATCCAGACTACTGTCGATCAGCTCCCGCCTACTCTGAGCGCTATCGTCTCCACCACAGAAAGGATAGATAATTACATCGCGCACAGCAACAGTACAGTGCAATGGCTCCGAATTCTCGTTGTCAAGCTTCGCAGGGTTACTGGCTGGACAGGGAGGCAGCCCTTGTTCTCCGAGGCCTTACACCTGTATAGGCGTTCGTATGAGAATATTGCCAAGATTGTTGACGAGTGGCCAGTTGGCCGAATTTCGGTGGGGTATACCAGTACTGTACTGTACAAGACAGTACCAGGTAGGTAGTTATAGTGAGTGTAACTGCTGCTTATCGGGTCTATCTGCAAGGATGCCTATGCACTTATGCAGATAAGCCTGACCGCAAAGAGGGGTAAAAGAGTTTCTTCCCCACCCCTTGTTTCTCTTACTATCTTTTGAGAGATAAGCCCCGTCCTTTCTCTCCTCTCTTTTGTATTCAACGGGTCGCGCCCTCAATTTCGCTTCTTCATTCGAACACCTATCAACCATGTACAACCCACGCGTTGGCGATCGGCTCTCCAGCCTCGACACCCCTTCCATGATAGTCGACCTCGACCTAATGGAAGCCAACATCCAAAAACTCTTCGCCAGCCTCCTTCCCACGGGACTCCACATCCGTCCGCACCTCAAGACCACCAAAAGCGCCGTGCTGGCCCGGAAGCTCGTCGCCGCCGGAGCCAAGGGCTGCTGCGTGGCCAAGGTCTCGGAGGCCGAGGCCATCACGGCGGCCGGCTTCGACGACATTCTAATCACGTGTGAAATAATTGGGGCCCCCAAGGTCCAGCGACTGGTGGAATTGGTGAAAAAGCATCCGGGCAAGATCCGCATTGTGGTGGACAGCGCGGTAGGGGCTACCGCCATCAACGAGGCGCTGGCACGGGCGGGAGGCGTCGACCCTCCGCTGGCGGTCTTGATTGATGTGGATGTCGGGCTACATCGCACTGGGGTGGTGGATATGGAGGCGGCGCTGGCACTCGCGCGACACCTGGCCGGGTTGAAGCATCTCAAGTTGATCGGTGTACAGGGGTACGAGGGACATGTGCAGCATCTGCACAGTTGGGAGGAGCGTCGGAGGGAGTGCTTGGCTTCGATGGCCATTCTGACCGGTACGGCTGAAGGCCTGCGGAAGGAGGGCTTTCAGATTGACGTGGTGACCGGTGGGGGAACGGGAACAGTGGAGTTCTGTGCTTCAGTGCCGGGAGTGACGGAGTTGCAGCCGGGATCATTCATTTTCATGGATACCGACTATCGAAATGCGGTGGGGAGGTTTTACTCGAACAGTTTGACAGTGATGTCGACGGTAGTGAGTCGGCAGGGGGAGAGGCAGGTCACTATCGATGCGGGCCTGAAGTCGTTGACCACTGATAGCGGGTTGGCGGAGTGTAAGGATGCGAGATACTCGCATCAGAATCTGGGAGATGAGCATGGTGCGCTGAGCTGGGAGGCTGGCACCCCGGCCTTGGAAATCGGAGACAGAGTTGAGATGATTCCGAGCCATATCGATCCCACGATCAACTTGCACGATTTCTATTATGCGCACCGGAATGGGGTCGTCGAGGAGATCTGGGCGGTGGACTCTAGAGGAAAGGTTCAATAGATAGCATTATTTGGGAGATCAGCCCAGTCAAGCGACACGCGCAAATATCACACGTATCGCCTTAATCTCCGATGCTTGTTGCTTTTACTTGACCTTAGCTTTACCAAGGACAAAAAGTTTTAGTTAACAAGGAATGAATCGAGACCCAGCCAAATTTAAATCCCGTGATTCTCATGATTCGGAATATGCAGGCATAACTTAACGTAGCAAAACACAGAACGGCTCGCATCCTCACTGTCACTTTCGCCAATCATCATCAGAGTATGGCTAAGTCAACAAGCTTGAGATTCGCTTTCTACAGACACTTACCAGCTCATTTCTACTCTAGCAAGCGTCTACCAGGGGCCAAGTCACGCTTGCTACCGGAAGCAGCCATTGATCCTTACTTTACCCACACACCCCGCATACTCTAGAACGCGTATGCCAGCTCATCGATTGCTTATCGATTCATGATTCTTCCTCTCGTTCGCACCTGACGTTCCTCAAGAAGCAGTTAATTAAGTCAATAATGGAAAAAGATGGGAACCGTAGTCGGGGTTTCACAGCGTTACGTGGCCGCGGCTTCCTTCCTCGGCCAATAGAGTGGAGCCTCGAAAGCCGCCGATAGCATTGAGATATGGATTTGTTCGCACCTTACATGGCCTTTCTTGGATCTGGGTCCCTGGATGATAACGGCTTTGACAATGAACAAAGTTCTAGGAACTGGTCGCATGCCCTGGTGTGTGCCTGCATGCCATAATGCATGACATGATAAGGAGAACATCCAAGGTTCTTGTCGACGCAGTAACAGCCATTGGCGTAACTCGAGTTGGACTGAATGGACAAAGTATCATCAGAGATAGACAGGCTAATGCTAATACATCAGATGTAGTAATGGGTGTGTCATGCTTTTCGGGAATATTGGGCCGGGAATCTAGTCCGGGTGTTGAAAGCTTCCCTGTAAGCACGTGATAGGCACATGCCATAAGTAGGTGAGAAACCCCCCTTTTCCTCTTCGTAACTATCTCTGAACATCTACCTAAGCAACAAACCAAGAATATTAAACAACCCAGAATATGGCAATCTTCACTCTGGCTACCGGGAATCGTCTCAAGCCGCGTATCTTTCATTTACCAAACACCATCAACCGGACCCTGCCAAGAACCCTCCCATCCTTAGTTGCGGGGCGGCTCATCCGAAATATCCACTCTCCCTCAGCGCATACCACCACACCATCCCTCCACCCCAAGGGCAACAAACAACCACTTCATCACCCTACGAGATCATTCCATGCATATCAAACAGCAATAAACATAGACCTCGGCCCACCCCCGCGAGAATCCAAGCGTACCCCCTGGGTCCCCTTCACCTGCAACGACGCCGACGTGATCGAGCGCAACATGCGCAACGACGGGTTTCGCACGTGGGGCCTCGTGCTCTACCGATGCACCTATGCAAGTGACGCGGACTGGACCGAATTCATGTCCCGCTTTCGCCACCAAGTCCGGTCTGAACTCGAATCCCACGACGGTTTGGACCTGCTGGACTCGTTCGCGCTCACCGTCGTCGACGACCGACGCTTCGACGGGGCCACCCCAGACACCGTCCGCACCCATTTCAATGAATGGGCGGCCCGCGCATGCGTCACCGAGCAAGGCGTCCCGTTCTCGCGGGCCCAATGGTCCAGAACAGCTCGGTACGGACTGTTTATCATGGTGAATGAGGAGGCAATGCGGTCGGTTCTGGATATTCCCCCGGAGGATCTCGATGGGTATAATCAGACTGGGTTTGTGATTCTGGTGAACGGGCGGCGGGATGCGGAGCGGTGGGACGGAGAGGATGCGGAGCCGCTCGAGGATGATTTCGAGCCTTTGTATGGGTGTACAGAGGAGGATGTAGGGTGGATGAGGGTCAGGTACGGGGAAGCGCAGGTTACGGGGTCGGCGCGTATGGAATCTGGGTTCAACTGGGAAAGGGAGTATCGGCGGCCTCCGGAGATTGGGTTCCAGTGATTTGGGAGGGATAGAAGGAAGATTAGACTCTCTCAAAATCACCCAAGTGGACCATCAAGATATAGTTGTTATTCGGTATCATATTGTCCGGCTATGATTAGGTGATCAGCGTGACGCTTTTAGTTAAACTAGGTAGCTAGGAATGGAGTAGACATGGCACCAGGATGACATTTTTTCTTTTATCTGTATAGCCAGCACTACCCAAGTCAGCATGATGGGAGTTTTGCAATTCTATTCATTCTCTATGGTCTCCAACAAAGCATTGCTATGTATGAATTGAGTTCAGCGAGTGTCTTATTGTACTGTACACTCTGGCTCATTGCCTGATTCAGTACTCCGTAGTATCATCAAATCTTTTTATACTCGGGAACGCTTCTGTTATCCTTATGAAAAGATTATATAATTGCTACATCTTCCCTGCGATCACCATGGTGCCAGGGAGATTCTAGGCCCGACTTCCGCCCGCCCAATGCTAAGAAATTTCGCTCTCCCACCTTCTCCATTCATTATGCAACGCTTCACCCTTTTACTAGCATCCTTCACTTGTCATGCGGGTTCAGTCTGTAATTGTAGTCTTGTCCGCATCCATGATCGGCATTTTCATCATTTGAATTTTGCTCTGGAATTCGCTCAGGGCTGCCACCACCACATCGTATGTCTTGAGACTGCGCCCGGCCGTGCGCGCCTGGATATACGCGCTAGCTGCTGCCCTGATCGCCTCAGTAGCCCAGCCCTGCGCAAAGTTTTCGACAGCCTGAAAGTAGTCCGGCGCCCAAAGCCACCACCAGTTCTGTAGGTCGCTCACGCCGGTCACGTATTCGATGTGGGCACATTGTAGGCCCACCTGCTGGAGCACGTTGTTCCATTGTTTCACCACCCGATAATCCCGGAAGTACTCAAAAACGGCGAAGGACTAGTAGAGTACATGTAGTACTTAGCCCCATCTCCTCTGGTTCAATTTCCGGTGACTAAAAAGGAGTAAGGGGGAGAGGGAACTCACGATTCGAATGGCAGTGAGTAATTGGTTCACTGCCTCATCGCTGTCAGCTTTTACTGCGGCAGCAGACAATTTTTCGATTGGTCGAATGGTTATCGGAAATGTGAACCCCATGATCTTCCCCTTGGCAGCGTTAATGGCAGCGGCCGTGGCCAGTAAAGACCCGGGATTTAGATTGGACCCAAAAGCCTCCATTACACGCTGGTCAGGAGTATTGGGCGATTCACCGGCCGGATTTCCGACGGGAGGCAATGCTTTTAGAGCAGAATTGGCTGTTTGCCACACGTTTAACCAGAAAGTCTCTGGTATTGGCAATAGATTAGCACGAGGCCCGGACGAAAGATATCCAGATAGCGCGGCCTGGATGAAGTAGTTGATAACTTGTTTCTATTTCATGGTCAGCCAGCTGTCGTCGATGCACATACGGGACAAGGGGTGTACATCAATAACATGCTCCGAGTTCAAGCCAGTGTAGAGTGCTTTGGAGACCAGACCAGCCGGAAGAGACGTCACAGACATAGCTTTGCTCGTACAGTAGTTCTGATTAAGACGAAAAGCCCAGCGGGCAACTTGGCCGGCATTGGCCACAGTGAAGAGTTTTCCAATACTGGGATACGCCGCCGCGAGTGTCCTGACGACGACTTCCCCTACTATCGCTTCATATACCCTTGGATTTCTTCTCTTGTCGAATGAAAGGCGGTCGCTCCGTTTCCTGTAGGAGACGGAGCGTGCTCTATTGCTACACGGATTGTCAGCACTGCAGAGTAGCTGTCTCGACGATTAAGAACATGGGTGCCGCTGTCTACAGTCCAAGTATTGATATGCTTGAAATGACATCTAATGTGCTTGTCATGAAGAAGATGACCATACGAGGAGGCAGTGCTGATAGGGGCAAAGAGACAAATGAGCAGAAATGCCGTAGCAGTCACACTTGGCAGCATTCTGATGGGCCTTCCGGCCAAAGCCTCAACTAAGGCCATCATGTAGACACCGCTCTAGGAAAGAAGTAACAGCAGACACACGTCCAGGAAGATACTGTAAAAGAAGAACAGAGGATAGCAGGGCTGCTTCTTAAGCTTCAAATTCTCGTATGCTAGGGAATAGATCGGGTACTACCCATTCGAATTATTCCTGTAACGCGCCTTCCCGGCGCTCCACCTTCTCACGGGTCGTGGCTTCATGTTAGGCCATCATCGTCCCCGCTTAGTTGGGAAGGCGTTTGATGAGGTATTTAAACAGCCATGGGTAGAAACGACAGGATGCCAGCTGGACTTTGCCTTTGAGGGAATATACTAGGCGACCTACCCATTCATGGTATCGTTCTTGGTCCAAACAGCCAAAATCTTCACCGAAGCTCAGCGCGCAGATAATGTCGAAGGTGCAGAAGCTGACCCAGTTCTGGAGGTCGAGGACTTCAGTGCCGTCTGCGACCCGGGCTTGTAGCTGCGTGATCATCTTGTTGACGTAGCTGCCGACAAGTGACTCCTGTGCCATTAGGACCTGGTTGCTAAAGGCCGCAGAATACGCCTTGCGAAGTCGTGTATGATCCGCATCTGTTGCTTCGAGGAGACCGATCGGTTCCCTGCCCGTGGGGGTGGTTGACGGATAGGATCTTTGGGAAGCGACTTGAATTCCCCGCCAGTGGGTCGACGCTGGTAGATATCTTTCACGCATTTGGGGTGGGTAAAGGATACCTCGTTGGGCGCCACTCGAACCGTTTCACCGTAAAGCTCGTGGAAATGCTAGATCTTATGAGCTAGCTGTCCGTTGCGAATGCCAGCATATACGGCACTCGTGTCAGCGCCCAGAGGAGAGGTACATTGTACCGAGACAATGGGTGGAAGTATAGCCGCTTGACGGCAAGGAGAACAGGGAACTAGATGGTCCAGTTAGCAAATGAGGAGCAAACACTTGGTCTCGGTGAGTTTAGGGGGGCCTTACTAGAAAAAAGGTGATAAAAGCAGCAAGGACCGGCGAGGCGATTTCCATGACTGCACAGTTCAAACGTCTAGAAGGGGAAGAGAGTTGAAAGGAAGTGGAACATGAGCGAGGATGGTCGACGTTATTATAATGCGACTGTGGAGTAAAGGTGCTACAAGTGGAAATAGACATTACCAAGCCAGTAAGAGACAGTTAGAAGCTACTGCGTCAAGGGAAGATAGAGAGTGACACGCCTAGTCTGACTGCATTTTAGTGTGACTCGTCCTCAAAAGCGAGTCGCTGCTCAATTGGCGCGGCACGAAAATCGCATAAGCGTTGGCTTGCGGGGCATAAGCACTAGACGAGCGCCACTCTTTGTCGATCTGAAGTACAAGTAGAATCCAATTGTGGGCCCGTTCAGCCCATCTCATCTCTGGCGACATTAGTGCTTGTTGAGTGGCGTTAGGGCTTACTGATGGTAGTCCACCGAGTACTACCCGGATTGTCATCCATGTTATCTCAGATCGAACATCCCGGTCGGAGCTGTCTAGATGCCGTTGTCAGTTGACGGGTTCGGTATTTTAGACTAAGGACAGCTTTTACTTGACTGCGATTAATGGTAAGGCTGTTTTTTTATCATGAAGCGTTAAGGCACTCAGGTATCAGGTTCCGACCGGACGAGCACGATCAATCCCGTGTCCGTAAGACCTGACTAGGGTTCCAGGGACAAGTCTAGAAGCTCTGGTTTGGCGGTCGTACAAGGCACGCCGCATCAGGTTATTGCACCCTTCTTTGGTTGCTACCACGCATTGCTGGGCACAGAATTATGGTGGTGAGGAATGTCTGCCATTTGAAAGCAAGTATTATCCCGAACATATGGGCAAACCTTGGGCTGAAAGAGGGCTGATGTTTCTATAGTGCGTTGTATGATGTTACGCAGAATCAATTACTAGCAACACTGTGGGCCTGACTCTGCTACGAAGATACGAGATAAGATAAATATGCGTACTAACAAAGAGGTTTGATTACCGACCTAGATTCAGGTGTGCATGTTGATCGTAATGGCGGAGAAAGACTTTAGGTCAGATGCACTTCCGTGCCCGCGGGTCATCATCTTGGCTTGAGTCATGGAGATAGAGATCTATACGAGAATGTTGGGTATAAATCTGAATCCATAGTATACTTGTGTTCTAATGTGTCAGTCAAAATTCCACACGGATGTATATCTCAACCCAAAAAGTCTTCCCTTTCAAGTTAACAGAATGACCACACAAGCATTTCTGTTCTACACCACCATCGCCCTCCTCTTAGCCACCCTGAATATAGAGGTCAACGCACAACTAGCAACCAAGCTACCGATTTGCACCAATGCGCAAATCCTTAATGGCGACTTATCTCACTGCGAGTGCGCCAAGGGGGAAACAGTATACCCCACACAATGTCCTGTTTACCCCCTTTCCCTCCCATCAACCCTCTTAAATCGATTTGTCCCAAAGGTCCCCTCACCCAATTGCACTTACAAAAATGCGACGGCCATTGCACAGACAACCAGAACAACATATGTCAATCATGCGGAGTCTGGTTTCATTCTCTCTGCTCGTGTCTGCAGGACGGCAATTGCGTGAGGCAATACCAGAATCCCGCGCCAGGCACGCGATACTGGATTCAAACGCACGTGGGAGATCTGGCAACCCTCAACATCCCCGTCAGCGATTGTACTTTTTAGTCCTGGTTGAGTGATCTTATAATGATCGCTTTGTTTAAGTTTCTGTTCTACGATCCTTTCTGATTGTCCCTCAATAATTCGTCTTGACAACTCTTCCATTCGTTCTTCCTACGGGTAATATATCGATAGGTCCTGGTCCTGACCCAATAGTGCGTTGATGTGGCAGTAAGCATCCGACTCGCCTACTCAAGGCGCCACTACGACCCTGCTTCTCCTTCCCGTCGGGATCGTGACCTGAATCTTCAGGATATTACAAAGGGTGCCTTGAGGCCAGATGGCGTGTGGATGAGAAGAATATCTTCCTCTTGGCCGCTTTGTTGGGCCAGTGATGTGATGAGCCATGGCAGCCTCCTTCTTCAACAAGTCGTATTAGATACAGCCAAGGACGGCACTTTAGTCACCCTCAATCACCCATGATCTTGGTTCCAATCTCCCGCGAAGCCAGGTTCGCGAGCGTGCGCTTCCGCAGTCGGTCCCCAAAGATCATCAGACTGACCACAAAAGCAAAGGCAAAGATGGAAAAGAACGCCATCATGCCATATACCCAGCCGAATCCAACGCGAGCTACCCATTCATTGATGAAGAAGGGAATGACCAGACCCAAAGAAAGGCGATAGGCGCCCATGAACGCAGCCACCTCGGTGGGCTGTGCGGCGACACACTCTATCGCATATGTTACTGCCGCGGGGACGGAGCTCATTGATGCAAAGGTGATGAGGTAGGCACCGAGAGCCAGGACCATATAATGTAAGTGATACTGCAGGGAAGATCCAACGATTCCCAGTCCAATGGGGAGGATGAAGAGAGAGGGTATCCAGAGAGTGTGCAACCGGCATTCGGGCGTCCACACCCCATTTGCGCGCGTGCGGCAGACCCAGAGCGCGATCCGGTCGTTAAAGAGGTAACCCCACATTTCTGCGGTAAGCAGACCGGCCCAAAGTGAGAAAATAACTGTTCCATTGGTGTCAGATTGAGAAAGGAGGCACACATTGGATGGCTCGAAAGACTGGGAACATACACAAGGCATTGCGCTGGGGAGTAAACCCCCTGCCACCCACTGCCACAGGCTTCTCCAGCCAGACTGTGATAAGACTGTGGGTGGCTACAAACCAACCGAATGAGGCGAACTGAAAAAGGCCGATCATCATGCCGACAGGAGATAAACCAATGCGAAAGGGTAGGCATGACACACGTCTCTGTGGCGTTCAAAGTCAGGCAGTTATCCCGAGGAGGGGCGTTGGGAAGTGTATGCGGATTGGTGTATATACCAGTTCTAACCAACTGATACCAGTTCTGTGCGGCAGCAAAGTGGCCATGCGACGTCTCCAGAATTCCTGGGGTCTTGTGGTCGGCATTGTCTTTCCGTCCCGAGGGTAGCTGGTGTCTTCGAGAAAGAGGAAGGCTGCACAATCCATAATACACACTTAGTTCATGCTGAGACTCCAAAAAAGAGAGAAGGGATGTAATAACGCACCTAGAATAAGGACAAGACCTTGTGCTATCACCACCCACCAGAAGACCCACGGCCAGTTCGTATGCTGCACAATGAAACCACCAAATGTGGGACCAGCTACGGTTCCAAAGAGAAAGGAGATATGAAATGCTGCGTAGGCTTTGCCTCGCTCGTGTAAAAAGAACATCTCGTAAATGGAACCAACTCCCAGGATGGATGGGATGGAACCGAAAATGCCATCGAACAAACGAGAAGCAACAAAGCGTTCATAATCACCTCGACCGGTCATACTGGCCGACCATATAGCGCATGCCATGGCAAAGAGAAGGCACCAGAATATAATAGCGCTGCGACCGAACGCATGTGCAAGGGGGTTGATTAGAAGGGGTCCATAAGCGATGCCGGCAATTGAGGCCGACAAGGTATATGTAACCTGTATCACTGCCTTATCCCAGGTCTTTGCTTCCTCTTTCTGAGCTAACTGATTTGCCAGATCGAGCGCCGTACCAGCAAAGCCAGCCAAGCAGAGGATGACCAAATTCCTTAGCTTTCGAGCTTGTGTCCAATTCTGCGACAATATTAGCACTGAGGTAAAAGGACTTCGGGAGAAAAGAGCAGCCAATGCTCGGCGTACAAGTGGATCTTCAGGGTCCTGAGATGGTTGGGGAATTAATAAAACCCCATTGCGCATGTGCTGCTGACTAGAATCTGTCTCCTCAATGATGCCTGACTCCAACTGAGGCTTGAAATCTGCAGAGGGCTGAGCCATATTGAGAGGGGAAGATCGCATTGAAATCACAATGGCAGTTTTTGCGCAGGGGAGGTAGGGGAGGGGAAAAAGGAAATAAATGAGGTAAAGATTGAGGGATCCTCTTGTGACTTCCACAGTTCTGACCCGCTGCAGGCTAATTTAGATTGCTGCATCATTAGTGCTTACTTCTCGTTACGTTGATCCCTGCGTTGGAGCTGCATTAGTGATCGCTGGCATAAGGTCCCAAGGCAGGGCCCAGAGTGCCCTAATCCCAGTGTCACTCGATATCTAGCGAATTCTTCCAACACGAAAGGTGCCTGGTTCCGGTTGATGCTACAGAGTCCTTGTAAGGATACTGACACATGATGGTGAAAGAAACCAGAGTGGGTGGTTTAAAAGGCGAACGTGGCAGTTGGTTTTCCATCGTCGATAAGATATAACCTGCCTTAACTGCCCTCACAACAGCCAGTCCGGCATCTTTGGCTACCAGTACTGCCTTCAATGCTCGCCCGTGATGAAACTCACACTGACCGGAATTTACAACACTAGGCAGCTGCAAATAGTTGTCATCAATAGTGTTCTTGTGGTGCTATCAGTTACCGCGGTTCTCTTGCGGTTCTGGGCACGACATTTACAAAGGCTGAGACCCTTTCCAGAGGACTATCTGATAGCTGTTACTTGGGTACGTGTGGTCTTCCCCATATTAGGCTCTTGTGCTTCCTGAAGACTGACGGACACGAATCAACACGAATCATAGGCCCTGGCTCTAGGCGTGAATATCCTCCTCTTTCAAAGTGCGTCGAAAGTTTGGTTGAGTAAGAGCCAAAGACTCGCTTACACAAGAATTCAGGTCTTCACGCCGGTGTGGGAGAGCATGTTGATACTCTCACGAATGCGACCGTGGAAGAATATTCCCTAGTATTAGATCTTCCTACCCTCCCATACAATATGATATAAGCTAATCCACACGCGTGCGTAGAACCTATATGTTATGCAGTTGTTCTGGAACACCTGCCTTCCCACGATCAAACTCTCCATTTCTCTATTCTATCAGCGCATATTCCCCGTGAGATCCATGATGATCGCTTGTCGCTCCGTCATTGTCTTCCTATTTGCTTGGTACCTCGCATTCCAAACCACCGCCATATTTCAGTGCATACCAATCCACCACGGATGGCAAAAGAAAATAACAGAGGGCCGATGTATTGACTTTGTTCCTTTTGTGATCTCATTGGCCGCGACAAACCTGTGTACTGATGTACTGCTTCTGGCCCTGCCAACTCGTGAAATCTGGAAGCTTCAGGTTCCTCGGGGAAAGAAAATTGGCTTGTCAGTCATCTTTACCTTGGGAGTAATGTGTGTTCTCCCTTGCCCTTTCTCTTCACTTTCGCGTGGTATCCTAGTTATAAAATACTGATATGAGCTCTTTTGTCCAGCGTGTGCGTGGTTTCGGTTTTTCGGCTAGAAAATCTTATCGCGATCAGGAATGCTGACATCACGTGTGAGGGCCACATTCTCCTCATGTATGGCTCCAAGGGCAGAAATGCTGATACTTCTTGTCTTAGGGTCCGATACGTATTCCCATCTATGGACTGCAATCGAAAGCAGCTTGGGGGTGGTTGTGGCTTGTCTCCCCAGTCTGATGCCTATTGTCCGGCTGATTCGCAATGGGAAAACTGGAAGGGGGCAACCCGGCAGAGCCCATTCGAGTTCTCGTCGGGAGTCGTCTTTTTACCCTGTACATATGCAAGGATCTTACGAGCTGTCGCAAATGTCCAATCGCAATGATTCAGGGCCGGGTCGGACACGGCTCCGCGCCGGGAGCAGTGATTCGGCCTTAATCGCAAAAGATGTGGGTGAAATTGATATCAGCACAGAAATCACGCAGCAGGTGGATCGCAGTCTGAGCTAAACAAGACTAAAGGAACTTGACACAAGTGAGTCAAACTGAACGAGGCTTGCCGGACTGCAACTGCTTCCCGGATCCAAGCCAAAATAGTATTAGACGGCATGAAACGATGTGGGACATTCGCCCTTCAGTGATAGTGAAAACAGGATTCAGATCCCTGCTTGATTTCGGTCTCCGTCCCAAGCGCCGGTGCCTAACTCTTACGAAAATTGGATATTGAACAAATGAATCACATTGGGTTGACACACTTGCTTCAGAACCATGAAAGTCGTGGAGTGGGGTTTAGGGCTACGGATTTCACCGGTAGACGCAATCATCCCTCTCATCAGATTGATCAACGACCTGGACACGGTCAGAATTACGACAAGCTTTCTTTCCGCGGGAAAAGCCGCCCAATATATTTTTAGCGTAAAGAAAGCATGCTTTAGTGCCACCCACTCGAAGGTTTAGTGCTGAGCGAGGGAGGTTTGCTTCCTTCCAGCCCTGTCAGGTTTGTCTTGCTGCCCCCTCCCGGCTTGGACTCAGGGGCTTGAGATTCGAACCTTGATTCCTGACATAACGTCTGCTCATGAAAAAGTTTTGTTCACAGGGTCTTCGGAATCGAGGCATCAGCGACGATCAGCAACCATGGAAAGGCCTCAAGTCACAAATGGCCCCGTGCGCATCGCCATTATCGGCGGCGGCATAGCAGGCCTGACTTTACTTCTTGCCCTCCTGAAGCATACCTCTCGTGAGGTCCTCATTCCTCACCTTTACGAGGCCGCTCCAGCCTTCGCGGAAATTGGCGCGGGAATTGCGTTCGGCTCGAACTCCCTTCGCGCCATGTCGCTCATCGACCCCGAGATGACGGCCACCTATAACAAACACGCGACCTTTCAAGCCGACAAGGGGGCACGAGAACGAAAGCTCTGGTCCAGCTATCGGATGGGGATGGACGGAAAGCAGCGCCCGACCAATGCGCTCAAAGCCGGGGACCATATCCACGAAACCCGGGCCTCGGTCGCCCGAAGCAGTGTTCATCGCGCGCGGTTCCTAGAGGGCATGACTGAGTTGCTCCCGGACCGCGGCCAGGAGAAGTACGTTAGCTTTGGAAAGAGACTTCTCTCCCTCGACGAGAATTCCGACGCGAGTGTGACGGCGCACTTTGCGGGCGGCACCTCTACGACCGTCGATGCGGTCATCGGATGCGATGGGATCAAGTCCCGCGTGCGGCAGATTCTCCTTCATGGTGAGGCTGAGGCTGATCCTGTCTTCACGGGCAAGTATGCTTACCGTGGTTTGGTTCCAATGGAGGAGGCAGTCGCGGCTCTGGGCGAGTACACGGCGCGGAACAATCATTTTCATTGGGGGTATGATGGACATGTGTTGACATTCCCCATTGAAAAAGGGCAGACAATGAATGTCGTGGCGTTTCGCACCAAGGAGAACGACATCTGGGAGCACGGATCTCAGTGGGTGCTGCCAGGCAACAAAGAGCAAATGCTGCAGGACTTTGCCGGCTGGGGTAAGGATGTGCAGACCATTCTGTCGCTCATGAAATGCTCGGACATCTGGGCTATGTTTGACCACCCCCCAGCGCACACTTATCATAAAGGTGGACAAATATGTATCATCGGGGATGCGGCTCATGCCAGCACTCCACATCAGGGTGCTGGGGCGGGTATGGCGATTGAAGATGTCTTTATTCTGTCGCGACTATTGAAGGAAGTTCATCATCGTGAACAGCTGTGCCATGCCTTCGCCGCCTACGATGCCGTTCGACGGCCACGAACCCAGAAATTGGTACGCAGCAGTCGTGATGCAGGCTTGCTGTACGAGTGCCAAAAACCAGGAGTGCAAGATGACATCGGAAAAATCCGGCAAGATTTGGACGAGCGAATGCGTTGGATTTGGGACTTGGATCTTGATGCTCATCTAGCTGAGGCGTTGGCTTTCTTTCGCAAAAAAGCTGTATTCGTGACCTTGAAGGATTCAGTTGTGGTTTCGGTCTGTTAGCTAGTTTTGTCTAGGCCTAGGTGTCCATCTCGACCTTACTTACAGAGGCAAGATAGGCGAATTTCTCATTGCTGCTGGTAGATATGCAAAGTCAAAAAGAATGGAATCGTTCTTTGCAGCACTTGCAGCGTGGCTTAAATCGATAAGGAATCTTGAAAAAATTACGATCTTTGCTGGACCAACAGCGTTTGACTTGTTACACAGAAGGGTGGTCTGGAAACTCAAAAGTAGTCATAAGGTTCTCAGGGAAACGCAGGACAATCTTGCATCACATGGAATTGTAAATAACCGGGGCTGGTAGCACAGACATATGCCCCTCTCTTGTCAGGGTATATAACTTTAGCTTCCATGCCCACCAACGTGAGAGGCCCTTTCGAGAGATGCAGGAAATTATCTCATCTCCAACTACACAAACTATACCAACATGTTAAGCATACAATTTTTATCGTCATTTTGGGCTTTTGTGGTAGCTCTATGGGTCAACATTGTTTTTTTTCTGCCCGGTGCTGCGACACGATTTAATACATCCCAATTCGAAGAACAAGATACCATTACCCGCGATGTTGCCATTCTAGGAGGCGGCTCGGCTGGAACTTATGCAGCAATCCGCTTGCGCCAGATGGGCCAGTCAGTAATTGTTGTTGAGAAGGAGGGCCGACTCGGTGGACATACTCATACATACAGTGAACCGACGACTGGAATACCCGTCGACTATGCAGTGCTATACTTCGAAGACAAGCCATGGGTCCGGGACTACTTCGCACATTTCAACATCCCGGTCGAGAAGATCTCAATTCTAGGTCAAGGTGTACTGCGACGTCTCGATCTTCGAACCGGTACCGATGTTCCTTATTCAGACGGAACAACACTACCCGCGCTGGCAGCCTACACGGCTCAGCAGCTAAAGTATCCGTATCTCAACACGGGTTTCAACCTTCCTGACCCAGTACCTGAAGACCTATTGCTCCCATTTGGCGACTTCATTCGGAAATATAACCTAGATGGGGCGGTTGACATCATCGCACTGCTTAATCAGGGAGTCGGTGACCTGCTTCAGCAATTGACACTCTACATGATGAAGTATTTCAGTCTCGAAATAATTCAAGATGCCGTGACCGGTTTCCTCCGGACAGCCAGCCACAACAACAGTGAGCTATACGGAGCAGCGCAGAGGGAACTGGGCAGCGACGCACTTCTCAGCAGCACTGTCACAGCCACATACCGTGACGATGACGAGGACTGGGTATACCTTGAGACGCAAACGCCAGCAGGAGAGCAGTTGATTCACGCCAAGAAGTTCATCATTGCTGTCCAACCCAAGCTGGAAAACTTGGACGCCATAGACCTGGACTCAGCCGAGGAAAGTCTTTTCGCACAGTTCAAGAATACTTCGTATTATACATCCGTGGCCCATGTTCCCGGACTCACACCAGGTGCTCTCATACTGAATCGTGCAAATGATACATTGTATCATCTACCGCCGCAACCTGCAGTCTATGTCTTGAGACCGACCCAGTCACCGAATTTGACCTCCATTTTTTACGGAAGCATAGACGAGATGAGCGAAACAGAGGTGAAGAGCCATATGACGCAAAGTGTACTGACATTGAGAAACGCAGGTTACCAAGTACAGGCCCCAGAGTTTGTGGCTTATGCCAGTCATGCTCCGTTCTTGTTGACCGTGTCAGCAGATGCGATCCGCGGTGGCTTCTATCGGGACCTCAACGCATTGCAGGGTCATCGTAAAACTTATTATATGTCTGCAACATTCAACACTCATGATTCGGCTCAGGTGTGGCGATTTGTGGATGAGATGCTAAAAAAGTACTTTATGGCAGGTGACGATTCAGGCTGACAAAGTGTGATATATAATGAACACTTTTGTCTTTTCTTTATGTCGGCGGGGAAGGGGGGTCAACTGAAACTGGAATTCCCATCGTGAAATGTATAAACCTAAGGTTTGCCTTGGTTGGCGGAAATTACTTGGTCGCCAATATACTACACATGTGCTCCTTGATACATTCAAGCTTAATCTAGGAGACAAGATAGCAACATGATCGTAAGAACTGAAATGAGTATCAGATGCCCTCTACTTTTCCGTATCATTTGATCATGCGTCGAATATATTAGTCTCAGCCCGTGCAAAAGAAAGCTGCTGGTCACCAACCACTTATCGTTTCCCTTTCAAATCTTTTGTCTCGCAAAGTCTAGAGCCCCATGATCATGTCTGTTTTACATCCAGTGTTACCTCACATTACCTTCGCATTTATTGTTCATGCACGGGTGTAGTACACCGGGCGTCAACAACACCCGACTTCTAACGTAACCAGCAAATCAGAGCAATTTGGCTCTTATCTGCAAAGAATTCGCATTAGTGCACTGGCTTATTAGGTTTACCAAAAGGAACCGCCGATCTTGCGGGATGGGCTTGTCGTGTTGGTATTACCGGGTCCTGCTCCCCTCGATCGATCGGTTCTCTCCAGCACCATACATGATTTGATTATCACCTATGATCTACAGTAACCATGCGACTCGGATCGAAGAGTATATCCCTTGTATATTAGCGTTCCAGGTTTCTGGGACTCAATGAAAAAAACCCTACTACTACATCATGACTTACCCGATCTTATCGCGATAAAGTTTATGCGCGACCCAAGCCTTAAACTCAGAAAGCATGAAAAGACCCATCGTGTATAGTCCGTGTTAAAAGTGCCAACTTAGGTACAAAGTCGAAATCATCAAAGTGGTGTTTCTTCAGAACCTCATCAGACTTGGATTCAATTTGTAAAAACGAAGAGTATGACCCAACTAGGCTCAACATCCAAGGTTTGGGCTACCATCCTATTCATTCATTTAGGGCTATCCGCCCCTCACCCTAGTACTGCACAATGTCTAGACAACAAAGATAGCGAGCCCTTCCTCTGAGCAGTGAGCTAACAGGTGCTTCTTCTCAAAGCATAGATTTGGACCGTCTCTAGTACCACACTGCTAGGGGCTTTAGTACCCAGAACGCAGTCACTTCCAGCTTCGCGGGCATAGCCGTAAATTTCTGCAGCAATGTCTGGGAGTGCGGCCTCAAAGACTTTTTTCTAATAATTTCAACCGCTCGATTCTGGCCTCAACGAGTACGGATTTGCTGTTGGCTCAGCCGATCGCGGGCAGATTGATCAGCTGTGTGATGATAGCACAAATCATTCAGTCCTCTATGGCGAGCAGCATGATACACATTGGGTCGATGAGCCCCTCAACTATACTGATCCTCTACAGTCAGGCTGAGGCAGTATTGTAACTTACTCCTTTTAGGACTGGCGGCGACCTATTTTACTGTAGCTTATCTCCCGCGAAATCTCGTGCAATCCGAAATCGGACTGCATTCCAGCTAGTCTTCAACAGTAAGCCTTTCCATTCTGGGTATGCAAACCGAAGGCGCACCGAAAATGGCCTCATATAGCCAATGGAACACTTTGCAACTACTACAACACTGTGGATGCCAAACGGGGAGAAAAATTTAGATATACCGTGACAGGGCACTACAACACCCCACTCGGTGACCCCAGCGAAAGAATCTACCCGTTTAAGGAACTGAGACCAGACTCACTGGTTCTCGACATCGGCAGCGGCAACGGTCAGCACGCAATCCAACTGGCCGCCAAATTCCCTTGTATGTCTTTTATCATGCAGGATAAGGCCCGAGTGATCGAGTGTGCTGAGTCTACTGCGGCTCTGCCCAAAGCCGTTGCTGAGCGGGTTCGCTGGCGGGCTCATGACATGTATTGCACGCAACCTGTAAGCGGAGTATTGATACATCACTTGAATTTGTTCATAGTATAACTTAGATTAGTAAACTCAACATACTGACGGAATTCAACGAAAAATACCCGGTTGTTCTCTTTTTGACATATGCTTACGGAGAGTAGTGCGAGCAGAATGCTTGAGAGTTCGTATAACGTTTCAAAGATGAAGCATAATACACAGCAGCAGTAGATGCAAACAATGCACAGGCTGCTCTACATCTCCTCACCGACTATTTTTAAATTGCCTGTGAACAGTACTTGACATGTACGTATCACATAAAGATGGGAAGCTGAGTACGTCAGGCAGACAGAAGACTTAACCTGGCTGTTTTGAATGGGGTAAGTTTGTTCTTCGATCAGACAACGAGCTCTGGCAGAGCGGATCGCTGAGCCGCACAGATGGCAGATTAGGCTGACTGGAACAGGACATTCTGATTGCGAAAATGTTAAGCAAGTCTCCAAGAACCGCTTGCCACCTCATGGTCGTATGGCATCGGATTTAAATGCCTTTGAGCCATTAGCAACTACAGGCTTATGGTGCTCAACGGGACAATGAAGGGCGGCTCACGTTGATGTTAGAAAGGTACTCCTGATAGTGGTAATCCCCCTTTCAACCTTTGAAAGAATCGACAACAAGAAGAAAACCTCTCACAATTGAGCCCTTGGCGCGGCGCACTAGCACCGTCAATGTCGAGCATAATGTACCGCGAGTGTGATGATGACCACGATAGCGCAGGTGATAATGATGGTGATAGCGCTAAATATACACGTTCGTCGAAATGATCCTGACCAGTGGAGCCAGGACCGTCGGTCCTGCGGCAGATAAAGCTCCCCTGCTTCTATCGCGACGGGAGAAATGCTATCCGGAGGCTTATTCGGTCGATTGGGATGCATGGTTCGATAATATCGACTTGCTAGGAACGTCGTAGCAAGCTATCCCCAGTTGTCGGACAAGTGGCTAGTATACGCTAAGGACACCGCGCGTGGCATGAAAGGATTGACGGTGGTTTTTGTCGAGGACATATAGTTCCGGTAGTGACCGTGTGGGTTGCTCCCATTTATTGAGGCAAGCGAGCCAAGCGCTATTCTATAGTGTCGTGACGTTGTCTCTCATCGACCCACTTTTTGACAAAAGAGAATGTTCAGTATGGACGTTCAGGACCCTGCCAAGCCCCGAAATTGCGCCCGATCTTGGCTGTGTTTACAGGGCTGTAAGCACTACTGTGTCCTAGGGTCTTGGCTGGTGAGTCCCCCAGGCTAACATCATATCCTCCGTTCATCCTCCAAAGAACCGTCTTAACACCTTTGTCAATGTGTACCCTTACATCATCCCCAGGAAATGACCAGCGCAACCTGACGGCATCGCTGGTTAAGGCTTTAGGTGAAGAATGCGCCGAGTTCTGTATCTGGTTGCCTGTACAGGCGTCACGGCGCCATTGATCAACAGATCCAGTAGCGTCTTGTACTCTCGGTCGTCTTTTCTTTCTATTTATTGTGAGCGTTCAGGTCCGGGGCATTTAAGGGACCTCTGTTCTCCTTTTCGAGTGTGTTTCTTAGTGTGTTCGCCACAGTCTCAGTCAGGGTGTCGATGCCAATGGCCGCTAAGCTGTAAGGGTAAAGCAAATATTCGAGAAGTTTAAGCGTAAATTGGAGAAGTGATTATGAATGTGGCGTATAGGTGATTGTTCAAGGTTGGTAGTAGTACGGGCGTACAACCTAGGGCTTCCTTGTGGGTTCCGGAGAGGGGTCTTATTGCAGAGGAAAATCTCGTAATTGAACTAATAATCTGCTCTTTTTCTGTTGCTCACTCACCTAAGCTCGAACACTAATGTGTTGCCATCATTATTAAAACTCAGTACCTTCGTTTTTCATCGGCTTCCAGTGAGGTGGAGATTTCCTCGACTCTGACGTGCCGCTTGTGACTCATAGACAAACTCATCCTCGAATCGGAAGGAGACATTAATCAGGTACCTCTCAGTTCGAGAACATCCAGAAGATACGGTATTTACACACGGCATAAGGCTCTGTGCGCGTCAAAACGCTTCAACCAGTGCTCCCATCCGAGACAGAATATACCATCCCAAGGCATACATCACCCCTTCTCCAGAAACCATGATCCTTCAATCTTCTCACATTGCCGGTCTGCCGGTACGCATAAACACATTCGAGGGCCGCTCACGGTCGCGAAATTCGTCATCCACATCATAGCGAAATTCACCTCCGTCTTGTTCGAATCCAAGTTTCCGGTAAACATGACGTCCCATGCTGGATGCTTCGAGAATAGCTTCAATTCCACCGCGCTGTCGCGCTTCCTGAAGCCCCCATTCCACCAATTTGGTAGCAACCCCGCGCCGCTGAAAGGCAGGGTCAACGGCGCAGAGATCCAGAACCATAACCGCTGGTGAGGAAGTTGTCGCAATCTCCCGAACAAACTCGATCCGACGCCGACGAAGTGAAAGGTCCACCTGGCGTAGATACCTTTGCTCTGCCGGATTTCCAGGGAACAGTGCCTCCAAGTCCATCGTGCTGCCGATATCGGTCGCAGGGGCGTCCCCGTGACCTTCTAGCTGGGACGCTTGAACCCAGACGGCTACTCCCGCGATCTCTTCGTCGCCCTCTGTGGCTCCCTGACTGGGGACAACAGCCTTCAAGAAAATGGCATTTGGACGGCTATATCGATCGGTTGTGGTGGAGGACCATCGGGCGGCGAGACGGGAGCTTCCACTCTTTTGCCCCTCGGGGGTATCCCAGCCCGGGTTCATGGCACACCAGACACCATCTTTGACCTGATGACCGAAAGCGAGTGCGGTAATCTCGAAGAATCGATCAAAGTCTTCTGCAGCTGTGATGGGTTCCACCCGAACCGCGTTCTGGTTCGAGTGGGCCTTCGAGGTTTGTTCGTTGCTCATGGTGAAAGTCGTTGATCCGGGGTGATGCGGGATTGATAAGATAAGGCAATCTGCTCGTCATGGATAGAAGTATCGAGGTATACAATGTGACGATAAGGGCAAACAGGCTGTTTATTATAGCCAAGTACTAGAGCCACGTCACTTTTTATTTAGTGAACTAACTTGGTTACTGTGGTTAACTAACTAACTCTTTCCTATGAGCTTACAAATCATGTGCCTAACAGAGTTAGTCCATTTCGTTCTCCTCCTTGGCATTGCAGGCTGGGTGTTCATTGGATTGCTAGCTAGTGAATCGGCACAGTAGATTCCAGTCTACAGTAAACGAAAGGGAGTGGAATAGAAGTGGAAGAAGCGCTGCGAATTCTGGAAAGAGAGGCTTGAATGGATCTCAACCGTCACAGCGCTGGATTTAAAAAACGAGGTACGAGGTTATCCGAGGCGCGGTGGAACAGATGGGCGGGGTTGAGCGGTGAGAAGATAGAGCGTTCTATTTGATACAGGCTCAGCAATCTGTTTCTTGACTTCCAACCACCGTCTGTCCTCTTAATGTTGTATTCTATAAGCAAAAGCACAAGTCTACAAAGCACATACGACCACAGGGTGTGGAAAACAGGGCTTCCCGTCCGCTCAGCCGTTCTTAAGCCACACGCCGGGAGGTTAGTAGTTGGGTGGGTGACCACCAGCGAATCCCTTCTGGTGTATGTTTTTGGCTCTGTTATTTTTGTTTGTCTTATAAATGCATAGTCGGTCGCTGCCCTATTTCTTCTAGACACAGACAATTTGGGCACTGTCTCCCTGCAGATCTTCGCTCGATAATGCGGACTCAAGGTCCCGAGATCCGTGGCCCTGGTAGAGGAACTTGCTGTTCAGTCGGGTTGACTCCAAGAACTCGACAATGACTCTAAACTGGGTAGGTTGCTTCTAGTAGTAACCGTAGGTATTACAGTAATCTTCAAGCCGGGAATTAATTAAGCAGGTCCAGTTGCTGCTTGCTCCGCTGAGGCTTTGGGCGACACACCATCAGGACACACTCCCGCAGTAGAATCACAGCCTGACGCGCTGCAATAATCGCTGGTAGAACCACTATGGAAAGCCGAGTAGAATAAGGTTTTTTAAAGTAGGAAACGCCTTTGGTTAAGTCACAAATATCTACCAGTATCCCAAGGTAATGCTGCAATCACCAAAGCCAGATTGCTTATATTAAGAGGGATAGTAAGGATTAGCTGGCTCAAGTCCAGGTCACATACGCAACTCTATCTACTAAGCCAGGCGGTACTAGCCATAAGATCGCTCGTGGTAAACTTATCATCATTAAAACTGCAGTAGGATATTGCTTCTTGACAGAACGTGTTGCCTGTGGTTATCTCGTATACAATGTTGTTATGGATCCTGATAAGGGTCGAGATCCATAATCCGGTGGGTAGGATCCAGCTGTAACAATGATGGTTAATTAAGATAGTCACCCTCGTTGGCAGATTCTTCGTTCTGGGACTTGCTAACGACATGGTACAGCTTACTGCCACTGTGGTGTTAGCATTAATAGTGGAACGCAAAGCTGGCAACAAGGAAAGGGGGCTCGAGTGATAGACAGAATACTTCATACATCTCGAGACTGCCGACAGCTTGCACGCACTAGATCAAAACTAGGGGCCAGTGTACTAGGCTAATAAGAGCCTTATCAAATATGGACTTATATAGCCATTTCCCGCGGCAAGAAGGCATAATTATTACCAAGTTACATATTTAGGAAATAGAGACCCCATTGTGCAACAGAAAATGGGGGGTCAAAATACGCAATTAGAGAGTAGTCTTACCTGCTCGCCATATTTAGATAGTATTCATCCAGTTTCTGGCCGCGTTTAAGCTACACGCTGGGAGGTTAGTAGTGAAATAGGCAGCCACAGTAATCTCCTTCTGCCATATTTTCTTGGTCTCTTTTGAATATTATTATTCACTTAATTACTAAATCTAGGACCTCATTCCGGTGCCACGCTCAAACTATGACGTGTGTTACTCCCCCCTCCTGGGATTCACTTCCGGCTCGGATGTAACTTTTTTCCACATCCTTACCACCCCAACACAGAGAGTCATTTTCCGCACTGATCTTCGCTGTTCTCTACATTCCTCACCTCCGTCATCTTGCTCTCGCGTATCTTGGCCTCAAGATGGATTACGGTTACAGGGCGGGAACTTATCTGGAGAGACAGATCGGTCAAGTCATCAAGATCGCCGGCCACAACTATCTCATCCACGAGATACTCTCCGAGAGCCGAAAGGATGAGCTCCACGAGCACTGGGGGGTTTATGAGGCTACATGTCCTGACAGTAGGACCAACGCCACTCGCCGATACGCCCTTAAGGTGCGCTACGGGTGAGTCTATTCCTCATGGAATTTCTTGGGCGCTCACAGCTAATTCAGCGCCAAACTCAACCAGGATGAGGACGCGGAAATTCCGTGAGAGCGACCTAGAAGCTACAGACGTAATGGCTCGAGAGTGTTTCGAACTCGAGTGCCGGGCGCTTCGAACGTTCACAAACTCTGGATTTACCCCGGTGTTTTACGGCAGCGATGAACTATCTTCAGACCTGAATCCACTCTATGGCGAAGGGCATGTCTGGGCAATCGTAATGAGTCTTGTAGACGGTACAAGCGTTGCGGACATTTGCGGCTTGAACGTCTTCGAGAAGAGAATCATTCAAGATGAGTTGATCAAAGCCTTGGAGTAAGTCTACCTAAGTCAGTGCTCGTCAGCTTTATATAGCGGTGTACACTGACAATCCGATCTAATACCACTAGATACATGCGGCTCCGAGGCTGGGGGTGGTATATGCAGGAGACGGAGCAGATTTTCTATGACAGTGCTCGACAATCTATGTACGTGTTCACTTGCATTAGGCTGTATCCTTTCATCTACTGATTGAGATATCTGCAGTTCCATTGTTGGACTTTCGCGGGCCGGAACCGATGACGACGACTCTTTTATAATTCCAGGTGATCATATCACCAGAAACCATCGAGAGTTTATTGCTTTCGGGATCAATTGGCGGGTGGACTGACGGGCCAGAACTCAAGATGGTTGAAAAATCTCATTGGGATCGAAACATGCTGAACGGTTGCCGATCTTGATCTCTGAATTGTTATCTAACTACTAGCTTGAGAGTCCAAGTCTTCAACATCGAAACCCCATGAATTCACTGAGTCTACTAATAATGAAATGGTCTTATCTGCTTGCAAGTAAAGTATCCCAGTCATTAGATGTTTATATCATGAAGGTATCTCTAGCTACCATTATTTGCAAATTGACGTGCTTAAGAGTTTATGAAGGGCCCGGATTTACTTGTCTTGGGCTTTCCTCTTTTCTCACAAATCCTCGAGGCGTGTTGCTTTCCTAGACACAAGGCAGAGCTGGGAGAACTCCCTCTTTTCTACAGCGAGTTCTGTAAAACTTGTAAGCATGCTTGCAGGCTCAAGCGGCCGCCTTTCTATCCAAAGACGAGATATTTTCGAATATCGGAGCTAGGCGTTGCCATAGACTACACCGCTTTCTCGTCAAGCACATATGGAAATAAACATGATGGATAAGGCTTCCTGCCTACTTAGATATATTCAAGTCGCACCCCGAGTGGAATCGGCTCTGCTATATTCTTCGCATGTAAACTTGAAGCCCTCTATCGGGCTGGGGACCACCCTCGTTGACTGATGATGGTTTATCAACACCATCATGTTCTTCATAGATATTCACAAAGAATATCGATACTTACAGTGCCATCCATAAACTGATTATGTTGCCGGTAAGGATAAGTTTTGGGGCAGTGAATACGATCATGCAAAGCGGTTGAAGTTGCAGTCTCAGTCTAGAAGTCTGGTTCTTAGATACCAAGCCATTGCAGAGGATAACTGGTACTTGTTTCGTATGCCTTCTCAATCCATTATAGCAAAAATAAAAGCTAAGATGAACGAATCACAGAAGAAGACGGTCGTGTTCTCTGCTGTTCCACCGCTTCAGACAAATCTCCCCTTCGCCACTAAATTTCCAATCGTTCACAGGGCCATGCTGCTGCCTTCACAGGTGGCACCATGGGCAGGTTTCTATCAGGATGTGCGGCAGGCGACGGCAGGTGCCATCGGACATCCTCCAGGAATTCCGGTTCAGCATGCGATGCCAATAGAGCATTTCATGGTCGGTAACGAGCTGGGCGTATCCTCCCGATTCATTGAGAATGTCCTGTCCTGCGTCGGACCGGTTCTAGAGACCCCGGCGCCTCGAGTCTCACTCGGAGACGTTCAATGTGCGGAGAACGCGTGGAGTGCGGCACATCCCCCAGACGCTGTTGTCTTGAGCATTCGTCTGGGACATGCAGGTGTTGGAAGCGTCATGGAGTTCAAGACTGGGTGGACTATCCCACTGACAGTCAGAGATTGGAAGTTCTGGAGAGCCGCGGGTAAGTTCTCACAGAAATCACTTGATGTCGAGCATGGCACTGACCTACTTTCAGGCCAATTGGCCCGGTACATGGACATCTACAGATGCAGATATGGGCTCCTATCCAATTACGACGAGACAATCATTTTCCGTCGCGTCAGCAACTTCCGGTTCGAGCTGAGCCCAATAATTGAACGCCAAGCGATCTCGACAAGGGATCCTTTGAGAGTATCTCTCAAAGAAGCGGTTTTCTTTCTGGGTTTGAAAGTCAGAAATAATAACTGGTGCTGGAATGGGCAAGTCATTGGAGACCCCCTGGTAAATATTCTGTGAGAACTGTTATTCAATGACTTTCGCGAACTTTCAACAGGTGGCTAACTAGAAACGAAGGTCGATGGTACGTACCAAGACTAGGCTGATCTACAACATTCCTTGACCTTGGATATGTCATTAAACGGTCCCCCTGTGTTCACTGACCGGGCCAGGGTCTTTCTAGGCCCAGGGAAGAAAATACCTGGCCCTGGTAGGGGCTCACTCCGCCCGTGGAGTTTGGGAGCTGCCCTTTGTGGTCATACAAAGGAAAACCTACCGCCGCCTAGCGGAAAGCAAACCGCTTTATCAAACTCCGAAGGAAAACGTTGAGAACCGGGTAGCCCCGTCATAGCTACTGGCAGCTGAGTGAGCAATCACCAGCGAATTCCTTCTGTTGTATCTTCCATCATATCACTGCTTCGGAGATCGAGGATTACCAGGTATGCCTCTTTCAATTTCTTACGGTTATGCCAACGACTCTGATGTAGGTGACTCTCAAGACGAGGTCCGTTTATCCCGCATGCTGGACATGTCGAAATGGGGCAGAGATTAAGAGTTCCCGATGCTCAAGAGGGATACAAACTGGTACCTTGCTCAAGTTAGTTTAATACAAAGTCTGATTGCGGAGACCCTATTGAAGAGCTCACTGCTAAACTTCGCCTGAATAACCCTACACATGCTTGATTTGAGCAATCCTCCGAGTGTAGTCAGCGTTGGCGCCAAGAAACACCAGTCATTTGGGGCCAAAAGCCCCATAACACAGCCCTCTCAGCATGCTTGTATCCTGAAAGACGTTCATCGAGGCTCTGATGACAGAGGAGCAATTAGCTCACGGGAGATGGATGACTGGTGAGTGGTAGTAAGGGGAAGCGTTCTTCTCATGTAGACAGACGTGCCGCGCAATGCACCCTCCGGTGACTTGCCCTGCCTCTCTTGGCCCGGGCCGGTTGCTCGATTTCGCTGTCTTGATTGGTTCTCGTTCCTGCTTACTTGCATGGCCCCAACGGAGCTGAGGCCGGAGCGGGCAAATCAGCCAAGGATGGATGGAATTAACCTAATGGACAAGTTAGGGCTCTTCACGGTAAAATCACCATCTGGAGTAAATGGGCGGCGCCCCGCACATCCTCACCCGCACGTCAGCACCTCGTCGTCCCACTCCCTTGACTAATTCATGATGGTCGGGGGAACTTTTACCTTCGCTGGTTTAGGTACGATCGTTATGCACGTCCGCTTGGCCAGGCGCAGGACTATAAGGGTCCTCGAGTCGACAGTATGTATCGCAGGGGCCAACTGGACAGACGGTCAGGGTAATAGGCACACACAGCCCGGAGCTAATTCGGACGACTGATGACCATTGAATATTAGCGATACGATGGCATGGGGACTTGGAATAGATTGCGTCTTGGCTTTTGGTCTTCCGTCTTGAATATGAATACTTCGCGCCCATTGGAGACTCGATTCAGGAGAAATTTGTGAAAAAGACACCTGATGCAATCCAGAATAGCACAGCCGTTCAAGTGAACATGATGCTCTAATACTATAATTAAATTTGGAATATTTTCCAACGTCTGTGAGTAATCTGCCGCGGTGCATCAATCAAACCGTCATGTCCCAATGCCACAAGCTGCCGACTCACCTCAGACTCAGAACTGAAACCCGCATAAGGGGCGGGGGCCAAAAATCGTCTGCCCCCTGGCTCCTACTGTTTTAAGTATGAGTCTAAATCCTGACATCTAGGCCCCTTCTTCTCATCTATAATATTATGTTACAACCCATAAGTATCCTGTCTTCTCTGACAGACTGTCTCATCGAAGCACACTGCTTGGACCTCTACCAGGTAGGGCGGAGGGGATCTTTGTACAATGTTTAGCTTATCATGTTTGCTTAAACAAAGCCGACGAGGCAGAACCCTGTCTCGGGCGCTGATCCTCGTGCTTCTACTGGTCTATTGCTTCAAGGCGACTCTCCATACGCTGGAATTCCCCAATGCGGGACGATACGCGCAACATATATCATCTCTTCAGAAAAGGCTGGACGGCAGCCATGCCACCACAGAGAAATACCCATCCCAATGGCCTGTAGGGTTACACGATCGCGTCACAACCATCGAGCATGAAGCCCACGAGAATTTCACCAAGAACCTCGAGAACCTGCTCTCCCTACTACCCGACCAGTCGCACGCCCACGCTCTCGCCGGCCCGATCAAGGGAACGGGCGAGGAGAAGCTGCGCGAAGTGGGCTTCCGGGCTCGGGCCTTCAAAGCCCTCCTCCAAGCCTGGGAAGCCATCCACCTGGTCCCGACCAGCACGAACCAGATGCTCATCCGCGACGATATCGTCCAGATGCTGCGCGATAACCCGGCGATCGCAGCCGACCTCCATCTCGACGCGGCGAGCACGATCCACACCTACGAGACGATGCGCAGCTTCCTCACGCGCTTCGCCACACGCCTCTTCCCCTGGATCACGCCGTACTTCGCCGACCACATGACGCTGCACGCGCAGTTCCGGCACGCGGGGCGCGGCCTCGTCTTCACCGCCGGCAACGACCAGGCGCCGTACCTGGCAACGTCGATCCGCGCCCTCCGCGCCCAGGGCTGCACGCTACCCATCGAAGTACTCTACCTGGGCGACGAGGACCTAGACGAGGACGCCCGCGAGGCCCTCGAGGCGCTGCCGGGCTCCGTGGTCACGCGCGACCTGAGCGCAATGGTCGCCGACGAAGGCTGGAAGCTCAGCGGGTGGGCGGCCAAGCCGTTCGCGATCCTGCTGTCGAGCTTCCGCGAGGCGATCTTCATCGATGCAGATGCGCTCTTCCTCCGTGACCCGGCGGTGTTGTTCGACGATCCGCTCTACCGATCCACGGGCGCGCTGTTCTTCAAGGATCGCCTGTTTATGCCCGGTACCGAGAAGCGCGCGTGGCTGAGACGCATCTTGCCGGCCCCGGTGTCGCGGCACGCGCGTCAGAGTCGCATGTGGACCGGGGAGAGCCTCCATATGCAGGAGTCCGGCGTCGTGGTCGTCGACAAATGGCGCCATTTTGTGGCGTTGCTGATGGTGACGCGCATGAATGGCCCGGATCGCGATGGTAATGAGGCGGAGGGCCGCGTCGGCGTCTACGATATGGTTTACGGTGGGTTATGTTTCTCGCTTCCCCTGTTGATGATCCTTTAACTCGATAATTTTATGTGAGGAGCTTTGACTGACCTGGCTAATCTTGTTCGTGCAGGGGATAAGGAAACCTTCTGGTTGGGGTGGGAGCTGGTCGGCGATACCGATTACGCCTTTCATGGCGGTGCGGCGGCGGTCATGGGCAAGGCACAGGTCAATCGAGGCACGGTTGTCGGGAACGAGACTGCAGAGGAAGGCCGGTACCCTCATTTCACCATATGCGCACCGCAGCTGCTGCACCTGGGCATAGATGGCCGACCGTTGTGGTTCAATGGGTGGCTGCTGCCCAATAAATTCTCGGACGATGAACACCAACAGCCCACAGGGTTCGAGGCCTTCATTCCCGAGCCAGGGACTACGGAGGACGGCGGTGCCTGGAAATTGCATGAGAATAATGTGTGCTGTTTGTCGGCGGACCGCGTGGTTGACTTCAGTGCTGCGGAGAAGAAGGCCCTGGATGGGATGGTTGGGATTGCCAGAAGAGTTGGGGCTATCAGTGGGCTATAGTCGCTATTTTGTATATAATGGATACGTATTTTGACAAGCAAATTCCCGCGCGGTGTGTGCTTGCATTGTAGGGTCTCGGAACTACGCTCCAGCCAGGACAGAGTGGGCTCAGCAGGGTTTATCTGTATATCCATTATTGCCTATCACCCCAATACTTACAGATCTCAACAGCTACTCAATTATGAGCTCCAAGTGAGTCTCTCAACGCCGGTATTCTTGATGAATCTTTCGTCTCGATGCAGCCCTCTACTGATGGCCTATTGTTTCATTCGCCCTCTACCGTCCATCGGGAGAATATGGCTGTTTGCAGTGAGAGCCTTGCTACGTGATGAAACTCTGTATATCATTTATCAATATGCATCTATTGAACTTGTGGGCCTAAGATAGAGAGTGAATGATACTGAAACGGAGGCGGTGGACAAATCGAGTCTGGAGATAAGGTTCACGGCTAGCTTGTAGAACATTTGTTAGCTGAGTATTGCATGATCCGCTCGCATGGCTTAGATGGTAAAGCGCAGCACTAGTAATGCTGAGATCCTCGGTTCGAGTCCGAGTGTGAGCACACGATTTCTCTTTTTGTCGAATGGTTGCGCCTTTGTTTCATTTTTGTTGGCTCATATGGTAGGTAGGTGAAGAAGTCAAGGGAGGGAGAGGCACTCGCAGATTCGAGACACGCACAAATTGAGCGCTAATTGAGCGCTAATTGAGCGCTACTGTGCCGACATACGGCCTTCCCGCTTGGTTCATGTCTGGTGGATCTTATTGCTTTCCTGTCGCGCGGGCTGTGTCCATCTGGAATGTGGCCCTTGCCTTGGCCTGTGTCGACCAATGGAATAACAAACCACGCAATAAGACTGTGATACATGACCCACAAGCTGTACTCAAAAAGAATCCTTGTTCACAAGAGATAAAGAACAAAAATCAACAAAAAATGGAGCTGCGGGGAATCGAACCCCGGACCTCTCCCATGCTAAGGGAATATTATACCACTAAACCACAGCCCCAACTGATGTAATATGATCCAAAACTAACCTTTATCAGTAGACAACAATTTTAATCCGCTCCGTTCTAAAGTACTTGCTATACCTACCATCACTACCTCAACATATTCTTGTTGTGACCAACCTACACGAGTACACGAAATAATAATGAAAGCCTAGCTTACTTCCATCCTCGGATCTAATATAATCTATTGACCACAGCCTTGTTTCAGGGGCGTTCCGCTCTAATCCACGAGACAGAAGGATTCGGGGGTCAACATATATATCTCCTGGCTGACCAACTCGGGTGTACATACGTAATCTCTCATCATCTTACATTCGACGGTAAGCCCAACAACTTGAAGCCTTTACCTTGAGATTAAGGAACCTCGTAGCGCTTGCTCACAGAACAGACCCAGAAGTGACGCTCAATGTCAGCCCTACAAGCTTCGACAACATACTTACTGTGCTGGAGACGATGGCCACCCAAAGGTTCAAGAAAAGAAAGTGACCCCACAGATACGGTATCTTCCCAGTATAACGTCAGTTGGCAGCAGATGGTTCTAGTCTCGTCTTCTGGGGCATTTAAGCGACCAAGCTCGTCGCACCGCAGCCTGGCAAGCCTCTTGCATTCCCGCACAAGGCCGAGTCGAGAGGCGATGCAATCGCGGGGTAGCCAATTTAGGGTCTTCGCCCTATCTTATCCGGACCTTGAGATCCTCAACGCTACGCATCCCCATGCTGCCAAAATGACGGCACGGAAACTAACCCCTTAGACCTCACAGTCAGATGAAAAGGCATCAAATGATCGAGTAAAGGTCTGCTGCTCGACGCCTGAGGGCCAGCAGGCTGGCAGACATTGTTGTGCTCCGCGACAGGGAGTGACCGGCATGGGCTGTTGCCGGTGCACGCGAGGCGTCGCGTGCGGTACGGGGCGGTGCGGTATTCGGGGAACAAAGTGGTGTTTCCCCAAGACGAGGCGGAGGATGATGAGGGACTGGAGAATCGCCTCGAGCTGACGCATCTGCCTTGGACATGTGTGCCTGAACAAACGGCGCATTTTGCATGAAGCCGTGACTGGGGCTTGAATCTAAGCAGGTCCCAGCAGAGCCAACAGTCGAATATGGCGTTGTCAGGCAACGAGTGGACTCCATCAACGCTGTCCTACTCACCCGACGTCCCCAACAAGCTCTCCGCATTACCCAAATAAACCCGGTCGCGCAAATGTGTTGCAGGCAAGATGCTCTGTTCTTTGCCTGTGACAAGACCTACACCTGCGAAGCATGTGCAAATTTCCGCGCAACTACAACCCAGAACCCTACTTGTGTGTTGGACTCCTAGTATTGAGAATCAAGGAGAGGGATATTACATTAACAAGCTTCTACTCATACACCAACCCCGATGATATGCCTACTCCGTCCGCAGGATCCGCCTAAAAGTCTCCAGCGTGTGCTCCCACACCTTCGCCGGAAACCCCTGCTCGCGATACCCAGCCATCAGCTTCTCCTTGGCGGTATTGCTACCGTCATAGTTCAGAATGTACGAGCCCCCACCGACCTTACCCGTGGACGCCACGGCCGTCCGCAGCCCCTCACCCAGCGGCGTGCCCACATACGAGGGATCTCTGGGCCTGGCCGCCGGATACGCCGCGGAGGTGGCGATGAACAGATTGCGCTGGCCGCTCTCCTCGGGCGCCATGGACAAGGGCCGGGAGAGCACGTTCAGCACGGAGCCGGCCAGGTGGCCGAAAGTGGAGCCCATAAGCGGGGTGCGGACGATGCCGGGGAAGACGTGCGCGAAGCTGATGGACGGGTGCGTGGCGGCTAAGTGCTCTAGGGCTAGCGAGTTGAGCGTTGAGGCGTAGGTCGCCGCCTTCAGGAAGGACCACGATTTGGTCAGGTCGAGATTGTTGGCGTCGACTTGCCCTTCTTGCCCGGCTGCGAGAACGGAGACGACCCGCGCGGGCCCCCGGGCGTTCTCCAGGAGCGGGAGCAGGTTGTGGATGAAGCGCATGCGCCCGTAGTAGCGCAGGACGTGGTTGTTGTCCAGCCCTTCCTCGGTCTCTGTGGGTTTGTTAGTAACATACTTATAGGCTCCGAGGATGTGGGTTGGAGTCACCATTTTTGAACATGGTGAGATGGCCCGTCGACAGGAATAGCAGGTCGATGGACTTCTCCTTCTCCTTGATTTGCTCGCAGGCCGTGTCGACGTTGCGGAGTAACGAGACGTCGGCTTGGATGAAGTGGAATTTGCCGTCTGGGTTAGCGGCGCGCAGCTCTTCCAGGATACGTGATCCCGATGCTTCACTGCGTCCCACGACGTGGATGGTGGGTTTCTGCACCGATTGGGCCAGTTGCTTGGCGGTTGCTTCGCCGATGCCGCTGGTGCCGCCAACGAAGACGGCGATCAGTTCGGGGCGACTTGTCGCGAGGGTCGCATTGGACTGGCGGACTTCGCTTAGAGAGGGCATAATGAAGGGATAACTGGGTTAGCAACTGTGAATGGTGTGGTATAATGATGACAATGGCCGGTGCTGGTGGTGAGTGGAATGTTAAATACAGTGGAGGTGAATTGGATGGGATGTCTTGGCATGGCGGGCAATGATCGATGACGTCCTTGATCGGGCTGACTCAGCATCGGCCCAATTCGGACTCATCCCTGCTTTGAGATCGGTTTTTGACTCACCATCCATGCATGTTTACGATGCTAATACGTGTCTTTTTCTTCTTCCCTCTTCTCTTCTCGGAGATCGATTTGGGAATCGATCAAGTGATCGATCGATCCCGCTTTTCTGGGAATGGACCTCCAGCAACTACTAATACAGGACTACTTCTCTGGCTACTGCTCCCATCGGGAAGATACGATCTTCGTCGTGGTGAAGAACGGCCAGTACGTCTTCCCGGGCGCATGACGATCTAAGATATCAGCATGACGCCCTTAGCATAAGGAGAGGAAACCGACAAATCTCCCAAGAACGAGTCCTTGTTGCTGGTCCGCACGGCGGTGCCATACGGGGCTGCCCATACATCAGCATCTAAATACAAGAAAAACAAAAACAACATACCGATCAGCGGGATATTGACCCCGATCTGCCCAACGTTGACGCCGCGCCGAAACGTGTTTGCATGTTTACCGCTGGTGGTGAAGATAGAGCATGCGTTGCCATCTATGTGGCTGGATGAGCCTCTGAGTTGTTGAAGCAAGCAGTCACGTAGCAAGCTCGCATTTATTTTGATTGATGAGCTCGATCGCCTCTTCTAAAGTGCTAACCTCCATGTAAATGAGCACCTGTCCGAACATCCCCGACTGGTAGCACTCCATGTACGTCTCGACGCCCGTGAGAATGGTGGGCCCCAGGAAATTCCCGTCAGGGTAGCCAGGCCCTCTGATCTGACGACCATCGAGGAGAACTTCGGCCTGCTCCTGCACCGCCCGCTGTATGACCCCGCGGACCCGCTTAATGGCGTCCTCATCGATCAACGGGCCGATCTTCGACTCTTGGTCACCGCCGCAGCCAACCACCATCGACTCCGCCAGCTCTACGAGCTTGGGGATCCAGTCGCGCGTGCTGCCGACGAAGACGGCGACGCTGAGGGCCATGCATCGCTGGTCTGCGGCCACGAAGGCGCTCCCTGCGATCGCGAACAGAGTGGGCATCGTGCTGGCGTCTTCGAGAACGACCCCGTGGTTCTTGCCCCCGCACTCGGCTTGCACTCGTTTGCCCGCGGAGCGTGCGAGATCGTGTACTTGTCGAGCGGCAGGTTCGGAGCCAACGAAGCTGACTGCCTGGATGAAGGGCAGGGTGATGAGGGCATACTGCAGAAACCAGAGGGGAATCATGAAAGGAAAGCTAAACGGTGTAATGGAGACGCAGACGCCCTGTGCATCATAGGTCAGCAACCAAGTCACCTTGACTCAACCACTCACCCAGTCAACACATACTACCGGCTCGTAGAACGTCTGCAGCAGCGTTGCATCGCCGCCGAGGAACATGCCCGCCATTTCCGGGCCGATGGAGCACGCAACGTGAATGCAATCCAGTCCGCGAAACACTTCCGAATCTGCATCAGCCAGGTCTTGCCCACCTCGCGGGACAAACAGGTAACCTTGCTTTCCTTCAGTAAGCTACTCATAAATCTTGCTTCGGCCTGTAGTGCATCACTCTCACAATCTCCGGCGACATCTGCCTGAGCACATCCACCGATTTCAGCAGATGTTCCCGCCGCACCTGGAACCCCAGCGCCGCCCAGGCAGCTGAGCGTCCTGGACAGCTTGCACCGCCCTCTGTACCTCGTGGAGAGTACTCCCTGGGACTCTGCATAGTAGGCGCTGTGAGACCTGAAATTCCTTCAGCAAACTAGGAACAGGTGTGGGTTCACAGTGTCCGTACCGGATCCAAGACATTGCTCCAGCTCTGCGACTTGAACATCACACACTCGTTGTTGATGAAAAGGTGCGTCACGGTTGGCGGAGCGAGCGAGATGGCGGAGCGCTCTGCATCGGATTCATGATTCGAATCGGAGCTCTCTCCTTGGTGTGTGGCGTCTTCTACATGACTAGACAGCGTGCTACTTCGTGGCGACCGCGTCTAGCGCAGATGTTAGTGGGAGTTTTATTGTAAGGCTTTTCGGACGAGAGGCAATGTACTGAACTCCTGCGGGAGGAACGTTCACTGAACACAATGGTCTCGTCGCTGGAAGTGGGTGACCCTGACGGGATAAGGGCGAACCTTGCTGCCCGATTAGAGGATTTGATTGAGATTCGAGGCATATCGGATGAAGCACTATCCAGGGGGGAGAAGATTGAGGGTTGAGAGGAGACATAGAAGATAGAAGATAGAAGATAGAGTGATTATCTTCGGTCCCTAGGGGGTGAGGGCTTATCAGGTGTCAGACTCGGGGTTCCCCGAGGGACAGCGCGATAAGATAATCTTTTCCCCCCTTCGTGAGACCGCTGATAAGCATTGCGGTCGGTGGGCTGAGTGGAATCTATAGTACAGGATATTATGAGATCTCATCTCCGGCTTGCCCGTACACTTAGGGAAGCAGTGGCCATCTGCAAGGAAAACCCAAGTTATGGATTGTTTATGTATGATTCGTCTCTATAACTCGATGTCCTTGATAGACCATTAGTCCGGTACCACGAGTTCGTGTCGAGCGTGCAAGTTTCGTTCTGTAGTCGTGACTTTGCATCGGGAGACCACTATCCTATGACCCTCAGAGCAGGAGGTAGATGTAAGCGAAATCTGAGCTATTCACATTTTAAGCTGCATGAATGCATTTCCCGCCCCTCTGTTCACCGATGCCACTACTTTATCCGTGTTACTCCGTCTGCCCCAGCAGGATCCCGATAAGATTAGATCCGCCTTATCAGCGGATGATGCGGTCGCGTGCCTTTCTTTTCCTGGCTGAATGGGAATTTTCTTCTCCGCTTTCTTTACCCCTCGACCCCAAAAGACAAAGCAAATACTTGTCACTCCTCCATCACTGGTTTATAATCCGAGGTACTCAGACTGTGGACAGTCTCCTTCTTTCCCTTCGAAAGAGTCTCGCAGCTCATTTTGCCAGCCACACCCCACAACCCGGACAGTCCCAGTATACAGACCAAACTCTAAACCTTTCTTTCCCCAGAATGCAGTCCCCAACTACCGGAACCACCTCGGCATTTAACACCCCCATGGATCGGATCACCGTGCTGGAGCAGGACCGCTCGCTGCTCAGCCTGATGACGATCATTCGCGATGTCAACACCCAGCACCGCGACTTCTCCTCCGCCGTCGAGAAAGTCGTGCGCCGCTTGATCTCGTCCGGTAAGATCACGTGAGGTGGAGAATCGAGGCTAAGAGAGAGAGAGAGAGAGAAGTATTGACGCGAGAACCAGCGTTGAACCATGTCCCTGCGGAGGAATACACCGTCACCACTCCGATTGATACAATATACAAGGGCCTGCGCTTCACCAAGGGCGTGTGTGGTGTGAGCATCCTGCGGGCTGGCGCGAGTATGGAGCAGGTTTTGCGGGATACATGGACGTGCGTTGCCCCCCACCGCTAATCATACTTCTCCATGGAGGATCACTAACGAGCTGAGATGGGATAGTGGACCCCTGAGCTTCGGCAAGCTGCTCATCCAGCGCGACGAGGAGACGAGCATCGCCAAAATCTACTATTCGAAGCTACCGGCGAGTATCTGCAACGATCGTATGCTTGCGCCCCTGTTCTAACCCTCGACGGGAATTGGCTAACAAGATCGATCGCAGTTGTCCTGCTCCTCGAGCCCATGCTCGCGACCGGCGGCTCCGTCATCAAGGCCGTCGAGACACTGACCGACCACGGTGTGCCGGAGGAGTCGATCGTGCTGGTGAATGTGGTCTCCTCGCAGAAGGGTCTTGAGGTTGTGACTGGGCGGTTCCCCGCGCTGAAGATCGTGTCGGCTGCCGTGGACGCGGATCTGACGGCGCAGAAGTGAGTACTGCATGCATTCTTTCGTCTTTGTTGTGGGGTACTGACACTGGTGTAGCTACATTAGTCCTGGCTTGGGTGACTTTGGTGACCGGTACTATGGTACTTGCTAGGCGGGTTTGGGATGGTGTTTATGCGTTTGCGTTTAAACGTACACGTCTCGTGAGTGGGTGTCTTTGGGTTTTATGCATTGGCTTGTGGATGGGTTCGTACAAATTTGGCATGGGATGGCTCTTGCATGGACGGTGCGGCGGGTGAATTGTCGGTAGGATAGGCTTGTCTGATTAGGTTTTATTCAAAAATTCTATGCGAAGTTTAACGTTTCTGAAACATGCGATCGTGACCATCTCCACGCTAGCTACACCCGCCTCTATGGAGTCGTCGAACATGGCGAGCCCGGAGCGGAGGACGACGATCAAGGCAACTGTTCGTCCGGGCGGTGTTGATGTGGGTGGTTTGAATAGGGCGGATGTCAATCCATGAACGAGGTTTCGGAACTGCGATAGCTCCAGGTTGCGATTGTGGTGCTTGTGAAGGAGGGTTGTAAAGGTTTCGTCGTGCAGTTGGTGCAGGTTGGAAGAGGTGGGGGTCATGGTGGTTACTTTAGGCGCTGATATACGTACTTCTGGAACTCTCACTGGGGAACTTGTGCTGATATACTGGGACGACTTAAGCGAGTGTGGTAATAAGGATCTTGAATATTCGAGACGATATACTACAGTTTCGATCTTTCTTCTCTGCGATATAGCCTGGGGTGTAGTGTATCAGCCTGTCAGGTGGTGTTATCAGATAAGATACTAGGAGGGGATCAACCGAGGGAAGAAACGATAAGCGCTTTTCCCCGCTCTGAGTTGTTGTTGTGAATGACTTGTTTCCCCTCTTTCCTCCTGCCTCCACCTCATGCCTTGTTATTCTTTATTCAGAAACACTTAGACAGAACTTAGAGAGCTCTTGCAACACACTGGAAAACAACATATAACAGCATGGATGCGAGCATTCAGAAGCTACTCGGCCTAGAGGCCGTCCGCGACCGAGCCCGTGTTGTCCTGGACCAAGCCGAGCAAGGCAAACTGCACCACTACGACTATCACCCTGATCGTCTGGACGCGACCGTAGACTACGTCGTGAACATCATCAAGGTAAGTCGCCTCTTGATCCGGAGCCAATTTCCCACCAAGTCTAACACACATCCTTCGTCCCAGCGCGACTTCGGCCCCGACCGATACGACCAGATCCCTCCCCACGGTCGCTGGCAGCACTTCGAAGTCGGCGGGGAGCCTCGACTGCAGCAACTCCTCGAGCGCTGGGACCAAGCCGGGTACGACGACAAGGAGAAAGTGCGGAGTCTCCTGGACCTGTTCTTCGTGTCGGTGCTCTTGGACGCCGGAGCGGGCGATACCTGGCGGTATGTCGAGCCTGGCTCGGGGAGCGTGTATACGCGCAGTGAGGGGATCGCCGTTGCCTCGCTTTACATGTTCCTGGATGGAGACTTTGCCAACAAGGGGTCGGAGAGAAAAGATATCGTGCATGGTAAGTTTCCTCCGACCGTGTATCTGGTCTTCGATTTCTGATTTTGATCGGCAGGGGAGGCTTTAACGAGCCTTACGGTCGATGTCTTGACTCGAGGCTTCCAGGTGGATGACACGAGCAACCCACTCGTGGGTGCTGGCGCGCGTATAGCGATCCTGCAGAGACTGGGACAGTCGTTGACCAGCCTTCCGGAAATCTTCGGGCCCTCCGGTCGCCCTGGCCAACTTCTTGGTGAGTTTGATCATCTCGAATATCACCCCGGGTAGAAAAGGCACTGACGCACGCAGACCATCTTCTGTCCTCGGGCGGCGAGAACCTGGATTACAGTCAGCTATGGGCCGTGCTGCAACGGACCCTGATTCCCATCTGGCCGTCCGACCGCACGCGCGTCCGCGGACACCCCGTCGGCGACGCTTGGCCGCTGCCCGTCCTGGCCGAGTCCGCACAGTTCTCAACGTCAGACCCGGAAACGGCCGCCATCCAGCCCTTCCACAAGCTGACGCAGTGGCTGGCCTACTCCCTGAAAGTGCCCTTCGAGCGTATACTGAAAGTCACTTGGAAAAATGCGGAGTTGGGCACCGGCCTGCCCGAGTACCGCAATGGCGGCCTGTTCATCGATATGGGGGTTCTGACACTCAAGCCCGAGGCGAGGGAGCGGGGTCTCCGCACTTCGGGGTCTGATCTGCCGTGCTTCGCGGTCGGAGACGGCGAGATTGTCGAGTGGCGCGCGATGACGGTCGCTCTGTTGGACGAGTTGCACCAACGTATCCTGCGCAGTGGGAAATTGGGGAGTGTCCGCTTGACGTTGCCGCAGATGTTGGAGGCGGGCTCGTGGAAGGCCGGGCGCGAGCTGGCGGCAGAGAAGCGTCCGCACACCAAGTCAAGCCCGATCTTGAACTCGGGGGACGGCACTTTGTTCTAGGTCAGCTCGGACGGGTGGATTTGTCAACGTAGCGGCTGGATCGGTTGATGCACGCGCCCTCTCTATGGTTCTTTATGACTTCTGGCTTCTTATAATGTAGCTGTCGACCAAGAAGTTGCTCCACTAGGTAGGAGATAAGGCAATAGCACAACCATCGTCTTTTTCGAAGCTGTCGGGGATCCAGTAGGAGATAGCGGACAATTAACCATGATCGAGTGACAGATAAGAATCTCTGGATCTCTCATATTTTTTGCGATCGTTGCGGCTTGCAAAATAATTGCATGACGTCCAAGCGGAATGCGAGCATAATCCCAGTAGGCGCGCGTGTTGACCAGGAGGAATTCCTCACAGTGAGAGGCATAGGTGCGGTTCATTTCAGAATGCGAGTGAAATGACCCGGAAGATTGGCAGGGATGGTTGCGGTAAACCCCCTGGGAGATGCGAGTAATGATCGGCGCGAAGGTCACTTCGGGGTCTTTCACAAACCACAAGCCCAGTATCGGGGGATACCACAGTAAGTTCGATCATTTAGAGAAGCTAGACAGATGGCATCATAGCGCCCAATCTGTCACAAGTCGACAAGATCCCATCTGGTTCATTCGATCTTCAGAGGGTGGGAGTGGTGACATAGGGTGATCGCTCGAGAAAAACACCAAGGGCTTGTCGTCACTCCGACGGCCTGCTAACTCCAGCCAAATATAGACGGCGCGCTCGAAGACAACCCGAGGAGCATTATCTCGACCCTTGCCCCGATTGGCATCGATGATCCCCTCGCATTGACTCGATTTGTGCAGATTGGCGATAATCCACCGCATCCGTCAGGGCTCATCCGCTCAGGTGATCAGCCCGCCAATCCCCCTTGACTATCCCAGATCACATCATCATTCTCGCTACAACACGCTTGGCCTGGCCGACCCTGGCAAACTCGGTTTAATCATTGCTTAGCCAGATCCCCTGCATTTACGCAACGAATAATGGCTGCGCAAAGTGCCCCTAGCCGAGGTTCGGTCCCCACGACCCGGGGATGGCGCTGCGGCTGATGGGGCTGTCCGATCCCCAGTGCGTGCCGAATACCCGGTATAGCAACTCTCTGCCCGGCAACGTAAAATTAATACAACAAAACATTTACACCCTGCAGTGATATATGCGGGTTCATGCATCTCACCACATGTTCAATCTCAGGAGATAAGCAAGTAGCACTACACAAGGACGTGCGTGGTCTATTGAGTGGACGAGTCATGCTGCAGCAAGACTATCATTTTTCTCATGCATGGAACAGGAGGGGCGGTGGGTCAGCCTGGAGCCAGAGACCCATTCTGCTAGTTAGTGCTTTTTTTTTTTCTTGGGCCGCCTTGGTTCTAATTGCAGCAGGTCGGATTGCAAGCAGTGCAATAAAAACAATAAACCACCCACGGACCGGTAGTCCGGCTGCCACTCTTCCTCCGCGCCTGGGAAATCTCGCTCAACGCCGACAGTCCATCGGAGGTGAATCTGGACTGCTCTGTGGCTAATCTCGACCTAAATACGATGCCGCCAATTGCTGCATAACGCCCCCAACATACGACACCCCGATGATAATCCGTACCATGACCGCCGACGTCGAAAAGCCTGGCACCCTGCCGAAGGGGGTATACCGGACACGGATCCCACACTGGCGGATGCTGGTCGACCAAGGCGCGATCAACGAAGAGATCCTCGCATTCGAGTACCCAGGCAGCGGGACGGAGACAGACCCATTCGTGGTGTCGTGGATCCCCAACGACTGCCGCAACCCGCTCCTGTTCAGCACCGCGCGCAAAATCAGCATCACCCTGATCGTGGCCTTCTCCACGCTCACCGTGTCGCTGACCTCATCGACCTACAGCGGCAGCATCACGCAAATCGTCGACGACCTACATGTCAGCACGGAAGTAGCGACGATCGGATTGGCGCTGTTCGTGCTGGGGTTCGCGGTGGGGCCGATCGTATGGGCGCCAGTCAGCGAGGTATTCGGGCGACAGACCCCGTTCCTGGTGAGCTTCTTGGCGATGACGGCGTTCTCGGCGGGGTGCGCCGGCGCGCAGAACATCTGGACGCTGTGCATCCTGCGGTTTCTCGCTGGATCGTTCGGGTCATCGCCCTTCACCAACGCCGGCGGCACCATCTCCGACATGTTCAGCGCGCGGCAGCGCGGACTCGCGCTCAGCCTGTACGCGGCGGCGCCGTTCCTGGGCCCCGCGCTGGGCCCCATCATCGGCGGCTTCCTGGGCATGGCGGCCGGCTGGCGCTGGGTAGAGGCATTCCTGGCGCTGCTGGCTGCGCTGGTTTGGGTGCTGATGGCGACGTGCATCCCCGAGACGTACGCACCGGTACTTCTACGACAGCGCGCGCGCCGACTCACGCAGCTCACAGGCCGCATCCACCGCAGTAAGATCGAACTGGACAAGGGCGCCGTCTCGCTGCCGCGGCTGCTCCGAACAACCCTCTCACGGCCTTGGGTGCTGCTGTTCCGCGAGCCGATCGTGCTGCTCTTCGCGGTGTATATCGCGATCGTCTACGGCACGCTGTACATGTTCTTCTCGGCGTTCCCGATCGTGTACGAGGAGCAGCGCGGATGGAACCCGGGACAGGGGGGGCTGGCATTCCTGGGGATCATGGGGGGTATGGTGGTAGGCGTGGCGGCGACGATCCCCGCGAATCGGTGGTTTACGCGCACGCAGGACCGCAGCCCGGGCGGGATGGCGCCGCCCGAGGCACGCCTGCTGCAGTGCATGCCGGGGCCGTTGGCTATCCCTGCCAGCCAGTTCTGGTTCGCGTGGACGGACGCCCCCGCGGTGCATTGGAGCGTGAGTATCATCGCGACGGCGCCCTTCGGCTTCGGCGTCATCCTCATCTATCTCGGCGTCATGAATTACCTGATCGACGCTTACACCCTCTACGCTGCCTCCGTGCTCGCCGCCAACACCATCCTGCGCTCTGTCTTCGGCGCTGTCTTCCCCCTCGTCGCCCCCTACATGTATCATCGCCTTGGGATCCACTGGGCTCCCTCCATCCCGGCCTTCCTCTCCCTCCTGTGCATGCCGGCCCCGTTCTTGTTCTATCGCTACGGCGCCGCCATCAGGCGGAGATGCAAGTACGCCGCTGAGTCCGATCGTTACATGCGCACCCTGCAAGAGAATGCCGCGCGCAAGGCGCAGGTCGTCGAGACGCTGAGGCCCCCGGCGAGCGAGCCGGTCGTCGTGGCTGATGGGGAACCTGGGGCCGCCCAGGCGGTTGGAAGCGTACGTTAAAAGTGATTTCGTCGTGATTTTGGTTCTGGGTAGATTGTATGTATATAATAGGCATGAATGTATAGACCACCTGTCCCTCTTCGCCGCCGACTGGAACAAACTAGCTGATGTCCTGGAAAGTAAACGTGCCGGCCGTGCTTGACGAGGTGGTGAGATCGTCTTTTTCCGGCGATTGGGGCCTGATCGATTCGGGGACGGTTTGCGTGGTCGAGGAGGAGCCCAAAGAGCTCGGGTTCGGCTTAGGATGGCTCTCCTCATCATGGCGCCTCGAACGCTTGAAGATCCGGCTCTGGGACCCCCCAAATTTGCGGGTCAAGATGGTGAGCCCGATGCTCCCGAGTACGATGTACAGGAACCATAGAACGAGGACGATGCCAAAGTTGCGCCACAGGTGGCTCCGCGTGTAGTCAAAGTAGTCCGCCAGATAAACTGAGCCAGGCACCGACTGCTGGTCCTTGCCACTACCCGTGATGCTGCATGTCTGGGACTGCAATTGTGTATAGTTGGACCCGGATGGAACCATGTCACTTCAGCGCAGGTCAAGGTAATGCCGGTGAACTCATTCCCCATTAGCGCCTCCAAGGCGTATGGTGACGGCGATGCACGACGCAGCCAGGATCCCCATCGATGCTGGGTAGGCCGCGTAGGACTAAAACCGGAATAGAGCAGGCCAACAGGGATCGCACTGCCCGCCACCACAATGACAGCGGAATATTGGGGACCCAGGCTCCAAGCATCCGGAACAAACTCTGACCAGCCGCGTAATGAGTGAACACAATCGACACAAAATCCAGAAAGCAGATGCAGTGCGTTGGAGATCGATAGTGAAGTAGTAGAGACATGAAAATAAGAGACATCGAAAGAAAGCGACCGGATATCCGCGAGCGTCTGCGCAACCACAAAAGCACTCGGATGGATAGAGCCGTACTGCACCTGTTTCAGTAGAATAGAGCGCGATTTAACTGTCGAGACTGCTTCTGTCAATGCGTTGAGCGCTGCTCTTCTCATGTGAGCCCGTGACATTCTTGAAAGCCATCTAGTAGGCCGGTTCATTGAGCACTGCGTTCAAGACGATAAAGACTACAAGGGTCAGGAATGTTCGTTTGTCACCCAAAATTACAGCAACTTGGTGACGGGTCCTTGCTTGCCGGACCAATCAGCAATACTACAAAGGCGACAAGAAAAGAACCCGTGGCAAAGTTTATGGAGCCTTGACATCTTCGAGGCGCGATTCACATTCAACCCTTATCCGTCGTTGTCTTCAGCGTTGTTTGCTTATTCGTCAACCACGGTGACAATCAGCTTTCAGCCAATGGGGTTCTACAAGACTGAGAGTGCTTACGCGAAAATCGCGATAAACAGGTTCCCAGGCGGTGCCTGGCTGCCCGTGGCATGGTGCGAGCCTGAAGCCACGTTCGAAAGAATTTAAGCTGCTTGAGCAAATGGGAACAGCAGTCTCGCCTGCTGAAGCGTAACCAGTCATACTGCATACAAAGGAAGTAATCCACTGTCGGCCGTTTTCATGATACAAGAAGGCTTACCGGGGTGATTCAATCACATCGTTGTGATAAAGACGGTTGGTTGCGGGAAAGAATATGAAGGGCCAAGGGGCATGGGTGGAAGCATCAAGACGAGAGGTCATTGAGATGAGCGGATAGGTCGACCAAGGAAGCAAGAGGCGCAACAACACGGTTCAGGATTGTACACGCAACCGGCTTAGAGACTTGTCTATTCATGTAGCCGCGGGCTGTATAGATAAGGTATATTATAGATAAGGTATATTTCGCTAGCTCGGCATACACGGTAAACGCCTTTATATTGCCTCTCTCGTATGGTTCTAGGCTTTGCGGACGCATTCGGGCTTCGACGAAACACCTACATAGCTAGCTACACATGGGAGAGCTCGGTTCGATTCGGTTAATAGTGAACGGAATGAATCAGTTAACCAACCTATCCAACTGTATCCTTGACGTGTCTCCCAAACAGCTAAACTAACATGGGAGGGCAAATTGCAAGACGCGGTGGAATGGTGAAGCCATCGATAACATGGTACCTCCCGCTTCCCAACGGAACCTCTGTGTATTGATTGAATGATGTTGGAGATAAGTTCAGCTAGCAACAGGAAGTCAGATCAAAGACAAGCCGATATCTGCCGCTCGCCAGGTAAGAAGCAGATGCAATGCATAAAGAGACCTTTGTGCGGTGCCCGAGGGCTTGCAATTTTGTAACCTTTTACTTGACTATTCGATATTCATGGGTATAGTAGTGGTACAGATTTACTTCAAGGTTTACTGACACGAAGTCAAGCTCTAGTGTATCACATACTCCTCCAATTACCTAATAGAAGCTCAAGCGACCATTTCCAGAGCTGCACTATGGTTTCACAAAAGTTCAAGGATTTTCAAAGCATCTATGAAGAGATGGTGGACGATATTAACAATGCTAAGGCTTCCTTGGATCCCGTCTCGCAGCACAGAAGGTGGATCGCGTGTTTAATGACCACTCACTAGGATGTACACTTGACCCGCGTCACACATTCAGTGATAATGCAAGGGAACTGCAGCATCACCTGTGGTACACAGCCCTGGACTGTGAGACTGAAAAAGCTATTACACGCCTGGTCGACTTCATGCAGGCATTAGCTGAGCTTCCGAAAAGGACGGTGATTGATAGGGGATTGGCAGGTCCCTCATTGTATACAGTTTGGAAGACAGACTTCATTCACGTCCAGATGATTTATGAGGACATGTATGGACTTATGGAAGATATCGAAGAGGGCGACGAGGAAGAGAAGAAAGAAGGACTCAACGCCATGATCTATATAGCACAACTGACCGGACGACGCCTGTGAGACGACAACGACGTCCCGCTTCTGAAGCTCAGATGGGCATTGGAAAGCCCAACGGCCCGGTCCAACGGCGACGCCGACAGGGACGCCATAAGACCCGATATGTCCATCGCTATTGCGCGCGTGTTCATATGCCATGCAGGAGTCACGATCTACAGCTATCCCTATCTCCAAAATACCTTCTACGTGCCGCGAATGAAGGAGGGATCTAGAAATCCCTGGGAAAAACGGCAGGGCCCTGGTCCGTTATACCGCGAGGCAGGAGGGAAGCCAGGCTACAGTATGGAGCGTTGGAACCTCTGGAAGCGGCGGATTGTTGAGTTAGGTGTGCTGGCATTCCAAAGTATCAAACCATCGCTGTTGAGACAGTCGCCAGGATGAATGAGATTGAGGCGGAGTATCCCTCCGGAGAAGTTGCTGGCGCCAACCCGCATGTGCTCTCCCTTGAATAGTACCTCCCAAACTCTTACTTCCCTGCGAAGAAGCAAGATCCCGAGGTTCCGCAGGCTCCGCAGGCTCCCGATGACAGCGGTATAGGAACTCACTAGACTGCCACAAGGCAGTCTAGGCTATCGGGCAGGGGAGGTTATTAGTCATACGACAGCGACTATGTGCACTATGCTTTAACTTCAAGCTGGGCTGGTATTGAAGAATTGTCTGAGGATGAAGATGCTTCAAGCATGATTCGTGATGGGGACGACTTAGTTATACTTTACAGCCGTGGTCCACGGCGTATACTTTATGAGAAATTTCCTAGATTACAATGATTACTAGACTCTACTATGGCCCCTATTCTCGATATCGGTATTAGAAAAAGTGTGACTATTTTCTATTTTCTAATACTTGTGAGATCAATTATCAGTGCTTTTATGAATTTAAATCGAATCAGATAAGTAAAGTGTTTAAATCTCAGCTTAAAATTAAATACACATTCCGAACTTTATTTCATCTCTTAGTCATATTGACTGTATAGCTTAAATAGAGCAGACAGAAAGCCCTGGTTTCCGCGTGCTGTGGTCTTATGTGCCAGACTAGAACGAATAAACCTATATATCGAGTTTCATTGCCTCAGGTCCTGGTTTCATAGCATGTGAACCTTAATAGCGCTCAGTCACCTGGAGATTTGTGGCTGACAAAGAAGAAAGAAAGTATCCAGGTCTTCTGTAAGGTAATTATGCCATCAGACCTCCGTTGATCATCGCATCGTCTCTAGACTCTTGCAGAATACGAGAATCAACAGACTTATTGTTGCGCCCCGCTCGAGCTACAAGTTCCGAACAACAGCCGGGTACCTTATCTGGACACATGAACCATGGACCGGCGAACCTGCCAGCCTTCTGGGGGCGATATCACGAGAACATGAATCGAGCAGTCCAGACAAGCGGCCCTTGTAAATGCTTCTCCCGCAAAGACAAGGGTGCAGTGCAGTTAAGCTTCAACCATGATCTCATCTCGTATGCAACATTAGCTAACCAGCATGCTCGATCGTACTTAAATCCCGGGCCCCCCGAGTTGGCCTAGATACATATGCCCAACAACATCCTCATCCAACCCCAACCCAGCACAAGCATAGGCAAGAATCTCCAAAATGCCCGTCCAGAACTACGGCATCTGGAAAGCCCACCCAGTGCAATACACACTGGACCACGCCTACCAAGACCCTCGCACCCCGCACCTCTCGCTATACTTCACCTCCACCACCCAGAAGCCAACCAATAACCCTCACGCCCACCACAAACACCCAGACCACATCCCCAAGCCCACCCCGCAAATTAAAGACCTCCCGCACCTCCAGCGCGCCGCACTGAACATCCAATCCAGCCCGAACGCCGAATCGCGACTGATCTACTGGATCAACGAAACGCTGAACCACCACCACCTCACCGACGCGCTGCCGGCCCTCCCCTACGGCTTCACGCCGATCGACGCAATCGACCACGCCGGCCTCGACTACATCCGCGGCAATCTGTTCAACGTGCACAGGGGAAGGATGCTTGAGCCTGCCAGTACCAGCCCCAGCAAGAGCCTCAACAACGACAACAACAACCCCCTTCTCACCACCCTAGAGCCGCACCTCCAACAAGCTATCGCCCAACACGCCGACCTCTACATATTCGGCTCACAATTCGCGTCCAAAAACGGCATGCACGACGTGCACATGAACCAGGGGAACGGGGAAGGATTCCGGCACGACGACGGGGTATGGCAGGACGGGGGCCTGATACTGCACTACCCGGACACGAATAACTGGGTGGGGGTGTTTATGGCGTTTGCGTCGCAGGCGGCGCATACGGATGACGAGGAGGGACATGCGCTGTGTACAGAGAGCGGGCGGGCAAGGACGTGGGAGGATGTGCTTGGGGGGTTAGCGTCTCAGAAGACGAAGATGAAGAAGCCGGGGCGTGGGCTGGAGGACTCGGTGGCGATTGTCGGGGTGGATTTGCAGGCGCAGCGGCCGTATCGGCTCGGGAATCGCACGACGCACCCCGTCTCGCTGACCAATTGGAGTATCCATAATGCGCGCGGCCAGACGCAGGCGCTGCCGCGGGGAGCGGTGCTGGAGCCGCGCTCGTTGATGGAGTTCGAGTTGCCCATGTGTCCGCTCTCTGGGGAGGGCGATACCATCACTTTGCTGAATGGGGAGGGGTTGAAGGTGCATGGTGTTAGTTATAGTGCGCAGCAGATCAGGGGGAAGCATGGTCCGTCCGTCGTGTTTGCTCAATAGGGTAACTCGTTCCGGGGGTATGATTGTGTTGTTCATGCGAGATGGGGAGGCAGCGATTGATTGAGTGGATATGTAAAAGTCTTGTTTGTTCTATCGGTCCAATGACCTGCTGCTGTTGAAGCGATCATGTCTGAAGCTTGGCTACTTGAGTTAACTGGAAGTATATCTGAGAATCCATCCTCCTATTCCATCCCGCCAAACTCAATCCTAAACCACTGGGTATATAAAGTACTCCGGGGGGGAGAACCCCCGGACCCCCCTTCTCTTCAGCTTCCCAGGCTAAATAAATAGTTCTATAAAGGTATTCCGGGGGAGAACCCCCGGGACCCCCTTCTTTCAGCATTCCAGCTCAACGAAGACCCGTCAGCCGCAGAAACTAAAGCACATAGCGAAACCAGCCATTCTCCTTATCGGTCAAATCCCGAAACCCAAGCTTATCCCTCAAGCCCTCATCGAGCCCAGCCCGCTCCCTCCTCCGATTCTCCCGCCACAGCACCACCCACAAACACCCAGCGGCGGCAATCACAATGCAATAGCAGATGACCATACCAGTCCACAACTCCGGATAATGCTGCCCGACAGTCTGCGACTTGACCAGCTGCGGGCCAATGATATTGCCGACGGTGTAGGCGACGAACACGGTGGCCGCCATGATAGTCTTCTTCGTGGCGCCAGCGACATTGCTGGCGCCCAGGGTGATGATGAGACTGACGACGGGGCCGAAGAAGCCGGTTAGCGCGTAGCCGATGACGGGCGCAGCGGGGCGGTAGCCCCAGGTGGATTTCCAGATCAGGAGGCATCCGGCGATGACGGGCAGGCAGCAGGCGACGAGCAGGTAGATGCGGGTGTTGGGGATGACGGTGGGGATGTAGCCGACCAGCGGGATGAAGACGATGCAGATGGCGCCCACGGGGAACTGGAAGAGGATGGAGGCCAGCGTATTGTAGCCGAAGGTTGAGACGATGAGCGGGCCGAAGCCTGAGATCGCGCCGTTGATCGTGTAGCTGTTTCCAGATCAGCACATATAACGCCAAAGACGAGAAGGGGAGACGACGGGACAACTCACGCAGCAGCCATCATCACCGCAATCAGATACACCTTCACGTCCGTGAACGCCTCCACGATCTGCGTCATCTTGATCGTCTGGCACCGCACGCCCGTCTGCCCGCGCCGCAGCCGCTCGACCGCCACCACGCGCTCCTCCGCCGTCAGGAACCAGGCCGACACCGGCGAGTTGGGCAGGATGCAGCACCAGATGCCAAACAGGAAGGTCAGGAAACCCGCGAAAATATAGATGTATTGCCACGGCCGCAGCGCGCCCGTGTTAATCTGCCCGAACGCGTAGTTGAGCGCCCCGCCGATGATGGTGAACCACCCCGTCCCCGAAAACCAGATCGCCTGTCGCAGGCTCTGCTCCTTCTGCGTGTAGTACCCGCTGATCACGGTCATGAAGCCGGTGGGGACCACGCTTTCGACGAAGCCTGTTGCCCTTGCTGTCAGAAGAAGGCACGGAATGGGGTAAATCGGGGGGAGGGGGATAAAAATACCGAGGAAGAAGCGCTGCACGAACAACCCCCGCCACGAGGTGACGCCTGCAGTGGCAGCGCAGGTGATGGCCCACAGCATGACGATCGGGCCTAGCACGTGCTGGATCTTGAAGCGTTGCAGCACCAGCGTCATCGGGTACAGGCCGGCCATCATACCGAAATAGAAGATGGAGGTGGCCCAGCTGAGCCGCGAAGTGTTCTTGGTCGGGGGCGTAGTGCTGTAGTCGACCACAGAGAGGGCCAGGTCGCTGGTCATGCCGAATAACGAGGCGCTGCCCAGGATGGCCTGTCGTGTATTAGCAACAGAGAGAGTATGACAGCTGACTAGTGGGAAAGACGGACTTTATCCCAGTAAACAAACCCATAGCCTGTTAGTTCGTTAGCCGGCCGTCCCTTGCTTCTTCTGATTATTCGTATACGTGTCTCACTCACCAACCAACATGGCAGGCATAAAGAACAGGTCGATCTTGCGCAAAACCCGTCGCTCCACCGCGGGGTCGATCTCCACTGCCTCTTCACTGTTCACCACCTCCAGCGCCGCATCTTTGTCTCGGCTGTGGGCTTCGTCGCCCCCTGCCCCGGGGATCTGGATCATATTGTGGGTGCTAGGTGACCAGCCGGCGGTTGTTACAATGTTCGGTTCCCCAGAGACAGAGATAAGATTATCGGGTGGCAGCACAGACGGACGTTCATAAATAAAAAATTCTGCCCCCGATTGCGGAGACGAAAAGAGTTAAATCCCGCTCGGTCGTGAGCCGCGGACTGCAGCGCTCCGAAGCTTGTTTGGTTTGGCGTTTTCATGTGTAACTGGGTTTGGATAGATTAATGAACATTTCAAGGGTTCCTTGGGAATCCATGCAGTATGTATACCCGTCGCTTTTATTTATTCTATATGGGGACCATGCTTGGACCATGCTCGGAGTATCCAAATACGGACCTAAGTGACTTTTGAAACTCATCGCACATTTGATGGCACTATAAGGCCGAAGCCAATTGCCATGCCATGACTTCGACATGAGACTCGTATCCCGGTGAGCCTATCCAGTCTGAGATGGCACCGAACGCGCCAACCCCGCTACACCTACAGGCCTTATAAAATCCTACTTCTGCTTGGCCTCCTTACTCATCTGCTTGACAGACTTCCACCCGGACCCCAATGCTCCAAGCGTGGTCACAGACGCAATCGCCAAGCCCGTGTAGAACACGTCCACACGAGCCCCATTGTACGCCTCGAGAGCCCCAGCCAGGTACTGCATGGGGACCAACTCTCGAAGACTCGTCGCTCCAGCATTGAGAATGGAGTTCGGGTCCAACCCGGGCACCGAGAAAGCAATACCCGCCGCTAGCCGCGTCGAGAACACGTTCTGCGCAACGGCCAGCATAACCACCGACCCCAGCAGCTGAGCAAAGGTAATAATCACGATGGCGACGTTGACGTCCGCAGTGGCGATAGAGGCTTGCGCGGCCGTGTAGGGCTGCTGAAATACCAAGCCACAGCCGATTCCCAAGATCGCCTGGTAGATGAGAATGTGAGAGAGGGCTGTCGAGGGGTCGAATGTGGTGGTTAGCGCTGCACCGACAATCATGAGGGCTGCCCCAAACAGCATCGGAGCCATGTAGTACCCAATCGTGTTGGTGGCTATGCCCCCGATGCTGATTGCGCAAACAAGACCCAAGATGCGGGAAAGGTCCCGCAGACCCGACTCCATCGTCGTGACGCCGCGGACAGCCTGGTTATAGAGCGGGACCTGGCATCGGACGTGTTAGCGACCATGTGCAATCCGATAAGGTGCAGCGGGGAATCATCCCGACTCACATAGAAGGTGAAAACATAGAGGGCCCCGGAGGTGGCAAATGTGACTAGCATACTTGAGAGCATGACTCGAGAGCGCAAGAGTCTCAACGGCAACGTCGCATGCTCTTGCATGCTCTTGCATGTAGACTTGCTGGGCTAGGAACGCAAGCAGGAAAGTCCCGACTAGAGCAAACAGCGTGATCATCTGCTTGCTGGTCCACGTATACTCGGACCCGCCCCATTGGAGTGCCAACACCAGGCACACAACCCAGGGCACGAACAGAGCCATTCCCGGCAGGTCGAGCTGGCGCAGCTTGTCCGAGGGCCGAAGATCTTGGGCCTGGGCAGCTGTCTTGGGCAACCGCAGGAAAAGCAACACGGCGACGATGGGAATCACGCCGAGAGGCAGACAAATATAAAAACAGACACGCCATGATGCATACTCGGCGATACAACCGGACAGGAACGGTGCAACTGCAAGGGCAACACATTCAACGCCCCCGATAAGAGCCTGATAGAACGCTCTCTTATGGAGCGGCACGATGCGGGCCAATGTTCTGCTCACCGCATGTCCAGTCAGCGTGTGCCAGTCGGAGGGAAAATCCATCGCGGTCAATACATACATATTGGTTCCAGATAGAATGCCGGAATTGCCTAAACCAGCGATTACACGCCCGACAATGAAGGCTTGAGACGATTGAGCAGTGGCACGTCACTAGAGATCCGATAAAAAAAGTAGTGAGACAGGCGACGAGAACCGTGGTGGTCCGGTAGAATGAGTAGAGTTTGGCATAACTCAGCACGGTCGCACATGAGGCCAAGGAGCTAAGCACGAGGATCAACCCTTGCATTACAATGACACAGACTACAATTTTACATACTATGCAATTCCGTACCAGCTCACATCGTTGAGCGAACCAAACTCGTCGCTGATGATGGGGGTCAAAGTCGCCACACACGTTGAGTCCTTGGGTGCATTGTTAGCGCCGATTCCGGGGAGAAACGCGGCCGTGGCTCACATAACCACAAAGAATGACAGCGGCGGAAAGACACGAAAGGATGGTAAAGAAATTCCAATTGGAAAGTAGGACGATCGGCTCCTGTTCGGGCGTCGAAGCGGCGGGTTTGCGTCTGTCAGTGTCAGGAGAAGCGGTTGCATCGGAATGAGCCGTGTGGGCTTGGCTGTTGATCGACTCCAGTTCCATCTTGCCCTGAGTCAGATCACGAACAGATCAACAGCACCTGATTTTGCTACCGTGATGGGTTCCAACTTTCCAGTGTTCGAGACTGCTTGGCCGGGGGGTCTTAAACCCCGCGATCAATTAGGCAACCAGATACGAGAGAGCGGTCTACTCGTAATTCCGGTCAGTGGGTTTGTGGGAGCACTGGGAGGGGCTAAAGAGCTTAGTGCTGATATGAGCACCCCAGTGTCGCCACCCCCTCCGCTTGACAAGTTGACTGTCGATCCTGGATGGGCCTGACGGGGGCGCATCGGCAGATCTTGACGTGGCTTGATGCAGGGGGATAGGGCTAGCCACAAGATCAGTCAACCGGTTGGGGGTGGGTTAGCAATGAAGCTAGTGTTGGTTACTTGTGCCTAGTCTCACGCTATGGGCAGCAAAACGCCGGCAAAATCCTGCCTGTTCTGCATGAGTCTCCTGAGTTCCTCCCATCAGAGATACAGGAAGTGGTTTCCGGGAGGCTGATGCAAGATGGAGAGCTGACAGTGTCGGGCCTAACTTCAACGGGGACGTCCGCCGCGTGACTTCGCCACCAAAAATAAACCACTTCACCAAGTTCTCCGGATACAGTCTCAGAAATTTCTACACCGACAGGACTAAAAAAGAAACAAAAAAAAAAAAAAAAAAAACTCCACCCAAAAAATTAGGAAGCACGTAATATGTTGGTCACTGATGCGACTTGTCTCGAATTATGGTATCATTATACTGAAAGAGCCTCATATCCCAGAAGAGGGTTCTGCTTCGTAGTCATTCTCGTAATCGCGAGAGCTGCGCTTGGAAATACTCAAACCATCCCACTTGGCCAGGAATTGATCGAGGTCGACACCGGGTTGACGAAAGGACCCGTGCTGAACCACCGTATGAAAGTGCGGATAGAAACTGCTGAATTCCTGAGCGTCGCTTTCCTTCCACGCAAGTGTCTCGAAATCCGTAAAGAGCGCCTCGGTCTCTTCGGGTAGAACAAGTTGCATCTGACTGGCAGATAGCTGGATCATACGTAGAATTCCCTTGGCAAGGGGCACCCGGCGCGTGAAAGCGCCGGCGATGATAGATAGCTCGACAAAGGCATTCCGGTTCTCTCGAGAGTCGAGAGATTCCATGAGGGTGAAAAGCCCAATGCTCCACCATTGGATTGTCGATGGAGACATGCGATCGATGCCCCATTTGGCGCGATGAATGCCTAGGAGGTGGACGATTTGCCGGGCGGAGGCGAGACAGAGTTCCCGGGCATGGCTTGCAGTGCCCGGATCCACATGGCTGGAGCGCATGAAGCCGAAAATTTGCATCACGGTTGTGTGGTAGAACATATGCAAACTCAACACATGAGGAACAGTGGCTGCCTCCGCGTGTAAGCATTCCGGAAGATTAGCGTACCAGCCCTTTAATTGCGTAAAGATGGCAGGCACGAAAATCGCGATATCCGACAAGGGAATTCGATGCTCGAAATCATGAAATGCGCGGCTGATGGTGATCAGGATGCAGGAAAGGTCACACCATCGGTCGAACACGCATGCATGGTGACCTGGCACCGATTCCACTTCGCGCGGATATGGGAACCAGATGTCATGAGGATCCTTGTGGTTGATCGGAATTCGCGGGCGCCGTGGCGGGTCGACATTTACATGTTTCATCAACGAGACATTGGCCGTGCTGTTATTGTCAGTTATGGACACCACTGCCGGTTACAGGATACATACGAGGCCATGCTGAAAACGCCCCAAAGAGTGCGGTTGGTCGCATCTTCAAGCATCCGGTCAGATTCCGAAGCGCTCGGCCTAGGTGGATGCGCGTCGTCGTATTCTTGGGCGGCCCGAATCGCTAGATCGAGGTACATCCAACCCATTCTATCCTTCCCCATGAGTGTAAGGCTGCATTGCTTCAGAGTTAGATGTGGCTGTCGGCGAGGTGTGCCAAAGACACTCACCGAATGAAGAGCACGAGGAGACCTTGGATAGTCGTTAGACTTGCAGGGCCTTCCTCTTCCTCAAGCAAGCGACGCGCTTCTTCATAGAACTGATCACCTCGGGAAAACATATCGTTGGGAACGGTGAAGACTTCGGCGTAGTCGGAAAGGTACTGTTCAACGGATAAGAATCATGAATGAGCCGTCACCTCACCCAAGCGACGCTGTAAACGCAGAAGTTAAAAGATAGACAACATACACTAGCCTCCGCGAGGATGGCATTTACCAGGAATGGCGTGCAGGATTGGCAATCTAGTTGGCCTGCCTGCATATCCCGAATGAACGCGTCCTTGTCCAACCAGTCGAAGAAGGGGTAGGTCCATGTTAACCAGAGGGATATCAAATGAGATACCAGTTCATCATCATCGGTGGCCCTCGTCCATGGTTTTGCTGGTACTCGGTAGACCGGGGTATCAGCCAGGCGGCGCACATCCAGGATGCGACGGCTTCCTCGACGCGCAGACCGTCCATCTTCGTCGTCGACTTCAGAGGGTTGGATAAGTTGCCTTTGAATTTCCCGCAGTTCTGGTGACGCTGCAATTTCCTGACTGGTAAATTGCTGATCGAGAAACGTTTGAAGTTCGCCGAATGTGGCATTGCTTCGGATCAGGCACATCATCTGAGCTAAGCGCGGGCTCTTGCCGTCTCGAAGGATCTCGATCAAGCGCATCAGGGTCTCCTCAGATATCTCCAGCCGCTCCAATTTCCGTTTCATGGCGAACTTGCGGCGCATGTCGGACATCTCGTCGACGTGGCACTCGATGCCATTAGCCACGCAATGTTGACATGGTGGATCCCCCCTGCACTGGGAAAGGGGTCAGTCTAGCGCTCTCCCTAATCTGATGTACTGGTTGAGTTCACTTACCTTAAGTTTCTTTTGCTTACACGCCGTGCAGGCGGTGGTTTTGTGTTTCCGCCCCTGAGCTACATTGTCGAGGCTTCTCGTGGATGGGGGAAGGTTGGGAGCGGGAACGAGCGAACGGGAGGAAGTCTGCGAATCGGACATTAATACAGACTGGGTCAGGTGAAGAAAGACCAGGGCAAGACAACAAAGAAGGGGAGGTTGTCCTGGGATGAAAAGCGCACCGGGTGGCAAAAGGTGAGACGGGGCGAGGAGGGAGAGAGGGGCGGATCTTGTAGCGATCGTGTTGGCGATACTATTATATAGGTCGGATCAGGAACGAGGCCGGGGGGGTAGGCTGTAACCGACGCTTCGTCCCCATCGATGGGGAATTATTATTTTGTGTCCTGCCCATTTGGGCTTCCCCTGCAATGGAGCAAGGGCAGCACCGGAACAAGAACCTTAAAAATCCTCACCAATCAAAAAGGAAACGTCTGATCATTCTGGAATCTTGGGCTACAGAGTGAATCTCTCTCCACGGCCCTAACCAGGGGACTGGACTGTCGGGTCGGGGGAGCGAAAGGAGAGGTGGTGGGTGGGTGGGTGGGGAGGATCGCAGGCTCGCAGCTAGATGGATGGCGGATTGCTGGTGGTTGGCAGAAATTCCCATCCAATCACGGCCAGAGCCAGAAAGGACCTGGACTCTGCATTAGGCTCGGTTTGGGAAGGGGGGAAATCGGAGGGAACGGGGCGTGAAGCAAAGAGGAGGGGCTTTCTGTGTGTTCGGCCGCCACTGGACCTTTTCGGGGCCGGGATGTACTCACATTTTTGACCGACGATTGGTTTGGTAGGGGGGAAATCAGAGGGGCCAAGCGTGCACGGAGGACAATGATGAGAGGAGCGGGTCCCAGTAGCCATCAAGAGTCAAGCCTTCACCTTTGGGAGCATCTTGGGAAGATTTGGGGTACCTTTCTCACTACCTGATTGAGGTTAGCTTAGTGATCCGTGACAAGCGAAACAAGGTACCTTTTTCCACCCAGTCAGGATGCTGGAACAGAACCTTGAACCGATGGAGCCGTGACCCATCTCAACTGTCCCAACTGGAACGTGGTGGCGTAAGTCTGGGGAGGAAAAGGAAGGGGGGTGAGAAGGATGAGAGTGAGTTTGTTTGTGGTGGGAAGTTTGGAAACAGAGAGAGAGAGAGAAGACAACGTCATAGAAGTGGGCCCGAGTCGGCATTCAAGGTTGCTTACTTGCCAGTTGCCAGTCAGTCACCTGATCTACCGCTCCCAAGTCAACCAGTCCGTCGGTCCCGTCAACCCAACCCAGTCAGTCCGTCCCATGAACAAACAACAACAATAGCACATTTCTTTTTACCTTTACCACACCTCCCCCCCTTGCCATCGCGATAAGCGGGCGGTCGGAACACTTTTCCAGATTATGCGCATGGCGTAATACTTTGGTCATTGCACAAACATCTCCCGCCCCCCCCGCGGAGATGCAGCCTTTTGCCATCTGCCATTCAAGTCGCTCTCCAATCCAATACCCACCCACCCCTGCATGCCAATCTCATAATCCGACCACCACAGCCCATCCTCCTCGTTTTACGGCTCTTTGCCTGACGTTTTCTGACACTTCGAGACCCATTCCTACAATCAATCACTTACATTCGTTTCCACGGGTATGAAATTAGGAAAGAAGTCGAAAAGTCACGCGACCAGCGGTCCTAAAGATCAGTCTGATAAGAGAGAAGGGAGGGAGAGAGAGAGCATGGGCCTAAAACCGAGACCATCCAGCGTGGCCCCCCCCCCGAAGCTACGGGATAGTCCACTAGATGTGGGAGGCCCGAAATGGCTGCCCTGGCCAACCACTCAGTCTTCATCGTACGGGGTCTGCGAAACTACTAGGGGATCTCTAGCGGGTTTTCCGTACCCGCTAACGAGACGAGACACGTAGAGTTTTCTTCCTTCTCAGCTGCCCCATCAGTGATCCGGCTGAGCAATCAAGCGTGCATGGACAGAGATATGCACGGCAAGACGATATATCACCCGGACCGAAGACCGGCCTGGGTGAAGTCCTTGCCTTGTACTAGGTCCAGACCGAGTTGACGATGCTCTGTGCATCGGACGTGGTGACTGATCTGTTCGACCATCCGCAGTAGCGGACATGCAATAATTGATCACGGCCTGACCTTGCTCGCCAGAGGGATTACCAGACTCCATCCAGTTGAGACACGACGACAAAAGGAAAAGGAAAAATTGGCATCCCCTCATCGTCGGGGTCGGGATGACTTAGCCGGTCGACGGCCCGTAGATCCCAACCCAAGACGGCAAGAATCCCTGCGTTGTCATCCCAGTGATAGAAAGTCGTAGAAACTGGGAAACGAGCAAGGATGGGTATCCATGGAGCGCTAAGGGCGAGTAGTCCCAGACCGCTAGGACAGGCTAAGCTGCAGGAGATAAGAGACAGAAGGGCATCAAGATCATGGAAAAGAGTGTCGGACCTCAGGTCGATTGGGTTGAAATGCGTATGAGCTAGTTGGAGTCAAAGTCAGATCGGCCTTGTCCCAGGTCTGGAGTCTGAAGGCTGCCACGGAGGAACGCGAGGGCTGCGTAAGATACGACGGTGTCAGACTTCTCGGCAGTAAAGTCCCGAGGATGATGCAACGTCAACAGGCTCAGAAAATCCGAATGCCAATGAGGGTCTTTTCTCATCGCAATATTTGGGCGAGCAAGATGAATGGCCGCAAGTTTGACCCGAGGATGATGACTGATAAACATCGACCTGCTGTAAGCAGTAAGTCAGTTTTAGATCATGTGCAGCGAAAACTCAGTTGGCCAGACCAACTTCCACTACCCGGAAGTTTGCCTTGTCTCCAATAACGACAATCGTTACTCTCTCTCTCTCACAAACACACACACACTCTCTCTCTCTCTGTCTCACTCTCTTTCTCACTCTCACACCCTGTTTTCCCCTCAAGCCAGCCAGTAGTCGGCGGGAAATAGACGTTTTGCTATACCGGGATCATTGTTACTCGTACTGTGCGATTGGTACGCCCCGTCGCGGACCCGCCCATCCAACATCGCCATTGCGAAGAGCAATATCTCCCAACCAAAACTACCTTCTGCATGAAGTATCAACAATTGACAGGGATAGATGGTCACACACCGGTCATTTGTTTGCACTTCTGCATGACTTAGCTTGGCGGACGAATGCAGCTGCTGCCTCATGAAGTTTGCCTTCATCCTTCCCTGCCCTTGTCTGTCGCTGGGATTGAGCAGGACAGAAACAAACCTGGCCAGTTGCTCCGGGATGAGAGAGCCTGAGGCATTCTCCGGGCGCGGGGATGAGGACAGCGACACCGACCGGTTTTCAGTCGCCTTTCAAACCATACCCGCCTTGCTTAACCATGGGACGGCGTGCCAGCCACCTGCTGTCCACCCAGCCCATTCTCCATGCTAAGTTCGGCCATCATTTGTGCCGGAGAACGCCTCAAAAGCCTCAAGGCTTCGGCCTCCCTCCACAAGTGCACAAACAATGCGAGAGCCTCGTTGAATGCATCTGCTACAGGGAAGACCCATTCAAGAAGACCGCCATCGATGATCGGGCGTAAGAGCCTCCCGTTGTCTTCTGATCCACCATCGCCGACCGTCACCGCCGCCCACTCGAGTCTTGTGCATTGTGCGACATTCTTTCCCCACGAAGATGCATAGCCCAATGCGTAATTCGACAAATCCTCGGCGGAAAGAGAGATTCACTACTGCCGAGTAAATGGTGTGATAATTCTGGCTCACTTGAGCTAATGCCTATTGGCAAAGATCCCATTCCCCGCCAAGGGAGAGCACGCTCCGCGATGCGTTCGGAGGGCGAGAAAACACATGAGCTCGATGTCACTCGCACTGAAGAATGTGTTATGCTTCCGTAACAACGCATGTCAGGAGTTCGGATCATGGCCTGGGATGGGTCTTGCTGAGGCTTGATCATAGTGTGCCTGGGGTGCAAAGAAAAGTTGGCTAACAAGGCTCACATAATCAATTCAGATTATCTGCTTACACGGTCAGAGCATGACAGCAAGAGGAATGGTAGGGATTGCTCAACTCTATTGTCTCCCGTCTTGTGCCAGCCAGTGGCATGCCGCTACCTGGACCCAACCAAGAAGCAGAGGAACTCTTCTATCTTTCCCCGACGGACATAGATCGCAGCGCATGATTGAATGGCAATACGTGTACACACAAAACGAATACGGGCACGTTGTCTCATGAGTAAGGCCGACACTCCGGGTTAGCAGCTTAATCCATAACCGGTGGACAAAAGCAACAAAAGAGCAAAGCCTCGACTCCGGACACGTGGAAACATAAACAAATTGGCTTCGTTCGCATGGACGTCTAGATGGCAAAAAAAAAACTGGGCTCAGAGCCCTGGGTTTGTACTTCAACTCATTCGAAGCGCAAGAACCCTGCTGCAGCTCCAACACACTGGCTCTGTATACTTACTTATCGCTGTTGACATCGGTTATCCAAGTGAAAGAGGAAAGACAAGAATTTCCACGGAGAAGGGAACCGATAGGTAAAAAGGGAACGCAGTGGCAAAACCGCCCGCGGCCCCCCAACCCCAACCCTGCAGCTACACAATGGGACCGTGATCTCGGTTGTCATGCCCAAATGAGCACCGGACTCGCAAGTGCATTTCTTTAGGCGCCCACGAATGCACTCGCTTATTTTGTCTGAGCCGCAGACGGGATCGTTTGAGAATGGTGGACACACTGGGCTGAACTGGGGACATAGGCAGATTATAACTGGAAAGGGGGGAATGTTCAGGGAGCCCAGCGCGTCTAGCCACCGTGTGGCCGTGATAGGCGTGATAGGCGAACCAGCAGCATTTGGCGCACGGGAAAAGAGACAATGACGGCTAGAGCTGAGGGGCTTAAAAGCATCCAAGAAGAGAGCCGGAACTATTTTGCACGCCACATCATTGGTGACCTCTCTTTCTGACGTCACCATTGTACGGAATCACTGTATCTGTTTGACGAGGAGGCACTTTTGTTTTCAATTTATTGCATGTATAGTGAACAGTTAGTTGGGACTCGAGGTAGGTAGGTAAACTGTGCTGCGCCCTTCAATCTTCACATGGGAATTTATTTACACGGGTCCAATCCCAAGTTCCAGCTAGGTGCAATGTGCAGAGGACAAGAAAGTATAGGCTGCCTTAGGCCGGAAATTCAGGCGTTGGTCGACGCTCGGCCCGAGATTTGTCCGTGCGGCAATTTCCAGAAACTGCCTCACCGCCGGAGATGTAGTTTCGAGAATTCCTGCCCACGCCTGTTGTCTCCATCAACTGCTGATCAGCTTTTGTCGAAACGGGGCTCAACCACTTGGCCTCGATCATTCAGAAGAAACTGGATCCATGGATGTTCGGGTGAATGCTGCGTGGGTGCCACGACCGTTCCGCGTGGGCCCAGTTGCCGTACAAAACTACTGACACATTTCCGCGGGTAGTTAGTCACTAGTGCAGCTTTGACTAATTCATTTCCTACTTCTCTACGTCCCCGTCACGATCGGACAAACAATGGGATTTCCCAGTGTCGTTGCCATACTCATAATGCGCTACATGATCCGGAAACCACTTCCATGTCTGATATCCTAGCCTGGCGATGAGAGTGTGTCCTCGATCCCCTCAGTGGCATATCCGACCGGTCTAGACTCGCGGATGCAACTGGACCATCAGCGGCTTCTTTTCCCACAACGAGAACACCTTCTGCTTATTCCAATCCACCGATTCTGGGGCTAACGACAAGTCGAAGTGGTACAACACCTTCGCCAGAATGATTCGCATTTCATGATAAGCCAGGCTGTGTCCAGGGTCAATTTATTATGCCATACTCAGTGCAGGGCACCCATCCCATGCCAGGGGCGATACGTACGTTTTGCCCAAACAGTTTCGTGGCCCATAAGAAAACGGCTGGAACGCAGCTTTATTGTCGCCGGCGAACTCCGGGTCATTAGTCCAGCGCTCTGGAATAAACTCATCCGGTCGCTTGAAATTGTCGGGGCTATGATATGTTGACCATTGTTGCACGGAGACCGACGTCTACCATCTGGTGAGGAAAGACAACCTCGGATTATTTTCCCGATTGAGGGCACTTACCTTGGCTGGAATGAAGTCCCCACACACGGTCATTCCTCCTTCTGGCACCAAACGAGGAATACCGATAGGTACTGGTGGATATATGCGCAGTCCTTCCTCAATGCACGCGTTCAGATACCTCAATTGCGCGAGGCGGGTCATCTCAATTTCTCCCTCTTCCTTGAATGTCTGCCGAACCTCCTGAGTGATCTTCTGCATCTTCTCCGGATGCATCAGCAACTGATGAGTGAGGCCACTCAGTGCTGTAGCGGTCGTCTCCGTCCCAGCTAACATAAATAGCTGAGAATTGGAGTACATCTCGTCGCGAGTGAGCTGCAGAGACTCCTTCTGCTTCATGACGAGCCCCCAGATATCCGGCTTATCGAGGGTTTGTTTGACACGCTTGTCAACCCGTGCTTTACAGGAGTGATAGTGCACCAGCGCTCTCTCTCGTAGAGAGCGAGGAATAACCAGAGCCACAAAGACCGTGAGCCAGGAATAGTAACGCGCCACGCGCCGGAGACACGTTACCTTCACACTGGCGAAGATTCCCCCCACCCACTCTCGGTACCCCGTGCCCTGGAGTAGGTTCAACGGATCGCCAAAGGTCAAGTCACCCATGATATCGAAGGTGGTCAGGTTATACATGCGAACCATCTCCACTTTCGCCGTCGGGTCCGCCCGCACACATTCGCGCAGCGCCGCCACGAGCATTTCCGCATACTGGGCGATCAGCGGCTGTTGCTCGCGGAGCGCCTTGTCCGAGAATGCGTGCGAGAAGTTTCGCCGGAAGCGCGAGTGATCGTGCGTGTTGGCCCGGATAATATCCGGCGTGCCATTGAGGGTCGGACCCAGGAAGCGCGGGTCCTTTTCGGTGCTCTTTCTCCCGCCGCTGGCATGTCCGTAAATGTCTCGCCAGGCCTGGGCAGATGTGAAGCTTAGCTCATCGGGAGAGAAACGAACAACATCGCCGTAGATGCGGTGAAGGTTCTGGAGCCAGGTGAGATGATCACCTTTCGCCGTGTGGTATGCCGACAGTAGGTACGTCACTGCCGCCAGCCTCGGACCGGGGAATTTTCGCAGTGGATTCAAGAGCAGCTCGTAGCAGCCATTACCCACCACTGCCAATAAAATCTAGGTTGTCGGCGACATAATCAGCATTCAAAGCGGCATGCACCGTCATCGCTCGCTAACCACTCACCACTCCGAATGCGAGGGGAAGGTAATGCTCCTGGATAGCATGCGGCAAGTCGTAAAGAGCCATCACCGCTCAATCTTTGGACAACCACGGAATACTTGAAACTGAGAAGGGCGCCAGCGATCGATCAGCTTTGATCTTGGAAATGAAGACTGGAGACTACGTGAGTTTCAGTCAACGTTGAAGACCAGATGATATTTATCTTTGACCAACTCAGAAGTAGTATCTTCCCCTCCTTCACCACGAAACCTGCATTCGGATCGCAGATGCCTCTCATCAACTGTATAATTGTCGCTTATGCTCTGAAATATTGGATTAACCCAGACCCGACTTTTCCTGGCTGCATCGTCTCAGCATTGCATAATTATCTTGAATGCGACCGTTACCTGGCCACTAGCAGGAAACAAGCCGGCATCCCTGTGCCGGAAGCCGTTTTCTTACAGGGATGCACGATCATAAAGTGTTGATGGTGCAGCTTATTTGCCGTTTCGATGCTCAATGATTCGAGTGCTTCTGCAACATATCCTCACCGAGTGGGGAAGTGGTGAAGAAGTGGAGGCGCAAAAGAGGGGAACCCTGGATAATTGCAGGTGACCATCGTCGGACTTGAGCACACGTCATTAGAAAGGTACTTCAGGACTGAATGAAAACTTATTCACTCCTGATGGAAACCTCCTCGGACCCTTGCAAAGGACATCAACAATATACACCCACGATTTAGATGCATCATTCCCAGGCACACTAGAAACTTTATCGAACAAATCCTGTCAGAAGCTTGGCGGGGAGGATTCACCGCGGACCGATCATAGTAGCCTCGCTATTACTCCTTTAAGCCGATCCTGCAGCAAGGTTGCAACTGCGTCTCTGCCCTGCCTATCCCATCCAAATCCTTCATAATTCCTGCATCGAACCGTGCCGGTTATCCTGTTTTGTGCACGGATACCGGTTGATGTGCAGCATCTGCATCCGACACCGCCCGTCCTGCTGATCATGAACTTTCAGGTATAGTGCCGGACTCTTCTCTCCGGATATGCCACTAGGAGCCACTGCTGCAACCTGTCGTCATCAGAATACCGAGCAGAAACTCCGTTGCCTAATTGTCTGTAATCTCATGGTGTCGATCACTTTCCCTCCCTGGATTATGCTCGAGTACTCGGATGTCTCCCGAGGCCGATGCATAGTGACATAACCGGTAAACTGACTTGTCGGATGTAAGGATGCTCTTTGTCTTTGGCTCCAGTGGCTTTCTGCACTATGAGGTGAGCTAAGTAACCATCTCGCCAAAGCAGCAGAGATAGTCGAGATTGAGGCCAACACCTATAGATTCTCAGGATACTTCGGCTTTCTCTTCGAGACGCCTGCCCCCTGTTCCTTGGACTTGGTGTCTCGATCAAGCTCTCGCTGACCGGGTTGAAGCGTGCTCAGCTACGCGCCCAAGGAGTGTACTTCAATTCGCTCATACGGCGCTAACCAGTCCTGCGGTAGCTTGATATGCGGCTAGGTTAAGCCTTTACTTAAAGCCTAGGCATCTCTTGACCGCAAAATCTCGCACATGGCCCCAGGAAAAGATTCTATCATTTGGAGGATTCATAGTTTTGTTTTCCAATAACCACCGCGCATCATATATGATGGCCACGATTGCTGAAAACCTTGTCCATCTGCAACTTCATGCCTTTCCTCTTGAATCTCTTTCTTGAAGAGAATTGAGATGGGAGAATATCCCCCACATCTCCTGCGATGAAATTGTAGAATCTTGCGGTCTGTCTTGAACGAAAGGCAAATCTACTTGAATGCAGAGCAGTTCATCCTTCCATGCATAAGCAAACGCCTTGCATCATCAGAATACAATTTTCTTGACGGAAAATCGTCTACGGCATTACATGAGTGAATGGGAAGCCGTACGCGAAATTTTCATCGCGACTTGAACTATTGCAATAGACTATGCTGGCTCAGAACCTGCCTCCGGCCGCGGCTCAAGCCGTTCGGTACGATGAGAACTTCTTCCTCATCATCCCTGAGATGTTTTCGATCGAGATATGACGCAGTCGATGTTCTTGCTGCCATAGTAGCCTCCTTGAGCCAGAGCAAGCTCGTGTTCGTTAATTGTGGCTGTGTGCTAAACCTATTTTGACATGTTACAAGCGAGGAAACGTTCCGACTCTGGTAAACGGTTGTTGGCATTTCTGCTAGGTGACTGTCGGGACTGAAGAACAAGCCATCTGGAGATCAGCTTCTGGCTGTGCCTCTGGCTGTCTTCGATGATGAGATGCGACATGCTGGCACTTGCGAGAAGGGCCGTGGAAGAGAGGAGACCTCAACAACCCCCGCTTACGAGGTTGATAGGAGGAATTTTTCCGGTCGCTAACTGCCATCGACCACAGGCGTGATGCTTTCTCTAGGCGTATGTCCGCTATCGCATCTCTTCTCTTTGATTGGTTCCTCGTGAATGCGCAGAAGGCTTCATCACCAGAGGGCACGGCATTGTGACGAGAATTATAAGGGGGGGGGGGGTGGTGGTGGTAATAACTCGAATCGATCCAACTATCGAGCAAAGCTGATGTTACGCCCCTTGCAGTGACAGCCACATCATGGAGGGGGGGGCTCAGTAACATTACGTGAAAGCATCTGCGAGATTCCCGCTGGCGATTGATGAGCAATTCAAGGCGATCGCTCGTGAAAACCACGAGCAAACAACCCCTTATCCAAACCAGCCAAGCGAGGAGCGATGATTTTGGATCACGAGGGGCTATTTCTTCTTGCCACAGGATATAGGGGGAATTGGCTGGTGCTGTGGCGAGCTTCGTCTCTCAGGTCCAAATATCAGGGTTGCGACTGGGCTCAATTCTGTTCATCTTCTGCTATAACTAGGCAGAGTACATCAATGCCACTTTAGCGGCATATGCAATCGGCTAAATACATGTGCCTTTCAGTCCAGACGACCTCTCGAGTCTACACGAAGTCCAGTGTATGGTTCCCGTGCTTTGACGCTTCACAGGTCGCGTCGAAATCTCGCTTGATTGACAGTTGGAATGCTCGGGACTGTATGTTATCCAACGGGGCTGCGTTTAAGGTCAGTGTGCTGATTCGTCGATGCTTGAGCATCTCATTCCTGTTCCACAAACCTGACATGATGTGTAACCTCTTGTAGGAGCTTCGAAGTGCCCTTGTCGCAAATCTTGCAAGGCATCCCGTCTTGCTGTCCTATATCATCACCGACGCCACTTCCCTCGAATCACAGCTCGGGCTCTATATCATTCTCCGCCAGATTACAGAAATGCTCGACCAGTGCATCAAGAGCGATCTAGTCGTAGACAGCCTCGAAGATGCCGCTGAAATCACCACGAAATACCCATTTCGTATGCCGGCGCTGCTTCCAGGCCCTCTCTTTGCCGCCCTTCTGATCCTCGTTCGGGAGATGCAGTCAGCCGCAATTATCACGAGCTGTAAGTGTACCATGCGTGCCTTTCTGAGATACAATTCTAATACCAAAACGATAGTTGCCCACACGGTGCTCGACAAAACTACTCACGGCATGTTCCATCGCGACATCGACATGGCTCTCAGTGGCCAGCCACTCGAATTGCTTTTTTGCGTTCAAGACCTGGGAAGACACGCTTTACACGCGACGCAATTCCCGACAAGCTACCAATGCAGTCCATTTCTACATAAACTACCTCGAAGTCTTGAGAGAGTAGCATCACGCCCTGTGGCCCATCCCTACCCCGGAGATCATCATTCCACCCGATCGAGTCCACAGAGGTGGAGAAGTCGCCGTCTTCGCCGCCCCTTCCATTACGCGTCTTCGTCAGCAGTATCCCCATCTGACTGCTTCTATCGTCGTGCAAGCAGCCCTGATCATCTTCATTCGTTCCCGCACCAACCACAGTCAGGCTCTATTCATCAACATCAAAGCAGCGCATTATGAGTATCCATTCGCAGAGTACGGAGACTCTTTCCCCCCATCGTCTATCAAGACGCATCCCGACGCAGTCGACGTCGCCGGCTCAAGCTTTAACTGGGCTTTGAGCCTCGTAGCCTTCCGCCCCGACGAGACAGTCCTCGACTTTTCGACTTGAGTCTACCACGGACTGCTCGTGCTTTGGATCTCGAGAGAAGGAACTTGGGGTGGTGATTCGACTACTAGGTAGTCAATGATGGACTCGTTTTGCCTCTGAACTCTGCATCCTATTTCCGACCACTTTCACGAGCTTTCCTTGAGCAGCATCCCCGAGCCTCGACTGGAGAAGAACAGCAGAGATACAAATAAATGAGAGGTGTACTGGATCCCGAAAAGCGTTTTTTTCCAGGGAGCTTTACGTGACTCGGAGGGGTTAAAGTCTTCAATAAACAAGAAGACACGTCTATTCTGTCGTCAGTTGCACTTCGAGATGAGCTTCGAAAGGGCTAAATTCGAGGAGACCCCAATATCTCTTCAATGTGTCACCAAATGGCGAGATGCACGGTAAATTGGACAAGACTTTTGGTTTATTGGCAACATTGACACTGATATGAACCCTCCCCACTAAGGTACTGGCGTTCAGCATTCCCCGACGATGGATATAACTGGTCCAGAGATAGAATCCTCCTATGTTCCTCACGGCCCAAGTTCCTCACGTCAAAGTTACGATGTACCACGAGGTTGAGGCCGATCCGGATCTGCTATTACGCGGCGAGTTGCTGGTCGTCGCGTCAACCATGCATTCCTTGCTGTGCGATGATCGCTTCTTCGACCACGTCACAATCCCGGTAAGACCTATTTTCTTTCTATATTTCAGCCTGTTTCCAGTGCTCACAATCTGTTGTGATCCAGGTGATGTTGTTCTCCGTGGTGCCCCCCTCCCACCTCCGGATTCTCATCGCCATCCTCGACGGGTCCCCAGCTTATCATTTCCAGATCGAGTCTTTTCTCATGCTCGCAAGACACACAAGAGACGTGGGATCTGATGATGCGGTACATGGCCTGCGGTATTAATCCGATCTTTGAACAAGGGAGTTACCGCTTACTGCTGATGTGATACCTAAGTGAAGGGGAGATTAGACTCCTTTGCTCGCGGAACGGAGTATTCCTGCACGACACCCTGGCTACATCATAGCCTTTTGAGATCGATTGCTTTCCATAAGAAGATATCGCTAACAAGTCGCGGTAGTGCAATCAAGGTAGGGTCGAGGAGAGATCCTCTACCACAGCGCAAGTTGCTCTCATAGCTCGCTGCTGGGGTTGCGTCATGGGTTTGATAGATTCAAGCCAATACCCTCTGGCTCCGTCTTCTCGCCGTGATGTGCCCAGCGTAAAAGCCTGAGCTGCTGTAGTTCACATCGATTTCCCCTTCCTCGTCTTGCTTCCATGATTTAGTGGGGGAGGTTTACAGTGTCCTGCCGACGTAAACTCTTAAATAGTCTCTTCCACAGAACCACCCTGATCTCGGAATTAATGGCCCGTTGATAGCCGATTCCTCATGGTAACGCAGCATGCAATCCATTTTCCGAGTGAAACCAAGGTGGCATGATCGTCATCGGCCTCTGTGAATATAGAACATTGCATGATCAGGGCACATGTATGCACTTTTATTTCTAAGTCGAAGAAGCGGCAAATGACTCCTACGCGTCGGGATCTGACTTCCGTGCCCAGGGTAGAATTGCCGACGGGTGGCGGGATCGGTCGATGAGCCTGGGCAACGGCTATTCAAGGGCTTACGGGTACAGGAAACGACACTCCGGACTAGATGGAAGTTCTTGAACGTGTCATTTCTTATACAGTCTACATACATCGCAGACATCACTGCTGGAGTAAAGGCTGTCATTATTTGTTCAGATTCACGATGCATACAATTAATGTCCCATTGGGACCGGTCTGTCCGCGCTCTTCAGCCTCTCCTCAATGATATCCTTCCTCTCCTTTCGCAGCTGTCTCGCGTAACTGACCCCAAAGCCATGCTCGAACACCTCCTGGACCTCCTCGAGGACCAGACCAGACACCTCAGGGTAGAAGAAGTAGATCCACACATAGGCGATGCCGCAGATCGCGGCGTAGAAGCCGAAGGCGCCGGAGGGCGTCATGGCCTTGGCCATGGACAAGAAGGTGCTGGAGACGATGACGTTGCTGCCCCAGTTGGAGCAGGTCATCCACATGGTGCCCATGGCACGGACCTCGAGCGCGAAGAAATCCGTGCTCATCCACGCGGTGTTGCCCACCGACACGCCGTAGAAGATGACGAACCAGATGATGAAGACCAGCACGACGATCGCCGCCGCACTCACCCCGCTGCCCAGCGGTTCCATCGTCTCCATGTCCACGGGGATGAAGTGGAAGCTGACGGCCACGGCGACCAGGCCCACCGCCATGCCCCACGCCGTCGAGAGCAGCAGTCGCCGCCGGCCCATCGTGTCGACCACGAACATGTTCACCCCCGTCATGATGAAGTTCGTGCCCGCCACCACCAGCCCGACCGCCGTCGAGTTGTCGAACCCCACCAGCGCGAACAGCGTCGACGAGTAGTACATCAGCGCGTTAAACCCGGACATTTGCGAGATCACCATCAGCCCGCACGCGCACACCAACGCCCGCAGATTGCGCGGGACTGTGTGCAGCTGCACGATCTTTGACCACCCGCTGCCCGTGTCCGCGAGCTCGCGCGCCTCGTCGCACGCGACCCGGATCGAGTCGAGTTGCGCGTCGATCTGGTTCTCTGTGGCGGTGGCGCCGTAGACGCGCCGGAGCACGGCGCGTGACTCCTCAAATCGCCCGTAGTACACCAGGTGCCGCGGGGATTCCGGGCAGAAGGGCATCAGCACGGCAAGGATGATCGCCGGCAGCGCGCCCAGCCCGACCATGTAGCGCCACCCGTGGCTGACGTTGTTAAAGGCTGCCCCTACGGCGTAGGAGATAACCTGCCCGCCGGTGATGGACATGTTGTTCAGGCCGATCAGGCGGCCGCGGGCTCGGGCCGGCGCGATCTCGGCGATGTAGAGTGGCACGACCATCGCCGCGGACCCGACGCCCAGGCCGACGACGGCGCGGCCGACGGCCATCTGGATGATAGTGTACGCGGTGGCCTGCAGGATCGAGCCAACGACGAAGAGTACGCAGCCGAGGTAGATGGCCATTTTGCGGCCCCACTGCTGGGTTGTTAGTGCTCACGGACTTGAGTGTTTGGAGCTTCGGAGTACGTACGCGGTCAGCGGTGTTTCCTGCAAAGATGGCGCCGATGAACGCTCCGCCAGAGCAGAGTGATGTGATCATTTCCTGCTCTGAGCTGGTCGTGGGCCGACCGTCGAGATCGTTGTGTAGAACGACAAGGACCCCGGAGATGATACCCGTGTCGTAGCCGAAGAGCATACCAGCGATTGAGGCTGTAAAGGCCACTAGCCATACAAACCAGGTGATGGGGATGTCAGCGACACTGGTTGCGAGGGCATTGGGATCCGACCCGGGCGTCGATTCCGCAACCTCGATGTGTTTGGTGTCCAGCTTGGCATCGAGACTGTCCTTGGCAGTCGAGTCCGCCTTGGTGCTGTGTGCGTCGCTGTCTCGGGACATGATGAAGACCCAGGCAGAAGAGCTAGAGAACAACTAATGATAGGATAGAGAGGAGAAAGCTATGGAATCTGGGGAAGACGTCCTCAAAATCACACCCACTGACCTCGGAATGGGTATTTATACCCCAGAAGTTGAAGCCATCGACGAGCCGACGCTATGGCCGTAATCGGCAGGCCGAGTCGATCTTGGCCCCAGGTCAATAGCCGTGAATGCGGGGGAATTCGACCCCGTCTGGGGAATATTGACGCTACCGCCACAGACTGGGCAAAGATCGTCGCTTTACGCGGGTTCTCGTTGGTCAGACGCTGCATTGGCAGTGTCTTAGCAGACTCACCACGGCTATCGCTGTCGGAGGACTCTTGCCCTGCCCCCTATCTAGGGCCCACCCCGTCGACAGGTCAATGACCTCACTTCTCCTCCCCACTGCTAAGACTTGAGTATGGAAACAGGAATGTTGGCTTGATACAATTGTCGTCCTCAATTGGGAAGCGAGCATCTGCGATACACTCCTGGCAGCTTGCAGAGCGACTCAGATTGCATAGAAGGTTCTGGCCTTTGACCGGCCCGGTCACTATTACTCCGCGCATCGGAATGTGTTTGGACTCAGCTGCATGCATCGCCCGCCACTTGTTGTGTTTCCCCCCGGATTAACATTTATGAAAGGATAAGCAGGGATCTAAGTATTGAGGCGTCCCCCTTGTCGTGCGATGCTTCGATGTGTGGACACGCGTGTAGTCGTGGAACCTTGAAGTGCCCGAGAAACTGTGGGACGGCTTCTGAGTTTCGTTCACGCTAATAAAGGCTGGTCTCAAGGCGGAATTGGTTAAATCTACTGCCCTGATGTTTTGTAGGGTGCTAGAAAGGAGTTCTTGGTAGTTATGCCCATCCGTTCATGCTTAGTGCTCGCCAAACACCGATGTAGCGTGAATCTGTCTGAGCCAGCCACGATAGAATCAGCCGGTTGTCGGAGAATACATGTCTAGACGCCTGCGCCGGAGTCCGCACACAGCTCGTGCTTCTGAAATGTTGTTAGTCGAGACTAGACGAATATCCTGTCAAAACCGACTACGGTATATCGCTCACTCAGTTTCGATCGCCACAACCTGTCCTGTCGGATGCAACCTTGCTGTTGACGGACCGGCTATTGCCCATTTGCCCCTGTGTCGTCGGCAACTGCACAACTTCATTGGCTCGGGGGTGACTTGAAAAGATCAGTGAAGAAGGATGTCAAGGCAACTTGGATGGATAACATCACCGACGAGGAGGCGGAGGAGACAAACTCATATTTCATTACATAACAGTTCCTGTTTGTTCCGACAATCACTTCTCTACATCTGTATAAATGCACATTCGTATATAACCCTGCCTAGTCAATCTCACCAATGATCAACGTGGCTGTCATGTGAATGTGATTAGCGCTTATGCTTATGCGGGGGCTTCAGCTGAGACTCGAATTGTCTTCGATTACAATATATCCTCAGCTCAAGTCTGGCTCCCCCTCAGTTCTCAAGTCATACGTGACTCGAAGTAACATGGATGACAGAGAGAATGACCTCATCGAACGAAAGTTGAAACGGCCAAAGTATGAGCCAGTCGAGAAATTGACGCGAACACTAGAACGGAAGACCTTCACCCATGCGGACTACACAGTGGGATGGATCTGTCCACTCCAGATCGAGCTTGTGGCAGCTCTCGAGATGTTAGATGAGGAGCATACGAAGCTGCCGCAGCAACCAGCGGACCACAACGTTTATCATCTGGGTAGCATTTCAGGCCATAACGTCGTCATTGCGGGCATGTGGCAGACGGGAAATACTACAGCGGCGACGGTCGTTGCCCAAATGAGAATGACCTTTCCCAGTATCCGATTTGTCTCCTGGTTGGCAATGCAGGCGGCGTCCCCGTCGTGACAGAACATGGGATGGTTCGACTGGGACATGTGGTTGTCAGCAAACCCACGGGGCAGCTCCCGGGGGTTATTCAGTATGACCGGGGGAAGGCGCAAGATGGTGAGTTTGTGCGGACTGGCGCTCTAGCTCCGCCGCCGCCGGTCCTCCTTTTGGCTGCCGAAGCCCTAGCCGCCCAGCGCGCTCGATCACGACAAGACCCATTGCTACAGAACATCCGGCGGTTTGATACCAGCCTCCCCGGGCTGTGCTGCTATCAATTTCCCGGCAACGACAAAGATTACCTTTTCCCGGCCGATTATAAGCATCTTCGCCCGCGAACATCATGCGATGTGGCCCAATGCGATCTGACTCAACGGATTAGCCGGGATGAAGACGGCATATATAAGTCAGATGAGTGGATTATCGTCCATCGCGGCACGATCGCTTCGGGTGAGCTTGTAGTCAAGGATGCCGTGAAGCGAGATCTGCTGAGCCAAGAGGATGACATTCTCTGCTTCGAGATGGAATCTGCGGGCGCCTTGAGTGACTTTCCATGCCTGGTGATCCGCGGGATTTCCAACTACTGTGACTCGCATAAGAGTGACCAGTGGCAGGGTTATGCTTCGGCTGCCGCGGCTGCCTACGCGAGGCAACTCTTTTTCTACATTCCCATGGAACAGGAAACCTAGTGAGTACATAGTCTTTACCATCCCCGACTTGACTACCGTGGCTCATGATTGAAGTGCAGCTTAGTACCTGCCGACCACCCTGGGATAAAAAGCATAGTTGAAAGAAGCGATCATGATGAGCGTCAGAAGTTTGCCGAGTGGATTTCTCCTACAGATTACACAACAATCCACGCTGACATTCTGTCAGAAAGATGTGAGGGAATTGGAAAGTGACTACTTGACGCGCCAGGATTCTGTGACTGGGTCGAAAAGAAAGGAATACTTCTTTGTCCTGGCATTCCTGGCGCCGGTAAAACTATGCTTGCATCTACCGTCATCAACCACCTTCAAAAGAGCTTTTCCAGCGAGCAACACGTTGGTATTGCGTACGTCTTCTGCAACTATCGAGAACAGTCTAACCAGAATATTACCAATATACTTGCCGCTATTCTGAGATAGTTAGTCCAGTCAGCAGGATCTCTTCCAGGAGGTTTGAAAGAATTGTACGCTACTCGTCGAGATACGAGGTCTCCACTACAACTTGATGAACTCATAGAATTTCTCGGTTCAGTCTCTAGTTCATTTTCTCGAGTTTACCTTGTCATCGATGCGGTGGACGAACTCTCAAGCTTGAATGGGACGCGGAGAACAGTCATATCTCATATGCTCAACCTTCAGGCGAAGCGCCAGATGAATCTATTCGTGACTTCGAGATTTATTCCCGATATAACGGCGATGTTCGAAGACTTTCCCACTGTGGAGGTTCGAGCTAGCGATGCGGATGTGGCACGGTATGCAGAGGGGTGTATACATATGATCAACTGTGTGCGGAAATCCCCTGCGCTCTCTGAGCTCGTTGTTTCCTCTCACAAAGACTTGTGGCGGAATGTAAGAATGGCTTATGAAAGTAGAGCTGACACTACTGCTTGAAACTTAGCTTATCTTTAATTTAAATTTCTTCTCGCAAAGCTTTACCTGAAAGCCCTGGAAGGAGTGGCTTCGCCCAAAGCAGTCAAAGGTGCTCTCCAAAGGTTCCAGTCTTTGGACCGCGGCATCAACAATGATCTGTGTCATACGAGCCTTATATTGGCCTTGGAGTTCTACGACATGCCACTTGCGTCTCTCATTTTGGAAAAGGGAATTCGAAACAATTGGCTCGTTGAGGAACATAGACAATCAGTGTTGTTCTGTGCAGCATTTTTCGGCCCCCTTGATGTGGTGCAAAGCTTGTTGGAAAGCGGCATGGACGCAGATACACGCTCCACGCAGTCTCTCATTGAGTTTGTCCCAAGAAGAAGAGAGGGCCAAGGACTGAAAAAGGACCCGTCAATGGTAACCATCATCGCGGACAAAACCAACACACCACTGCGGTTTGCTGCGCAAAAGGGCCACGGGGCGGTGGTTCGAGCCCTGCTAGACAGGAACGCGGACCTAAATATCGGATTCCCACTACAGTGCGCAATAGATAACGGCCACACCGCAGTAATTGAAGTTTTGCTACAACATGGAGCCGAGCTGGACTTTGAAAATCGAGGCTTCTCTGTTATCTCGGAAGCTGCCCGGCGAGGCCATCGTGAGCTTATCGAATTTTTACTTAGGAAGGGTGTCCCTCCAGAGCCGCAAAGCCCCATGGAAGAACACTCAATCCTAGCAGCGACCTCAAGGAAGAAGATCGAGGTTGTCCGCCTTCTATTGGAGTGGGGGGTCGATCCAAATGTTGTCGATAAGCTCGGGCGGACTGGGTTGATATTGGCGGCAGAAAAAGCACAGCCTGACATGGTGGATCTTTTGCTGCAGTACGGTGCCAGTGCAAACCCAGCAGATAACCTTTGACGCACACCATTGTTGTTTTCTGTGCTGGGCCGTAGTTTTTCAATTGCCAGAAAGCTTGTTGCAGTTAAGGATGTCAATCCGCAATCATCGACATGCGCCGGTCGCTCCCCGTTATCCGTGGCGCATGTTTTCGGGCTTCATGAATTTGTGCATCTTCTCACTGGGAGGCAATACCACTCTACTCATGGTGAGGAACTTATAACGGTATCCACGACGAATTCATCAATTGATAAATGGTATCAATGGAAGTGCGATACTTGTGTTCGCCCTATCTTTCAGATGGAGCATTTCTTTCGATGTTCAATCTGTCTGAAAATCGGCAACCGCCCGTTGGATATGTGCTTGGAGTGTGTTTCTGGGGAACTGGGCTGCTACGATAAGTTACATACCTTGGAGAGAATGGTTATGACTGATTACATTCTGACCACCGTTGGCAAAACTTCGAGATGGCGCCAGAATACTCTGGCCATTCGCTCTCTTGCCAACGTACCAGCACAGGCATAGTCTGCATGAGCAATTGGACCGTCTGGACATAAAAGCCACTCATCCCTCCATTCAAAAGTATTGAATCCTAAGGAATGGCTGGATGAAGGGGTCTTGCAACAGGAAAAGCTCGGTCTTTTTTTTTTTTTTTTTCTCATCCTATAGAGCCCCTTTGACGTACCTTCAGACTTATTAGAGCATACGGCTGCATGATGAACAGGCAATCGCGGGGCTTGTCCCAAAGAATGTTCAAGTTAATAGCTAGAACAAGCAACCGGCAGGGATGAGTGAGGCCCAGAACATCAACTACAGAACGTCCGGCCTAGCCCTAAATACAGGATGTAAGAACGGGCATGAGTTTAAACATGAGCCAAAAACATACAACAGCATAAATATGATAATGGTCACCGAACAGCCTTGGATGAGCGCTCCATCAGCGCGTCGCTGAGTTGCTGACCTAACTATCTCTCTTTCCCTATCTTGTGTAAGCTCCGTTAATTCAGCCCGGATCATCGTTTGTCATTCAGACATAGTAAGGGTCTATAAGTACTTACTATATGAAGGCAAGTTTAATTGCGAAAATAGTCTGACACTCAATTGAAATATTGCTCCTATGTCACGAAAATTCTATGTACTGAAGCTTTCTTACCATATATTTATATGATAATCGTGTCTTAGACATACTATCCCCGTGCTCCTTTTCTTTTGCAGATTCAATGAGATCTCAGTATGTTATAATCCAAGCTTTTGGATAGTTCTTCTCTTTTTGATACGTGGATAGTCATTCTACTTGGCAGTACTAGATTGTGAGTCCTTAAAGAACTAATATACCATCACAAGAGAGCGCCATTGTCCCTTGCCTACCCAGCAGTTGACTACCATCATCAAACATTTGCTACAGCTGATCTAAATTGGGTGGGAGAGGACCAAAGCCCTAAATACCACTTTTCCTGGTATACAGAACCCATATGAACCTCTATCACCCTAATCCTAAAGATGCACGAGCCACGGCATCTCTATCCCTCCGCGCAGTATATCGTGAAGAGAAAATGCTGTCCAGACTTAAGATTGAAGATATGCAACCGCGAGGTTGAGATCACGTAAACGTCAAACACGAGAAAGGTATCCAAAACTCATGGTGTGGCTAAGCTGAGCACCTGCCCCCTGCTTTCCTCGAGTATGACCATGCTAGATTGAAAAATTGAGTAACATGATACAAACGAACAAAAATCCTCGAGCAAGCTTGTGTTGTCCTCGTCTTCACCAACCACCCCTTGGAGTATTGCGTTGAACAACTTCCTAGAAGGTAATGGTATATTGTTCTTGCCTTGTCGAAAGAACTGATTGATTCCCTCGATCGATTCGCGGAAGCCGTCATAGCTAATGTGTTCCCATGGGATGCTCATTTCTGCTCCATTTAAGACCAGCATTGCAAGGGTAGATCTGACCTTTGGATTGGTCTCTGCACTAGGAATTGGGTCGTCCGGAGATACGATGGTGGCAAACGTAGCAAACAGTGGATTCCCATAAGGAAGCCCTGGAAGATTAACATCTGCTCCGTGTGCTAGAAGCAGCTGAACGGTCTCGAAATTTAGGTAATATGCGGCGGCCTGGATGGCAGTATCGAAATCTCGCGGTTGGAATATATCCTCAAACGGCCAGGTTTCTACACGCCTCACTGGGGCGTTGGCGTCAACTCCCAGTTTAAGGATGCGGGTTGTCACCTCAACACCAACCATTGCTGCTGCCACCAAGATATTCCCCGAGAGAAGACCTGTTGGGTCTTCGGGTTGCACCACGGAGGCATGCTCTAGCATAAGGTCCACTACATCAGACCAATCGTCCCCACAGTTACGCAAATTGCGCAGAGCCATGGCAAGTGGGGACTCGTACATCCATCCCATGGGTGGGATGAGACTTGCGCCCTGCTGAATGAGCAGTTTGCAAACTTGCGGATGCAATCCGAAAGGACCATCTTCTATTCCTGTCAAAGCAAATGCGAGAGCGTCCGGTGAAATATGTGCTCCCTTCGAGAGCAAGAACTGTACTCGCTCCACATCTCCTTGCATTGCGGCTACAGACAAGACGTCTGTGTAGGTCCAGAATATGTGCCATTCATCAGTAACATGGAGCCGCTTGTTGACATCAGCACCACGATCCAATAGCAGTTCCAAGATCTCTAGATCAGCCTGCATGAGGACAGCTACCGACAGGGGAGTCTCTCCCCTACAATTGGTCGCCTCCACGCAAGCCCCCGTATTCAACAAAAGCTTACATGCCGAGAGGGAGCCGCTTCTGATGCAGAGCATCAGAGGCAGGAGTCCTTGGATCTCCTCGTTCGGGTCGGCACCATTCTCCAGTAGCAGCTCCACGAGACTCTCTCTGCCAATTTCACATGCGATAAAGAATGCAGAGTATCCCTTCGAGCTCTTTTCATGAATATCAGCGCCGTGGTCAATCAGAAGTCGCGCTACCTCAGGATGATTGAATTCAACGGCTTTCATAAATGCTAGGTTCAGCATGCTGGACCTAGAGGATTGGTTAAGATCTATTTGGCGGAATTGACGTTAGATTTTGTGTGCTGATACACACCTGGTTGAATCTTGTATCCTACCCCGCTCATTTAGCGCGGGGTTAGTACCTCTAAGTACTAGAGTAGTTACGGACGGTAGACCCAGCACAGCTGCCCAGCCAAGGTGGGAGATGAGATTGTGTTCGGAAGAAGAGGGACGGCTCCAGGATCGCCAGGGTCTCTTTTCCCAGTCCTCAAGTGGATTATAGACGGACAAAACATCGGTGATATACTCGGGCCGAGTCAGGAGCTGAAGCGCGGCGGAGGCGAGTCGGGCCTGCTCATTCTCGTCAGTCTGATTCAGATGCTCGGCCCAATGCTGACACGCATATTGCAGAAGTGGGAATGATTTCAGCTCTGCCCCCGCGCACATCTTATTCTTGGGGGCTCGGTTGCACCAATAGTTGATGTACGCGATACAGCTCTCTGCAATAAGTGCATGGGCGGTGCAATCTCGGAACGTGAACGGAGCCTCCGAACTGCCACGCTTGACGGCAGCACGAGACATCAGAAATTCGCGGACAGAAAAATGGGCCAACAAGACGTATTCATCGTGGTCCTTGATTGTGCGGCTGACAAGACCAGGTAAACAAGACAGGACGCCATCACCAGGGAGCTGATTGTCTTTGTCTATGATCGGAAGCTCTAATAATCTGATAATGCAAGCCTCATTTATCTCCTGCAATGTAAGGGGCCGTAGCGCGACTGAGAGCCATTGCAGGGCTTGTACAACTTCGGTAAGCATGAATTTGCTGACATCTTCGAGGATGCGACTATACGTGCTCTCCAGTGTTTTGGGCATAGATTCCAGAATCACTCTTATATCCTTCGGCCGCAAGAAGGGGAGTTTCACGAGATCAGCAAGTTGACAATGTGTCCACAAAAACCTAAAAACGGTCAGGTGCGTCAGCTCATGCACAATCAGCGGGTCCCGACTGGAGGTGTTCATACATGCCGTCTGCCATGCCTATCAACCTATCGCAAAGGTCTTTCTTGGAGGCTCGTGGCAAGCTGCTCAGGGCAGTGCTGGCCTGGAACTGATCTGTTAAATATAAGCACATATCATCCTGATTCGCCTTCGCATCGATGTGTATTTTCAAGACGTCCGGATGCAAGTCCATAGCGTGCTCGATATCCCCTCTCCCGGAGCGACTTCGACTGGTAAAAAGGACGTGGACGTGCGACTCATGCGTGGTTACGGAGATAATCCATTGTAGCATTTGCGTCCGCTGCAAGTCGTCCAGGTCATTGTCCAGCTCGTCGAGTGCATCAAGAACAATGAAGACCTGCTTCAAGCCCTTCAGGTCTTTTATTGTAGTATCCAGGCATGCTTTAACATCCCCAAATTGTGCTGAAACAGGAACGCTATCTTTGTGCGCTTGATCGTACAGTCTTTTAACCTCTCGGAGTGCCTTCGGCTCTCTGCATATCTGCTTCAACAGCGCCGATTGGCACCTATGCTGGACTTGCTTGCTCTTCTCCCGAAATGAGAAGTAGAAGTAGAGGAGCAGATTTCCTGGATTGGTATCGCAATATTGTGTCATGTGGTCTACCACAGCAGAGCTAGCAATATCAGCTTACCATCCAGACCACAGATGATTGGGAGAAACCACACCCGACTTACCACATGACAGACTTTCCACAACCAACTAAAATGATTCCATCATGAGCGCGCAAACCTTGACGGTCTTTTGACTGGGAGTTACTTACTACCGCCGCTAATCCACAAGACCGAGCCGTGGGCCTTCCAACGGTGAAATTCCGGCCTCTCAAACACCCAGTTGCATGTGCCCGGGTACCGCTTCGCACTTGCTTCACGCTGTTGCATCCCCACATCTTTATCGCAGAGCCAGGTAAGGAGATCCCTGTGGCTCTTATCTATCCAAGATGAAAGAAGAATGCCTTAGACGGAGCATCTGAAAGTTTGTACAATGGATGTTAAGCTTACCATAATCTAACCTCTCTATTAAGCCTTCACATCCTCTGACGCTACCCTCTACACCTGCGACCTTGAGTCGAAGCTCGTCTATCTTCTGGTCTAGGCCGTCAAGTTTAATCACTGTCGCAGAAGACGTATCACTATAATACGGCCATGATTAACGCGCTTCGTGAGCATAGAAGCTATGGATGGGGGAAGAACAAGGATGAGACCCCACATGTCCAAGATTTTGAGAACGAGAAGCACATCCAACTTAGCTTGATGTAGCAAATCACGCAGCTTGAGAAGAGTACTCTCCTTGAAGGGATATTTGACCCTCTCCCACGTCGCCCGCGTTTTCATGCGAAACCCATCGTCTCCCGCCCCGCGTTGAATCTTTTGAGCAGTCTCGCTGAGTTTATCCATCACATTCCTGCATGACTGTACAACAGCAGGGAGCATCCCTGCGGCAGCAGCACCAGCACCGTTCCCGCTTGCAAGGGAAACCCCCCGTTGCCGGATCGCATCATTCAAAGTCGTGAGAATCATCTGTGTCTCCTGCACGGAAGCACAGATGGCGGCGATATCGGGGCGGCACCCCTTCCAGGACGAATAGTATGCCAGTAGACTCTGACAAACTTGTAGCCCAAACCCTGCGAAGCCAATAATGCCCGCAGCGGCGTCCATTGTGTTAGGCCGAAAATCGGGTTACGACTTGGAAAAGTTCACTCCGAAAGTTAGAAAGAAGCCGGACTTGCTATTTATGTTATCGAAGGGGGCGGGGGGGATAAGAGTACACAAATGATTGATTAAATGGCTTGGAATTCTAGTACGGGTTAGCTTGGGGGCTGTGCTGATCGATGTCTAAGCCTTAAACAACTGCGCTGAGCACTAGCTCTCTAGCGCGCCGCAAGCCTGAATCTATAATAAGTCCCACTTCGATGATTTGTTGGTATCATGGACGAGGGATAAGGACCTATGATCTTAACTGTGTATGCTTGTAGCCAGTGTCATCTTAAATAGTCATAGTATAGTGAGTTTCAGCAGCATTGAGTTTCGAGGAAGCCCAGCCTTGCTGAGCAAGCATTAGTGGTGGTTCCGCCACAAAACTTTGCCCGCATAGCGTATAGCCTGGTTCTTCATGGTTAGTATGATTCAACTCCGGAATAAGTTCGGATTGGATTGCTTGGTCTTTCCTCTCTAAGCATATCAGTAACAAGAGTTTTTACAGGCTACTTGATCCTTCTAGACAGCTGGCATGACCTGTCCGTAGTCTATATAATATTTAAGGTTATTATTGAGCGAGTATGCACATCTAAAGCGGGTCCGGTGTAAGCCGTTCGAGACCTACGTTTTACAGATTAAAGAGAGAGAAAAAACCGGGAAACAAATAAAAAACGCAAGAGCATGCATATGGCTTGTTATGAGCTTGTCTTTAATCTGCATTTCGAAAGGTTGGATTCACTATGAGATCCTTTTTGACCCGGATGTAAAAACTGTTGGTTTGGACCCCTTGATGGCAATTCTTGCGCCGGCGCATTTAGAACTTACAACTAAATTAGATAGCTTGCTGGTCCTAACGCTTCAAGGATAGAGAACTTGGACTGGAAGGCTGAAAGTTCTCCGGTGTCGAATCGCAAGGGACGCGTCAGCCAGCTTACATCCTATGAGGGGCACTATCTACAGTTGAAAGTTTGTGAACCCAAACGAACCAGCAGCAGATTCCCTGTCAGAGGCAAAAACATACAACAGAAGGGATTCGCTGGTGGTCACCCACCCAACTACTAACCTCCCGGCGTGTGGCTTAAGTACGGCTGAGCGGACGGGAAGCCCTGTTTTCCACACCCTGTGGTCGTATGTGCTAGGTTTTCATTGCTTGAGCTTTATATTGAGCAGCAATATGTGCAGACAAACTACACCAGCCTGTGTGCGAGCACCCGCTCGTGGTCCTGATTGTGCCTTCTCGCCGTGCCTCTTACCGAGGGTGAAGGCGATCAGGACCAACCACATAATCCGGCAGGGCCTGTACTCGCCTCTTAATTCCCAAACCCAGTGCTGCAAGGGACAACGATGCCTATAGGCGCCGCAGGGACCAACTCGGTGGTCGCGGGCAAGGACAAGACATCACGCAGATCGTCGAGATATTGCCATGAATATAAGATCCAGATTCCGAAGCTGGCTCATTCATAAGCACTGCAGCCAAGGATGAACAAGAGATCCCGGTTCAATGCCTTAAGGTGGATCAGGGGTGAACAGTTGCGTATCTCCTGGGTATAAGGTCGAGATAGTCAGTAGGCCGAAAATAAGGAACCTATATATGAATACCTTGTGCCAGCTCACCACAGGCAGCTTATTTCGGATAACTGCCACTCTAGCCCAGACAGCATGCCACATTTAAACTGATAGTGTACATCCCACAGAAGTTGAGCAGGCCGCCATATCAGCTTGAGAATATAAAGAAATGTCAGATGTAGGCAATTGAATCCCTGGTCTTAGATCTTGACAATAAGAACTGGTAAGGCAAAGACATTGACCGGGCGATTGGGAATATTTTTGAGAATAATATCGCTTTCTCATTTAAGTCGTTTGTTTATAAGTAACAAACACAGCTGAGAATCAATCAGGGTTAGAGACGTCAATTGGTCTTCCTGAGATTATTATGAGCGCGCCACCCAAGGAGGAACACGTAATCTGACACATTACCACTGTTTCAGAGTTGTTGAAATCCTACCTTGAGAGAGTACCTCTCACTCTTATCCTTCTCTAACTCCTCATTTGCCATAGTTCGATCACTCTTCCCGCAACACAGACGCACACTCCCTGCCTCGCAAACCTTCTAGCCTTTCGCGACCATGGGCACCAAGTGCTGACGCTGGACCATACCATCACTCGCATCCGAGCTCATTGCACTCGAGAGCGGCATCTCAGTGGGAGCAGAACCCCGGGTCCCAGATAAAATCGTGGGTCAGCGTGCCGTCGAGAAAGACGAGGCGAAAGGCAAACGACGGAGTCATGCCCAGCAATCAATTAATTAAATATCCTTTGGACGCACCGCGAGGTCTCCAGCATCAAGGCCATCGTGCGGGTCTTCTATCAAATCCTTTCGGGCAGCACCCAGTACAAGCCGGCTGCAAGCCGGGGCCAGCAGGCCGTCCCCGACCCCAATTCGCCTTGGGCGACTCGGTTCCTGGCGTCTTACCAGAAGTTTGCGGTCATCATGGCATCCACACCTCAGTTTCTCGGATTCATGCGGCGCACGTAGACGCGCTCCGAATGGGTGTCCGGCGGCTGGGTCTTATGTGGGGGGTTTCGGCTTAGGAAGGGATCGAGGGGCTCGCCCAAATAGCGCCGGAGATGGCCAGCGAAGGATTGATTCACGAGTTTGGCTTTGAGAAGTGGGTGCAAATGCGCGTTGCCTTCAAAGAGGCATACTGATACGGAAACCTTCCTCGTTCGTGTTGCTTCGATAAACGAAGGGTCGAAAGTTACATGGCTGCTCATGGGATTGAGCCGTTCGTGATGCCAGGCCCCGATCGTTTATTTTAGTGTACCCAGAAGGGAGAAATGTTGATTACAGGCGAGTTCAGCCTGTCGACGCGGATTAGAAATGGGACGACAGCAAATTTGTGCGGTGGGACCTGGATGAAGCAACTGCTGCGGAGGTTGGGTTTCCAGATAACTGTGGCCATTGTGTGATTGGACCTGTATCGCTCGCCCTGCGCGCAAAGCAAGTAAGCGCGCAGTCAGAGTAATATCTATCTTTAAGTACTGGCGGATCCGCCTACACTTTCACGGGCAACTGCGTTGCTGGGGTTTCTTGCAGTAGTTCGCACCACCCGAGGCCCGCAACTGAGATATATATTGACTGACCTGGACCAGACCGGGGAGCTTGGTGAAGCTGTGAGTCCAGTGCGATCACATCGCAGATTATCCGGACCAAGTTCGACATTATGATATCGCCGACTTATCACGACACGTGGTTCAAGCTTGTGGTCACGAGCCGTTCGTAGGACGACATCAATGTCTGGGTTCAAAATACCATGACACAACGCCCACACATTCAGTTTCAAAGGGGCTTCATAATGCACGTGTAAAGCTATCTGAGCACATACGACCACAGGGTGTGGAAAACAGGGCTTCCCGTCCGCTCAGCCGTACTTAAGCCACACGCCGGGAGGTTAGTAGTTGGGTGGGTGACCACCAGCGAATCCCTTCTGTTGTATGTTTTTGCTTAATTAATCCAACAGTTCTATATTTGGCGCGGACGTGGTAGACTATCATATTTTGCTTGGGTGAGGTGATATGCAGCGAACAAGAAACGCCAGAGGACACCTTTTCTCCTGCTACAACAAAGGTCAACGCCCACCGGCAAGCGCCCATCCCACCACGCGGTATGCCACTGATTGATACATCTTCACATTGTATTGCACTGATATCATACACGTTCTGAACAACGACGGCGCCGTCAGGACCACTCAGGATGCGCAAGTTGACTCCGGCTGGCAACCAGCATGCTCAACATGGCGAAGGAGGCACCGCCGAGGACTTCTAGGACGGCTATATCTGCTTGAAACTCCTTTCCAATCCAATTACAAAGCTCGACAGCGAGGAGCGAGTCCACACGGTAGACATGAAGTGGCGCATCCGCGTCGATCTCCGCGTCTTCTGGAATAAGCCGGTAGGAGTGGATCATCCTGTCTGCCAACGCCCGGCCGACAATTTCTCGTCCTTCTTGCAGGGAGGTTGACTGGATGAACTGCTCCCTGAAGGGGACCAGACCGCCGCCCGTCTCCCGGCACGAAGACCCCTGGGTGAGTACGGTGTTTTCGAGCTTAAGTCGGCGGAAGAGGGGCTGTTCGAGGACGGGATTCTCTCCATAGCGACCTGCCCCCTTGGCAGAAATTCCGTACACCACTTGCGCTTGCTCCGGACTCTGAGCTTGTGGCTGGTCAGGATCGCAGCAATGTGCCAGCAGGGCAAAGAGTTGGTCCCGAGTTACTGCAGTAAAGGATCCGTACCCCAGGACCTGGTCCAGAAAGCCGGTATTCTCGGCAAGCACCCCGTCGTCCCCCATAGGCCCCAGGTTAAGGGAGATTGCTCGCTGCCCGTGCTGCGATGCTTGCAGTCGCGCCAGGCTATCCATATACGAGTTCCCCGCGGCATAGTTCGCCTGGCCGGTAAGCCCGACGACACTGCTCACCGAGGAGAGCAGGATGAAGAAGTCCATTGCGGGTGGAAGGCTGGCGGCGAGATTCCTCGATCCTAAGACCTTGCAGTTGAGGGAGGCGCACCATTCCTCATAAGTCATCTCACTGAATAACCGGTCGCGAAGGACCATTGAGCCCTGGATACATCCTCGGACAGGCGGCATCGTACGTGAGATCTTGTCCAGCACCGTTTGCAGCGCGGTGATGTCGGTCACGTCACACGGCGGAGCATACACCTGCACGCCCTGACTGGCCAGCTCCTCGACAAGGTTTCGCGCGGCTGGGCTGTTCGCACCGGATCGTCCGAGGAGAACAAGACTGCGTGCACCGTTGGCAGCCATCCAACGTGCAGTCGCCCGGCCCAACCCCCCCAGACCCCCGGCGATCACGTAGGTGGCATCGTTCCTCAGCCGGAACGGGTTGCGGGTTTTCAGCACAGCGGGCACCTGGGATGGCAGGGTGAGGTCAATCACGGTCTTGCCAGTCGTCTCTTCTTCCTGTACAGACTGGAACACTTGCTGGATCGAGTCGGCCGCTGCAGCCTGGTAGAAGCCGCGCAGCGACAGATGCCCGTCTTGGATTAGGTTTAGAATCTGGCGAACCGCTGCTTGGACCATTTCTGGGCAGTCTCGCAACCAACGCGCGCTGTCAAAGAGAGTGAGCGATGCTTGGCGTCGATCGAAGCCCGGGAGCAGCGTCGCCGGCTGGGTTGTGTTTGTGGGCCCGTGGTCGATTTGGATCAGTCGGCCGTACAATGCCAGGCATTCCCATGAGACACGTTGTACGTCTCCTTCCAGGTCATTGAGTACCACGTCAACCCCGCGGCCTCTGGTGACCCGCATTAATCCGTCACTGAGATAGGGGTCCCGGCTGTAAAAGATTTGCTCATCCGACAGTCCGTATTGTTCCACCAGCAGGGCCCTTTCCTGCTGCGAATTGGTAGTCGTAAAGATCACTGCTCCCAGGTGTTTTGCCAGTCGAATAAGAGCTTGCCCAGCTGCTCCAGCCCTTAAATGGATCAGCACACTCTGCCCTCGCTGCAGACGAGCAAGCTCGACCAGGACATGCCAGGCAGTGCCAAATGCCAGTGGCAGAGCCGCCGCCTCCGTGAAGGACATGTTCTCTGGGATGGCGCATGTGGTGTTCGTTTTGACTTTGGTTCTGTTACGAAAGCTGCCCGGTCCGAACGCGAGCACTCGTTCCCCCGGACGGTATTCGCAGGATGAGCCCGCTTGGACGACGATCCCCGCAAGCTCGAGGCCCAGAGATTGATCCGGAAGCTTGCCTGCCGCGATTAAGACATCGTGCAAGCTCACACCAATGGCTTTGGTCTCGATTAAAGCTTCATCCGGCCGGAGAGAGGCCGCATGTAGCCCGTCGTCCTCGACTGAGTCATCGGTCCAGTGCAGCGACGTAAGAAGCCCGGGGGTTCCGATGGCCAAGGCTACCGAGCCCAGTTCTTGCAGGGATGTGGTGGTGGACTGTCGGGGTTGCGATGCCTGATAGAGGGCGGTTGTCAGCGGACGCTCTGTCTCCACGCGTCGAACGTGTAAGGTTCCCTCGACTTCCACGAATTCCGGCTCGTAGACTGCGGTCTCGGTGGGAGCGAAAAGTGCATTGGTGCACACCCTGACCAGGTGCGCAATCTGTCGAGGTTGCAAGAGGGCAGAGTCGTCGGGTATTGTCTCCAGGGCCAGAGTACAGATACGTCGCGCCGCCTTCTCATTGCGCAGTGTGCGCGCCCAGCCATCCACAATCCCATAATGGGCATCCTGCGCCACCGGTCCACCCCCGGCGGTCACCCAGAGGATTGAGTTACACTCGTGCACTACTTTCTGGATAAACCTGAATGTATCTGGAGTCATCGAGCCCAGCAGTGGTTGCTCGGTTTCGACCAGAAACACCATTGTCCGCTGTGCAAGGCCCGAAAGCGAGGCACATTCCTCCAGGCTCCCGGACTGGACCGTGGACTCAGGGTACCTCAATCGGAGGGCGTCGCCCGTTCGACTGCAAGTGATCTGCTGCTTCGCCGAGTTGGGGTCCACGATGAAGTAGAACTGGGGTGCCGGCGTTGATGGTCCACTGGCGACTGGGGAGGAGCAGATGTTTCGTACTAGGACCACAATCCACTGGGGTTCTTCACAGGGGCCCCCTCTGTATCGAATGGACAGATCGAGCTGTAAATCCTGAAACCCCATTTCCCGCGAGCTGGAACCCCAACCGCCTAGTCGTTGCGCAGGACTATTCTCTGCGCGCAGACTTTCACCTTGCTCGGTTCCTTGCGGACAAGGAGACTCTTTGAGTATGAGGTGTCCACCTGGTCGAAGAAGCTTGTACACATGGCGCATAATCGAGTTGGCTCTGTCATCGTTTACTTGAACGGCGTCACCAAGTACGATCAGATCATAGGATTCGAGTGCAAAACCCTGCTCGGTGGGATCCGTCTCAATATCCAGTGTCAGAAACCCGAGCCGAGGGACATCACCGAGGCCGTGCGCCACCTTCTCAAAACCTACTGAAGAGGAATCTGTGCAGTCATACGACGCGTACAACATAGCATTGTCAGGCTCAGCATTTTCCGTCACGTCGACCGAGAGGGCGTGTAGAATTTCCTGTGTCCACTCGCCCGACCCGACTCCGATCTCGAGGATGCGCAGCATAGGATTCTTTCGCGCAAGTGTCTGTATATACACCTGCCAGGGAGCAAGAGAAAAGTCTTGATTCTGGCGGCAGTACTGGACGACTTGCGTCCGGCCCATCGTATCCAGGTCTGGGACCAGACGCAATCGATATGCGGTCAGTGCCGCGGTTTCTTCCCCGGATGCTGGCGCGGTGGAATGATTCTGAGAAGCCGCGCCTGCTACAATGGTTGATCGCAGGCCCTGCAACCGGACAAGCAGCCGACTTTCCTGTTGATCGGTGACCGCTGTGTCGAATTCATGCCCGCGGCTGTGCTGCGTCTTGATCCAGGTTGCGGCTCGAACGGTTGCCGCGTCTGGACTGCTGGAACCCTGCGCTGCCACCCAGAGAGATCGGATGCTCGTCGGGATGGCCGTTGCCATGCTGGCCGTACTATCTTTGTTCTCGATCAACGCGACCGTGCTCAGATGAAAGATCCCATCCAACGTTGTGGGGTGGATCACATGGGCCTGGGGGTATTGGCTGGAGGGCCATTGGAAGACGTTGATCGATGCGGTTGCCTGGCCTTTACCATTGCATCTGGCGCCGGTGACCGTCTGGAAAGTCGGGCCAAACTCAAAGCCAGACTGGCGGAGTCGGTTGTATAGAGAGGATGGCTCGATGGAAAACACCGCAGTAGCTGAAGTAGCGCAGTCCTGCTCAAGTTGTCTCCGCCTTTCTTGCCAGTGCTCCACCATCGCCTCCTGTGCCAGAGCCGTGTCGGCCGTCTCATACTCGATGTGAATCTCTCCTCGACAGTGCTCGTGCCATTCGTCCCTGTCGTCCCGCGAGCAGAGTCGGAATTCCATCCATGGCAGCGGCTGGCCCTTGTCGGTCAGGGTGCGCAGTAGCAAGTTCGTCTCGACCCCCTCGGCAGTTTGGGGGATCGTCAATGCCCGCTGGAATTCGACGTTCTGGAGATCGAACCCGACAACACTACCACGTCGTTTCGGATCCACCATCTGGCTGGCTGCCTCTATGGCCATGACGACCATGCCTGCGGCGGGATAGATGAGTGTGCCATTGATCATGTGGTCCTCCACCCAGGGCATCTCGTTGAGACGGATATGATGCCGCCAGCGGGCTTCTAAGGGATTCCAGTCTGAGACCGGTTTGCCCAGGAGATCGATGCGTCCGGGACCCAGACGACTACGCCTGCTCAGCCGACTTTCCCGCCAGTACACGGTCGAGTGATTGAACGGATAGGGCGGCAGATCCACGAGAAGGCGCGGTCGACGCTCTTGGTCATGTTTCTTAGGGACGGGGAGGTCGCCCATTCGGTTGACTCGCTCCAGGTCAATTGGCACCCCCAGGCTATGTAGCTGGCCGACTGCGGTGAGAAACCCATGCAGTGCCGTCAGGTCCTTGCGTTGGAGGGTCGGGCAATAATGTACGTCGCGACCCCAGGGTAGACTGCCTAGCAGGTCTCGAATTGGACCCTGCAGCGCGGAATGGGGCCCGACTTCTAGCAGGATATTGACCCCTGCCTGACCACGGTGACTGCAGTCGAGCACCTTCCGTCCCTTGCGCCCCGAGGCGTGCGTACAGATCCCAAACAACGCTTTGGGGAATAAGACCGGCGAGACCAAGTTGGCCACCCAGTAATCTGCAGTGACCACATCAGCGGGCTGCACTCTCTGGCCTGTGACGGACGAGACCATGATAGGGGCTTGAGATGAAGAGGACGAGATCGACGATTCGAAACTTTCTAGGCGCGGCACCGGCCGGATGCCCTGCATGTGCCTTCGATATGGCTCGGCCACCTCATTCATATGGAAGGAGTGGTAAGCCACCGGGATGCGAAGCTTGCGCGCGAAGACGTTCTCGCTCTCCAGCATCGCCTGGAGTTGGCTGATCTGGTCCGCGTCTCCCGAAACCGTCACACTCTTGTGGCTGTTCACACAGGCTACGGCAATACCTCTCCGATTACTCTCCGACGTGTTGGCAATGCGATCCAGATATCTTTCCGTCTGGTCCGCCGAGAGTCCGACAGCGAGCATCGCGCCGCGCGGGGCCCTCTGATTGAGATCTTTGTCGTTAGCCAGTGCACTTGCGCACACGCCGCGGTAATAGGCAATGCGCATCGCATCCTGGAGTGACAGCGCCCCAAGGGCATAAGCAGCGGCAATCTCGCCCGAGGAATGGCCGATGACGGCGGCTGGTTTCAGGCCGACCCCTCGCAGTAAGTCCACCAACGCCATCTGCAGTGCGGTATTGGCGGGCTGTGCGATCTCGGGCTCGTGAATCCTGGAAGCGTCGCCGCCGCCACCATTGCTGTTGGTGTTGTTCTCGTTGAACATCTCGGTTCGCAGAGACCATAAGCAACCGAGGGATAGTAAAACCTCCTCGCATTGCTCGATCACCCTCCGGAAGACCGGATACACCATCAATCCGCGACCCATCCCGGCCCATTGCGCCCCTTGGCCAGTGAACACCAACCCCACAACGGGCGCCTCGTGGGCTTGGTACACCGCTGCAGCTATCTTGGTCTCGTCGCAAAGGTCCTCGTAGCTGGAGGCAATACAGAAGCTTTTATGGCCCAAGGCACTCCGGCGTGAGTTCAGCGTATACGCCAAGCGGTCCATATAGTCCGGGAGATTGTCCGGCGGGCAGACAGGGTGAGATTGGAAGTGCGTGGCGTACGCCCGTGCCATTGTTTTCATCCCGTCTTTGCTCGCAGCCGACATGGTTAGTAACTTGGGAATTTTCAGAACTGGAGCTGATGCGCCCGGGCTTGGCACAGGCACAGGCACAGTGTTGCCCAAAGCTATAAGTGAGGCTGGAGGGGGAAACTCCCGAGTAACATGGTGGCCCACCAGGCCGTGACCACGCAGGTAGTGCAGGGCATCATCCAGGACAACATGCGCGTTGGCACCTCCGAACCCAAATGAATTGACCGAAGCCCGTCTCAGACCCTGCGTGGGCCACGGCCGGGCCTTGAGTGGTAGCTTTAGGCGGAGGAAGTCAAGGTCAATCCTCGGATTCACCTTCTCGAAATTCGCATTGGGCGGAATGACGGCCCTTTCCAGCACCAAGATCGTCTTAATCACCGCAGCTATTCCGCTGGCACCTTCGAGATGGCCGATATTCGATTTAAGCGCACCAATGATCAGAGGATCGCGGGGACCCCGAACAGAACGGAAGACTTCTCCAATAGCGTTGCACTCGATGGGATCTCCCACTGGGGTGCCCGTTCCATGCGCTTCAAAGAAGCGGGTTGGCTCCAGACTCAACCCTGCTTTTTGGTATGTGCGCCGTATCAACGCCGCCTGGGCAGCGCCACTCGGCTGCATGATGCCCGAGGGCGTTAATCCGTCGGTGTTGGACGCCGTAGACCGGATAATCGCACGGATCGTATCTCCATCTCGTAAGGCATCGCGCAGCCGTTTAACGATAATCGTGCCCGTCCCCTCGCCACGGCCGTATCCATTCGCCCGATGGTCGAAACTGTGACTGCGGGAATCCGGCGATAACATGTTGACATTGGATTCCAACTGCATCATATCGGGGGAGAGAAGCAGGTTGGTGCCCGAGACGATGCCCATCTCTGCCTCCCCGCTCCGTAAGCCCTGGCATGCGAGGTCGAGGGCTACCAAGCTGCTCGAGCATGCCGTGTCGATATTCATACTCGCCCCGCGACAGTCGAAGAACCAGCTGATTCGATTCGCGTGCATGCACATGTTAATGCCTACGACATCATAATCGGCACTGGTCTCGATGTCCTTGCACATCATCAGCCGGTAGTCGCTTCCGAAACACCCGACATGAACCGAGGTCTGTGATCCCGCCACTCGTTCCATCGGGACGCCAGCTACAGAGCAGTCAGCTGGTGACTAATTTCCAGGCCTTGCCCCGCGACTGAGCCTTCCAAGCACAGGGAGGGGAAGGGAGCTACATACCATTCTCTAACGCTGCATATGTCACCTCCAACAGATGGCGTTGCTGAGGGTCCATGGCGGCGGCCTCGTCGGCGGAGATGGAGAAAAACGCTGCGTCGAACCGCGAGACATCTTCCTGGAGGAAATGCCCTCCGCGGGCGCTGTATTGCCCAATTCGCCGTTTGTCGGGATGGCACCAACCCGCGCTGTTGATACGATCCGCTGGGGCCTCGCTCGCCACGCATCTCTTCTCCATCATCATCCTCCAGAACCCGTCGTCTGTGACTGCTTCTCCGGGAAACCGGTACGCGTACCCGACGATTGCAATTGGCTCGAGCCGGTCTTCCTTCTCTGACTGCTTGTGTGCAGACGGCCGCGCTTGCGTCGTTTCTGCGCTGGGTTTACCCAGCCAGCTGGGGTCTTCGTCTACCATAAGGGGGGCCATAGTCAATCGTTATGAAGTAGGGAGAGTGGAAAGGGCGTTATGAACATATGGACCAGTGGAAAGAACATGCGATTGGAACATTGTGTTGGACTAGAGGTCTATTTAAGCACGTCGGAGTCCTTCCAGCGAGTTTGGATGGTGGACTAAGTACCAGTACTGGCCTGTGTTGGACCGAGGCACTAGGTAGAGAGTCGTTTAATTGAGTCTGAAAACTGTCAATTTTTCCTTCGTTGCGAGTTGCTCCCTTTGATGCTCAGCCTCATAGCTTTGTTGCCGACGCTTCCGGTCACAGCAAGGAAAGTAGCCTATCAGGCAACTCTTTCTGCAAACATGCTTAACGATTCTCACAACACCTGAAGCACAGACCGGAGTGCTGACCGGGCTCGGAGCAGCGGAGTGGGGGCCTACAACAGTACATCAAATGTACGAGTGACATGCATGTGGTCTGTGTATACGCTATGAACGCAAAGATGGTCTAACACTGGACTAAGAAGACTAGACCCAGACACATGCCGGTACTGTCCCCAATCATAGAGATAGGCGAAGGAATGCACTAACGCAGGAACTAAGTCTGGACTATTCCATCCTTCAAGATACTGAGACTTATCTCGTCATCTCACCACCCCTCACACGGCCATAGTGACTCGCCCCACAGTTCTTCTAATCGCACGGACAGCACCCAACAAAGCCTCTTTTGCTCTGGCCCCCGGGATCGAATGACCCTCACCGTGCACCAGCACAAGCCGCTCCTCAGGATCACAGAGCGCGCACAGCCGCTCGCTTCTATCCCTCCAAAGGTCATCATTGGCCCCCCAGATATGCGCCGTCGGCAGCCCGGCCAGGGGGGCCGGTCTGGTCGTGTCTGGGTCCGGATCCAGAAGACGCACCTGGCCGGCTTCCTCCAACGCGACTGGATCCAAAGGCGCGCCGCCGCAGAAGAAAATAGCGCACTTGAACGGCAGCGGTCGCTGCGGATGCTGCGCCGCCTCGCGGATCAAAAAGGTGGCTGCTAGCGCTCCGCCCAGCGAGAAGGCGATGAGCCCATCGTACGGCCCCTCCAGCTCCAGGAATCGAGTCAGGTCATTCAGGGCCTTGGTGAGGGTTTCCGCCTTGTCATGTGAAAAGTAATCGTAGTAGGCTCCGTCGGTGGGGAAGAATGTTACCAATTCTGTTTAGTAGACCTCCCCCATGGGCGCTGTTAGCCAGCTGTCCATCGGATTTAGGCTATGGCTGACTGACTGCTGTTCACATACCTGGCGCCAGGGGAGCCGGGATGGTCCCCTCCACAAAGTCATACGTATGGCCGTCATTCAACAACTCGTGTCGTATGGCGGCTAATTGGGACTCCATGATCTAGGCAAAGTTGGCGTGATTCTTCGATCAGGGCTTGGGGCATTTACCTCACCGTTCGTGCCCCGGCCATGGAAGCAGAGGAAGCGCATTGTGTGCGACGGGATCAATAAACAATGAATTCCTTTGTCAATGCACGGGAGGGAGGATGTCAGAGTTGCAGGTGAGACAGTCAATACATCGGCGTAATTTATAATTTGAATTTCTTTTATGTGGGTGGATCAAGATATCAGCAGGCAGCGACAATTGTTGGCAGGCTGACGGGGTGACGAGATACTGCGAAAGATCTAAAGATGCACTAGGAAAGGGGCCTCGGACTATCTAGATAAGCACAATATCCACCTCTCTTGGCGTACGGCGAACAAGAAACAACTTAGTATTAAGATTCATCGGGCCGGACCGGATTCAATCCTCGTAGTGCTGCCAAATTGCCAATGCTGCCAACCCCCACCCCACCCCCGATGGCCCCATATTTCTTGGCATGCAAGCGACGGGGCCAAAATTTGATAAATAGATTGTTTCCCATTATTGGACTCACGTAAGACACCTTTTACATCCATCCACTTGTTCTGCTCTTTGGCCCCCTCCTTCCCCTGCGCCTCAAAGGCCAACCGACCTGACCTGGTTGGCACTCAGTGGCTGCAATCATTTGCCCTTACAAGGTAATGCCACGCCATACCGTAACGCTGGCTGGACCCAACATGGCTATCTGTGGCCTGTGAAGAGCACTGGCATGTGTGCTAATGCACCTGCATACATCACCTATCCCTGGCCCGTGCAGCATCGGAACAGACGGCAAGGTACATGTACCTTCGTAACCGCCGATTTACCCTCGCTATCCACCTGGATTGCAGTTTTCCGCATGCATCGCCTGCATCGACGTTGCATTGACCCCGAGCGTGGACCGCCAGCATGGCAGACACTACTAGCACGCAGTATTCGACCGAGTATCTCAATGAGACCCAGCAACCCATGTTGATTGCCGTCACAACGGTCTTCGTAGTTCTCGAGACTGTGTCCCTGGCGTTGCGGTTTGTGTCGAAGCGCATAGGTGGGATACACCTCGGCTGGGACGATGCTCTCATGGTTCTTGGATATGTCTTTTGCATGGGTCTCAACGCCAGCTGCTATGGTCAGTGCCTTCATTCCATGCCACTCCCCTTTAACCTAGACTGCTTTGCTCACTGTGTTTTCAGATGATACTATCCGCGGTGGTCTGGGTCTTCATAAAGCGCAGGTTGAGCTGACCGACCCTAGCAAGCTCATTATCTGGGGTCACTATATCATCGTGGTTCCCCTGGTCTACTTTCAGGGTGTGAACCCGCCCAAACTGGCGATCATCTACCTCTATCTGCATATATTTACGAGCAAGCGCACGCGCATGCTTTGCTACGTGGTGGCGGCGATACTGGTAGGAAACTGGCTCGGGACGACGGTAGCGGGCTTCCTAGCCTGCCGGCCGTTGAGCTACTTCTGGACGCATCAGGGCCAATGCTTCAACATCAACGCCTTTTTTCGTTGGAGTGGACTAGCCAACATCATCACCGACTGCATCATGTTGGTGCTTCCGATGCCTATGGTCTGGCAACTGCAGGCCTCTCTCCGGCTCAAGAGTGGTATCATGTTGACCTTTCTCCTAGGTAGTGTGTACGTTGCTTCCCTCTTTCCTCGCCTTACCTTTTTTCCAGTTTCCAGTATTCGTTATCAACATCCATCCCTTCAAGCATGGGACCATAGCTGACATATTCCGTTTCGCTGCGGGTGGCTACAGCGGCCTCTTCTCATCCATTTTCCGCTTTTACGAATTCTTCGTCACCAACGCGGAGGTGGACGAGACCTGGTCCGGAACGACGTTCGTCATCTGGTGTGTCATCGAGGCCGGAGTCTACCAGATCGCCGCGTGTTTCCCCTCGTATCGCCCCTTGGTCAAGTTCATCGGACGCCGGGTGTTGAAAATGACGACCAGAGACTCGACGGCCGATCATTCCTCGGTGCAGAAACCCTCTCGGGCCTTGGAACGGAAACAATTCCGGTCTCTCACAGGAGAGGTGACGGCGGCGGACGAGGAGGATGGGGTCGGACTGGTGACACTGGGTAATTATCGGGCCGACATCGAACCTGGTACAATTATGGTGGATCGCAAGTTCAGCGTTAGCTAGGCTAGCTGGTTGGATTAGGGCTGTGGGGATTTTTTCTTGTTGTTCCCGGCGGGTCCTGGATGGGTTTGGGTAATAGGCGTGATTAGGTGAATGGTGCTCTTCATATGTAAAGTATAATTACCAAGAATGCTCGGTCTCATGGTTTCAGTGTCTCAACGTATTCATTTCTGACCCTGGAGAAGGGAAGAGACAGGGGGGACGACATTACACTGTTCAACTCTTGCGAGGGAGGGGGGGATGGGGGCCTATCAGTCGAATGTTGCGAGGAATCTCACTAAAATCTCACCAACATCGCACTAGAAAATCTTGCATAACTAAGTCCTCACTAAAATCTCACATCAGTGGGCCCGCCTAGTCCAGTCCAAACCGGCTATTCCGTTGCCAATGAAGGACAAGCATGAGTGGCTTATTCCTCCTTTCGAGCGATCTCACATCAGCCCTGAGCCCTTTCAAGACAATCGAAGGGTGTTTCCGCCCCGTCCGCTGGCCCCTCCACTTCAGACCCCACCATTAGCCCTAATTAGACCGGTGTCATGCATGCACTCTCAATCAACTGACACTGAATGATATGTTTTTTTTACCGCCGACCCCTGTCCGACTAACTTGACCCCTCAGTGCAATCGGCTCCGACTCTCCCGTCCTGTGAGATGTGTCACTGTCCCTGCCCGTTCTCTCCGTTGCATCTCTCAGCCTTCAGCTGCCATAGCGAGGTTAAATAGCCTGTACCCTCTTCCTGCGTACATTATCTCACTCAGCAGCTGTTTCCCTACTTCTACTTCTAATTTACAATGACTGTCCCAATTTCGGCTTCAGACTTCAACCCTCGAGATCAATTGGTCCCACACATTGTCGACCACTACGCGAGAGTTCAACCCGAAGATGTCTACGCCGAGTACCCGCGCAACGTGTCAAGTCTAGAAGATGGATACCAGGCGATAACCTACAAGGCCCTAGCCAACGCCATTGACGGGATTGCGCATTGGCTGGTGAAACAGCTGGGCCCCGGCCATGGAGAAACTCTGACCTACGTTGGCCCCAATGACTTGCGGTATCCTGCTTTGGTGTTGGGGGCTGTCAAGGCTGGCTACTGCGTAAGATCCTGGCCCCATCTGCGTGAGACGCAAGCAAAGATTCCGAACTTTCGCTAACGGCAATGACAGATGTTCCTGACGTCGCCGCGTAACAGCGCGCTGGCTCATCAGACTTTGTTGGAAAAGCTTGAGTGTACGAGGCTGGTTGCCCCAGTGCCACGTCCGCCGCCTGCTGCCGCGATCCTAGAGGCTGTGCCGTCGCTCGAGGTCTACGATGTTCCGAGCGTCGAAGAGCTTCTCACCACCGAGTACCCTCATTTCCAGTACGCCAAGACCTATCCGGATGCTGCCCGAGAGCCCCTGGCTATCATCCACACCTCAGGGTCGACGGGCATTCCCAAGCCCATCGTGTGGACGCACGACACCGCGGTCAAACACATGCACATGCAAGTCCTCGAGCCACCCGCTGGGTACGAGAGCCAGCACCAGTGGGGCTTTGGCAAGCGGATGTACATGATGATGCCGCCCTTCCACGCGGCCGGACTGGGCCATTTCCTCTTCGTCACGATGCACGTAGGCATCACGCTCGTCCTCCCGGCCTCGGGGGGTCTGCCCACCGCGGCAGGAATGGTGGCCTCGCGCAAGCAGACGCCTTTCGAGGTCGCCTTCGTGGCGCCGTCCATTGTCTCGGAACTTGCCCAGTCCCCAGAGCTCCTGGACTTTGCTCGCAACCACGTCGAGTACATCGCCTACTGCGGCGGTGACCTCCCCCAGGCCATCGGCGACACGGTTGCCGCGCAGATCAAGTTAGTCAGCCAGTACGGTGCCACCGAGATGGGCTTCATCAACTCGATCCACTCGAAGACCGATCGCGATTCACGCAAGGACTGGCGGTACATCAACTTCCACCCGGAGGTAGGGATCGAGCTGCAACACGTCTCCGGGGATGAGTATGAGATGGTGCAGGTGCGCAGCCCACATCGCGAACGCCACCAGTTCCCGTTCACGATCTTCCCCGATCGACAAGAGTATCACACCTCCGACCTGATGGTCCCCCACCCTACGAAACCGGGTCTGTGGCGCACCACGGCGCGTATAGATGATGTTATTGTGTTTCTTAATGGGGAGAAGACGAATCCTGTCTCAATGGAGCAGTATATCGTTTCCGCAAACCCGGAGGTGACTGGTGCGCTGGTGACCGGGGCGCAGCGCTTTCAGGCTGCACTTCTCGTGGAGTTGGGCCGTGCCGAAGCAGGGTCGTTGGGGGTCAGCGAGCGGGCCGCGATGATCGAGAAGCTCTGGCCGAGTATCCAGCATGCCAACGCTGAATGTCCAGCCCACGCCCGTATCGCCAAGAGTCACATTCTCTTTACTACGCCAGAGAAGCCTATGCTCCGCGCTGGTAAGGGTACCGTGCAGCGCGCGGGCACGGTGTTGCTGTATACCCAGGAGCTCGAGGCGCTATACGCCGACGCCGAGAAGTTGGCTCAGCATGACGCAGGTGAGATCGTTGGACCTGGCAGCGTAGAGGATGCTGTGCAGGTGGCGGAGTATATTCGCGCGTCAATTCTTAATATCACGGGATGGGATGCGGAGAAGCTGTCTGATACGGAGAATTGGTTCAACCTTGGTCTGGACTCGCTCCAGGCGATAACAGCCACGCGTGTGCTGAAGCAGGGTCTCAATCTCCCTGACCTGACCCCTAATCTGATCTACCTGCACCCGTCGGTGACAGAGCTTACCTCTGCTGTTCAGCAGCTGCACCAGCAGGGAAGAATGTCCACGGAGCAGCAGCAGCAGGCGCTCCTCGCGGAACGAGACCAATTGCTGCAGGAGCTCATCAGCCAGGTCGAGCAACCCAGCCATGCTGCCGCCGATGAACCTTCTGCAGACGCGAGTACAAGCCCCAAAGCACACACAGTGATCCTGACCGGCTCCACAGGCCAGCTAGGAACATACATCCTTGACGCCCTCCTGAAGAACCCCTCCGTAGCGCACATCCACTGCCTGAACCGCGACGAGAGCGCCGCAGAGCGACAACACAAACGCCTCGCAGCGTACGGTCTGACATCACTGACAGACAGTACCAGCACCCAAACGCGCGTAAGCTTCTGGACGACAGATCTGAGCAAGACCGACCTCGGATTGGCACCGCACGACCTCGCGCAGCTACAGCAAACCGCCACGCTGATCATCCACAACGCGTGGACAGTGAATTTCAATCTCTCTTTAACTTCCTTCAAACCGCACCTGCAGGGCGTAGTCAACCTGATTAACTTCGCAGCCCACAGCGCGCAGACCCCGCACCTCTTCTTCCTCTCCTCCATCAGCTCGACAATGGGCCACCACACCGAATCCGGCCTCACGCCCGAGACGGTGATCCACACCGCCGTGCCGGGCCCGAACGGCTACGCCAACAGCAAGTACATTGCGGAGCATCTGCTTGGTCACGCCGCGCAGCAACAACCGCAGATGGGGCCCTCGTTCGCGTTCGCCCGCGTCGGCCAAGTCTGCGGCGCCGTGCGCAGCCCCGGTCTATGGAATCCGGCCGAGTGGTTCCCCAGCCTGGTGCGAAGCGCCCTACACCTCCGCGCATTGCCAGAAAGTCTGGGCCGAGCACCCCTCGACCAAGTCGACTGGGTTCCTATCGATCTCTTGGCCGAGGTGCTCGTGGACCTGGCTGTCCTCGGCGGTTCTCCTGCAACAATTGGTTCCGTCTCCACGTCCAGTACAGAGTCTCGACTCAAAGTCTACCACCCCGTCAACCTCCACCCCCAACCCTGGCCAACGACAATCCGCCCCGCCGTCGCCGAGGCGCTCCTCGCTCTCCGACCCGATGAACCCATCCAAGATATTGACACCATCCCACTGCGCGAGTGGGTCATGCGTGTCCGACGGAATATCGAGAAAGCTAGCGTTGGCCGTAACGGTGTCAAGAAGGGAAGCGGACTAGCTGAGAAAGAGCTGCAGGTGCTGCTCGAGCGCAACCCCGCAGCCAAGCTGTTGGAGTTTTTTGAAACGCTGGCGGACGAGCAGACTGCCGGGCCGGAGAACGCGTTGGAGACGGTGCGGACGGCGGCGGTGAGTGCGCGGTTGCATGAGGTGTCGGGCGTGCAGGCTGAGTGGGTGCGGAAGTGGGTTGGGGAGTGGTTTGGGGTGGCTTAATTCACCTAGTACCTAAATACTTCTGTCTGGTGTTGGGGATAGGACTGTGGCTTACTTAAGTTGAGGTCTTCATGTGATGTATTCGGGGTATATCTGAAGGTAATATACCCGAGGCAAATAGCGATGACTGAGAATGAGGAATGGAAAATGAGATTCATCAGAATCACGGTCTAGGACTATCTTTTCTCAAGGCGTTAGTAGATATAGTACGTCCGCTTGAGAGTATTCCTGCTTTGATTCCCTTGGACTGGCTTGCGGGAAATGGTGGATTGTCTGGCATCGTGGACCTAGGACAGGAGGAAGGGGAGTAGGCAGGCTCAGAGTTGAGGTATGGGTTCCACTGGCAAGGGCTGTAGATCTGTACTAGGAACTCTCTTCCCTAATACCCGCTCCGTTCGCAGCAATCGAGTCTATTTTCATCCATAGTTAGTTAATTGGGTGGATCTTTGAGCAGACCCATACAGTCAGTTCACTAAATTCAGCCTCAAGCTAAAGTCCCGTCCCGACAATGCTAGATTGTTAATATTGACTGTAGACAGAGATACCATCGCCGACAGACCCTGTTAGTACACCCTTCCTCACACAAATAACAGTCTTGAGTCAAGTGCAATATACCTAGCTATCGGCTCCTGGATATTGCATCGTCATCGCCACGCCAAGACTCTCGGATACTTTCGCCAAATGTCCCCGACCCCAGATCGGGATATGCTCTTGGCCCAGCAGACTTCGGAAAACCTATCACTGATACAGATAGAGAAGCTAGCCTGTGAGACTCTCAATGCTGCGTTTTGAGTTTGATCAGCATGGGTACCTTGAAGGGACACTGTCGTCCAATTAATCTGAAGATTTAGGGGGGTGATTCAGTACTCCATAGCATGTCCGCCACTCTAAGCTACAACCACCAAGAATAGCATGGCTCTCTTACATGTGCATGAGCATATTTGCGCTGATAATGACTCATATAGGCCTAGGCATGAGTGTTGGATCGGGTGATCGGGCTCAATATAAAAAGCTGCTGGCATCCGGCACATCGGACAATCCCTCAAAAGACCTTAGCGAACAATTACAGCCCTGCACATCTCTCAACAATTTTCACATCACACAATCTACCCAGCACATACCTGAAGGATGTCTTCACCAAAAGACTACGACGCCCTCATCATCGGCGCAGGCCCAGCCGGGCTCGCGGCTGCCACCGCGCTCGCCCGAGCATGCAGACGCGTGGCGGTGTTCGACTCGCAAGAATACCGCAACGAGGGCGTCGAGGAAATGCACAACGTTGTACTCCACGACGGCCAGAAGCCAGCGTCGTTCCGGACTGCTGCCGTCCAGGACATCTCAACCAAGTACCCGAGCGTCCGTTTCTTCAACACCGCGGTTGAGACCGCGGGAGTATCAACAGCGGAAACGACTGTCGCGACGGCATACCCATTTCATGTCACAAGCACCGGCGGAAATACTTTCCGGGGGTAAGAAACTGATTCTCGCTACCGGAAGCAAGGATGTCTTTCTCGATATCCCGGGGTATGCAGAGCTGTGGGGGAAGAGCATGTAAGAAGAGATCGCAGCCCCACGCCACAGCCCCTGCAACTAACGCAATCATTCGTTAGCGTTCACTGCTTGTTCTGCGACGGCTTCGAGAGGAGGGATCGGTCCGCCGGGATTCTGGGCCTGGAATCGCTACACAACCTACCTTCCATCCTCATGGCACGGCATATGTCCTCTGCGTCGGTGACAATCTTTCTGAACGGACAGTCCCCGGACAACGAGAAAGATAAGGAGGCCCTCCGCGTGGCAACTGCGCGAGGTTGTAAGGTCGATGACCGGTTGATCCGACGCCTGTCGCGGGACCCTGCAAACGACGGCATCATCGTTGAATTTGTGGATGGGGCGCAGTCTCGGATTGGGTATCTCTTGCACCACCCTCCCACTGTGAACCGTGCTTCTGGTTTGATTTCTCGGCTTGGCTTGCAGCTCGTGCAGCAAGGTGTACATGTTCAGATCAACCCTGAGGGAGAGACTAGTGTAAGAGGGTGTTTTGCGGCCGGCGATACGGCGACGCAGTGGAAGATCGTCTCGGTTGCTTTGGCGGATGGTAGGTTCTTCTTCGTTCGGGTTGTCCGCGTGAGGAACTGACAGATCATGTTTTAGGTGCAAGGGCTGGCATTATGGCGGCAAGACAGCTTGCGATGGACGAGGGTCTATGTTGAGCCAGGGGATGAGATGAAATAGCATAGGTCGGCAGCGGTGTGACATTGCGGCATGTTTGTCAGGAACATTTGAGATGGTTGAGTCATCGGAGGACATAAATAAGGGATGATGCTCGATGAGGAGAAAATGTACCTACGGACTTAGGGCTATTGGTACTTCACTTCATAACAGGCAGTGTTTTGCCCGCGGCTACTTCCAACACGCGCGACATATCCACTAGTCAGACGTGCATTCAATATTAGGCTCTATCTGTAACCCCCTTGGTAGTTTTTCCCAAAGTAAGCACGGATTCAAGGTAGAACGCTCCTGCCGTAGAATACAACGTGGATGCGAGACTATATTTGTATTTCGAATGCCCCGCGAATCCATTTTGCAGTAAACAACACGCAAATCCTCCTCAAGTTCTTTTTTTAACAGAAAGTCTCATCTCTTCGTCTCAGAACACTACTCAAAAATGTCCACTACAGCTAGCCACGAATCCCCAAGCCTCACACCGGCCGTGAGCGGCGTCCCGAATGTTTCCGTTGATGTCGCTCAGCTGAGCTGGCAAAAGGTCGGCATAATTGCCGTTATTGTTCTGGTGGCCGTTCTGGCCATCACAGCGATCGTGTTCCTTGCGATTTGCGCTCACTGGTGCCGGGCGAAGATCCGGCAGCGGTATGTAGCCCATCTTCTGCCTACTAGGCTGCTGAAAAACTCCCCCTCGCATACACGGATGCTAACGTTGCCATAAAAAACAATATAGATTCGGCCCCCCGATCGCTACATACACACCTACCAATGCGCACGAAGCCATGGAACTCCAGGATTTCTACTCTCGTGGGGGTCAGTTCTGCCGGATATGACATGCTGAAACGGGGCGCTAATCCTTTGGGTCCTTTAGCGAGGTTGTCTCCAGGTCGCGCGGAACAGGAGCAGACGGGGGGTGCCGGGGGTGGCGGAGATGATGGTCTTGCTGGTGCGGGCGGTGGCTCTGGCGGTGGTGGTGCTGCTGCTGGCGGTGGCGGTGGTCAAGGGGAGCGCCGCTCTTTGACAAGGCTCGGCCATCTCAAGGGAGTTTTCTTCGGGCCCAAGGGATGAAAAGTTGGATTTGCACGATGGGAGGCGCGGTGCACAGCCTTTTCTCCAGTGTTTGAGTTTTATTCGTTTGTTTGTCTGGGTGGAAAAATTGTGCAAAGAGCGCACACAATGTATATCTTAGAATAGTATATCTTACTGTATAACTGCTAACCTTACAGGGATGCACCAATGGCTCTCGTCACTTCATGGCAACTATTGCAACTAACTTCGTTTTTATTTCAAAGAGTCGCTCTATGTTGCCAGCTATGTAAGTGCTTCCTGAAGCAGGGGTAAGCAAGCCCACATCGGCCCTGTTCCTCCTCATGGCCGTTCCTCTCTGCGTGGGCTCCTATTTAATGACTTTGCGGGACGTAATAGTTCTCCTCTACGCATCGTTTCCAGTGTCAGGTCCCAAGGCTCACAGGCCTACCAGTTTCCCGCTTTGATGATTGGCCGCAGCCCCATAGCAACTACCTCACGACAGCAAAACGGGGCTGTAGCTAGCACGCACAATCCCAGAAATACGCATCCAACAAGGCCCGCTCATAGCTAGTTCTCGGACCTTTTCGCAAATCGAAGGCGGCGTGCATAGGGTCGAGCCTGAGCTCGGTGGGCTCGCCACCATAGCCCGTCGCACTGTTGCAGCATACACAATAGGAATAGCAGTGGCCGTAATGCTTGACTGTGGCCTCAGGGTTCCGGGGCCCGGAGCAGCAGCCGCAGTTCCTGGCACAGCAGCCCCCCATTCTCGCACATTGGTTTCGCTGCCAGTTGGAGAGGTGCCAGCCGGGCTGCTGCCGGCGGGCACGCAGAGCACGTTTCAATGGTCCATCCGGCAACGAGGTCTCTTGGAGAAGGTACTTGCGCTCCGCTTCCCATACCACCTGATGATTGTGCTCTAGCTCCTCTATGATCTCTTGCACGTGATCCCATACCTCCACGAGATCAAGGATCTGATCAAAGCCATCTGTGGTCAGGATCGTGAAGCATCCGTCCAGCAGTACGCGGTTGAATGCCTCCTCCTGCAGCCTGAAAATCAACTCATTTTCCGAACTGATCAGCTCGTGAACCGCTTTCCACACCTTGGGGGGAGGGGGAAACCACTCATGTTGCTTGCGGCGGAGCTTCTGTGCATCGCGTACTTTGCCGTGGCGTTCGAGCTGGGCTTCGAGTTCAACCAGGAGGGCTGCTGCCTTGGTAACAACAAATGCTTTGGTGCGTTCGAACATGTTTTCGGAGGTCTCTCACGAGCGAGGATCATGCATTTCGGCAGATTTGTGCGCTTATTCTTAGTGGATTTGGAGGGGTCATATAGCTGTGAGCATGCGCTCGCTCGTCATCATTACCGGCACCGCGGGTTGGAAACCGGAGTGGACGGAAACCCCTTTCTTTTCCGTACTTCGTCTATTTGGATGCTGCACACATTGCGGAAGACATATGTAAGCGATTCAGAAACATTCATAGGAAGTTTGACGGTTTATCTTGGCTGAATTAATGGCTGGGGAAGTGTTAGACTGTTATGTTTGCAAGTAACGTGTCTTCTCCCTCAGCTCGGAAGTCCTTGTGGTACGTGTTTCTTCGAGCCTCCTGAATAGCTTCTTTACTTTGGTCTATCAAGGTATATGTTGAGCGATAGTTGTCCAAGACCGCTTGCCAGAGTACACCATAACCTCCATGACTCGAGTAATTGTGTGCCGCATGTGCACTATCAATGCACGCATAACTATTTTATGCATGACACGTGATCCGTGACATAGAGCTGCATTGCGCTTTTCCACTACTATTTGACTTATTTGCGGGAATCTTGTCAATTGAACATATCAGAGCAGTTATTCCCGATTGACCTTCTCGGGTGATAAGACCAACCTAAAGATGAGTCGAAGCATGGGCTCTCGCTTCCACACTTAGCGTGGTAGAAAGAGGTTTCTTTCTTTGGTTGTATAGCGTGAAAAAAACAACAGCATCAGCAATCATTTCTATTAAGCTTTAACTTTTCCCGACAAAAGCACGCTTTAAAGCAGATAGCTTATGTCTCACAAGCACGCTACTCAGTATAAGGAAGATCAAAACACGGCCCTGGATTCTGTTTCCGAGTCGCCGTCCGCTCGACCTGCGACATCTCGCGCACCAACTGCCCCATCATACGCCCCTCCCTCTCCTCCTGTCCTGCAGCCGTAGCAACATGCCCTCTGTCTCGCTCCTCCCTTAAGCCACTTCCCATCGCCCGCATCGACGCCGACCCCGAGGCATGTTCCTCCTCATCCTCATCCTCGACCCCCTCCCCCGTCCCCCGATCAGCTCGTTCCTGCTTCTCCGCCAAAACAGCAGCAGCAACCTTCTCCCTGCACCCCCGCTCGTCGACCTCCCTGGCAATAACAGCATAATGCGCCCGACGATACACACCAAGGGTACTCAGCCCCAACCCAACAACCTGAAACCCAAACAGCACAGGCAACGCATACGCAAGCATGGGATTACAGCCCGCGGACCAGATATCAACCAGCACCTGAAACACCGCATGCGCAGGCAACGCATACGCCCAGCGGTAAAACGCCGGCGCCAGCTCAAACGGCAGCAAGATCGAGGTAGTATTCAGCACGATCCACGAGATCAGCGCCATGGGCACGAAGGGCGCGGGGATCCAGACGGTGAACACGTCCAACACTAGAAAATTGACGTGCGCAAACAACCACAGCGCCAGCCAGGTCAGCACGAACTGCGCCCCGCTTACCTGCCACCCGTACTTGAAGGCCCAGACGGCGCCCGCCGTGCACAGCGAGCCCAGCATTGTGTACGTCCCGGCTAGGAGCTGTCGGATGAGTGCGATCCGGTGCGGGGCCACGGCCGTGTAGAGGTGGAATTGTTGGTAGACTGTGTTGATGTACCCCAGGTAGAAGAACTCTTGGATCATGATTAGGATGATTACGAGGGTGTTGTAGACTAGGCGGGAGCCTTGCGTGGTGGGTTGGATGTTGATGGTGCTCAGGGTCCAGGGTGTTGTTAGGGTTGTTAGGGTTGTGGCTGTTGTTGGGGCGAGACTGAGGTTGAGGGTTTGCGTGTAGGCTGTGCGCGCGGCGTCGGCGAGTGTCTCCATACTGCTGGCGATGGCGGAGTCGACGACCGTCGAGTAGCGCGCTTCATTCCATACCAGCGTCAGGATGTCGCTGGCATTGTGCGGTGTTCCACCCCCCAACGCGGCGGCCAGCTGGTTCGAGGCGTTCGGACTCGTGTACAGCCCGCCCCAGTAGTCGATGCCGCAGACAGCAGAAGTGATGATCTCGGGCTCGGGGTAAGCTGTCACCGGATGCTCCGTTAGGGTTGGGAAGCCCGGCCCGCGCAGCTGCTGGTACGCAGTGCGCACCGCGGCGCCGATCGCCCCGCCGTCGTAGTCCACGAACACCACGTTTAGATTATGCACGTGCGTGGTCTGCTGGAAGAGCGAGCCGAATAAGTAACAGAACAGGCCCAGGAACAGCACCTGCAGCACCACCAGGTTGATCCCCGCTGCCTTCAGCACCGCCAGGCGCAGCGGGCGCACCGCCGGGTCGTGGATGCTCGCGTGCTTTTGTCGGCGCGCTCGCGCGTAGAATGCCATGTGCGCGGACTGATCTTGGGTTTGAGTTTCAAGGAGAATGTTATAGGAGTTTGCCACAAGGTGGTGCGGCGCTTCCTAATAACTGTGATCGGTAAGGGTGGGGCGGAGGGATGTGGCATCCTTATCAATATATGCTCTGATGAATACGAGCCTGCCGCCAACCAGCGTCGCCCACAGCGAAGCGGTGATTCAGATGCCTTCTAGACGATCCGGATCGGGTCGTTCTTCGTCGCAGCTCTGAAGCTTACCATTTGCCCATTTGGGATGGATGACAGGTCACGTGTGGTCAATAGCAATAAGGGGCTGCGTTGCTGGTAACGACAATGGGCGTTGGAGTCGGGACATTTAATTAGCTTAGCAATTCTTTTCATTGCGCACAGATGCTTGGAAGAGTCCATCGATGTTTGTGACTATGTCTTTGGTATCGTATCTCATATTGTGAAGTGCCAGGTTGACTGTTTTGAGTACAATAGGTATCTCCAGAGCGGGTGCAAACACGCCGAGTATTATTGTCTGCGATGGAAAGTCGGTTATCCTGGGCTGAGTTAACGACGCGCAAGTAGTATCATCACTGACATATTTGAGCACAGCAATTGACTTACATTGTTGTGAACATAAGAAAACTCAAGCACAAAATATAATCGCCAAGTGACTAAGCCAGAGCACGGTGCTTGTTTCCATCAACACCATTACATCTAACCCGAACTCACAGCTCATATTCATTCATCCCGCATTACCATCATGTCACCTATCTAACCCGAACACCATAACCAACAACCCATCACCGAACATCATGCCCAACAACCGCATACCCATCCTTCATCCTCATCCCCACCGCACCCTCACTCGGTGTCTGCGTCTGCGTCTGCGTCTGCACGTGCCCCAACTTCTCCAACTCCAACCCCACCGAACTTGGCACCATGCCCTCAGGATCATCGCTCCTCCACATCCCCAATCCCATATACGCCGCACGATGCAGCACCAACGTCTCCTCCAGCGCCCATTGCTCCCGCTTATACTTGTACCGGCCATTGCCCCTTAGCCAGCCGACCACCGTATCCACACTCAGCCCGACCACGATGATCACCCCGCAGACAGCCACGGTGAGCGCCAGCCCCAGCACGGAGAAATTCTCGTAGCCGGCGGCGTTGTAGACGAGCTGGTTGGTGCATTGGAGGCGTGCGTACGCGTTCAGCGGCGCCGTCACGTTCCACCCCGTCGACGACTGGTCTAGCAGCGACGTCGCGGGAAAGTTCTTGGGCGCCGTCGCCCATTCCACGGCCCAGGCTTGCTCCTTCGCTAGCGAGGTCGCGAACCAGGTTGTTACTTCTGTTTGCCATTGGGTTGGCGGGATTGAGAATTGGACGTTGCCGTATGCGATTGCCGAGGCTGCGTTATCTGATTAGATTGGGATGACTAGGTGAATGAGGCTAGAAGAGGAAGCAGCTGCACTCACCGTTTAGTGCTGCGCCGCCGCGCCCGTTCACGTTGGAGAACATGCTCCGGTCGTTGTTGCCAGACAAGAACCGTCCGATCGTCGCGATCTGGTGCACGTTGAAGCCCAGGAATTTGGTCGGGTCGACGTTGAAGCTGGACAGCGACGTGCTCAAGATCCCGCCGAGCTTCGTGCACCCTGCTTCGCCGGGGCGGTTGGGGTTGCAGATCTGGTACTGGTCCGTGCAGACCAGCAAATTCACCTCGTAGCTCTTGGTCCACGTTGACGACGTATAGTTGGTCCCGTCGACGGTGTAGTTCTGCTGCTCGAGCGCCGTCATCCATGGGTCGTAGCTGGGTCGGAGGTAGTTGATGTTGTTCTGGTTCAGCATCATCATCGTGATGTCCGAGTCGGATCGGTTGATGGCTGCCGCCGGCTTCCATGATTCGAGCCCGTTCAGAAGGCCCGAGGGGTCCGACTTGGCGAACACGGCACTGCGCGTGGTCAGAGTGGGGTTTGCTCCGTCGGCGATGGGCACGTACCTCAGTGTGTAGCCCACTCCATCCACGCTTGGAATCGGAGTGTAGGAGAATGTGAAGTTCAGATACTCTTGTCCCTGGTAATATTGTCCTCCCGCATGGATGTACACGACCTGACCCCAGGTTGAGTCGTTCTGAACGACCCCTAGCCCGGACCCATGCTTAATCGGGGCGCAAGTGGTGACCCGTCGGTACTTGATTCGATTGCTCGGCGGTGCGTTTATGCCGAAGTCCTCGTGCGAGTCGAGTAACCCTGTATCCATCTGCAGGGCTGACTGGCCGTTGTACGCGCACAGGTCGTGAGAGTAGGGACAGGACGCATTCGGGTTCGTGGTGAATGGTATGCTGGGGCGGACGTAGGTGCTGCAGTCCAGCTGGCTGGCATCTTCGTGGTAGCACCGGCGGACGTAGGTGGCCGCGTCGTAGGTATCTTGCAGACTCTTGGTATTAGCCACTGTTACATCTGTGGCGTTGAATTCATAGCCCCCACAGCCTGGGCCGATGATGAGCGTCGACTGGCCGGCCGTCTTGGTGATGTAGCTTGTGAACAGCCCGGATACACCGAACAGGATCAAAACGAGGATGGGCAGGATTGCGACGGGTAGGGAGCGACCAACAGCCCGGAGCTTAGATGCTGTCCGCCCGGAGTCGAATGGTAGAGTGATCAGAGCCCAAGCCGCCGCGGCTGCACCTTTGTTGCGCAGGATCACCTGTCGTTGGTAGTGAAGAGCATCCCGTCGCCGCGTGGGTTCGGTGGTTCCTAGTTGATGTAGAGCAAATCCCAAGATACCCCAGAACAGGCTACCGGCCAGTGAGACCAGCATAGCGAGGAAGGCGCTCAGGACTCCGGAATTTTTCTGTGACAAAGTCAGAGTGGCTCCCCGAATCGCGCCCTCGGACCAGTTGATCCAGACTCCCGTGTAGGTGTAGAGCGCGGCAGACATCGGTCTTGTCTTTTAACCTGGTAAACGAAGAGAACGAAGACTTGGAATCCTTAGAGCGCGAAATTTTGGCGACATGCCGCCTCTCTACGGGATCAGGGGTTCTCGCGGTATAAGTGCTCAGCTGCTAGACAGACAGGATGCCTTTCTCTAGAGCCTCTTCTGGGTGTTAAAGACGTCAGGCAGCGGGTCCAGGAACACAGCCTTGTTCGGTCGGTTCAGGGCTTAGCACGGTAGGTTTGAACAGATGTCTACCTCGATTGATGTGGTAAACTCCAAATCCAATCGCTTGAAAAAGCATTTCCATGGGGTCTATACATTAACATCGTTGCCCGTACAGGTGGCTGAGGCCCCTATATTAGATTTGCCAATCTCTGGGGTGCAAACTCGGGATTAATTGGTGGCTTGGCTGGGCTGCAGGGTTCTCTTTCGTATACCTGCATGATACGAGACCCGGGGCCCTCATTCTCCGTTTGTTGGGTGCCCGGAGGCTTCCTCACGGGACCCGGCTCTGGCCAGGGGTAAAGCGCCTTATCACCTCACACTAGGACGAGGATAAAGACAACGCTTTGCGATCAGTCGCGACGATGATACGAAGCGTAGCTGGCAAGTCCCGTTTTGTGCAAGCCAACCGTGCAGTGGGCAATATGTCCACTTCGTTGAGTCCACGGGATCCCTTGTTCACTGGCACATTCATATCCTCCCTACGCTGTACTGCGAATGTGGTTGGGGTTCTTGGTCCAGCCTAGCGGTCTGAAGCAGAGACTGTCTGACTGGCGTTTCTTGTGCAAAATGTCATTGTATCCCTGTGCGTGCCAAGCACGAGCTCCAGCAAACCCGAGATCTGAACTCAATCGGGAATCCGCTTCCCGTGACCCACTCCAAGCATGGAGTCTAGCTGTTCGGATGGGTCCAGGTCATATAGACGCAATGATTTTTTGCTGAAAGGTGAATCTATGATGCACTGCCTGACTGCATGATGCCCTCATCACAGCAAATTCCATTCTTTTTCGCACTCAATCAGTGTTTGTTGGGTTGTTCAGTTGTCTGCCGGGGTTGTTGATCCCTCTGGGGTACCGGAATACGAGATGTGGTGTTGCACCCGAACGAAAGCAGGAATCGTGGCGTTGGGCGTGCTGATGTCGGGAATCTCCCCCAGGCACCCTTCCATCAGCTGGACATATCGTAAATGTGCCAGACAGTCACTCGAGGGCGGCATTCAGAGCAATTCTGGCGTACATACTAATTGTAGATTTGTAAATTCGAAGAATGACGTCTGATTTGGATACTGATTGTGCGAGGTGGTGGGCAACGGGGACCGCCTTGAGCCATTTGCACTCGTGACCAAAGCGTTACTCCTTTTCTAAGACTTTGGTGAGGCTGAGGAGAGAGGACGATCGCATGCATGGGCTGCAATGCGCTCTTGGAAGCTGATGTCGCATGCCACTTGATACGGGCCGCGGGAGAGACGCGCACGCAGCCAGCAGATGGATTTGATTCGCACGTTGCGCGCACAGGCCTTTCTCAGCAATTTTCTCACTGGCAGATCAAAGTTAAACTAGGTGTTAAGGTGAGAGAAGGGGAAACGCTCCCTTTGCAATGAGTGGATGATTGATTGTACAGTACAAGTAAAGTTGTCGAAGAGAGACAGGAACGAGGAGAACAACTCAGCCCGTGGCCCGTGATTTAGGTGCCTGATGACTGCCTGAGGTCGTCCAACAGGCGGTCAACTTTCTGCCGAGTCCGCCAGTCAACCAGTTTCAGACGTGGACTATTTTCATTTCACTTTCACTTCATCACTCTGGTGTATCTACCGTCCTGCTCAACCAGCTTTGACTCCTGTGAAGCTCGCTTGATGGCTCTGCTTTTACCTGCATCACTAACTGCCGTTCCCAGCCACTCCGCTATCTTGCCTCAGTCATGGCTCTGGAAACCGATCGCCTCGAAGAGAACATGACATCTGACAGGTTGATACTGTCTTACCACGCATAGTACTACGCGGGGAAAAAGGGGGGAAGGTTTCCAAGCTCGAGAGGCTAAAACTCATCATCGCATCATCCCATGCTGCTGGTCCTTGTTCATCTGAAGCACTGTTGTCGGCGAAATATCATATTGATAGTGCTCGTGGTCGCCACGCCCGCCATCGCTGCCACAGAGACCGCGCCTCTCTCGCAAGCTGTTTACAGTGTTCTCGCCCCTGCCTTTGGCTAATTTATCATGACATCAAGGTCTAAGAATCAAGCGGGAGCTGTCCGCCCCCACGAGTTTGAAAAGTTCGAAATGACCTCTCTCGGGACTGTCATGGTTCGAATCCTTTCCCTGCTTCGAGAATGCGCATTCCGCGCTTTTCATACCCTTCTTTTTACAGCATGGCCAAGTGTCGTTCCGTCCCGAACGATTCCGAATCGCGATGGGTGTTATCCGTGGAATGATCATCACCTACTGGTGTTCGGATTGCTATTAGCACCGCTGACAGGAACTAATCCATTAGCCCGACACTAAATCTGTGTAGACTCACTCCAACCCCTGCCTAGTGCCTGGTATCTTTTCCCTATTGGGAGAGCTGATTTTGTTACCGCCTTTCCCCTCATCGAGATAACAAATCCAGCCTTGCGTTCTTTCTGCCACATATCTCTCCTTTGCATCAATCATGCCCTCTAATTCTGTGAAACAGCGCCAACCCCGTGGTAAGCGTTCCAGAACAGGCTGTCGGACATGCAGAGTTCGGCGAATTAAATGTGACGAGGCACCCGAGAGGTGTTGGAATTGCACCTCTACCGGGCGAGTCTGCGACGGATACGAGTTATATCGCCTTCCTTTTCCCGCCAAAGACAAGAGGAACCGCTTTCTCCCGCTTGCACCCTCGGTCAGCAACAGCGTTCGATGGGTGGTAACATCGGATGAGCGTCGTTGTTTTGCGTTCTTTTGCGACCGTACGATTTCTGATGCTCTGGGCTTCTACGACTCTCAACTATGGGAACAAATCGTTGTGCAAATGGCCAATCAAGAGCCTGCCGTCTGCCATGCCGTGATCGCCTTAGGTGCCGCACACCAAGATATCATTTTCCGGGGCTTGCATCTGTTCCCCAGCAGTGAACGGAAGAGGGGTGTTTGGTATCTCTATTCCCTAGAGGAGTCTGCCCGCGCCTTTGAGCTTCTACGTCGACGGAACACCCAAGATCCGCAGATGCGGCAAGTGATGCTACTCTGCTGTCTGCTTTTCGTTTTTCTGAACTTGGTCCAACGAGACTACGACACCGCCTTCCGACACCTCCGCGCTGGTCTGCAGGTTCTTACCGAGCTCAATTCCAGTGGCCTTCCCCTTTTTGGAACCTCGGCACATATTCCCGTCGATCCGTGTCTCCTTGCGGCCTTCGCCCAACTTGAGACTCAGTCGACCCATTTCAGCGTCATCAACCTGCAGCTCTGGGACCACCAGCTGGAATTCAGTCAGCCCAGAGACAATGAAAGTGACCTGCTGCACCAGAGCGTCGACGAACGGCGCCGGATGATCGAGCCTCTCATCAATGCCATGTTCAAGTTCTTCAAACGATGCTGGACCGAATCCGAGAGCGAAATCGCCTCCCATTACGGAGAACTCCAATCCATTCAAACGCGTCTGATATCCGAGGTCCATCGTGCCACGCTGTCTTTTGCCAAGTTCTACGCTGTCAGATACGCGTCGCTGACTCGTAAACAACAACGCGGCGCCGATTTGATCAGGCTATGTCTGTTGACCCAGTCCGTCGGTCTCCGGACTTCCTTGATCCATAACAATCCGGAGCTTTTGCTGCCATTCACGCCAGACTACGCAGCCCTTTTATCTCAGTCGAAGAAGATCATCGCCCAATTCCCCGACCGGCCTACTGTCATGGTCGACACGGGCGTGATCTTGCCGCTGTACATTGTCGCCGACGCCTGTCAAGATCTAACTTTGCGCTGGGAGGCCATCCAGGTCCTCCGGGACTGGCCGCATTACGAGGGTCCGTATGACTCAGTCCTAGTGAGCATCATTCTGGCCGAACGCTGCCGGGTCCAAATGCGCGCGCGTGTCCACAACGAATTGCGCGCCCTTCTTGATAATGAACAGCTGTCCCATGCGGCTTTCGAGTCAATGGTTGAAGCCGAGCTACGGGCGCAGATGAGGATAGTTATTAGCCAACGAGGCGATGGTGATGACACCCGCCCAGTTGGCAGCCAAACGCAAACGGAAGCCGACGTTGAGGCAGAATTTTCCCAGGCCATGAGCTTGGAGTGCCAGAAGTGGACATGCATTCGTAGGATCAAGAAGCTCAAGGAATAGGGATTGATATTTTCGACATCCGGGGTTGATTCAGGAACCTCGTGCCGAGGTAGTGAGGCAGGTCAGTCATGTGACCCGCTAACAGCGCCTGCCATATAGATCTAAAGATAGCAAACACTTATAACATTTGGCTCGATTCATATTATTGCTCTAGGTAATCATCCACTGGCTCCCTTTGGCCGGTGCTTGCGGTGGCTGTTCTGTTGGGCTAAATTCTGCCTTGTGGCTATATTGCCATGATGAACTTGCGTCGAGCTATATATTCTTGTTCCGGAAAGCTAAGCAACCGCGTCACGGAGACAACAGGCTACGACAAAACCAAGGTGAAAAGATTTATATGTGCACATCAAATAAACCCTTCGAATGAAATGTCAATCTGAGCGTTCTAAGTGAACTCGAAATTATACAGGTATTTTAGTCGCGTGGCTGTCCCCCGACTCAACCGTTCCCGAAGATGCCATGACGTCAACGATCTCGATGGGACGATAATCGCGATAATCACGATAAGATAGCAGAATCTCCGCGTTGAGCCCCCGACGTCATTAATTCCCCCCGCGTCGGCCAGCGGATTCCCTCTTGCATCAATTAGTCATCGCCCCGACACCTCACATCCCACGTCACGGAGAATTATTCCAGGATCTTTTGGAATGCACTCATCCCAGACCCAGAACAATGGGTCTTCAAGGCACACCGCAGACATATGCGGCCAAGCTCCTGCGCGGTGTCGGCCGCGCCGTCATGGGCTCCATCACCAAATCGCACCCCGACGAAACAGCGCAATGGCCGTCGCGCCATGAAGGGCGAGCGATCAAGGTGAACATCTACCGACCGGCCGAAGACGCGCTGCAGACTCCCAGTCCCGTGCTGGTGAACATGTGCGGCAGCGGCTTCATCCTGGCCGGCCACGGCACCGACGACGAATACTGCCGCTTCATCGCCTCCAACACCCCCTACACAGTGGTGGACCTGCAATACCGCCTGGCGCCGGAGCACCCGTTCCCGGCCGCCTTCCACGACGTCGAGGATGTCATCCGCCACATCTTGGGGCACCCGGACCAGTACGACCCCACGCACCTCGCGCTGTCGGGCTTCAGCGCCGGCGCCAACCTGGCCCTGGCCGTCTCCGCCGTCAGCGACTTCCCGCGCGAGACCATCCGCGCCACCATCGCCTTCTACCCCTCGTGCGACCTGGCCGAGGACTTCTCCGAGAAGACCGCCCCGGACCCTTCCAGCCGCCTGCAGATGCCCGCCGGCCTGTCGCGCTTCTTCCACCGCTGCTACTTCCCCGCCAGCGACAACGACGCCGACGACCCCCGCATCTCCCCGGCCCACGCCTCCCCCGAGAGGTTCCCCGACAACCTCGCCGCCATCACGGCAGCTCAGGACCCCTACGCCCCGGAGATGGAGAAGATTGCTGCCGCTGTCGAGGCGCTACCCGGCCGGAATGTCGTTGTCAAGCGCATGGAGCACTGCCCGCACGGCTGGGATAAGCGCGTCAAGAAGGGGACTGTCCAGGCGGAGGCCAAGCAGGAGGCCTACGAGCTCGTCGCGCACTTTTTGTCCTCGATATAAGATTTCTCGTTGTAGATATCCTCTTTTTTTTTCTTGATTTTGGTTGTAGAGATATTGTATATATCTTTTTCTGAGCGTGCAAGTCGGTAGGCTTGGCTTGGTGACGGTATAGACTACATTAGTTTACATACGGTCGTGTGACAGTCATATTCCGAATTCGGTAAGTTCTATATTAATTGCAGTGGCCGAGCCACCCCGAGTCCAGCGTATACTAGAGCCACTCTGAAGAAAAGCACACGAGTTGCTTATGCGGCTTGCATGCCCACCCGATTAGACAGAATATTCTCTTAGTGCCCTCACCCACCCACAAGTGAGAGGGAACCGACCAAGCTATGACAGACCGAAAATCCGAGGAAAAATGGGAAAAAAAGAAGAAACAAAAACAAAAAGAAAAAGGAAAAAGACAGAGGAGGAAAAAGAAAGTCGAGCAATATCCACTGAAAATCGCCCCAGCCATCCCGACCCAACAATCAAGGCGGAGGAACAGGGCAAGAGCAATTTCCCATACTACTCTGCTGTCTACACCACAGCCGCTTATATCCACTCCGACATTGGCGCCCATACTCCGGACAGCAGTCGCCATTCCGCAGAAAGACCTCCGTCGAGCAGAGCTCCATCGCGTCCTTCCTCTTGGTCCAGTCGATCAGGATCCGGCCCTTGGCGTCCTTGTCGCCGATGTGTGTGTCTGTCGTGCCGCAGTGCGGTGCGGCGCCTTCCTATTCACATTCGCACGCTGTCCAGCCTTCGTGACAGCAGACGAAGGCGCAGCTGCTTGTATGAAGGAGAATGTCAGTTGTCGTTGAGAGCATGAGTCGCCACCCAAGCTAGGTCCATTAGATGAGCTCGTGCTTCCGTTTGTTCCTATCGAGAATGTTTTCGTCTACCGCCAGCCAGCTGAGTGCTCTCATCTCACACTCTCCCGATAGAGCGTTTGCACCAGGCGCTGTTATTTCTTCTCGATGATCCCCCATATCTGACCGGCCGCTTGCAAGTCAATCCAGAATCAAACGCCCCTGAGATTTTCCGCATCGGAACGGGTGCTGAGCTTCGTGAAGCCCGGTGCAACCTCCCACTCGACACTCTCGTTCCCACCGATCGAGCAAACGCCCGTCTTCTGATAACAGACCTGCCAGGCGATGACACCGCGCTCACGGCTTCCTTTGATCCAGCCATGGTTGGAATGAGTCGAAAATCTTACTAGCCGTCCAGCACACTCGATTCAGCTGTGGTGCAGTGGCGCTTGGAAATCGCCTGCATCGCATTGTGTGTGATGCCAGGGGTTACTTCCAGCTGGTCCATAATCCGGCAGAGCTCTACCGGAACTTGCCTTCATTGGCAAATTCTTCTCTCGCGTGTCAGCCCTGGATCCGGTCATAATATCGCGATATCAGCGTGTTGTCGCTTCACGAAAGACCGGAGGCAGTTCGTTGCAAGCCCACCACATACTCCATCAAGCAAGAACTGCAAATACTCCGTCGGACATGATTGCGAAGAACTCCAGCAAGTCGGCAGACTCTGCCTCGCAAATCGTAGAGCAGCCAGCCCAGGGCCCCATCACCGGGCGAGTCTTGCGATTCTTTCGAGACCAGCCCCAGGAACTAAAGCTGTCGGCAACTGCTCCAAGCGCAAAAGGTTGGGTCTCCACCTTCGAGTTTCTGACTACATACCTTTACCAGGCTATGTACCGCGCGCGAGTCCAGCTGCTTCGACCTCAAGGTGTACCCTCTTCCCAAGCAGCGGACCGGATCTCGCGCGGAATCTTCGCCTCCATCGACATGCGTGGCCCCAGTCGTCTAAGTCTAGACTGACTTTACTTCCTCAACGCCATTTGTACGTGTTATGGTACTTTTCCCCAAGAGCTTCTGGAGGACGGTGCTTTGTGGGCGGTCACCAAGACGCTGCACGACCTCATCCGCGCTCCGGATGCGCAGCAAATGAAACAGACCACATGTTGGCTCGCCCTCCAGCCAGACAAAGGTCGCATTTGACTTCCGTATGTCTTTGCCAACGTTAACTTCACTGTTAGCCAGTGGTCTGGGTTTAAGATATACGTGGGCGTCGATTTCGACGTAGACGATATGGGCTAACCGATTAACCCGATCCTGGTGTCTCCGCCACTTACGGAGATCTCACGCGTGGACGCGCTAGCGATACGACTATCAACCGAGGAGGACTTGATGTCGACGGTAGAGGACGGTGGCAAGCCCACTGCGGACGATGTCAATCTGACCCTTTCAGCATCGCTGTGGCCGGCCCTCGACGCAGATGAGGAAAATCGGAAGACTTTGCCTGAGAGTAGAGGTATGTACTGAAATGCTTAGCCGCTCTACCTCTTCTCCTTTCTTCCTTTGAATGGGCTTCTTAGTTCGAAAATGTGTTTCGCGTATGTAGTTGAATTGTTTATATTTCGTGCCTACAGTTTGGACAGTGGAGTCAGAAAGGCAGGCGGTTTGGAGCAGTTGCCTTTTCGGGCCAAACTGCCTCCATTTCCTTCTTTTCCTTCACTTCGTCTCCCTCTTCTACTGCCATCCACATCTCCAGTTTGATCCCTCCGAAGTTCGGTGACCGTGAGAGTACGATCCTACTCCAGTTCTTTCGAGTAACTATGATTTCCTCGCGTCAACCAACCTCTGCATGCTTATGAAGTGAACGCGTCACGCAAGCAACAACACCGGACTGTCTCCCGGCCGAACCTTCCCGCTGGTCCGTGGCATTTGTCCGAAGCTAGGCAATGATCGCGATGCCCAAGCAAATGAGCAAAGGCACGCAGGACTGTCTGCCATGTGAGTACTGATGTTGTTTCCATCCACGGGAAATCTATGAAGACAGAAAGAACAAGAGTGGAGTAAGCGTCTTGCACACGCTCTGGATGTTATGGTCGCCGCCGCAAAGTCCGCTGCTCGTACCCTTCGCCCCCCTCAAGCGTATGCGTCCACTGTGCCCGACGAAAATCTTCCTGCATTCCGCAGGGTGAAGTCCACGATGATTCTAAGTCAGATACAGGGCCTCCACTTCGCACAAGGATTGCCGATATGCCGCATCTTGTCGCTTTCTTTGGGGCCCTACATCGACTGCGACGGTGTGTCGGGGCCTCCCTGAGAGCCAATACTTCGTCCGATCCCGACTATAGGGCGCGTCCCGAGCCTTTCTCTCAACTCGAAGCTATACCAAGCACCTATGCGCCTGTTATCCAGCTACTCCATTCAACTAGTACGAACCTAAGAGGATCTTGCTCGAGTAACGTGATTGCTGATCCAGTTACCGCGGCAGGTAGGGGAGACATCGAGGCGCCGCAGTATCAAACAGGGCAATCGCACCCTGATGATGATCCGGATTCGCTCACACCAGTGAGCGACGCACCTGTCGGTTCTCTGGGAAATGTGTAGAGCTCTAACCCTCTGACTCTGAGATCGTTGAGATCTTCTCAACGCGAACCCAATACTGGAGGACTTGGCGCCAGGCGTTTGGCTGGCCTGGGGGGAGGAGGAAGATAGCAACCTGGAGCAATTCGCCACCCGCGCTGTCTCTGCGCGAATCCAACCATACTCAGCAGCTTCCTTCTATGTTTCGCTCTCAGTACAGAGTAGTTCAGCCGGTTTATCGACCCGGTGGAACGTTGGATGCTTGCGGAAGACGGCCGTACGCCGGATCAACACGACTTCCAATGCCTGATGGCTCTCGGCCTTTGTCTATTTAGTGCCCTCCAGCCGCGTCGGGCATGGCCCGTCTACCGGAAAGGGAATGCACTGCTTAACTGGCTGGAATTCGTCGGTCGCGTCGGCGATTAAAAGCCCTCGACTCGATCTTCTGGCAGCTTTTCGGTGCGGCGGACTGTTGGGTGAGTCTTCTCTTTGGACTTCCTTATTCGGTGCCTGATCATTTCTGCTATCTGCCAAGCCCCTTCAATCGAAGAATCAAACTCCGTCATTTTCCACCACCGACACATGACCCTCTTGGACAAGAAAGTCATCGACTGCCTGCAATCCCCGGCGGGCTTCTCATTTTCTGCTCTCGTTAGCGTGGAGGAAGAGATTGGTCGCGTTACCGGTCAGCCCATCGAGAACTATCTGAGTATGTCGCACATCGCTGCAATGCTGTGATGCAAATGAACGAAGCGCCTGTCTGTATCGCATCACCGAAGTCTGCCAATTGAAAACGTTCTTATATCTCCCTTTATTCTTACAGAGCTGTGATCCGCGTCAGAAGAAATCTGGCTAAAGCCCACAGCACGCATTACGACAGAACGGCTTGCCTAAGCAGCGCCCGGTCCCTGCTCCAGGCATATCTTGCGCTCTATGACATGAACCCCAGCGCCGCGATCATGGACAACAGCATAAAACTAACCAGTTTTACTGTCCTTGCCGCCGCTGTTGTCCTCTTTTTGAACCATCTTACCGGAGACTCTGTTCTCACCGCACCTACAACAGGCGATTCGACGTCGGAGTCTCATACAGTGCTTGTGAGCTGGACTGTAGCGGTATTTGAAGCATGTTCTGAAGGCAAATCTTCGTCACTTTCTGGGCAGTGTCACACCGCGTTAGTGGACTTGATTTCTTGCAGCCAGACGCTAGGCAAAAGGGAAAGTCGCGGAATTGCAGTCCCGTGTTTTGGAGTCGTGTAAATCACCCGCAAGGAGGACTATGCTTTCTCACCGCCGCATAATGGCGGGGTATTAGCAACGACTTCGACAGCGGAGCATACACCTTCCATTGGGTTCATGCTCGATCATTACGGCAAGATGACCTGGTCTGACCTGGCCTTTGGTGATGACATGTTTTTCCCGTATCAAGGCCCGGGGAAGTGGCTCCAACCGCCATTGTCGTCAAATCCATACGAAGAAGCAAGTTTCGTTCTCAGCAATGAGGTGCCGGGTCAGCACCTCGCTCCAGAGTTTCCGAATTGAGCATCGGACGCAGTCGTTCCTCTCGACCAACCCAACACAACCGCAAAGGTCTATAGAGCAGAAATCGGACATATCGCAGCCACTGTAGGTCGATCCCATGGTCACAAGGAGTGTTCCTCAGGGATCCGTTTTCTTCAACTCTGTCAGACACCGGAAACAGGATATTGCAACTCAAATCACTCCGCCAAGACTTTCCGTTCTAGGAAACATTCATGAGTCATGATGTACAGGTCATGCTTTTTTCGACTGGTTGATAAGGCATAATTTAAGCACAATGGCGACTGCGGCGGCTGTCGATGTGATGCACTGGTCTATGCAGATCACTGCCAAGGCCGGATTAACGTCAAATAGGCTTTCCACTGGTGCGGGACTAGCGTGACTGAGGTAGATTGCCTTTGAGGTCTAGGCATGTGTTCCTGCTCTGGTCTTCATTCTTTCCAGGCCCACTATGCATGAGGTCAAGGCGACGTGCCTTAATTTTTGGCACGAATTCCGACGGCCGAAGAGAAATTGACGAACTTCATACAGAGCGAGCTTTGAAAGTGGTGCTTTGCACAAGGGACAATGGCTTTCACTGTAGGGAGCGCTGCCTGGGCTACACAGAGGCGCCAAGCATAACGGCAACGGGCGATGACAGCTCAAATTCACCAATCTCCAGCTCAACGCAAACGTGGTTCTGGTGGCTCCCATTGCCTGACGTCCCAGGCTTTTCCAGCCTTAGACTAAGGCGCTAGCGCAGATTAAACTCATTAGAGTATATTGTCCGAGATCCACCAGTTTGAGGATTGCCATTCACTCGGCCGATCACGGCCAATTTTACATTGTTCTTGGCGGGGCCTACAGGGCCCACCAATACACAACATCGAATCCCACAACACCTCGACACGGGACAAGGGAACAATAGGAATTAAGGAGGTTTACTTTGGTGAGACGGGTTAGCGCAGATTGGTGGAAGCAAAACAGTCATAATCATCATTTCTTAATTGGAGTTTCAGCTGTCACCCGTCGAGTCCATGGACATGTCAAATGGCACAAACCAAAGATAAGGTGCAACGGTCGCAATCTTAATTGCCGGACAAGGCAAGTCAGACGGTCTCATTGACACTAACTTTCGTGACCACGTGAATGCCCTCGGGGAACATGATGCGTTCCTGCGACTCGTTGCGGGTCTCCGCGTCTGCCCGACTGCTGTTCCCCGTCACGGCGTTGAGTTTGATGCTCACCGACTGACCGTGGAAAGTGCGCCGCGTTGAGGTGCCGTACATCTTAGAGGGACCGGTCGAGTCGCTGTCGCTGGAGAGGCCGAGGAAGCGCTGCAGCACGGGGAAGCGGTGCGTGATCAGGGTCTTGAATGAGGGAATGCAGGCGATGAAGATGGCGACCGCGACTTCGACGCACGACCAGAGCTCGGTGTTTACCATCGACCCTAATGCATTTCTGTCAGCGTTGGGGTAAGTCGAACGATTTCTTGGACGACATACAGGTATGGTCCACCGCGAAGGAGTTCATGTAGGACACTCGGATGATGCTTGTTACGCATACACTATCCACATTCACCTTAGTCTTCAGTCACATCATCCCGAGAACATGGAAGGGGAGCATACAGCAGACCCAAACTGAACATCATAACCAAACCCATGCGCTTGCCCCTCGTCATCTTCAACTGCCACAACTTGGGAATCGGCATGATGAAAATGGCCAGGTCGGTGGCTAGCTTTATCGCAAAGTTCGAATAGTACAGAGCCGTCATGTTGACGCAGTAGCCCTCGACGAGACCCGTCGCGTCCCAAGCCTTGTGCACGGGAATACACTGGAAGATGACGACGAAGGTCTCGGCCACGGTCTCGCCGAGAAGGATCGCCAGCAGGCACCAGCAGGCGATCCGGAATTTTCTGCCTGGGAAGATCTGCAGGTACAGCACGCAGAAGGAGATCTTGATGGCGCCGAGGGCAAGGACGTAGGTCAGCATGGTGACGAAGTCGAGCTGTTGATGGGTTTGATCGTGGGTTAGCTACCAGCCTTGACTAGGTCATACAGGTTCGGGAAGGTATTACCTTCAGGAACATGGCGCGGTCGTTGAAACTCGACACCGTACCGATGTGCTTGCCGAAGCCATACCTCGTCACTGAACGGATGCCACCGGTTAGAATACTTTCTCATCGGTTGGCTGGTTCGGCGGAAAGTTCGGTCACTTACTCCACATTGTCGTGAAGCACAGAGCGAAAGTAAAGATCTAGAGCGGCGTTGGACAATTATTAGTCAATTGACTTGCTCCCAACCGCAGGAGGAACGCACCCAGCTGGTGATGCACAGCACATCGTCAAGATTGATCCCCGTCAGATATCGCATCCGCACGAAAAGCCGCACCAGCAGCCCAGCGGTCGCGAACACGAGGAGGATCGTGTTACAAGCGATGATCCCTGGGATTCGGGATTGCGCCAGATAAGCGATACGCTCGGGCGTAAGGTCTCTCTTCCACATCTCTTCCATGGGGGGCGGAAAGTCCGGCTAACCGTCTGGAAGATAGAAAGACCTGAGAAGAGAGTGATTCCAACGAAGGATCAGGAGAAGAAGGATCACATTTGTGAAGAATTTGAAAGGCGTTCCCTTGCAGGGGAGGGGGGAGGGGGGTGTGGCTCGGTCATGATGAGACGGCGAACCCGTATATATGCATCCCGTCTCCGGTGGTGTGCCAAAGAGGTCCGAGCTCTGTTTCAGCCTGCCAGGGGTGGAGATTAGCCCATTCGTCGACACGTGGAATCTTGATCAGTAGTGGTGTCACTTCAGAGGACTTGGTCTTGCAGGCTTTCGCAGCTAGTCTAGCCCCCCCCGGTGAACTGCCCGGGATCGGAGACTTGTCCTCTAATCGGTCTAGTCTCGTGCTACAGGGCATGAATCATGGATAAGATGGGTGTGGGTCCAGAGGACATATCCCGATCCCAATCGTGATTTCCAGCAGACGTTCAAGTCCCACCATGCATCCCCACTCGGTTGAACCAGCCCTGGTCCACTGTGTTTCACACAACAATCGGCATTTTGGTGCCGCAGTGCAAGCAAGCAACGATTATTCGTAAATGCCCGCGTACCTGTCTGTTCGAATCGACTAATCTAGCGTTCAGCACTTATTCTGCGATAGATTGCAAAGCGTGTCACGAAGATCTAAATATATACAGGGGTATATATTCCAGGAGATGTGCTTACTAAGACACACCTTCTCGCTCCTTTTCAGATGCCAAGACATAGATATGCATATCTCACGCCCTCAGCGATCCGATCTATCGGATACATCGCTCCCCTTCAACGCCCTGAGAGCCTACCGTAGGTAATGATATCATCTGACTCGCCAGTAGGTGGTGATATAACAAGTCTCGATACTAACCCCCGACTACCCAAGCCCATCTATGTTAGCCCTAACAAATTCTATACATCGCAGCTGCTGGCGTGGGAAAAGTGACTCTTTTTTGCCGAGTCATTATTGAGAATCCGCGTTGGAAATTTGAATTTGCTTCCTCGAAGTTGTGGCTTTGATGACCGGCGTGGTGCATTACTCACTCGTTGCGGCCGTGAGATCGAGATTGCGGACTAATTATAGAGTGTTTACATGGAGAGGCAGTATGTGCCACGTGATGACTTATAAGAGTCAGAAGAGCCCAGGATGAAAAGAGAAGCCAATCTAGAATGTTTTACTGGAGCAGAGAACACGGAGACAATTCAAGCCAAGACAGACAAGCACACTTTCACCACCGTCACCTTACATCCACATTCCAACCCTCCTACCCAGCAAATTCAGATCCCCCTTGCCGCCAACGCAGCCTTCATCGTCTTCTGGAACCCAAACACATTCTCCGGCGAGATCATCGTGTAATGCGAGCCCACCACCTCATGGAACCTGGGCTCGTCGCGCGTGAAATCCCCCCACAGGCTAATAAACCGCTCGAACCACTCCTCCTTGCCCGAGGCTACCTCCTTGATCGGATGACAGTAGAAGACATCGATACTCTCCACCGAGGGTGCGGGCTCATAGTCAATGGTGAGGTGATGGAGGTTCTGGCCGACATGGGCCCAATTCGCGAGCGCAGCCGGCGACAGGGCGAGCTCAGCAAAGCGGTCCTTATCAATCCGCGCAAGCACGCACTCGAGTATCGCGTCACGATCGCCCATGTCCCTTAGCTGAGCCGCGAGATCGTTCCTACCCGCCTCGGAGAGCAAATCTAGGAAATGGCACAGGTCCAGCAAGGCCGTCTTCCAGTCGACCTGGCGCATGCGCTTCTTGATATGTGGCGGCAGATTGAACGAGCCGAGAAAGCGCACGGTGTCGCCGTGCCGCTCCAGCAGCTTAGCCAGCTCGAATGCCACCATCCCGCCGTAGGAATAGCCAGCGAGCGCATACGGCCCCTGTGGCTGGTGCAGTTTGATCGCCGCGTGATAGCGCCGCACCATCTCGTCCAGCGAGGTCGCCAGCGGCTCCCCGTCGTTAAACCCCGCGGCCCGCAGCGCGAAGATCGGCCGGTCCGTGAAGTACTTCGCCAGGTTCATGAACGCCATAACCTCCCCGACGCCAGGGTGCGCGAGCCAGAGCGGGGTCTTGGTGCCGCGTCGCTGGAGCGGTACGACGGGGTCGTAGGTTGCGCTGCTGGACGGGGAGGCATCGTCGCGGCGCAGCGCGGTCGCGAGATCGCGGACTGTCGTATTGCGCATCAGCGTGCTCAGCGGGATGCTGCCCGGCTGCGACGTGCAGGTGAGGTCGCGCTCGATGTGCCGTTTCAGCTTGATCAGCTCGATCGACGTGATGCCTAGGTCTAGGATGGAGGTCTGCACCCCGAACTCCTCCGGCGTCGCGTGGTCGAGCGAGTTCACAAAGATTGTAAGGAGCTGTCGCTCGAGCTCGTCGCGGGGCTCTTGGTCGGTTGTCTTCTGGAAGAGCGCGAACTTCGCCAGACTTTCTTCTGCGGCGCTCTGGTACTCGCCCCGCTCGTATGCGGCTTTGATCTGGGCGCGAGGCAGCTTGCCGAGAGAGGATTTTGCCACGCTGTTGCGGCTTAGGGGGAGAACTTGCGGCCGGGAGCCGGTCATCTCCAAGCATGCTTGGCGGATGGCGAGGACCGTCTGCACGTGGGAATGAAGGTCTTCGGGGCCGTAGGAGGGGAGGTAGACGATCACGACCTCCTCGGTGTGTCCGTCAGCTGGAAGCGACGAGAAACAACACGCCGAGCCGTACGTGAGCTGCGGGATCGCCTCATATAATCCGGCTTCGATATCCGTCGGGTTATACTTCACGGCGTTGATGTTGAGCACATCCTTCACCCGGCCCTTGAGGAGGAGTTGCCCGGCTTCAGTGGTGTCAATCATTGCCAGGTCCCCTGTGGCGAACCAGCCATCAGTCGTGAAGGACGACCGCGTCGCTTCTTCGTTGTTGAAGTAGCTGCGGAAAACAGCCGGCCCGGTGACTTCCAGATGGCCCAGTTCACCAGCCGGTAAAGCGATGTTTGTGCCCGTGCCGTCTGTAACCCGCACCGAGACCCCGGGCATACACTGCCCCAGGGACGCGACGGGATAGCCGTGGGCTTTCTCGTGCTCGGGAAATCGCGTGTTGAAGATCGCGCCCGCACAGGTCTCTGTCATACCGAAGCCGGGGACGATGACATTGCGAGGGGTGCCATAGCGCTCGAGAAGCAGGGACACTTCCTCGCACATCTGCGTTGTGTTGGCTTCTCCCCCCGAGGTGAGCCAACGCAGACTGGTCAGGTCCCATTGACGTTGGTCATCTGATGAGGCATCTTGCTGCTCTTCCTTCTTTTGCAGCGTGGCATGCATAAGCGCGAGGAAGAAGTTCGGGGCGAAGGTCCAGCCGACACGATGTCGCTCCACGAGGTTGAGCAAGGTGGCAGGCTCCATGAGCACATCTGGTGCCTCCACGAGAACTTGACTGCGGCCTGTGAAGATCGCTTGGAGGTGGATCTCCACCAGCCCGGCGACGTGGTCCAGGCCGACCCAGCTGAGAAATGTAGCGTCAGCTGGGATAGGAAGCGTGGCATGCTTGCCGGTCACGGCCGCGGTGATCTGCTCGTGGGTTAGAGCAACGGCTTTGCAGCTGCCTGAACTCCCTGATGTCAGCATCAGAACCGCGGTCTGGTCTGGCCTAGGGCTCGGGGCCGTAACCCTGCTTCCCTCGACTGAAGGGGTTGCCCCAACGTCCTCAAGGTTGAACATGTCAACACAGGTGGGGACAATGGCTGTTTGGCCGTCGAATTGGAGCAGAAGCCCGGTCGTTGTCAGACATGCCGGCGTGTTCAGGAGTCGAGCCAGATGTTCCAAGTGAGCCAGTCGACGGCTGGCATTGTCGGAGAACGCAGTTGACATTACAGGGATGTACCCTGCAAGCAGCGAAGCCCAGAGCCAGAGCACGCGGTCTCGGTGGTTATCGAAATGTAGAAGGACGATGGACCCGGGCTCGAATGGGAGAGCCGCACCTGCCCGCCGTGCAAGATGCAGCAACTTGTTGTATGATATCTCCTCTGGCTCGCGAATGATTCCTAGCGGGTAGATATACAGTGCCCCGCCATTCGAACTGCCAGCGGTGGCTTCCAGAATCTGTTGAAGGGTCTGCGCTACCATGATTGACGAAAGAATAACAAGACTGATCTTGTTAGCCAAGCTGAGGTGCGATCCTAGCGCTATGGTTGGACTAGATAAACGAACGAGAAGCTGGACGGTCAAGAAAGGCTTTTGCAGATTTGGCTATATGTGTATACGATAGATATTGAGTGAGTTCGACGATTATCTATAGGCATCTATTTAAGGGGTTGAGGTCTTACATATACCTTGGCAAGCAGAGCCAGGATGCCCTATCTTGGAATCCGTGAAATTTAGACTTCAATAAGGCAAACTTGCGACGACGTCAAGACATCGGAATCTTTCCACCCGCAACTTTCCTCGAACCTACTCAGAAGACCATTTGAAGAACGTTCGATCGTATTCGATTACAAATTGACACCGTCGACAAACATCAAACCCCGTTATACGAACGCTCAGCCGCATGTGTGACCGTTCGAGTATCGAGGATCCTACCATCCCGGATCGCCCGGCCATCTCATACGAAAAAGCCAGAAGAGGAGTTTCCCTTTATGGATCCCAGAGGCCGTCAGACTTAATATAAGAGCAGCGGTCAGGAGAGCATGCGTCACGCAGGACCATATAGGCGGCCTTGAAGTGGCGAAATCCGCATCTTTCTGACACTCCCTCCAACACATCCCATACTGTGCCCGTTTCTTGTCGCTGCGAGATCATGTCCGTCTCCGACCATGACCTCATTCGCAATGCCATCGCTCACTGGCCCCTCGCCGTGGACCAGGCTGATCCCCGCCTGTTGACCGAAGCGTTCACGCCGGACGCGTTGGCTCACTACCCGCCGCCCGTCGGGACGTTGAACGGAATCGATGGACTGAAGGGGCTCATGCAAACGCGCCTCCACGGCGTTACCACGTATCACTGCCTGGGCACGCAGGTCATCCAGTTGCAGAGCCCCGTCACCGCAACCGCTAGAACATACTGCATCGGCATACATTTCTACCCGCAGGAGCCTGGACGAGAACCCAGGAGAATCTACGGTTTCTACGACGATAGTCTGGTGAAAAGCGACGAAGGATGGCGGATTGCAGAGCGAAGAGTCGTTGAACATCTTCCTACAAACGCGTTCTGAGGGTTGACGGTTGTGAGGGGCCTCCACGACCGGGTATCCGGCATCGAGTGAATATACGAGGTTGACGCTTCCAGGGTGATTCCACTTTTGGAATATCCTCGCGGGATTTGCTAGTATCATGCTGTGCACCTCTTACTTGATGTTTGATGGTTTGGTTTTCAGCATGTATTAGCTCTAGAATTACAATGGTGGTAGTACGAGCCTCAAAGGTGCAACCTTGCTCACGTAAATTGCAGCGGAGGTGCCGAGCATCTATACTTCTGTCCGTATACCTCCAAGTGTTCCAAAATTAGATGCAGACTTGCCACCAGAACCACAAAACCCGCAGCTTCCAACAAAAATTCACATAGTATAACACAGCTAAATAAAATGTCTGTATATCAATGCTCACGGTCTTCCAAATCGTCTAGAGCTGCGCCATCACCGTCATCGTGCTCGTCAACAAGCGGTATGTCGTACACGGCATTGGTTCTCCTATAATGCATAAGCCACAATGTGGAGAGTGCAAGGGTACCCCTACGCCATAAAGCTTGTCTGCCGTAAGCTACAGAATTATGTGCGGAGTATCGAAACTCCGAGTGTGCTATTCCCGTCTTATCAAATCCCGAGTGTAGGCACGGAAGGAGGCTCATTGTTGTTGTTGTTGGTATTCGTCGGGCAAGAGCAGACACAGGAACTTGAATAATAGCACCGGAGAATGTATGAAACAAAACCTTACTCACTCGTTATGACTTCGCGGGAATGCCCATGTAACTCGTTGGGGTATCTGCTTCTCAGCACCCGATGGGAATGTAAATAGCCACGAGTACTTCCAAATATTTAATAATGACCCGTCAATGGCTTCTGTGGATCGTCTCCGAAAAAGCACTGATGATGACAGGTTTCCCGAATAGGTTGTAGTCTTACTTCTCGTGAGAGCAGCCAATCTCACTTCTCGTAATTACCCTGGAGGGCTTCATGCATTGGAACAAACTCCACCTGGTTATGTTTGGACATCGGCGATTATAATATCATTTGGTTCGTCTGGGATCGGAGTACGAGTTCGCATTTCAGTGCAGCCCTCACAAGGAGGTATACACGTATCCGTATCCCGTGGCACGATGCATGTTCCCCAGGATATACTGCTGTGATACGAGCCCGGGAAGAGATATCGATATAGCCTCGCCTGTCTAGAAAGGAGAAAAATCAATGACTGTTCGGAGGGAAAGAATCAACCTCCTGGCGCCGTGACGGCGACAAATGATGATATCAAGGCTGACACTGCCAATGATTGTGTCAAGAATGCGAAACGGAAAATAATCCTCAAAGCTTTTGGCCTGGTAAAGCGCCACAGACTAGGACTTCAGATTGTGCGGCTCACTGTGCGGCTGCAAGCCCAGATGCCGAAAGTTATTTTCTCAACATGGGCCTGCTTACAGGGTTACGTTCATCTTCAAGCCTCTACTGGGGTGCACATGCCCAGTCGACTATTTGCGCCTCTTTTGAACTACACTTTCCTCAAATGATGATGGGTTAGAAAAGTTGCTGCACAAACACAGCGTAATGAAGACTGCATTTTATGCTCATAAAAGCACAAGTCCAACGTAACACTTTAGTAGATCTATTAACGCTCCTGTAGGCGGAATGTTTTTACATGCCGATGATCGGCTAGCCTATAAAATTGTCTAGATCTTTCCTGACTATTAAAGCCACCGTCTTCCGATGACAGGCGTGAGGTTCTAGAGAGCTATCTCGAGCCCTGTGATCAGACTCAAAGCATGTTCTACTGAACAACGGCCTCATACACTACACTCATTAGAGGACCTTTCAGACTCAACAGCGAGAATGAGCATCCTGGCCCCTCTTGTATCAATGCCTCCGGACGAAATCTTTGACCTGAACCGCGCCTTCGCGCACGACGACAATCCACAAAAGGTCAATCTCACTTTGGGAGCCTATCGTACGGACAACAGCCAGCCTTGGCCTCTTCCAGTGGTACAGGAAGCTGAGAAAGGTCTCTTGGCCAAAGCTGACATTTTTCGCCATGAATATACGTCCATTGAAGGCGATGCGGCCTTTCTTCAGCGCGCCAGAGACTTACTGTTTGGATTCAGCAACAATTCCTCTCGCAATGAGAAGCAGGACGCAACCAAGGCTCGTATCAGCTCGGTGCAGACTGTTGCAGGCACCGGCGCGAATCACCTCGGCGCCCTCTTCCTTGCGAAACATCTGAAGCCACGAGCCGTCTGGCTCTCAGATCCGTCTTGGGATAACCATCAGAGAATTTGGGAGCTTGTCGGTGTCCCCCGCAAGACCTACCCTTACTACTCGGCCGCCACGCATTCATTGGACTTTGCCGGGATGATGGCTACCCTTGAAGCCGAAGCGCATGAGCACGATGTTGTCCTTCTTCAGGCTTGCGGCCATAACCCGACTGGCGTGGACCTGAGCCAAGAGCAATGGAAAGCCCTTGCTGAGCTGATGGAATCCAAGCGCTTGTTTCCATTCTTTGATTCCGCCTACCAGGGTCTCGCTTCGGGGTCGACCTACAAAGATACCTGGCCCATCCGGCATTTCCTGAGCAAGAAACCGATCATGGATTTCTGCGTCGCACAGAGCCTGTCCAAGAACTTTGGTCTGTACGGCCAGCGTGTCGGCGCATTGCACTACGTCCTGGGCCATGAAACACCCAATAACCCTGGGATCATTGGCAACAACCTTTGCCATCTAATCCGCAGCGAATACTCCGTGGCGCCAAGGGGGGGCAGCAACATCGTCAAGGAAATCCTCTCTGCTCCCGGACTCAGCGCCAAATGGCATGGTAACGTTAGGACAATGAACCAACGGCTCACATCAATGCGGGAAGCTCTATACGAGGCGCTGGTCAAGCATGCAGCACCAGGACTCTGGACACATATCATTGAACAAGTCAGTGCTTGAATCTCCCGCCACCATCCGACAATTGGCTAACATCCCTCCTGATATTTAGCGCGGCATGTTTTCCTACACCGGCCTCAGTCCGACGCAGATCGACGTCCTGAGGACCAAGTACCACATCTATATGCTCCAATCGGGGAGAATATCGATCAGCGGCTGTGAGTGACACCGATTCTGAGAGTGTTATTTCTGGATTACGAGCCCACGTATTCCCGTGCGATCTTTCCATCTGGATCTAACTTTCTCTCAGTGAGTGGGAAGAATGTCGCGTATGTTGCAAAAGCGATAGACAATGTTGTGAGGAGCTGCTGAGAAGTTTGAGTTGGCACGTCACCTTGACACCGCTAGTCGCTGGCTTTGCGAACCTGGGGGTGCTGTTGCATGTTTCACAGGATCAGGGCTGAGGACTGGGATCACAACTGTAACACTGAAAATGGAAGATTGGAATGACTGCGAGTTCAGGCACATGCGGCGCAGGGAGAAACGAAGCGTATACGAGAAGAAAACGGGTATGATGTACGTTACCTGCATGCAAAAAGCAAGGGGGAAACGTGGCCTGAGTCGATGCGCAGCCGGCATGACACGAGGCAGATGCTTTCCAGCAATTTAGCTAGAGAACAATCGAAACATGGCCATAATCAAAGACAGCGTGCTGTTCTTTTGAACTTACCTAGCATCGTGCATAGCACCTTGCTCTCTCACGTGGGTGTGTTTGAGTCCCTGCATATGGCATCCCGCCCAGCTGTCTGTTTTCCCAATTCGTCCGTACTACCATTCTTGCTTTTTCTCTATTCCTTTTCTTCTTGGCACATCGGGACATTCAGTTCAGAGTATGTAGCATTGGTAGACGGCTTGGCTGTATGAGATCGTGTCCTTAAACCCTGATAAGCTGACCGAGTCGTCCGAGGGCTGAGATGATCCAGCCTAACATCCCAAACCGTTTAGGAGGTGGCATCATTGGCTGGCACTTTCACGAGAATAGTCTCTTTGCCTTGGCACCGTAAGTATCGGGCAAGGCAGACTAGCATCCTTCTCGATTATAGGATACGAGATCCGAAGCTTCTGAGTGTTTGTTGTTGAATTAGAACCCGAGACTATGATGCTATAAACTGGTTTAAAGCCTGCTCGAAGTGTGGTAAAATCACAGCCCATCAGATTAACCCGCCTCAATCGATACAACTCAGCACTACAGCCAGCAAGCCTTACATCATGAGTGCTACGGCGCAAAAGGAGCCCTCATTTGCCGCGCCGGAAGCTGTGCCATCTCCATACACCTCCCTCAGCCATGCGCTTCTCTTCCAAAACCAAGACGAGCATGATTGGTGGCACCGTGCCGGGCCGGTTCTGGGCCAGATGCTACTGAACGCTGACTACGACGTGCACAAACAATACCAGTACCTCGCGTTCTTCGCACATCACGTAGTTCCTGCTCTGGGCCCAGCCCCAGATAACCCCCGACCCAACCTCTACCGCGGCGTCTTCAACCTCGAGTTCAGCCAGAATTTCCAGCAGGCAGGATGCATCATCCGCCTCGCCTTCCTCCCAGTCAGCTACCTTGCCGGTGTCCCCGGGCGTGACTCGTTCAACCGACTGCTGGCACCAGAGGTCCTCGCTCGCTTCGCCCAGCTAGACGGCATTGAGCTAGACCTCCAGGTCTACCAGCAGCTTGTCAGCGAGCTCGCGCTCACCCGACAGGAAGAAGACCGTCTTGCTAGCGAAGGTCCCCTACCACCGATCTTCAAAACCCAGAATGGCATCGCGCTGGACCTACGCAAAGATGGCAAGATGACCGTCAAGCTGTACACGTTCCTGCTGGGCAAGTCGCTGGCGACCGCCACCCCAGTCTCGACACTGGCCTTCAATGCAATCCGCAGGTTGGACCAGGGTGCTAAGCGCTTTGAGGCGGGTCTGCAGCCGATCCAAGCCTTCCTGGATAGCAAACAGGGGACCCTTGACGAGATGTTGCCTGCCTTTCCCACGGCATTCCACCCGCGCGGCATGATCCAGATCGGCTGCGACCTGGTGGACATTTCGCGCACGCGCTTCAAGATATACCTGCACGACTACATTGTGGATTCGAACCGCCTAGCTGAGCTGTGGACGCTGGATGGACGCTTGAAGGAAGCCCACTGCCCTGGCCTCGACAAGGGGCTAGAGATCCTCCGCGAGCTCTGGTCGATCCTCCAGGTTCGCGAGGGATATCATCTCCCCTTCGCGTGTGCACCGAAGGCAGAGTCGAAGACTATAAACGCCGCCGACACCGTGATAACGCCCGGTCAGACCAGCACAGGCGAACCCTCGAAGCCTCAATTCTACTATGACCAGCAGTTTCTCATCGTCAACTACGAGATTCACCCCGGCGACCCGTGGCCTCGCCCCAAGGCGTATTTCCCGCTGTTTGGAATGTCGGAGAACGCGGTTGTTGACGCCGTGGTTGCTTTCTTTGAAGGGCTTGGCTGGACGCAGCATGCTGGGATGTATCGGGAGCATGTGATTTCGTGCTTGTGAGTTTGCCTCTTTCTTCCTTTCCTTGTTATCTTGCCCCATACCGTCCATTGACATGAACTGCTCATTAGCCCGAAGTGCGACCTTGAGAACACAACCGATGTTCAGTTCTGGCTTTCGTTTTCGTATTCTCCAAAGACTGGGCCGTATACTACCGTGTATTACCGGCGGATTTAAGGGTCACGTCAGGCTATTGGTCAGGGAAATGCGTCACGGTCGTGTTTCTTGTTCTGGACCTAGTCGTTGAGGAATGTGGCAGGACATTGCTGGGTATAATTCGAATTGTGGGAACCACTCAGCTCTAAGTCGTAAAATCCAGCTGTTAATCTATTTTCTTAGTTGGGAAATACTCATGTTTGGGTCCACTTGTCAGCGTAGTTCGTAGCAATGTGCACTCTGCGTAGTTGTGAGAGAGAGCAATACGAGAGGCTCACAGACCGCTACCCATAGCCCCGTCGTATATTGAGTCAGAGGTCCAACTCTACAAGTGTCGAGGGAGTATAGAGGGGTCCTAACTGAGAATCGCTTTAGCAAGAAAGGAGAGCGAGGCCGAAAGTTTATTTATTAAAATGATTTCTTTTACGAAACCCCCTCTAAATTGCCACTGTTATGGATATATTCATGAAAAACTTCTACGCTTGCAGCCTACATCCATGTGCCGAGGGCGAAAATCCTCTACCAGACACAGAAATATCCCAACGAGATCTAGACACGACAAATTCCCTCATCGTCCCAATGCTCACTCCCAACTCCCATCCTAACTATAAACAGCCCCTCCGGGTCCCACCTCTGCTTGACCTCATACAACCGCTGGTAGTTCTCACCCCAAAACGCCACCCGTGCATCTGGTTCTTCGATATTAGCCACATTGTAATACGCGCCCAGAGGCGGGACCTGCAAAGCCCGAACGAACGGCAACTGGCTATTCAGCATAGTCTTCGTCATGGAGGTAGAGGGCAAAACACGCCGGATCGTCAATAGTAGCCCGGCCTCCCGCCACGCAGGAAGTAGAGCGCTATCGACGATGTCTGCATTGGCCTTGACCTGGCCGCCGACCGACATGAGGATCTCGACCGAGTCGCCCACGATGTACTCCAAGCGAGACAGTACATCCGTTATGCGAGACGTCCCGTTAGGGGCGAAGAAGTTTTCCTCGGAGACAAGCACGGATCCCTCGATCAGCCCAAACCCCGCGGTGTTGAGCTGTCTGGGAACGTTGAGCCAGGTGGACATCTGAGGGTAGACTTTCAGCTCAGACGTGTAGACGCCTGCTAACCCGCGGATTTTCAAAACGTCATGCATGCTGCTAAACTGCCGCTCGATGCGCCCCTTGTCGCTGATGTTGACGAAAAGGATATGCGCCTCCAGCACGGCGCGAGTTGCCTCGAACCTGGGGACGATGATTGCGCTGGTGGCGTTCTTCATGCGTTTCAACGCAGGAAGTATATTTGTAAGCTCGGCCGTGATATCCCAAATGGCCTGATCGCCCCCAACCGTGCCATTGTATTGTCTGGGAACCGCCGCCGTCAAGACGAAATGCACGGCTGGGACGTCAGGATACGCGCGGATGGTTGTGTTGACGACCACCCCAAACGTCCCTCCGCCACCTCCTCGCAACGCCCAGAAAAGTTCCTCATTCTGATACTCATTTGCAACGACCAGATCTCCCTATCACACGACCGTCAGCCCCATCTCCACCCTATCATTGACAGAATATGATACTCACCTGAGCAGTAACAACCCACATCTCCAAAGCATTATCTGAGGCAGTTCCGTACGCAGGGCCCAACAATGACAGCCCCCCGCCCTGCAAAAACCCACCCACCAGACCAACAGAGCTACATGTTCCTGTTACCACATTTACGCCGTTCATCCGTCCGGCCGCCAGGGCCTCGAGCCCGAGGACCCCAGCCCCGAGCGTCACAGCGTGCCCACGCGACCTCATTCCACCCTGAGGGGTAAAGTCTCGATCGAAGTGCATCGCCTTCAGGCGACTTACATTGATCTGGAACGAGCCGTATCCGCTTGACCTGCCGATGCCGTCGTGGCCTGTGTTGCGAATCGCAACGTGCAGGTTATGGCGGCGGGCGAAGCTAACGGCGTGCTGGATCTCTTCTGCTGAGTGCGCGAGGATACCGTAGACGGGGATCCGGCCTTGGGTGCAGGGGACGGTGCGGGGGGTGTGGACGAAGCAGCTGCTGTTGGTGATTGGGGAGGTTTCCCAGGTTGTGGATTGGAGCGCGCCTGGATAGAGGGGTTGAGTTAGTTATTGCGTCTCGTTGTTCATGGTATGGGATGGAATGAAGGAGCCGGAGGTGATTATGAGGAAACATGCCTGGTTCTTCGATGCGCCAGAGGGAATCATGCGTCGACTTCTGGGCGATGGCGCACCGAGCCTGATCGAAGTCTTTACCGTGGCATACCGAGCCCACGGGTCGGATTTGGATAAGATGTCCGTTCACAGTTGCGTTGAAGAGATTCCACTCGTGTGTTGATGGCCAGCACGGATCATGAGGTAGACAACGGCAGTTTCTTGGGCTAATGGTTGGCGTGGAAGCAGTCTCCCTGGGTAAAAGCAAGAACAAAGAGTAAATAGCAAAGGTGGTTATCGATAAAAAATACATTGCGGTTTGTTTGAGGTCTCCGACCGTCTCCTGCCAAGGTCAAAACGGTGGTATGATTCTCATAAGTATCCGAGACAAACGACGACTCAACTACACATTTCTACGGCCACGAAGGAGGCATTGATCCAGACATAATTTTCCGACCTGACGACGAACACGAGTTCGAACATGGAACCATAGATATCTGCTTAAAATTGGTCATTGAATTGAGGGCTGTGGATGGTGATGTTTCAGGAGGTAGGGTGGGACGAAGTGCGTAGGTTGAATACGAGAGTTCGGCGGATGCCTACGAGTTGTCTGCTTACCGTTTGGCTTACTATATGCTCATCGTATACTCTGAGTCGGAACACAATTTCCGAGACTCCAAGGTGCTGAGTATACTTTTGATGCTACGAGGGAATTTTCAAATGTAATGGCTCGCCCATGCTGTCCTCGTGTAAGTTGTCTCTATGACGGATATTGGTCCTAGCATCACGCATATCTCGTGTAGCCAAACTGAATCCGAGCGCTCAGCTGGAGCCGTGCTTAGCAATTCTATTTCAAGACCTAACGGCATGAATACCATATGGAAAGGGGCAGAACTCAGCATGGCGTGCCTTCGTATTGAGCGGGCACGACACCTTGATGTTATGCAGCAATGGTGTCCGAATTGTTGGAATCTCTTCGCATGCATACGACTGCACCAGAAGCTCAGCATCCGTATATTCCTTGCTGCCTGGATGTAATTCCTCCTGTCTATACAGAAAACGAGAACCTACTTTGCTATTTATGTATGGGAGCTCTGCCGCTGAGTATGTGAAAAATGCCAATAAGTCGATTAGTCAGGAGAAAAGACGAGATAGTAGTAGGCATCTCTAGATTCATCATCTATGTCAGAAACAAAATAAGCGACAATGTTAAACGTCACTAATCTCGCATCCGGACAGTAGGAACCGCTGGGCACGATCAACGACACTTAGACTCAAGATCGCTTGCGCCAGCACATCCCCTTTGGCACATTACGCGACTGTGTCAGAATACTGTGTAAACCAACCCTCGATCATCCAAAGCCCCGTCCTCTCAATAGTTTCACCTACACCATATCCCCCAAATCGTAGACAACTAGGGCACATCCCACATAGCCCTATCCCCAACGTCCAAACCGCCAAGAAGCGGGGTTCCGACGGTCTTCCCCTTAGCGTCACTCGGACCAGCACATTCCCGAACGAGGACAAGCGACTAGATAAGCAGACGAAACCCAGTGAATTCAAACTCCACCCCCACCACACCACCTCCCTCTCTCCCACAAGATGTCCCAAGATACCGTGCAACACCTCCTCGAGACTATCCCCCTCCGCTACAGCGGTCCCGGCGGCGCCATCGCCATCCTCAAAGACGGACATGTCCTCGGCCAACGCGTCTGGGGCTACGCAGACGTCGAGCAGCGCTTGCACCTCACGCCGGAAACCCGGATGCCGATCTGCTCCATCACGAAGCAATTCGTGTGTGCGCTACTCCTAGACCTGAAACGCAACCCCACCCCCGCGATGCTGGCAGCAGGCACGGGCGACATCGACGCGCAATTCGAGGTCAAGCTGCGCGAGATCCTGCACCCTGAGCTATTCACCGGCAACAGCGAGAGCGGGCTGAGGCTGGATCATCTGTGTGACATGCAATCGGGATTAAGGGATTACTGGGCTATGACGGCGCTGTGGGGCGCGAAACCCGAGGATGAGTTCCGCGTCGACCGCGACTGTGCGCCGATGTTGGCGCGGACGAAGTCGTTTCAGTTTGCGCCGGGGACCGAGTATTCGTACTGCAATGTGAACTTTCATGTGTTGGCACGGGTGGTGGAAGGGGTTGCGGGGGAGACGCTGGGGAAGTTGCTGGTGGATCGGGTGCTTGGGCCGGCGGGGATGCGGACGGCGGAGCTCTGTCCGGATAATGATAAGCTGCCGGGTCCGTGTCGCGGGTATGAGGGGACGGAGGAGACCGGGTATGTGGCTGCGGTGAATCGGATGGAGTGGTCGGGGGATGCGGGACTGGTCGCCTCGTTGGAGGATATGGTTGCCTGGGAGAAGCATTTGCATCGTCTTTATACGGATAAGGACAGCTGGTATTATCGCGTCGCGCAGCCGAATACCTTCGCTGACGGGACGCCTGCGCCGTATCACTATGGGCTGAGTCGTGGCGCTCTGAACGGCGTGGATACCCTGGGCCATGCGGGTGCCCTGCGCGGCTGGCGCAGTCATCGGCGGCATGCGCTGCAGGCTGGTCTGTCGGTGATTGTGATGATCAACCATGAAGCGGATGTTATGGGTGCTGTGGACTATGCCCTGCGCGCGCTGCTGCAGCAGCCTGCGCTGCAGTATGCGCCCGTGGAGCCGAGCCCAGCGTGGACCGGGAGTTTTCTGGACAAGGAGACGCAGCTGGCTGTGCGCATTCGCGCTGGATCCAGGCCGGGCGAGCTGGTCTTTGCTTACGCAGGCCATCCGGAGACTATCAGGCTGATGGCCCCTACTCATGGTGAAGCACCGGGTACAACCGCGAGTATTGAAGGGGACATTTTGCGCATGCACCGTGTCAAGGAGAACAGAAAGCTCGAGGCTCATAGGCTGATCCCCCACGACAAGAGCTTTAAGGACCCATCACTTGCCGGGACTTATGTTTGTGCCGAGGCAGAATCGACCTTCCACTGCTGGGGCGAGGCGGGGCTCCTATACGGGGAACTGGATGGATATCTCGGCCGGGGAACGGCGACTGCGATGAGGTACCTTGGGGATGATGTGTGGGTGTTGGCCTGCCCTCGGGGGCTCGATGCACCTGCCCCGGGAGACTGGACAGTGGTCTTTCATCGTGATGAAAGCGGCGTGGCCACCGGATTTAGGATTGGGTGTTGGCTAGCGAGAGGGATTGAATTCGTGAGGGCATAGTGCTAATCTCGATGTAAACTTGAATCGTAGATCTTTTTTAGTAGGCGAAGCCTTCATACCTCCTGTTGCCTGAGGTAGCATGTTCTCTCAAGACGCGATGGAGGCAGGTGGGCATTTTCCTTGCCAAACAAGCATCTCTTCAAACTTTAGTATACTCAGCCTAAGGGCAGGTCGTAAACAACAGCCAGCAAGACTGATTCACGGTGCCACAACTGTGTGCGCACAAAATGTTATTTCCGCCCTTACTCGAATACCTAGCAGGTCGATCGAGTCTCGTGGCTGTCTATCAATGTGCCTCTCCATTATTTTCTATTCAAGCCTTTTACAAGTAAGTCTGCTGACACTCCACACTAGAGCTAGTGATAATGTTTCTACAGTCGCTATCGTTGAGATAGTAAGGATTCAGACATCATGAGAGGATCAACTATCGCAACGTCCCAAGGGGCGAACGGATTGGTGTCTCCAGCTACCAATTGCACCTTTGTCCTATATTCAAATGATCCGACTCCATCTACTTCCTAATTCAACATTCCCAACTAATGCTTCAAGCTCCAAGATATGTTGGTTGCTGCTAGAGTTGATTCTCTTTCCCAAAATCAGGATCCTTCTTCGCTCCTCTCAATCGGGATTGCTTTTGTCTCGTCCTGCGGTAGCCTACTCTCAACTCCAACCTAACCACACCTCCGGAAAGATAGTTTAGACGGTTGTTCGACCTTTGCCTGAGATATTAGCTGAACATAAGGCGCCCGTGCAAGTCTGTGAGCTGATAAGAGGTATGGTTCACCACCATTACCAAAAGAGCAGATGGCGGCCAACGAAAGAGGTCTCAATTGTATGCAACACTTTGACCAAGACTTAATCAATTCCTCCTATCACTACTCTTAGACGTCAGGGTCCTCAACTCGTGTGTGCTGGGATGGCCACATGGTCGTATCTGGTAGGAGGTAGACTCGTGATTCGTATTGAAGGGGCGTTTTGAAGTAACGCTGGAACAGTAAGAATCAATGACAACTAAGAACAAAGAGACGAAAATCTACAGTAAACATCGGAGTTAAGCCCTAATCCGGCCTGGCTCTACTAACATCATGATTGGACGCGAATCATGAAATTCCCAGCCCTATTAGACCAAGCATCCGCTGCAAATACAGGCAAGACCAGGTGCCCATAATTCCAAATACATATATCATGCCAAACAAGCACGACCCCAACAAAAACCCTCAAACTCTTCGACAAACAACCTCCGCACTCGGAATTGAGATCCACGCATCGCGATCCTCCCCCCACTCCTTCCACACATCAGAAATACTCTCGAGCTCCCGCTCAGTCGCAAAGCCATGCTCAAGCGCACCCTTCGCGAACGCCGACTTCACCGCACGCTCCCGCCACGTCTCACTCCACCAGCTTACCTCCTCAGGACGTGCAAAACACCACGAACTAACCGCACAGTCCACCTCTTCGAAACCGGCCCTCCGCGCCCAGACATGCAAATACCGGCCCGCATTCGGCTCGCCCCCGTTCCTCCGCGCGACACGATCATACAATTCCTGCCACCGCTTTAACCCAGGCAACTCGGGATACCACATGAAAGCAGCATAGTCTGCCTCACGAGCGGCGACGATACCGCCGATCTTGCACACGCGCCGCATTTCCGCCAGGATGGCCGTGGGGTCAGCGACGTGCTGGAGGACTTGGTGGCAGAAGACGACGTCGAAGGACTCGTCGGCGTAGGGGAGGGCGTTGGCGTCGCCGGCGACGAAGTCGATGTTGGTGAGCCCGCGCGAGGCGGCGAGCTGGCGCGCTGCGGGGAGGATGTCGCCGGCCATCTCCAGGCCCGTGACGTGGCCCTGCGGCACGTAGGTTGCCAGGTCGACAGTGATGGTGCCCGGGCCGCAGCCGATGTCTAGGATCTTCATGTGTGGTTGCAGGTGAGTGAGCAGGAAGCGCGCGGAGTTTAGGGCTGTGCGTTGGCCGTGGCTGCGGAGGACGGAGGCGTGGTGCCCGTGTGTGTAGGTTGCTTTTTCGGCCATTGTATCGTGGAATAAGCGGGTAAGAAGACGAAGGAGAGATGATGAGAAAATGAACAATGAAATGTGTGTGCATATCTGGGATGTTGAGAATGTTTGGATGGTTTTATAGTTGCTTCGGGCGTTGTAGTTCGAGGCCGATATCGGCGCTGCTCGACTACGCTAATGCAGGGTGCATGTGCTCAGGATGATGCGCAAGCGCTGCCGGCTTACTCAGTCTTGTGATGCATTGGAGTGATTTACGGAGAACGAGTCCCGCCATCCATGCATGTTTACTGGTTAGATTGGTCATCTCTAAGGCATCCCAATCAACGACAACACAATTCACGCCAGAAAAGAGAGATGGACCAGACACAGAGCACGGATCAATGATCTAAGGAAGACGGTCCGGAACGCGACGGTGGAGAATCCACCAGATGCCAAGAAACAGGTTCAAGTTCTAGGGGCATTGCGGTTATTTCAATGGGAACTATATATTGGACGTGCGCTCTCATACATAGTTACGATTTTTCGCTTCTCAACATCCTGCGATAAATCCCTTTGATCTACCAATGTTCGTCTGCACAACAACTCCCGGGCTATCTAGCTCGAGGTTATATGAATGCCTTCTAGATATAGCTAGGAATCACTATAAAGACAGTATTACAGTATTGGTTGTGCAGTGTTATCTTACAGCTGCTAAGCAACTGTGCGCTTTGCACCCTTTGATCACGTCTATATCAATCTTCCTGACTATGTTCTTCAATTGATTTGAACTCCACTTGAATATATAGTCATTAAAAACAACTTATACAACCGGGCGAATTCTCACCATGAACACACTCGATTCCGCTCAAGCACCTCGAGAAAGAAACTATGGTTCCTTTCATGCGGGTGCAGCCATTTGAGCATCTCAGGGGTGATATCCGGCTTATCAGCGGCGAACGTCTCGGTCAGCCACTGGTTCCAGTCCCAATCGACCCAGCGACCCCAGATGTTAGTTTCGCCGAGGCTACGCCACCAGCGCAGGATGGGACTGATGTAGCGCTCGGAGAGAAGGTAGGGGTCGTCGGCGCTATAGACATCAGCGGACGAGCGGCCGATAGTCGCCAGGCCGAAGTCAATGATCACGATGCGCGGCGGACCGGATGACCCGAGGCGCGCCGAAGGGGCCGTGATGAGGACGTTGCGTGGGAACAGGTCGTTGTGACAGAGGTCGCAGGCGTAGAAGCGCGACTCGGCGGTCAAGATCTGGCGCATGATCGCCTTGCGCTCCATCTGGGAGAACTGGCGAGGCGAAAGGCAGGTCATGTCCTTGCCGTTGACGTAGCCGGTCAAGATGAGGCGCACGTCGCGCGACGGCACGGGCCACTCCTCGGACTCAATGCACGTGGACCACGAGCCGTAGTAATGCGGCGCGAGATGTTGGACGTGGTGAACGGCCGCGTGCCGGTACGCGGCGCTCTCGCGCATGTACTGCACCTCCGCGTGGAAGACTGCCGCCGTGGTGCCGCTTGCGCCTCCGTAATGCGGATCGTACAACTTGGCTACGATCATCTTCGACCCGAGCTCACGCTGCGGGAAGCCGTGCTCATCGGTGTACGCAGAGAGGATCTCTTGTACCACCACGATCTGCGCGTCAAATGAGGAACCAACGCGCAGCACCTTGGTCACTACTAGCCGTTTCTCTGCAACACCCCACTTCCCCGGCTGCTCTCCCCGCATGCATGAAAGCGCCCGGTCCAGTTGAATATCCTCGGCGGGGTGGTGCTCGCGCACCACGAACTCAAATCCCAACTCATACGGGGGTTTTTCACGGCAGGTGGACTCTGATTTCCACTGCATGGCTGTTGTATATGCTATATACAGTACAAGTACGGCTCTCCTGATGTATGAATCTCTTCAGAACATGAGTATCTCGTTCCGCTGTATTTATACCCTGGATGCGCTGTTAGCCTCGGGAGCGAAAAGACGTTCTCTCTTCATGGCATAAAGCCATGAAAGCGAGGCAGGTCTCGGGAGTCATTGCTTCTTTATCCAGCAAACCATTCATCTTGGACACCCCACATAACAATACAAAGACATTGTGCGATGATCATCCCTACGCTCAGCATCTGAAAGAAGGCACTTCGTCCGGCCTACGAGTCACATGACCGTCCCGGTACCCTAAGATAGCGGTTCTGCCGGCGTGGTCTTCTGTGCTCTTGCTTCTTTATAAGCGCTCTGCTAGTATACAGTGAATATACAATGGATTGCTCTTTAGTACACAAACATTATCTCAAACAGGCTTTCCGGGGGAGAACCCCCGGACCCCCCTTTCTTTTCAGCTTCCTGGCAACCTCAGTCCTTATAGTAGATCTATAATGCGTTTCGGTGGAGAACCCACGGACCCCCTTTCTCTCAGCCTCCCAGCACCTGAACATCTGAAAACAATGCCTCACAACCCATACTCAAAGTCCCCCTTAGAATAACTCTCGATAGCAGAGGTATCAACCCCAAGCGTGATATAGCCAATCATGCCATTGCGCACATCCCGCCCATCAGCCGGTACAACCGAGATGACAGGACTGAACCCGCCCTCGGTATCCTGCGCGAAGATGGAGTCCTCCGCGTTGGTCGTACGGTTGATCTGGGTGTGCGAGGCGTACGGCTGGAGGGCCATGATCTCGCGCTCGAGCTCCTCAGCGAAGTAGATCTGGCCGGTACTGACGGTGTGGCTGGAGGCGATGGTGCCGTTGGCGCGGAGGGTCCAGTCGGTGTGGACCTGGACATGGATGTGGATGGCTCGTTGGACGTAGAAGCCTGCATCCATCCAGAATCAATGAGCGGTGCGTGTATATGCGTCGGAAAATTACTTACCCGGGAAGATCGTCTTCATCTCCATGATACCGTTCTGATCGGTCGGCCACATGCCGCGCAGGAAGGTGGTGTCGTCGGTGTGCAGGTCCGTCTTCCCGATCTCGAAGTCGGACTCGCTGATGTCCAGTTCGCTCAGCAGCTTCACGAACTCGGTGTTCGGCGAGAGCGCCGTGAAGGACGAGTACGAGCCCGTCGCGTTGCAGTGCCAGAAATCCACCAGCACGTTGGGCAGCGGCTCGCAGGTTGCCATGTCCAGCACACCCACGTCCAGCCAGAGCGGTACGCCGGGTTGGTCTTCGGTCATGTCCTGTCGTAGGGTCTGCGACTGCGGCCACACGTACGGCCCGCGGGTCACCTCCGGGGTCAGCACGCAGGTCTCGTTCTGGATGCTCTCGTAGAACGGGGCTTCGGTCTGGATCTCATAGGTCGCGTTGCGGCCTTCCCAGCGCTTCGCGGGAGAGCGCTTTGCCATGCGCCGCTTGTTGAAGCTGGCGGCGTGCCCCGGGCATCGCTTTGCGAGCTCCTCGCGGCGTTGGAGGGCGTTGCGGGACAGCGGCTCATGAGGGCCGGGGTGCGCGGTGGCCGTCAAGACGGCGGATGCGAGGAGGAGCAGGTTGAAATGCATGGTGATGGATAAGGATGGCACTCTTGCTGACGGGTCGTGAATGGTAACTTTTCCCTGGGACAGCACGGCACATTTATACTTTCACAACCACCCAGCGTCGGCGCAAAAAATTATCTTTACCCGCCGAGTGCACGCTACGTATGCAGTGGAGGCGATCAGCGCAACAACTCTTGGCTGTATACCGTAGTGCGGCCGTCCCCGCCGGCCCGATCCACTCCCAAGCCCTAACCAAGAAGATAAGCTCCTTGCTCCCTGGCATTGCGTCAAATCAGAGCGCAGGTATTGCCTGAAGAACATACCTTGGTATTCTTTTTCATCAATTCCAGTCTTGTCTGACTGGCCAGGAAAGCTGATGCCTAAATCCTACCTGTTGCCAAGCCTCGGATCTGTTATCACGTCATGCATAGAGTTATCGTTCATTTATCCTTGTTCGGATGAAGTATCTGCAGGCCTTCCGAATGTCCGTCGGAATTGTCTGGCAATATGATGCAGCGGAGAGAGTTCTTCACCTTTACGGGATAGGCATAGATCGATCTCCGGAGACTTCTAGCGCAATCTGAGTTGCGGAGGATGATTGGACGACAGGCCTTGGGGTTAAGATTTGTCCTGACGAATCTCTATCAGCAGTACAAGGATTAGCATCTATGAGTAACGACTTGAAAAATAAAACATGGGCTTGAAAGCCCTCGTTATATTCTCGTTTCCGGGTGCAAACATTGTGAATAGATCTCATCACCTTGGCTCGACTACCTTGAACCATCTGGTTCCATAGAAGACTCAAGCAACCGGAGCAAAATCGAACAACAGCCCGCTCATCCTCTTCCAAGTAGCCACATCACAATAAGAATACAGCCAGACCCTACCACAGTACGTATTGCAACGCCGCCGCAAATCTTCAATCCCAGGCCCCAGGATTACCAACCGTGCACAGTATACTAGCCAGTAGCCTATCCTATTGAAGAAACAAAGCACCAGGTAGTCGACTATGAAAACCGGCTTGCTTTCCAAGGGGACCCTCAACGCCCAAGACCAAGCAAGCCAAGCCTAGATAACGAAGTAAACAATCCCGACTTCCGCTGAGTCATCGGGATCTGCGAATCCCGGCTTGTTTGTGGGGTCTGCATGGCCCAATCACGCTGGGACTATCTCACAGGTAAGTAAGTACCTTGCAGGTGTGAGAGATATACTTAGATATGACGTGATGATCGGAGATGCCTTTGGTGTTGGGAGCAGGGGGTTGGATTCTACTGGTGAGAGATATGCATAGGTTTTTACGGAGTAACGTTTGGTGCATGCGCGTTCAGATAGAGCTCAATGGTTAGCTATATTCTACTAAACTGCTGAACATGAGTTTGTGCAGATGATTGATGCGAGTCGATCCATGTTATGTGGCACCTGCTGAATATTCAGAGTTTGCTCTGAAATCTTCGACTGAGGTTCATTCGATGTGTCATATGGAGACTGGGCTCGACGCGTGTGTATCCTCATCTGGGGAGGCTATCGATCTCCGATCCTTATATGTGAACTGGGTGAACCGAAAACAAAAGATCGAAAATTCAGGGAGGGAATTGAACACATGCGAGAATAGTGATTACTTTCTAGACAGTGAATATGCATACTCTAAGCCACAAGTGATCTGCGTCCTCAGCGACGGCGGTCGTCTGCTACGACAAGGGAGTATCTTTCCTCACGCATGGTTACCACAGAAGATCGATATTTGTGTACCTCTAAATAGAACAATACATGATTGAAAATGTATAGTTTATGATAGTACATCAATCACCGAGAAAAGAACATTCCAATACCATTCACAGCCCTCCACTATTCCCCGTCTCCTCATCCGTATGCATTACCTCCTCATCCCCCGCAGAATTCTTCGCGCGGCGCAACCTCCGTGCCAAAAACACACAACCGAACAATGTACCCATTTTCCGAACAGAAGCCGTCAAGGGGCGAAGCAAGCCCCTCAGCCCCCAGGAAACCCACCCCAGCACCCTTCCGACATACCGATCCGGGATGAACTTCAACACCGCCGCCCAGGGGATACAGAATGCCGCGCATCCGATGCAGATCGCCCACTGCGTGCCACTCAGCCTCGTCACGCCGAATGCCGCACCACCGACGAAGATAATCAAGATCTGGCCGCCGACCATCAGGACATTGATCACCAGGAACCAGACGTTCTTCCAGATTCCCTGGAAGATGTTGAACTTGTTGTCCAGGCGGCGGCAGTTGAACTCGTTGAAGATCTGCATCCAGACGAAGGTGTTGAAGATTATGGTGTCGAGTTCTAGGCGCTCGTGCTCGTTCCCCCTGTCGAGGTTGAGGATTTGGTCTCCGGCAAAGTAGAGAGTGAAGCAGAGGGCGAGTTTGTAGATTGATTGGCCGAGCATTAGTTTCCACATCGTAACGGTGAAGAGGGGCGCTTTTCTGGGTGTAGGGGGGCGTTCAAGCATTTCTGGTGTTGGAGGGTCTGTGGCTCTAGACAAAGTTAGTGAGAGATGAACGATGGCTAGCATTGGTGGGCTTACAGTGCCAGCGCTGCAAATGTGTCCATAATCAGGTTCAACCACAGCAATTGAACGGCTTTGAAGACGCTTTCATTGGAGCTGTTGTAGATAGCGGTCACCACGGTTAAGCAAACGGCGGTAATATTCACGGTAATTTGGAACTACGTTCGTTAATACTGCTGACACCGCGGGGCTTGGGTTGGGGCATACTTGTAGGAATTTGGCCACGGCGTCATTGACGCAACGGCCCCATGCAATTGCTGTGACGATGGACCTGAAGTTGTCATCCAGGAGAATGATCGAACTAGCTTCGCGCGCTACCTCCGTTCCGCTCAGTCCCATCGAGAAGCCCACATCAGCAGACTTGAGGGCCGGCCCATCGTTCGTCCCGTCGCCGGTCACGGCGACTATCTCCCCAAGCTTCTTCAGGTGCTTCACCAGGAGCTGCTTGTCGCTCGGAGAGGAGCGCGCTAGAACCTGAAGGCGCGGGATGACCGTATCAAGCTCCGCTTCGCTAAGTCTTCGAAGCTGGGGCGCCTCTAGCGCAATACCTTCGTCGGTTTTAATGCCGCAGGAAACTGCGATAGAGAGAGCGGTGTTGATATTGTCCCCTTAGAGCCGACAGTTAGATGCAGAATATTGAGATGGGTTAGACACTCACCCGTCACCATCTTCACCTTGACGCCAGCTGAATGACACCGTCGAATCGCATCCGTAACCTCCGGTCGCAACGGGTCGTGGATACCAAACAGGCCAATCCAAGTCATGTCCTGAAAGATCTCCTCGAAGCCAGGTGGGCCTTTCTCGTGGACTTTGCTTCCTTCCGCGAACCCGACCGGGAGGTCGCGGTATGCAAGTCCGATGGTACGAAGAGAGGCAGAAGCATAAGCATTGATGCTTTGCTCAGTACTTTCAATGTCACTGGCACTCAAGTGATCGACCTGAACGTCTTCTTCCGTGGCAGAACTTGCACAAACAACTGTATTGCAAGCCCTCAACACAACCTCTGCAGCCCCTTTGACAAGTACCCGGTATCTATCCGGATGGACGCGATACACCAGCGCCATCGCCTTCCGAGCCGAGTCGAAAGGATACACCTGCAGGAGATCAACCTCTGCTCTCTCCGCTGCAAGGTCGACTACACCAAGATGCTCCTGCGCCAGCTGCAGAAGCGCAATCTCTGTCTTGTTGCCCACCAACTCGGTACCAGTCTCCCGTCGTTCCTCGAACGCAGTCGAATTGGCGACAATGCTCTTCACAAGCAGATTCTTGAACGAGGCCGGAAAGCGTGCAACGGCGTCAGGAACATGGACAGGAATACCCTCTGAGGACGTGTCATTAGGTAGCTGTCCGAAGGACTCAGAGACGCCGAAAAGTCCCACTACGGCAGTCATCTTATTCTGCGTTAGGGTGCCAGTCTTATCCGAGCAGATGACGGTCGCATTTCCCATCGTCTCGCAGGCGCGCAGTTGTCGGACCAGATTGTGCTCCTTGAGCATTCGGCCTGTCGCGAAAGCTAATGCTAATGTCACCGCGAGAGGGAGTCCCTCTAGAAAATGTCACTAAGGTCTGGATAGGGTTCAGCCAAGTGGGGGCTATCAATCGCGTACCTGGTATGGCAACAACGATCACCGTCACTGTGACGATGAGAATGTCCATGAATATCTGCCCTTTCACGGTCGACGGAGCATCATTCTCTGGGAGCTGCGCTAGGAACCGGAACAAGAGGACGAAGAACAGAAGGAGCGCTGCCCTATCCATTTACTATGTTAGTATCCACGCAATTCGGTCGAAAGGCTCAAGAAAGTACCCAAGTCCGAACCACCCAATCCAACTAGCCAAGCGACTTAGCTTGACCTGAAGGGGAGTGGGATCGCTCTCCGTCCCCAACGAGGTCATGATGCGACCGTGGGTGGAATGAGGGCCCACGCTGAGCACGACGTATGTCCCCAATCCTTCGAGGATCTTGCTCCCGGATATAATGAAAGGGTCTAAATCTTCTTCGCTGGCCACGCCCTTGCCCATCCTGTCCCAGACCTCGAAACCGCTTTGTTTTTCAATTTGATCTGACTCTCCAGTTGCCATGGATTCATCGCAACGCAGCCCATAGTTAGTGATTACTACCCCGTCAGCCGGGGCACAGTCACCGGGCTCGAGATGCACCACATCCCCGACAGTCAGATCGTGGATATGGACCATGACCTGTTCACCGGAGCGAATGACCCTGACCTCGCGATCGACTTTCTATGCCTGGTCATCACACGATTTCTTACAAACATTCAGTGCGAACAGGACCTACCAGCTTGTTTAGCCGAACAAACTGTCTCTCCTTTTGCCAATCATTCCCCGCAGTGGCCGTAACGACAATCAGAATTGCCACGCAGACTGCCACTCCCTCGATCCAATCCACCTGCGAGTGTCCACCGACAGCTTCGTAGATACCCAGTGACAACGACACCACTGCTGCCACCGTCAACAGGATGATGATTTTGTCATTATACGCATCCCACAACAGCCTCCCAAAGCTCTTTCTCTTCGTATCAGGTAACACGTTCCGTCCAAACACCCGCACACGGTCGCAGAACTGTTTGTCGAGCGACTGGTCGAAAGATGCGGTCGTTCGGGTCGCGAGGAGCGGTTGTGTACTCCGACTTTTGAACAGAGCTGCTTGCCTAGCTTCCTCCAGCGTGATCCGCCCTGGAAGCTCGGTTTCATCAGTCCGCAATCCGCCAGTGAGGTCCGTTCGTAGTCCGTGCTCGAGGCCTCGGAGTCCTCCTGCGGCATAGAACCCGTCTAACGACTTCGGGTTGAAGAGGTTGTTCAGCTGGCCCGGGGAGAAGGCAAAGCGGTTATCCTCCACTTGGAACTCGGCATCGAGTGCATGGTTGGGGGGATGGGCGGTGGGTAGAATTGTCTGGGCTTGGGTGTCGCTCTTGCTGTCTATCTCTGAGATCATCATCTTGATTGTATGAACGGATGTTCACCCAGTCGACGCACATTGACACATAGCCGTATTGGACATTTATGCAATCGATCCCGGCCCTCTTTCGTCATCCCATGTGATAGATTGAGGCAGTGTTTTGTACCCCAGAAATGATCCATGGTACAACAGCCGGGTGATGTGACAGTGAAACCCTAATCCGGTCTCGGCTTTCTGACGTTATATAGCTCAGTGTGGCGTAAAATGACGATCATCGTCATGTTTTTCAATGTCAGAGTAATTACTAGCTATCAGTGTGAGGCACAAACAATAGTTGGAGTATCTGGCATAGTAAGCAGCGTTGTGGTGAGTGTTGCGACCGAATCGTCTCTCCACCATGCCTCCGTGTTTGAGTCGAAGTATGGCAGCGGCAACGACCAACGGCTCGACCAAATTTCACGATGCTCGGCACAGCACTGCCTCCCTTGGCTTAATCATTGACCTTTGGCCATGGGTGTTCACGATAACATGATGAATGCACCCATGCATCCATGAATGATCATGACTGAATCATCCCAACGAAACCCTGGGTCCTCTTCATGGAGGTTCGGGGAGGAGTATACCATCGTATCGCTCGCTACCGATGCGGTGGTCGGCACTGGGGAGTTCGAAGCTCATTAGTCCCAATCATCCAGTTATTGCAGCGTAAATTAGAAACAGTGAATTCCGGGTGGGATGCTCCGCGCCGCCGTGGTGATTGTTGTACGAGATAGTCCGACATTTGTGTTCGCGCCAAGCTTCACGGAAAATCGAAGCAAGAAGACCTCGATCAGGAAATTGGACGGTAGGACACCGAGGATTAATAGCGATGTTTGTACGAGTTCTCTAGGTCCTTCCTATATATTTGCTGGGTGCGTTAAGGAGCACTCCGTATATTGATCGATAGACGGATGTTTCGCTTACTATACTCCACGTGGTTAGTGGGAAGTGAGTTGGGCTGGGAGCGGAGTCTTGATGCAGTATCATTGGAGGGCTTGCCGCCGGCCTCGCTGGCATGAGGCTGGATGTCCTCGCTGAAATCATTACAAGCTGGCTCTGGAAGTACTGCTCGCTGAGATTATTTCTTTTGTACCGAGAACCAGAGAAACCGGTACGGAACTGATTCGCAAACAAAAAACACAAATCCCAAACATTGGGTGAATTGGTGCCTATCAAGCGATGCAACCCGAACCATCACCCGCAACGAGTGACTCAGACTCGGAGGAAGACTTCCCCGACCTTGTCGTAATCCAGCCCGAAGAGATCTCCGTGGCCATCTTCTGTGCCCTTCCGTTGGAGTCCGTTGCTGTGCGATATAGTCTGGACCAAGCATACAAGTGCCGACCGAAGTACAGCAACCGAAACCAGTACGTCTATTCCTTCGGTCGGATCGGCGAGCACAAGGTCGTTCTGGCTCGCCCTCATCAAATCGGACCCGTCAAGGCGGCACTATGCGCAGCAGCCGTGAGCCACCAGTTCCCAAATGTTCAGTTTGCGTTGATGGTGGGCATCGGCGCAGGTATCCCCACCTTGCCCAAACGGGACATCCGGCTGGGGGATGTTGTGGTTGGCATCCCTCAGGACGACCACCCTGGAGTCTTGGAGTACGACCTGGGTAAGTATGAGAAGGACGGGTTCGTTCTGAAGGGTTCGCTTAACAAGCCACATCCCATGTTGATCAGTGCGGACGGGTCTCTGAAGGAGGACGAGATCATGGGCCACAATCCGCTCAGGAAGATCTTGAGACCTTTGACCAAGAACCCGGGTTACGGACGACCAAAACTCCATGACGTTCTTTATGATCCGACCTTTCACCACGTTAGCAAAGGGGGTGATTGCAGTGCGTGCGAAGTCGCAACTGAGAGAAAGGCTGTTTCTCGTCCAGCTCGCACAAGCAAGCGCAATTACCCAGTGGTTCATCGAGGTCTGATTCTTTCTGGTGGAGGTATCATCCAGAATCCTGAAGATCGCGAACGTCTGCGTCGAGGCTATGACGATGCTTTGTGCTTTGAGAATTCCGCAGCTGGTGTTATGGATGCAATTCCCTGCCTAGTGATCCGAGGCATATACGACTACGCAGACACGCACAAACAAGACGGGTGGCATCGGTATGCTGCAGCTGCAGCTGCGGCGTATTGCAAGGCCGTTCTCTGCAAGATTGACGGCCCTGACGAGCCTGCTGTGACAGTGAAGAAGAAGACAGGTGACGCGCTCGAGGAATGTGAGTCTGACGTGCCGTGCCATGCTCAATCTGGGGATATGGCCTGGTCGGAAGCCACGAGAACAATACCTCCACGCAGGCTCTTGCCAAACTCGGAGCTTGCTTGTGACACGCTGTATGATTACCCAACAGCATCAGCGTTAGACAGGCAAGTGCATTGGTATAACGGTGGAAACGCCTGAGCCATGGGGACCTGAAAGCAGGAAGTGCCGCAATAGCCGATGACAGCTATTGGAGGCATGGGAAAGGACCCTGAGTCAGGGACCTCCTATCTTGTTACTTTATTGGAGGAAAAGACAGATACTCTCATTTGCCTTTAAAGTAGATTGCTCTTAGTGCTTACATGCAATATGGAGTTGACGATGGCTACATTCACTGTCACATGGGATGCGACGGTTGATTGGATTATCGAAACAAGTGGATGGGATTCTAAGTGAAAGCGCAATTTCTCGTCTTGTACAAGAGATTTGGTAAAAGATCAAACGGGGGACAATCTCCCCCTTGGCTAATTACATTACCCGAATAAATCATTTAACCCAGAGGTTCCGGACATTGACAGGAAATGACAGCAGTGGAACAAGAATATACAGGGTCAACTAGAATGCCATAATGTCGATCTTCGGGCCCGACGAGCAGGCAGTTCAGCCCAGTCACGACTAAGGTAATCTCCGCGGTTTAAGCCTTCCCAGGAACCAGTCCAATAGCAGACCAATTAATGGGCTGCAAACCCTCCGGCCAAGACATTCTCCGTGCACGGCCCTGAATAGTCTCAAACACCACGAATCACTTCTGCGCCCCGCAATGAGACTCGCCCTAAACGGCATACGGCCAGGACTATTTGCTACTAGCGGGCGGGAATGAGGAGTTCACGAGGCTGGGCCGCTAATCTCCGGGGATGCGACAAAAACTCAACTTATAATCCGCCATCGCCCCTTGCTTGCATGCCACACCCACCACCAGCCCTTTCCAACTACCAGTCACTCTTTTCAGAATCCAGTCACTCGTTCACTTTCGATTCTTGTCTCGGGCGCTTAACCATCGACCCACTATTTTCTTGACACATATCACGTCTCACTATTCAACTGCATCCTCGCAAACCCACCACAATGCGTCTCTCCACCCCCGCCATCCTGGCCTCCATCACCACGCTGGCCTCAGCGATCAGCATCACCAGGCCAGGCCTCAACGCGACCTACGCGGCGGGCTCGACCATCACGGTGAACTGGACGAGCGTCGACACCGACCCGAGCCACTTCAGCCTGTACCTGTGGAACTTCGAGTCGTGGCCGCCAAGCTACGTGCCACTGGCGGTGGACATCGCGACGGCGGAGCTGTCGCACCGGGTGGAAATCCCCTGCGACACCGCGCCGGAATGGGGCTACCAGATCAGCGGCATCAACGGCACCAACGTGTACATCATCTACACGCAGAGCGAGAAGTTCACCGTCGCGGAGCCTGTCCACCCTTGCACGGAGAGAGTGCCCTCATCTTCAGGGGTGCTGTCTGCGTCGCGCACACCCGCCGCGCAGCCCACCTGCGCCGCTGCGCCCACCACAACCGTTTATGTCACGGTGAGCCCTACCGGTTCCAGCTCTGCCTTGCACCACCATCACCACTCCAGTTACTCTCACCATCACCATGATCATTCTGCTTCTGTGTCCTCGCATGTCCTCCCCAATGCTACCCCCGCTGTCCCCGTTGTCGTCCCCGTCGTCACTTCGCGCACCAAAACCGTGAAACCTGGAATCGTGCCTAAGACTATTGGTTGGTGTTCAGACTACTCCCACCCCGTGACCTTGAAGGACGTGCCGACGCCGACGGCGCCCGTGGTGGAGGTGTCTACGGGCTTGACGACGGCGGTAGTGACCGCTGCCCCGAGCGCCGGCGAGGAAGTGGTGGTGCAGACTGTGACCACGACGATTAGTGTAGCCGGAGAGGAGTGTGCGTTTGCGTGAGGTAGTCGTTCCGCGACCAACTGACTACCGTTCCCCCGCGAGTCTATGTACTGTACTGTATATATCAAGCGCCATGGAGATTAAACATGTACTGTATCTTACCACCCGAACCCTCCAGTTCCACTCCCACAAACAAGGAAATGGCAAGAAAGAATCAATACCGCATCACGTTAGCCTCCAGCACCTCCCTCGCCCACTCCTCCCCCAACAACTCCCATCGCAACCCCGCCTCCTTATACCCCAACTGCACCTCCCTCTGCACCGCTAGAATAGGATTATCCTCCTCCTCACACGAAACCACACATGACAACACCGTGAATCCGCATATCAGCACATCCGGCAACTGCGGGCTTCCCAGTTTCTTCACGCATTCCCAGATCTTTGTCTCCTTAGACCCGCTACCGTGACCCCACCAAATGATAGCAGAATCAGAGATGGATGGGAGGAGGGCGTTGGAGAGAGCGAGCTCGAAAAGGGGCGCCATGCGGAGGCCCTCGCGTTCTCTCTTGTGCTTTTCCTGGTCGGGGTTGGGTTTCTGTCCGGGAATAGTAAGTATCATATTACTCGTTGCTGGTCGGGCGAGTAGGAAGATGAGATTGAAGGGCGCGTACCCAAACCTCTAACCTGTAATCATCTCCGCACTGCCCATGGGTGGACGTTAGATGCCCGAAGGAAGTGGCCGGGGGCTGCGTGACGAGCATGCGGCGCCAGCTGGCGTCTGGTCGGAGGTAGGCGCGTTGTTTGGCGGGGTGGGTCATCAGGTCCAATGTGTTGAGGGTGAGGGCAACGCCGAATGGGGGAGTGGTGAAGATGGGCGAGAATGCCTGGGCGAGGAGCGGGTTGGTGGTTCTTTGGTCTGCTGTGCTACATTCAGGCTTGATGGGTCGGAAGTAAAGGGCTTCTTGGAGCGGGTGTGAATCTTGGATGAGAGCATGCCAGCTGCGGGAGACCCGCTGAGCGGAGGTGAGCAGCGTGCGGATGTCGAGTTGGGCTAGGATGAGCTCGAGAAGCTCGGGCGTCACGAGGACTTGCTCAACGGGGTCTGAGGTGTTCATTTGGCTTAGGAAGAGAAGTATCGAGCGTAGTAAAGAGTTCTGTAAACGTGGGATCATGGGGGGGTGGTGGTGTGCTGACGGTCAGCCCCCATCTCACTTGATGTCGTGCAGATACTCGCAATCTTGCTTTGACCATATTTGCGGGCTGTTCTTGTTTGTTTAGCTGACCGGGGCATGAAGCAAGTAGGACTCGTCGTTGGGGCTGTCTCGATGATGTCTTAATATGTCCACGGATCAGTATCAGTGTCCTTGGGAATAGATTAAGCCGAGGTTGACGGTCAAAGCTGTCAATGACGTAGGGAATTCCGGATATGGCCACCAGACAACATACCAAGCAGAACATGCATGCTTATTCCCCCTCATAGCGCACACTCAACTTCAGGCACGTGACATGGCACTCTCATCATTTACTACAACCAACGAAACGCTCTATTATCAGAAAACAAGACAAACCAGATGAGATTATGGTCGCGCCAATGTCTTAGTGCAATCTCCCAACGATCATCCAAGCTCCACACTCTGCGATCTCCCTAATTGCCCTCTCCACATTGTCTTACCGGAAACAGTTCCAAACCAACCCCACAATAGGAGTCCAGCCCGGCCCAATCCTTAGCCGCCGGCCGTCATTTCTCGATGATTTGCAGCATAGCATAGCATTCATGTACAAAGTACAAAGCCCCGACACTACTTAATTGCACCAGACAAACTACCTCCTATTCAACGAGCGAATCACCCGCTCAAGCCAACGGAGGAAAGCCAACACCCCGAGAAAACCTCTTATTCCGACTAAGTGACAAAAATACTATAACCCACACCACCACCACCCACCACCAATTCAAGCGATACCGCCTCTCGACACCTATAGCCCCGTGTGCCCCAGGGATCAACCCTACTCAGCGGCACAATTAAAGCTCTTCGCCCGATCATTCCACCCCAGATACGCCAGATTCTCATACCCGGGGAAATGGATCTGCAGCTCCTGCCCATGACACCCGGACTCCCTACCACCCAGACTTTCATTTAGCACTCCTCCACCACCCAAGAAACCACCCTCGTGCATAGAAAGGAAAGAAAACTCACGAATAAAGCGTACACCAACTGCCGCGGTCCGCGCCCGCCGCGGACACCCCGCGATCGCCGGGCGGGAACTGGTTCGTGATTGTTGCTTTTGTCTCGAGCATTAGTACTCTCTTCTATCGGGATTGTGTGATCAAGAAGAGAGAAACGTACTGCATTGTCCGAAGGGGGAGGTGTAGTGCACGCAGTAGCCTCTGAAGAGCGCGTTCTCGCACAGGTACAGGCCTGAGTTGGCGTTGGCGTTGAAGAAGACGTGCTCAGAGGTGGAGACTTTGGTCTGCGGAGCGGAGGTTGGGACGAGGAGGGTTTGGTCGGCTTGGTTGGCTTGGTCGTGACAGGGAAGGCCTGTGGCTGCCGTGGCCAGGAGGGTGAGGAGGGTGGTTGTGCTTGGGAGGTGCATTTTGGGTTGAGGTTTGACTGTTTGAAGAGTGGTGAAGGTGTTGGAAGGTGAGTCTGGTTGCTGAAGCTTGCACGGGATGTAGAGAGTTTATATACTCTCGGTGCTCCTGTTGAGACGTCTTGAGGTTGATTGCTTGAGAGTGTGCGCGAGCGGAAGGTCTGCATGCAGCGTAGAGTTGCCTGCGTCTCTTCAGACCAACACACCGTCTGTACGTCAGTCGACGCAGTGACAAGAAGCAGTCCTCGTATCCAAAGAGCCTCAGTCTCCAGCCCGGCCAATCATCGAGACCAACGCACTATCGCTGCAATGGCCTGACAAGGCCGAGATCACTTTAATGGGGCCAAGCTACTCAGTGCTACGGACTTGGCCGACGCCAAGAGTACACTCACCCATCCCGGATTCATCTGGAAGAGTTCAGAAGAAACCCGTCTTCGCCGGCTGATAGGTAAAGCTGAAGCCAAAAATGGAGGATTTGCGCCAAGGCCGGGGCAAGCGATGAGACTGGACGGGTCTGCTGCAAGCTACTGCGCTTCTTGCAGATTTCCGAGGTGCAAAACGCCCGGCGCATTGACTCAACAAATCGACGGCGCGCACGTCAGGAGCCCTGCAGGGAGGCTTGTTGCGGCTTGACAGCGGAGCTCAACCAGGATGCAGAACTTGATGAGTCTGGCTGCTTCTCTCCTCCATGACGGTTGCTTGGCGCCAGCTGGTTCTGCATGTCAATACCACCTGTAGCTTTTTGGCATTGCGCATATAGTAATACGAGATTTGGCGTTGCGAAAGTGAGAATCCCCGGTGTTGAGCTGGTGCCATTCTCCTTGGTGAGGGTCTTCCTGCGCCTGTAATGGTATTTTTGTGTCGTGCTATGTAACCTAAGACACGGCATGATGTCTCTTGGGAATTCTTATATGGGCCGGGCTTTGCAAAATGAACTGCAGGGATACCTGCTGTTCATTCATTCACTATACCGGAGCCATATTACAGAGCTGAATCAGGTGAGTCTCAAGCTCCACTCTAGCAATGTCAACGGATGCCGCATGGCCTGATAATCATCGCCGATTACCTGGGTGTTCTGGCCTTTGCCAACCAACATATGAATAATAATCCGGGACAGAAACACGGTATTTGCATCGATAAACTAATCCGGCCAAAGACAAGAAGTGAGTCCTTCATCCAGCCTTCTCCAAACAAGACTCCAACACCCTAACTCCAAACACCGTACCCAAACCTTTAACAAGCCCAAAGCGGTCGCACTCCTCACCCCAAAAGATCCTGCGGTCTCACAATCTCCCTCTTCAACATCTCCGCCAACACAGGCCCACTATCACTATAGAACTGGAACCGCCGAATCCGGATCCCGTCATTGACCGCGCTCTCCGTCTTAACAAACCGAAACCGAAACATGCTCTCCACACCCAGATCCCACGGTCGGCCGTCCAGATCGTAGACCGTCTTCTCTTCCTTGCCTTCCTCGGGCAAATCGATGTACAGCTTGCCCTCTCCGATAAACTCCCACCCGTCCTCAAGGTCCACGACGCACACCCAGCTGGGCTCGTGGTGCGACAGCTTGAAGGCCGCGTAGTCGAGCTTCATGGCGTCCCAGGCGGGCTCGCCGCCCGTACAGCGCTCGCCGTTGGGCTTGACGAAGGTGAAGTCGTCGGTCACCCAGTCCGTGTAGGGGGTGGACCAGCTCTGGCGCGAGTCCCACGCGTCGGTGCATTTCTCCATCCAGGCCATGGCCGGGTGGGCGCGCGCTTTGTCCCAGCCGGTGGTTTGGGTGATGAAGACTGGGGTCGTGGGGTAGGTCATTTTCTTTTGGGTATCGAGGATTGGTTTCTTGGTGTGGACTGTTTATGAGGTTGGGGTTATGTCGAATGATGAATTTAGTGTAGGCATGGGGCAGAGGGTGAGTTATGATAACTTATATATAGGCAGTCAGATTTGGTTCGCCACTGGGCTGTAGGGTGGTTGATGAGTTGTCGGACTGGTCGCATTCCACTGAGATTTCAGTCTCGATATGTTAGCGTGGAGTGCATACGAGGTGATTTACGAGGTGCATTATGGCATGATACAGTCTAAGCCGGAGATCTCTCATTGTGAATGCAAGCAAGATCAGTGGAAAGTGTGGGGTAGACCCGGCCAGAATCCGGGGCAAGGTTCGACCCAGAGTTCAGCCTCGGATAAACGACGCATCACACCTTATTTGTATGCGCAACTCCCTTCAAGCTTTAGTCTTACCTTCATCGTTCGGTTCTCACACAGTCCGGAGTGTGGGGTGACTATCGATTATTTCTTTGAATTCGAGCCTTGTTGATCGTATAGTAGTTAGACTGTAGCATATCTCTTTCTTCCGTTCTGTCTTTGTCTCTACCGAACGATAGCTCCAGACGTGACGGCACTGAGGGACTACCGCATGGACTACATTTTGGTATAATTGATTGACTAGAGGAGCCGAAAATGACCGAGTTTATGTCTTCCGCAGTTGAAGTTGGACCTGCGCAACCAACGTCTGCCCTACGTCTGTGCGACAACACATGCATTCTGACAGCTAATGCTATATGAGCTCTTGAAAAAGTTATCCTGACCTGATATTAGATAGAACTTTGGGTGACGATAGTAATCCACGCCCTAAGAGAGTCCGCGGGGAAAAGGTAGCGCAGTACACACAAGCTCTCATAATCCCGGAAATCCGGACAATAGACCACGGCTCTGCTAACTATCGCAATGCATCTCAATAAGGTAACCACCATCCACATCGCAAATACCAACCCCATTCACAAGCTCTCTCCCAGAAATAAACCCTTAAGCCCGCCTACGAACACACCTTACCCTCTTCCCAACCTCGACATCAGGGAACCCACTTCCACACGGACTGGGACACTTGACCCTCTCCTGCGCCTCCGCCTCCGACACGGCCTCGCACACCAGCACCGTACGGCCATCGACTGCCACGCCGGTGGGCGGGCCCGCATCCCCTTCCCAAGTGGGCGCCGCCGCGCAGCCCGTGAACTGGACGTTGGTGAAATTCCCCAAGGAAACGTGGAAGTCGCACAGTCCATGGATCGCGCCCGAATTGGGCGCCACGGTGATGGGGCCGAGGTCCTGCCCGCGGCAGACCGGCTGGTTGTTGAACCAGGCGAACCAGTTCGGGGCGTACTTGTTGCTGCCGCAGCCGGTGATGGCGCCCAGGGTAAGGTCTGGGAGGGTGGGCTCGGCGAGGGTGGAGGGGGGGGCGGTTAGGGGGAGGATTGGGAGGGTGGTGATGAGATGCATGTTGATCTTGGTTTGGTTTGGGTTGGGTTTCGGAATGGAGATCTGGGGTTTGGTGGTCGAAGAGGGATAGGCTAAGTGTGGAGGGCTGCGCATGGGTTATGTATGGACGGCTCTAGTCGTGGTGGGCTTGACTCATGAGGCACAGAATTCAATATGACTTGCATGCGACATGTTGCTGACTATATGTACAGTATCGCGTGTCATATGTCTGCTCAGCATGCGTTGTGTACCAGACTCTCCTGCAGGTGTAATTCCATCGCTATATTTATGCTACCTGCTGTATGCCCAATTTTCTCGGCATTTTTTCCACTTGGCATGATCACATTCTTATTGTTGACCGCAAAGGTATCTACGCCGAAATTGAAATAGGTTTAATTAGTCCCAAGAAACTAGGGAGCACAGAGTATCATGTGATTGCTGTATTACCCTCCCTCTATTGGGGAACGGGTAGGGTCAACCTCGGAGACACATTTCCACGCCAGCATACGGCCCGTAGTGAAGAAATTTTATATCCAAAGAATATGGTGCTAACATAGATCATAACATCGAAAATTGGTACAAACACTTATTCAGCATGGTGAGATCGAAACGATCGAAGGTTTATCACTTTGAAATTCGGAAGACACTAGGTTAGGATTTTATCTTCGTGTTGGACGTGCTATCTAAACAGCAAGGTTGTTCACAATCATTAAACCAATGTAATCCATCAAGAAAAAGATGTGAACATATTCCAAACACAGCAGTGCACAAGCACATACGACCACAGGGTGTGGAAAACAGGGCTTCCCGTCCGCTCAGCCGTACTTAAGCCACACGCCGGGAGGTTAGTAGTTGGGTGGG